CGCCGAGCTCTTATTGGCTCAAAAAAAGCAGACGAACTTGCCTTCTGCATACGAGTTGCGAGGAGGTCGTCTTCTGCAAGCGTCTCTGCGTTGGCCGCCCGCTTTCCGCCTCTCCACGCGACGACAGGGGCGAATCAAATGAGGGGGGGGGGGGGGGGGGGGGGGGGGGCGACCGCCCCCGCCCCCAAACTAAGTCGGCCCCCCCCTCCCCCCAAATAAAACCGATTACCGGCCTGCCAGTCGGTACTCAAGGACGAGGGTTCAAATAGGGTAGGTCGCACCCTAGCAGGCACACTTGTACTCTGAACTTGGATAACCACTCCGTCGAATAGGAGAATAGTATTCTTACAATTTTTCACCGCCCCCCCCCCCCCCCCCCCCCCCCCCCCCCCCCCACCCCCCAAAAAAAAAAAGGGAGTTCTGGATCCGCTCTATGCGACTAAACAGCACATGCGCACTAGTGACTATTTTGCTCAAGAGACATCTGCCATGAAATTGAAGGCGCTCTCAAGCGGTTTGAGTTGCTCCCTTTTTAAATCTAAAAGAGAAAGCAGTGGTGGCAGAGCCTTCTTGAGCGAATCAGATATTCACAGTGCAGGCGGTCGAAAGATGAAGCCGTGAAAGTATATGTTCGAAAACACGCGATGGAGATCGCCAACTGCAGTCGTCGTACTTGACGAAGAGAACGTCGAAGAGGAACCGGGGCGTATTGGAAGGCCGAGAAGCGGGTCCGCAGCTGGCCTGATGCGGCTGCCCGCGACCCAGAAGAACTGCTGCAGGATGAAGAAGGGGTTCTTGGAGTGGAAGAGCACGTCCACCTCCGCCATCAGGCCGATGCTGTTCAGCACCGAGTTCATGCTGCAGAGCCCACGTATGCCCCACACAGTGTTAATTATGAAGTGTTTATCTTTTCTTTTTCATCAGCTATACTATCAGTCTATCGTGGCAGTACACTGCCACGATAGACGTTTTATGTGGAGCTCCGACGATTTTTTCAGCTACCCAACCTAGGCATATTTTTGGAATGCCCAGGCTTTGCTCTTTCCGGTACCTATTATCTTAAAAAAAAAAAAAATAATAATAAAGACGCGGGAAGTAAAGGTGATGCCAAAAACTACAATCAAATTTTCCAATCCCTCCACTGGGGTGATGCAATACAGGGTGATTCAAGGAGACGCCAGGCTTTTTAAATCGACCGCAAAATGTTTGTGCAGCGTTGCCCACAAATGGTGCATCTTTTTTTTTTTTTTTTGTAAAATTTGCAAAGAGCGAAATTACCTGAGGAAAAAGTAAAGAAAGAACTTAGCTCCTATGGAAATGCAGCGACGCCACTGGTCTTCAAACAACACGGCGCCGTTTCGCACGGGAGACAAGAGATGGCGCAACGAACGCCACCAACGCTGCACCAACGAACGAGCATTCGGCGCCGAGAGCCGGCGTTTTTAGCAGACAATCTTTTCGACTCAAAAGCGGCGCGCGTTCCGCAGGCGGGGACAGTCGCAGAAACAAAAGCAGGGGCGGTAACAACGAGGAAGTGCAGTTACTTGACTGCTAAAGACGCTGGCTCTCAACGTCGTCTGCTCGTTCGTTGGCGGAAGTTGGCGTCGCGACCGCTTGCGCCATCTCTTGTCTCCCGTGCGAAACGGCGCCGTGTTGTTTGAAGACCGGTGGCTTCGTTGCGTTTCCATGGGAGCTAAGCCTTTTTCTTTCTTTACCTTCTCCTCAGGTAAGTTCGCTCTTTGCAAATTTTACAAAAAAAAAAAAAAAAAAGCATCATCTGTGGGTAACGCTGCACAAAGTCGTAGCGTGATAGGTTAAGAAAACGAATTTCGCGGTCGATTTAAAGAGCCTGGCGTCTCCTTGAATCACCCTGTAGAAGACATGGCCTGCATATGACGTCATCGTCCGTGGGTCCAGCCTCAAGCGGAAAACACGCCGAATCTATGCGGAGCGCTAGTTCGTCTGCTCCTTGCACAGGGGGTTGCAGCGACGTCAGTACGCCGAGTTCTGACTGGCTCTGATGGGAAAGATAGTGGGTGCACCTCAATGCTATAGATTCCTCGAGGTCTACCCCCTACCCTTCCAAGCGGATCCGATCGCAGCTCGGCGTTCGGACGTCACCGCAACCCCCGCCAAGAAGCCGACGAACTGGCGTTCCGCATAGACGAGAGTCGCTGCAAAGCGGCAAACGCGTTCCTCTTGACGTCGCCGCCTGCCATGCACGTGCAGCGCCCCCCCCCCCCCCCCCCCCCCTCACTCACCGCAACTCGCCTCCCGTCGTTCAACGCGCCGGACGGTTGCTTGGGTAACTGCAGTGTTTTCTATGGGATGCATACGTTTCGAGGCGCAGCGTCTAGATGGCGTTCCACCGTACTTTATGGAAAACACAGTTCGTAAACGAAAATCTAGATGGCGCTTCGAACGATGGGAGGCGAGCTGAAGTGATTGGCTGCCCCCATGTTACAACATCTGACGTCACGTTTTCAGCGTTGCCAATAGAGTACCTCAGACAGCATTTGAAAATTAACCATATTTCACCAGCGTTGTTCACCGCGCATGCTCAGAAGGAGTTCCCAGTTCGCTGCCGTGGCTCGGAAACGAACTCAGACAGTGCATGTGAAAAAAAAAAAAAAAAAAAAAAGAAGAAGAAAACGTTGCAAACGTACCTCCATTTCTTTGTAAGTCTCCTAGCTGAGAAATTTATATCTTCGATCCATGTCCTGAAAGAAGGGCCGAAAAAAGAGCACATGCGCCAACTACTGTAATTAGGGTTCACGCTTCCACTTAATTTCGTGCCCTGTGACACGGTCACGCTTATTCTGGCAGAGCTGAATAGTAGTGTGTAAAAGACACATCTGAGCTTCGGTAGACCACAAGTGGCATTACTTCCAATGCATATATAAATCCGTATTTCGTGATGTTTTTTTTGTTTGTCTTTTTTCGTAGGGGGTTGCTTTTAGGCATAAATGTCTTATATGTATGCTACAAGGCCTGTAGTATGGATGAATTGAAGCAATGTTTTGTGATAGTGGTTGTCACGCAGCCACTTATGGTAAAGGCGAGTGCGCTTTTTCCTATTCCAGAAAAGGTACCTCAATCGCAGGTGCCTCAGGCCCCCTCCTGGCGACCCACATGCCTGTGTTGAAGGCTGGCTGCAGCCAGACAGTAGTCCACGATGTATCTCTTTTTTTTTTTTTTTTTGCTCTTTCTCTGGTGCAACACTTTTAAAGTGACTTTAACCTTCTGCGCTAATTTGAGGGCCGGCGCTTACCCTTCCGAAGAATTTTGAGGTGGTCATGTCCAATTTTGAAGCAGTTGAGTAAAGGCCTTCACATCATCGTCGTTCACGTCCCGACAACCGGGCTCGACAGAGCGCGCGTACAGGAACGCGTAACTCCTGCCACAACTACTTCTTCGTCCTTGAGCACTCGAATAAAAATCCAAACTCGAACCAAAATCAAATTTGCTCCTTTTTCATATTTCATTAGGCGCTCTTGCGGGGATCGTTTGAACGCACGCAACTCGGAACACGTGGAGCGAAAGCTCGCGCAGCAGAACCCAGGGATCCTGGTTCAATCTCCACCGCGGCCCGTTTCGATCTGGATGAGCATCGTACTACCAGCGTACGGTCGTGTATCACTACTGCGTGGTGCACGTCAAAGACCCCGGGCTAGCGATTGTATTGCACATGCTAAATTTCTCATCTACAGCCGGGAGACAAGTCGTCCGTTGAGGCAGACTAAGTTGTAGACTGTATAAACATACACACAACGCAATTTTTCTCTTCACCCGTTACAATGGAAATGGCCATCACAATCCAATCCAATCGTTGCCGCTCAAACTGGTTCAAGAGTTCAAACGGCCCGCCCGACTGGATAGCTGAGGGGGGACAAGCACCACCCGGGCCATGGTGGGTACAAACCATTTCTTTATACGAACGCGTGGTTAAACGTTAAATAAATTTTATTTATTCGCTGTTGGTTCGCCAGTTTCATGTACAGACATCTGTACAAAAACATAGTCAGCACCGTGAAATGTATACCATCGCATCGTCATTATGGACGCGGTGCCGCAGGCCTTCATGATATGGGCGACTTGCCTGTCTGCACGCGGCGCCGCGGCTCTCCTGAGCTAGGCTGACTATCGAATATATAATCTTCGATGATATCATCATGATCATATCATATATCATTGACGCGATGTGGCACTGCAGGTCTGAAGGTAAATCTCGCTGCCTTCTCGCAGCCGACTTTTTTTTTTAATTTTTTTTTTTTTTAATGTTGATTGTGTGCGGTGCTAGTACTATTTTTATAAAGCCGCTAAATCATCAACGCTCATAATCCGTGTCACAAGTTGTGTGCAGTGCGGGCGAAGGCAACGCCAGGCGAAGAGGGAAAGGACGAGCACTAGGGAAGGGGGGATGGGAGAGGAGGGCAATGTAGGACGAGGGACAAAGGGAGAGCACTAGGAATGTTACAGCGGAGAGGTAGTTTCTCTCCTCCCCAGCCTTCCTATAGTTGCCGTTTCTCCCCTCGCCCGGCGTTGCCTTCGCGTGCATTGCACGCAACTAGTGAGTAGTGACACGGTCAACATTCGTATCCGCACCATAGGCGGAAAGTTTTTAATTTCCCGGGGGAATGGAGGAGGGCAACAAATCCCCCCCCCCCCCCCCTCCCTCTCAAGAACGCCTTACCGAGTTACAAATGCGGTTTCGTCTAGCAAGTAATTATTCGAAATAAATTGTTTTGCAGTGCAACATGGTAATGGGAAGTCAAGCTCTCGATACAAAAACAGCCGACTGATTACTGAAAATAATAAAAAAATGACTCGCGTGCCAAAAAATAAACTTTGCGCGAAAATAAATTTTAGAGCAATATTGGCGGCCATTTAAGCGCAACATTGAGCGGTCTGTGACATACATAATGAACATAACCAAACGACTCTATGGTCTCTAATAAATAACCCATGGGACAGATTACGAAAGGCGTCGCACCACTTTTTAGAAAAAAACCTCAAGGGTCCGATTTGCGTCAATCTAAGAGAAAGAAAGAGAGAGAGAAAGAGAGAGCGTTCTCGGTTGCTGATTGGACGTGTGCGAACGCCAAACACCGGCCGTCCTGCGTTCGTCTTTTATCAAATACCAGGTGTGTAAACATAGTTCATCCGGAAATAATAGCCAACATTATGCACAAAGCCATTTTACTATCTTTTCGAGTCAATATTTCGAGCTAAAAGAGACTTATTTCACACGAAAATACTTGAGAACGCGCAGAGTGAGATATACACAAAGGCTTCTATCCACTCCAACCAGAGCTCTGTGTTCTGACAACCCCTCTCGTATCCTCCTCTTCCTGACAATAGAAGGCAAGGCCTGTGCATTACGTCATCGTTAGTGGCTCCCCGACCCTCCCTAAGACACGCTTAAAAGTGGCAGTCTGCGTCCGTCTTGGCGTCGCCGCGTGCCAGCGTCGCGCGCTCCTTGTGAGATGGCGGCGATGCTGACACAGGCTATGGCGCTGCGCCGTGGGTTCACTAGCGATGACGTCTGAGGGTACAGCTAGGCCTTGTCTTCTAGGTGGTATATCGCTCAGTTGCGGCGTCCACAGCGAACTCCCAACGCCGTTGCAGGACGCGGCCAGCAGCAGCAGCCTGTGGGAGACGGCGCTGGTCATCCTCGAGGAGGTGTACCACACCGTGTGGGCCTGCCTCTGCCTCCAGGAGCTTGCGGAGGACACCTACTACGCCTCTCGGCCCAAGAGGACCACGGCGCACCTGGTCCTCTGCTTCGGGCTCCTAGCCTTCCATGTCGCTTTCCTCGGGTACGAGCACAAACTTCACTTGGGGGGCAACTTTTTTCTTTTGATCGGCGCTGAAGGAGCACGAAGAACCGTAACTTCAACTGCCTGCAAATGTTCCAGAGAATTAATGGTGAACCTAAACAAGGCCTCCAACTGTGCGGTTCCCCCCCCCCCCCCCCCCCCCCCCACACACACACACATAAAACTAGCCCCAACTGATGTGTATACACGTGGTCCTGCTACGCGTTTGCTATAGGAGTCCGCGACGTCAGCAGCCGTAGTGTTGAACTTGGACCCCCTCTGTATTTTGTATCCACTCCTTTTTGTGCGTGCGCGTGAGCAAAGGTGAGAATGAGTGCGCGCTTTTTTTTTTTAAATTTTATATAACATCTTGGGCGGCGGGCTGGCAAGCGCACTTGTGCACGGGTTTTCACATTTCTGTACAGCCTAACTGCACGCCGCTCAAAATGTTCTTTTTGTGTGCAAATAAATATTTGCATATAAAAGCGCGAGGCCCACCTTTCCAAAAATCGCCTTCTGCGCGCTGCCGTCTTTGTCTATACTGGGTTGTGTTCTGAGCGTTCGCAATAGCTCAATTCAATGAAATATGAGACGCCGCGCATGCTGGGAAGTTCTATATAATTATAGTCATCGGAAGCAAATGACGGCGCGGTGGCTAGGCGCCGTATGCGCGCAATGGTAAAGAGGGTCGAGAGGCGCAATGAAAAGTTTGAGAGAGCCTAGATTGAAGAGACAGTCCATCTTAAACCATAGGAAGCGTTTGCAAATTAATGGCGGACACCTCCTGCGGCGGTCGGTCGCCAGCACGCATGCGCAGCGTTTTCGCGTGGCGAGGAGGAAAACGGGCGGAAAGGCGGAGATGTTTGCAGACGATCGAGCAGTAATACAGGCTCTCTAAAGAAATGGGGACCGCTGACTCGCCTGCTGGCTGCAGTAGCGGCCCCCAAGATTTTCATCGCGTGATTTTCATGATGATTGGGTGAAGCGCGCGCAATTCATGAAGTTGCCAAATACAGTCTGACATGGCGCCGTGTGCGCGCCATGTCGGAAAAGGGCGCAAGATGCGATGAAAATTTTCGCCACCGCGAGGGGCGCTACAGTCTGCAGGCAGGTAAGACGCTAAATGTGGAAGCGAATGGCGGCAACGCACTCAGTCGAGGCAGGTGTTTCGCGCGTTCGCACAACAACATTGGTTGTCGATCACTACTTGGAAGAAACGCCAACGGGAATACTATCAAAAGCAGTAGAGCTATAGTTGAAAGAGGTTGAACTTCTTTGTTGGGTTGCCGCCGATGTGATGGTGGCAACCCCAATTTCGCCTTGACCAACGGAGAGTGACAGGGGCAGGGACGGATGCAGGAATTTCTGGAAGGGGGGGGGGGGTCAGGTGTTGGTCAGCGTACCATAAGTTTAGAACCCCCCCTTTCCCCCGTTTCCACGCCCTAAATTTTTACACATGCAGAAATCAAGAGGGGAAACACCTGCAGGTGAAGGATGTACGAATAGGTATATGTACGCACGGACTGGTTTACATATGTTTTCGCCGCTCCGCCGAAGCGTGTAGGCAGTGGTGGCGTCTTGCGCCCTCCGATGCTCTGCGTAGCCCTTCCCTCCTTTCATCGCCAATGCTGATGATGACGTCATGTTGTAGCGTAGCAGAAATATTTTTAGCTACAAAAATGGTGGCACAACAGCCAATAACATGCGGCACCGACAAACGTGCCATGTCCAACTCGTGTGTGTTTTTGCACGTACATGACATAAACCCCGAGACTGCAGGGAAAAACGTCGAGACCTGTCGTTTTTTTGCCTGCAGTCTCGGGGTTTATGTGATGTTCAGCCTAAACCAGCTCGTTCGCGCCCTTCCTTTCACTTGCATGTATGTTTATCCGGAGGGAAGCTAGTCAGCCCCAATGGCTGTCTGGTGTCTCCATTGTAGATGAGAAATTTAGTCTGCTGTATACCACGGCTATACGGAACGCAAGTTCGTCTGCTTTTCGCGCAGGGGTTGCGGCGACGTCAGACCACCACCTAGCTCTGATTGGCTCTGATTGGAAGGATAGTGGGTGGACTTCGAGGCAGCTAACATTGAGGTCTACCCACTATCTATACAATCGGAGCCAATCAGAGCCCGGTGTTGTGACGTCACCGCAACCCTTGCGCAAGTAGCAGACTAACCTGCGCTCCGCATTCATGCAGTAGAGATACGCGATCGCACTACGGTGTGATACTCATTCGGATGCAAGCGGGCAAAAGTGGAGACTGAACCTGTCTTTACGAAAACTCCACTGGAATCGAACCAATTTTTTCAGGGAGCGCTATAGGTCATAAGGTCTTGTGCTTGTCCTTCCATTTAGTATTATTATATTATAATATTATGTTACAGGCTCACGTAGCATTCTGTAAAAGGCAAAAAGAGGGGGAAGTCTTAGAATATAGACTTTATATAGAAAACTAATTAAAAAGGGGGAAACGTCCATCCAAGCCCCAACGTTTCGAGGCCCACTGGCCCTCTTCTTCAGGGGCAACTTTGGCGATGGTGGACGTCTCCCCCTTTGTAATTGGGTTTGCCTCAATCAGACAGATTTCGGTTAATTGTTCACGGTCAAGATATAAAACGCAAAAGAAAGGTTTGTCGGCTTCCAGTCGTGGCAGCGGGTCCCGCCTGCTGAGCACCAAGCTGGTCTACCTGCTGGACATGCTGTTTCACGTGTTCCGCGTCCTCTGGGATGCGTTGATCTTCTTGTCCGTATACCGCTGTCCAAAGGGGACCTGCAGGAGTCACCTGTTCGTGGCGTCTGCGAGCGTCACGTATCACGTGATCACACTGGTGTGAGTGACCATCGCTGCCTCGCGCGCACCTGTCCAGTGCAAGCAGAGCTGACGAAGCTCCTCCCACCTTTCTCCACTTTAGCGAAGCGAATGCTGGAAAGGCCACCTCCTCTCCAGCTCTCGCTCAGCAAGTCTCTAACTGGAACCATGTAAATGTTCACTAATGAAAAAGTGATTTGTAAATTTTTGTCAGATCCCTGACGACTGCCGCGGCTGGCAATTTGTTCCCGAGATAAGGGAACCCCCAACCCCAAAATTTTGTCTGTCCGTCCGCCCGTCCGTGATTTTTCCGCTAAATTGAGCGGGGAAATTGACGTCACGTGACCTATGCACCGATTCCTGTTTGCAACAGGGTGTCGAACCGGAACCGAACCGAACCGAAAACCGGAACAGAACCGTTATTTTTAGCCGAACCGGAACTGAACCGAACCGAAATCTTCGCCGCCATCTTGGAACTGAACCGGAACCGAACCGAAAAAAATATAACGGTAACCGGTTCAAAACGGTTCAAGGTAATTTCTTTTTTTTTTCTTTTTTTTTTGTTATTATCACAAAATGAACATGTGGGAATAAAAAATTGGCGGCTGTATTTCTATTGATCAAATTGGTCATAAACAGGATTGCAATGTATAATAAATTGTGGGTTTTCGTGGCGCGTTTGTATTGGCACTATGATTAACCATGTGTCACGTTCTCACGTGACGTCATTGTGTCAATACATGTCAAGTAATGTCACGTGACCTCGTGACGTCACGTGACTCACTGCGTCAACTCGATTTAATTTGAGGACGTCACTGGATGTATTAGCCTTGTTGACAGCGTGACGTAACATTACATCACGATTTTGCACCGAGTTACGTGACATCGTGACGTAAGCGATTTTCATAACACCTAGTCGAGTGCACGGGTTCTTGACAGTCAGCATCGTCAAACATTCGGGTAACGGCTCATGTCAATTAAATTGATAATAGCCCAACTCTAAAAATATCTGAAGCTCCCAGCCCAAGCTTTTGCTTTCGAAACCCTAGCCGCCTATGGCATGACTATGATGAACACTGACGGTATATAATTAGCGTCAGATCACGCGGCCGCGTGTTCAAATTGCGAGTTGAGGAGGGGATCGACAGCTGTCTCTTTCCTTTATTTTTTCTGCATCTGCTATTGCGCGGAGGGGAAAACTAATGCATATTTTCGCAGTCTATAAACGTCAAGGGTTACTTCTTAGCAGTATTCGTTGAAAGTACAAAAAATGTTGCACGACCAATTTTATATCATTGAGGCACCCAAACATTCTTTTCGTTGCTGCTGAACTGCATCCGAAAGATGTGTCCGAGAATAGAAGTATTGAAATGACTAAATGCGACTTATTAATATGACGCTCCATAGAACTACATGTGTGTACGGAAGGAATACTTAAAAAAAAAAAAAAAAGATTTAGTGACCTCAGAGGGACAGCCGAACAATGGCAGTCGCTGTAAGTCTCACACGAGCGTCGTTCTCAAGTTATTGCCCAAGTTTCGACTCCCTCTGTACTTTGCTTAAAGGAGCTATAAAAATATGTCTATACATCACTAAATTCTACTCAAGATCACTCCATAACGTTAATAACTGATTGAACTTGGCTTTGCTCTTTTTTCTAGGAAATGGCAGTCGCCAAAACGTTAAAGAAATATGAGCATCGTTCATTCCCTCAACTCGGAGCCAAAAGCGGCCACGCGGCCTGGTGCCTATGTTATGCCGCCAACGTTAATCATACCCCCACGCTGGGGTTGGAAAGGAAGAAAACGTGTGCTGGAGCTCCAGGCATTGTTAGAGTTCGGCTATCCTCATTACCGCAGTGGTTGGACACGAGCCACTACCCAAGTGTCCACCAAGGCATTGCTTGTTACGAGCCGATGTACAGTGCTCACGCAGTTCTGCTCAATCCATGAGCCGTGCTCGACTGTCGTCAGGCAGGTGGGTTTGATCCCGAAATTACGACATCAATCTTTGCGAAGGCAATTCTAAAAGAAATAGTCTCATTTTTGGCCTCGCAATTTCACCGCGACAAAAAAGCTTCTGAATCAGTGGCGGCCTGTGGGAGTATACTTGGGTCAGACTAGGACCAGTACGCCTCGGAAAAGTCATGAACATTCCAACCCGTTATCGTTTTATGACCCATTTAAACTTCACGGGGTGCACAATAAAAGCAGTGAAGGGTTGCAGTTAACAAGTGAAAACTAAAATTGTCGAATTAGCACTCACGAACGAAGGAGGCAATTTCTCAGAAACACTATCAGCCTTTCCACTCCGGTGAAGAAGGAAGACCAGCGAAACTGTACTCAGGTGAGCATGAAGTAATGGCCGGCCGCAAGTCGGCAAGCCAGAGTGGAAAGGCTGTAGAGGTTGCCGCCATCTATGCGTGACGGCGACAACCAGACAATCAGAAAGCCGGTTGTCTGGTTGCCATCGTCACTTATAGATGTCGGTAGCTGTCCAGAGTTTAGTGTCGTCATTTGTTTGCTGACGGACATGATACTGGGGAAACTAGCCCTTAATAGCTCCGCTGTAAAAAGTAGTGTGCATGTGTGTGTTTGTCTGTGTGTGGGTGTTTGCGTGCGTGTGTGTAAGCGAGAGGGGGGTTAATTTTAAAAACCTACTCTGTTGTAAAGGTTCCTCTTCCCCGCATCTTTGGCGCAGACCAAAACGCGTGACCCCGGAAACTACTTTGTGTGTAAAAGGCTCTTGCCAAATAGCACGTTTTTGTCGTTCCAGAAGCTCGCGCTGTTCCTCACGACGATGCACTAAGAATAGTAATACGTGCTTTTAAAATACTTGGCTTTCACTGAGCTTAACCTCCTACAGCATGCATTTTGCACCATCGAATTCGATCTTCTCAGCAAGAAGAAATCACAATGACTACCAGCCTATAGTGTGATGATGTCACGTGCATACCATGTTAAACAGTTAAGCTTTCTGCTGAAATGTGATGTTTGGAACACTAGCAATAGATGTCCTAATTGTAAAATTGTGCCATTTTTGTAGCAGTCTCGCGATGATATATGGCAACCTAGAGAAATCTTAGCACGCATGACTATTCAAGCATAGCGTTCTAAAGTGAGGGCCAAAACAAGTGCAGGTAAAACCGATTATAACATTAGCCTCCCAAAGCAGCATTTCGTGAAGTTTCGAGCTCATGGAAGCTAATGAAATGTAATTTATACTAAGATTTTAAGAATCTTTATCTGTCCTTCGCCCTATTTATGTAAATTTATAAATTTCATTGCGTGCATTCTTACGCATGTCTTTTTACAGTAAGGCGTTCTGTAAGGGATTGTTTAGAAAAATAACATTAATTATCTCAGTATTTTTGAACATTTTATGTATTTAACTTCCAATCTATCATGTGAGCACAGAGTCCTTTTTGGCACACCCTGCAACCCGATGTTTCATACTGCCAATCAGCAAACAGAAAAACACTTCTACGCAGACTCCACAGCTCGCGTAGTTTCGAGTATCGTCCTTCCGCGTCGGTCTCAAGCGGTTATGGGAACTTTATAAAGTAAAATTTATCGATCGTTATAAAAATATATTTAATTACTAACTGAATATTTGACAACATAAATAAGTGGCCTACCACCCTCAAGCAATGCCCCCAAATTATCTGAAAAATGTTCTGCCAATCTTTTCCGGCGTTTTTATCCTCGACAGGCACGTTGTAAGTGATTTGGGACAGCCTTACACACATTCCTGATTTTGAAGTTAATTTAAATAACTATGTGTTCCTCACACATATAACTTCTCAAGCATATAGAAGTCTGTTATTGCCTCTTTTATGTGGGGAACATTACTTGTATGTGTCTGTGGGCTGGACAAAAACAAAGTAAACAAGGGCGCGCGGCGGAACTATGACGATTACGCCTGCAAACCGTCAGAAAGTGTCCAATTATGTAGCTGCCATGTCGAGTAGAACGTGAAATACTACTTCGTTTTACATAACAAAAAAGAATCTTGGAAGACGCTTAAGCAATTCGCCTTTAAAAGTGGAACGCGATAGGCTTAACGGGCCTCGTTTGCATCGCATTCTCATTTGCCACGAAAGCGTGCCTCGCGTGGCCTAGTCAAAAGCGTCTGACTGGCAACCGAAGGGTCCTGGGTTCAAATCCTACCTAAAATTCTTAATTTTTTTCTTTAAGGCAAAGGAATTGCTTTAAAAAGTGAAATCCTTTGCGACATACGACGAACTTTAATTCGCATTGCATGTCATGTTTTATTCACTTTTATTCCACGCGTGATGTTACGTTTCACATGAGCATTGTGGGTTGTTTGAAATTCTTGCGCGAGGGCATGTAGCTCTGACGTCATCACCCTATCGACCAACCAAGATTTTCTAGTTACGCCACAGACATCGGGTTTTCTGCGACATGAGCTCCTCAACACTATCGCGTTAAAGTCATCACTTAGCAAGGGTGATGCTCATTTGCAAATTAAATTGGCCGGCATCTTGTCAAGAACAAACCTCAACAGCCAGGCTATGGCAGCTTCTTCTGTGTAAGAAAATGTTCAGTTGGACAAGCGCTATTTTGGGGCAGATTCGATCGGAGTGCAAAGGTGCGTATAGATTAGGGTGAACAATCGCGATCACTCCTTGCTGCATGATTAGTCGCATGCATGCGGTACTGAGTGTAAACAATGTTTGGTCAGAACAGCAAGCATTTTGATTACCGCTCGGTGTTCCCATAAAAAATAGTCCGAAAGGAATTATTCTAAAACTTTTGTGACATTTTGACAATTTCATTGCTTTTAGCTAAGTTGTGTCGTCATCTTATACAAATATATTGTGAAGTGTATTTCGTAAACCATATCTGGTAATATATATGGCCACGAGGTGCTCATTTTATAATTTTATGTGATGTATTTAATTCCTTGGTTCAAAGACACAATCACAATTTCACTTTTAATACTGCGATACAAAGTTGTATCAATCACGGGTATCTTAGGCGACCTACCACACTTCGCGACAATAATTTGTACCGTGTAAATAAATCAGTTTGAACTTTAGAATTTTACTTAAACACAAAGAAAGGACAAGAAAATGCCGTATAGTTCTAAATTTCAAGCTGAACTATTTACAGATGCACCAACAAGCTCACCTCTTCACTCTGGTACGTAAACATTTTGATTCAGGTAAAATATGTGTTACTGGTAAACAAAGAGATGTCGAGTCGTATGAACACGACGTTATGTGCGTCAATGTAGATTTTCTTCTACTCTTGCGTCAAAATTAAATAACTGAATTTCATATTTTGGTACCTAAAAACAAAAGTAAATTGCGCGGACGATCGAAGAAGCTCAAGAGTTAATCGTTCCACGGCGTAAATAGTGTATATGGCCAGAAAAACGTGGAAAATATATTTTCAATTTAGCGGTTCAAACCGGTTCGAACCGGTTTGAACCGGTTCGAACCGGTTTGAACCGTTATTTTTTGCTCCCCGGAACTGAACCGGAACCGAACCGAAAGCCGTGAACCCGAACCGGAACCGAACCGATAAAAATTTCGGTTCGACACTCTGGTTTGCAAGACAGTTTTTGTGGTGTGAGCCTTCGTCTTGCACCACCAATAATTTGCTGCTCATGCGTTCCGAAGTATATTGGAATTGCGCACGTTGCGGTAGTAGCAAGGAGGCTATGCTCGATGCAACGCAGTCAAACGCGAATCTCAATGAGATCATTGGTATACCCGGCAGGAAGCGGCCGCTTAACGGCACGAGGCGCGCAATCGCGCAGTGCTCCTCAGCGCCACGCAAGAAAACTTAACTCAGCTTTAAAAAAAAAACAAATAAAACAGTATTTTTTTTTTTTTTTTTTAACTTCGCAAACATTTGAAAATTTGTCTATAGCAAGAGTAATGCAGCAATTTTTTGAAGGATACCGACATATATCAACGACGGCAAGAGTTTTCCGGCAGTTTATGATTGTGGGGTAGTACTATTGGACAGTTCTATTGCCTTATATTATTTTTGAATGTTTATGACAGCTTTGTCAATTTAACAGATGATTATTCAGTATATGTACACATCTGGCAATGCCAATACCCTTTCCATCATACTAAATGCTGTATTGGATTTAATGTAACATGTACCATCGGGTTCAAATGAAATGCGAACAGCTTGGGTTGTGCTCGGCGAGGCTCAAACACATCGGAATAGGACGCGCAACCTCGCAGTGCCCTACTCCGATCTGTTTCAACCTCGTAAAGCACAACTCAAGCTTGGAAGCTGCGCCCGTGGTAGTTGTCTCGAAGTTCCGTCACTGTTCGCATTTCATTTCTAACCCGACGGTACATATATGGTGGTGCAGTTGACTACGGGCGTGACAATGCAATTACCCGGAAATAATCGCTCCTCTCTTTTAAAGTTTTCGAAACTTTAATTTGGTATTTTAAACATGTATAGCCATACTGCTGCACAATTCATACTGAACAGCAAAATAATGTTCATCTGATGTAGGTTTACAGTATGATGAAGAAATTTGTCAATAGGCCCGTTAATGTCTTTTTTCCCCTGCTTAAAAAAGAAAACGCTTTTTTTTTTTTTTGCCCTTTTACGTGTTTTCCCGTCAACGTGCCGGTTTTTCGTTGGGAGATCTTGGTTGCAGAGGAGCCGTGAGGACACGGGGGCAGCAGGTTTTTCCAAGCAGAAGTTGGGGAAGCACCTTGGGAACGCTAGAGACGGGGACGCTAAAAACGGGGACGCTGTCGCCTGGCGCCACGCGGTCGATTGCGTGTCACCGCAGGGACGACTTTTTTGCACGTCGTCAGGACCCGGAGGGGTGGGGGGAAGGGGGCAGGCACGTAGGTGGTCACGTGATCCCTGTTGTCACGTAACTGCGCCCTGACGACGTTCAAAAAAGGCGTGCCGTCCACGCGACTGTGCTTACAAGCTCGGCGTAAACGGTGTTCGCAACACTGCGCCTGCCGCAGTTGCGTCACGCCACTGCGGTGGCGCTGCTGTCGGCGCGTGCGCAGACGCTTCACGCAAATATTGTTTCTGCGCATGCGCAGTGCCCACACCTGGTGCGGGCGAACGCGAACTTGTTCTCCTAAACAGCCTGTTGGTTTATTACTTATCCGACTTCTGCATCGTCCTTGGGTCTTGCAGGGTCTACTACCAATGGTGCGAAGTGAGGCCGGCCCAGAAGCCTCCTTGTATGGTGGGGACCTGTTACGACTGGCTTCGGCAGTACGTCCACAGGCTCAGGGAAAGCGGACGACACGCAGCCGACGGCGAGCCCTCGGCTGTCCAGCTGCAGAGAACGCTCGGGGACAGCGAGGAGTGCTCGGCGAGCTTCGAGTTCTCCCACCGCCGCATGGCAGATGGCGCCACGGAACTTCTACTCTCAAGCCAAAGTAGCTGCTCTCAGGAGATTGCCAAAGCGACGTAGGCAACGAGACAGCGCTTCGCATAAAAAGTGTTTTTTTTTCTCGGCAAGTTTGATGTGTCCTCCCGGTCGAGCATGGTCTACACTTGCGACTGCTATACGATCGAGTGGCTTGGGCACCTCTTACACGAGAGTTCTAGTCAAAAACAACACTTGGGATTTCCCCTTTTTTTTTTTTTTTTTACGCAATACGATATTTTATTGGCTCGAAAATCTCGACCATTTCTCAAATTGGGCATACGGACATTTGGTCTCATAAATACCGTAAAACCTTTGCTCTAGTGAACTGCAGTTCCAGAGCCACCTCCGATATGGGGCCAGCGTGCCAGTCTGTTTTCTCTCGTCATAAGAGATCACAAGTGCTTATATATGCGGTCATTGCGGTGAGACCAAGGGACTGGGACATCGCCGCCTGCTGTGATTGGCCAGCGGTGCGGAGCTGACCGCTGGACAATCGCTAGACCACTCGGTGGCCGAGTGGTCTAGCGCACACCACCTCGGAGCACCTGGAGCGGAAGCTCGCGCTGCAGAACCCAGGGATCCTGGGCTCGAGCCCCACCCAGGGGCGGATCCAGAACTTTGTTTTGAGGGAGGCGGAAAATTTTTAAGGATGCTAATCTCCCATTCTTTCGTGCGCACCGGGGGGTCTACTCATGTCAGAAACTCCCTAATAAAGGAACATCTCACACTAAGTGGCGCTAAGTTGTGAGCCACGTAAAAAAACGTAATAAGTAAACTTTCGTTAGTTCGACCTCGGTTAATTCGACTTTTTGTTTAATTCGATCGTGTTCGAAAGTCCCGACGAGCGCTCATACATTTCTATGGGAGGAAAAATTCCCTAGTTCGAACTCGGGAAGACTCCGCATCGAATAATTCGTCCCGAGCAAATGCGCAGACGCCTGGTCTTCTACGCCGTTGAGATGGACCGTAGCGAATGACACGAGCCAGCGCAACTAATCTGGCGTGGAGTAGCGCGGAGAACATAGCACGTGGTCGGGCGCGGAGACAGCACGCGCTCTCAAAGCGCTTTTCTGTAGCATCGTGTGCGGTCCAACTTGCGCGCCGGAAAGCGCGAATTCTTTTATTGTTTCTTTATTTTTCTTGTTGGTATTTTTCTTTGTCGTCGACGGTCTGGCTGCCCGGGGGCCAAAATCGGCTCGTAAAGCATTTTTTTTTTTTTTTTTTGTATTGCGCGATTTTTTGTGGACGTGCCGTTTAGTTACGTTTCTCTCCGGAGCATGCTTTTGGACACGCGTTTTAAAAGCGCAGACGACAGCAGACCATCCATGAGAACTTTGCACAATAAAAGGAAGTTTAATTTTAACCGTTTTTGTAGCGTGAGCTAGACTGGCCGAGGTTGAGCAGTTTCGCGTGGCTCTCAAAGAGCCGTGCTGGGCAAGCGCGAGGAGCAGTGACGTCACACGGCGCACAGCTGGCGCGCGCAGGAGCCGCCGCCGCGCCCGCCTCGCCGGTCTGCGCATTCCAGAGAAGTGACGTCATAGCCGCGGCAGACGCACTGGCGCCGCCGTGTGCCCAGCTGTGCGCCTCCGTTGCGCAGTAGCCAAGTCTGACGCTGCACCGGAGCCGCTTGATAGCGCCTCTCATTTTGTGCGCATAAGCTCATGCACGTATATCCTGGCATAGCCAAGCTAAGCCATCGCAATTTTTCTGTCCTTTTTTTTTTAAATTCGATCCTTCGAATAATTCGACCAAATTTCAAGGTCCCGTCGAGGTCGAATTAACAAAAGTTTACTCTACCTAAAAAAAAATGCCTGAGCGGCACCATGCAGCAGACAAGTTACAAATACGGTCGTCAGAGTAAAGTAAACCGCTGCTCCAGAGGCACATACGACTTCGAACACATTGCACTTTCAAAACACATCCACACGGCGTCGATTCTTGATCGGTATCCCAGCGTGCGAAGGCACAGAGGCGCAGAACTTCGGCGTGCCAAGGAAGCTTTGATCACGCCGCGAGGCCGGTGAAACTTGCTCTCGACGAGTTGTGTCTTTCTTCTGCGGCGCTACACTTTTGTAAAAATTTTCCACGTGTTCTCAAAGGCAGGTCTCACCGCTTTCACAGGGGTTTAAGAAACTTCTTCGGCGAATGACGATGAACGAGTAGAAAACGTGTCTTCAGCACCCTGCCTCCAGCCTCTGCAACGCTCTCAAAAACGCGATTTCGCCGCATGCAAGATGGCCGTTCGGTGGCCGCACTCGCGGAGCGTGGAAGTGTGGGAGAGCGTATTTGAGCGCTGATTAAAGCAGAGTCTCAGAGTACCCTTGGCGCATTTTGATTGGCATCAAGAACCGCGGTTGTCCTGAACCAAAATAATAATTATTACCCTACAGGCGTGCAGTTGGTCCATTTATGAATTCACCATTATGCAATGCAGGGCCGTACCCAGAAAAAAATTTCGGGGGGGGGGGGGGGGGGGGTTTGGGGACAACGGCGGCCATTTTGAAAATGTCTATTGTCTTATTTTCGCCTATGAATCATGTGCATTGGTGGCATATAATGGAGAGTTATAGCAAACCAGAGAACCGGTCCCGGTTTGGTACCCGGTAGCAGACCGGCGCCACTGCGCGTGCGCAGAGGTGGAGATTAAAATCGGCTGGCTGCAAGTGCACCGACCAGGGCCATACACAGAAAAAAATTTCGGGGGGGGGGGGGGGGGGGGTCAGAACCCCCTAATCCCCCCCCTGGTTACGGCCCTGATGTAATGCACCTCAATGAATCCGAGATGCGAGACACCATCTTAAAAGGCGCGCAGTCTCCCTTCTGTCCAGTCCACCGTCTAGAGCTCCGTACAACTTGAGAGCAAACTTGATTCCTTTGGCACCTTATAGAGCACAGCTTTTCCGTTTCCGGCTTGAGCGGCGTCGGCGTAACCAACCACGTTACATTATGGGCAAATTTTTCCGCTAAATTTAGCGGGGAAATTTACCAACGCGCGGTTACGCTGCTCAAGTTCCCCAATAAATTCAGCGGGGAAATTACCCGCTAATTTTAGCGGAAAATTCTACGCTAAATATAGCGGAAAAAGTTTCCCGCTAAATGTAGCGAAAATAATTTCCCGCTAAAGTTAGCGGGAAAATGTCTTTGCTACATTTAGAGGGGAATTATTTTTGCTAAATTTAGCGGGGAACTTTTTCCGCTAATTTTAGCAGGGAAATATTTCCGCTGAATTCAGCGGGAAATTTTTCCGCTAAATTTAGAGGCAAATTTAGCGAAAAATTTTCCACTGAATGAGAGGGGTGCAGGAGAGGAGAAGGGGAGGGTATGGAGGGGCATACCCCCCTCCTCAACAGCTGCACTTTAATTCAGCATTACAAAGAATTGTAAACGTCTTTCATTTTTCTACTACTACTGGAGACCGACATTACTGCAACACTACCTCCAACTAAAAAAAAAGAGACGTTTACAATCCTCTGCAATGCCGAATTAGAGCGCAGCTCTTGAGGAGGGGGTGAGGAAGTTACAGAAAAAAGGGCATGCCCTTCCTCCTCATCCATACCCTCCCCTCCTCCTCTCCTGTTCCCCTCCCATTTAGCAGAAAGCTTTCGCTTTCTGCTAAATGGGATTCCCCGCTAAATTTAAAAATTCCCCGCTAAATTTAGCGGGGAATTTTTTCCGCTAAATTTAGTGGGAAATATTTTTGCTAAATTTAGCGAGAAATTTTCTGCTAAATTTAACGGGGAAAATTTTCCGCTATATTTAGCGGGAAATTTTTCGCACTAAATTTAGTAGGGAAATTTTTCCGCTAAATTTAGCGGGGAAGCTTTAAGGGGAATTGTTCCAAATGAATTTAACGGGGAATTATTTTCTGCTAATTTTAGCGGGGAATTTTTTCTACTGAATCTAGCAGGGAATTTTTACCGCTAAATATTGCGGGAAAGTTTTTCTAATGCATTGAGAGGAAAAAATTTTCCGCTAAATTTAGCGGGGAATTTTTTGCATTAGGAAGTTTTCCCGCTAAATTTAAAAGGACATTTTTTTCCGTTAAATTTAACGGGGAACTTTTTCCGCTAAATTTAGGGGAAATTTTTCCGTTAAATATAGTGGGGAATTTTTTCCGCTAAATTTAAAGGGGAAATCTTTCCGCTAAATTTGGCGGGGAAATTTACCCAAGTGAAACGCACGGTGACGTCACTCGTGACGTTATTGTAGGAATTGTTCCATAATGAAATGCGCAAATTAGTGCTTCAGCACAAATACGCCGATGGCGACGCCGCTCAAGCCAGAAACGGGCGCCCAAGAGCTGCGCTCTAAAACTTTTGCATACTTTCTGCTGAGTATTTTGGAAAAAAAAAAGCTACATGTCTATGACTCCGACATCTAGCTCTCGTTACACCAAAAATTGGGTTACGCTGTTGCATGTTTATACACTTTATACACGTTAATAGTAGTAATGAACCGAATCTGCCGAACTTCCGACTTGGCAAAGTTCGGCGAATGCCGAACTTCTGAAGGAAAGTTCGGCAAAAATTCGGCAAACGTCTGCGCACGCGCGAGAACGCGACGGGGCCAAAGAGGCTATGGTTTGCAAATGGATGCCGTGCAGTCGTACGGTTACCATCAAACTGTATAGTGGTTACGGCAAGGTATGAAGTGTGGTTCTCTTCAAGATTTTCTGCCTCAAGAAGAGAAGATCGACAAGAAATGGATGCAAAAATGACACAATCCACTGGCAGTGGATTGTGTCATTTTTGCGTCCATTTCCCCTTGTCGATCTTCTCCACTGCGCAAGTGTCAAATGATGCTGTACATTTGGGATAACGTGATTTTCATTTGATCTTTCCAGTGATGCAACGAGCTAAACACAGAACTATCATGCTCGACGTTGCACAACCGACCATTCCTAACTCTTCCCATCTTCCTAAACGTCTGGTGTGTACTAACATCAGAAACCGGCAATTTAAAAGTTGAAAACGAGACGTTGCAAATATGGGACGCGCACTTTCATGCAAAGCTGAAGTGACTCAAATCGAAAAATATGCATTTTACAATAATACTGTTACCTAAAACAACAACAACAAAAACACACACTTGCAGGCTGAGGTGGTAGGCCTCACACCCGAAGCTAGCCATCGTGGCTGCGCCCCAGACTGCTACCGCTATTACTCAACACCGTTGGTCATACCACTTCTGAAAAAAGTAATTTTAAAATTACCAGTAAACACACAAGAATTATTATACCTTCACGTATTCAAATATTTCTAATAGTTCGATTGTTTTCTAAGAAAAAAAGTCAAGCTCGTCACTCAGGTCGATTTCTATACAATCAATTTTGCAAATAATTCAAAAGCTTTGCACCTGTGAAACACAGTTCCAGGGTCACTTCATAGATGGTGCCAGCATGCTAGTGAGTTCTTAGAGAGCCTAGATTGTAGAGAGGGCCCATCTCAAACCATGCATAGTACCGTGGCGAGGAAGAAAACGGGCAATCAACGCGTTCATTGCCTCCTCGCAGATCACACTGCAAATGCGGCCCATAAACCATGTGACCCCCATACAGCAGGACACACACTGTAATACAGGCTCTCTATGTGTTCTCTCGTCAGTGGAGATCATAAGAATCTTGGTCGTTAAGTCGACGGAAGTGTGTAAACCAGCCCGCACAAAACATGCACGACGAAAATAGGCAGACACATGCGGAGTAAATATTTATTTATGTACACTCTTCTACGAGAGACACTGCTACAGCTTCTCTGCTCTCGAAGTTAAAACTCCCGGAATAATCTGCGTCTGAAAAGAGGCGCGCCGCCCTCTCCGGGCGACACCTCCACTCCTACGAGTGATCACAACTGCAGTTTCTGATGTCCGAAGATCTACAGAAGTACAAACTCCGTAAAGCTAACTCGGAAACTCTTAAGACTGGACAGAATACGGGATAGCAGTCGCGACGGTGCGTCAGACTGCTGTACGTCGTGTTCACATATCACGAATGCACTCGAAAACGATGCGCCAGAGAAATAAAGAAAAAAAACAACCAAAAAACAACTTTCAAAAAATGTTTCCTTACCCCCCCCCCCCCCCAAATAAAAAAAAAACAATAAAACCCACGTAGACAAGTATACTCAAGTGTCTGTTGCATTTTGTCAAGCATTCCCATATATTCATAAAATATAAATGTAAAAAAAAAAATATATTTTCCGTTTATACTAAGTTCAATTTTCTACCAATTAAAAAAAAATGAAAGAGCTAACTTAATCAGTGCCAGCTTAAGAATTGCAGGGCAAGGTTCGAGAATCTTTTTCGGAAACCACTAAGATATTAGGCGATAACGTCATTTCTTTTAAAAAATGTTAATATTTTTCGCGCAATCTTCATTTAAAGTTTACCATAAACCGAAACCTTGCTTGCGGCGGGTAGGATTGCTCCTGCGTCGTCACCACTGATCTCTACGTCTATTTCCTGGATCGCGTTTGACCAGCTCTGCCTATGGACGGAAATGCGGCCACGGTCGGCAATCGTTTTGCTAGAGTTATATTATCTCTAGCCATCATACTAATATGGCGGACAGCGCAATGGCGGCAGGCTGCCATAAAATAGCCGTGGATCTAGTCCACTGTACCGTGGGTGATATTTCGTGCTTGATTGAAGTTGTTCGACGAAGCAGATTCTTGAAACCCGGCGTGAACGGTAGCCTCATCTTTCAGGACCCGGCGAAAGCTCTGCGAAGGCGCAACACCGGGGGAAAGCAGTGCAGCTTGCATCGAAAGCAGACGCCATACTGGCGTCTGCTTTCGATGCTTCTTTTGATGCGACTTTCAATGCGTGCTGTGCTGCTATTCCCCGGTGCTGCGATTTCGTGAAACTTTCACCGGGTCCTCAAAGATCGGGCTACCGTTCACGAGGGGTTTCAAAAATATGTTTTATCAAACAATTTCAATCAAGCACGAAATATCACCCACACTAATTTGATGGCAGCCTGCCACCACAACTGCCACAACGCTGTCTGCCAAGGATGGATGATAGTGGCTGCAGCAGCTGTACCTTGGCTAGAGCTAATATAACTCCACCAAAAAGATGGCCGCCAGTGGCCGCATTCGCGGAGCGGGCAAACGCGGTCCAGCAATTGTCATAGAGATCAGTGGCCGTTACCGATATACTCTAACCGGGTGGTACAAATCATAACGTCAGGTACTACGGCGGGCGGGCGCAGCTCGGCGCCAGGGTGAAAGTGTCGTCCGCTACACCCGACGACACCTGTACTACTGAGCCGCTGGTTGTGTTTTAGCGCAGAAAAAGGCAAGTTGTCCCAAGGGCTTCTTTTGAAAACATAAGTAGAAAGTGATGTTCAATAAACCACATGTAACTATGTTGCGACGAGTTTGTAGAAGTTTGTTGCGCTCGAAGTTGCAGACTGGCTCTCTCGCACGCGACGGACGATGCCGGCTACGACGCACGCTTGCGCACGTGCACAGAGGCGCGTGCGCGTTCTGCGAATCATGTGATTAATGATGAGCGTGATGCTAGCATCGCCTGTAGGCTTTGCTTAGAAAATAACGAAGCAAGCAAATAAATCTCCTCCAGAGCCCCGAACACGACGTAGGTGGCGCAGGGTGGGCTGGGCCGACACGGTGGTATTGAGTGCGCTGTTGGGTTTGCTGCGCCTCGCCCGCCACGATTAGCAGATTCTCGTATAATATTCGTTTGTTTGCCAGTTTCATCCACTTTTAGGCAAAATTAGATAGAAATATTAGGCGAGTGGTCTTTTTAGGCAATACTAAAGAAAACTGCATTGTTTTCTTCGCACGTAAAATGAACTGGAGTTGCCCTTTAAGCTATCATCCACTACAGTAAAAAAAATTGGGGAAAAATGTCTGTAACATATCTAAAACTTTTGTTCCAAAAAATGGAGCAATAATGCCATTGCACATCTTGTTTGATTTGTATTTCTTGGAAGCTGCTCAGAAATACGGTCCAAGAAACCTAGAGCAAATGACGCCAGTGCTACGTTTCCACTTCCGACAAGAAAGAACATGCACAAAAAAAAAAAAGAATGTTTTAACATCCAAAATATTGCAATCAATGAAAGCGAAGCCAGTGCAACATACGCATTACGTTTTGGGCGCAACGTTTTTGTACATTTTCACAGTTTCGGCACGCCGACGTTCGCACGCGAGACGTTCGGCGGCTTTTTGCCTCGCGCGCTACCGAGACTCCGCGGATGTGCAGAAGAGAAAATAAATAAGCGTTTTATGCACAACCTTGTCCGAACTGCCAATGAGCGGCTCTTATGTACAACTATGCACATCTAATACTAATAACTCTACAACTATACAGCTCCAAAGGCTGCGCCCTGAAAATGCCCCTGGGTTTGACTGTGTGGTGCCGGGACTCCAGATGCGTCGGTACCCGTGAAAACGCTACAAGCTGCAGAAACCAGAGAAATCAATCTCGGCTACAGTCACTTCACAGCTCTTAATGTTGACAAACATAAACAAAAAGCGTAAATAACAAATCAACTTAGAACAAAAAAAAAAAGCAACGAAAGGTATTGACAGTGACAAGCCATAGTCAAGCCACACGGAAAAGAAAAAAATGAAAGACAATTTTTTTTCACACATCAAGGCATAAAAAGATTGTTAAAAAGACTGTACAAAGCCGACTTCTAATACTGCCTCAATGGTTCACATTAAAAGAAAAAAAAAGAGGGAACTCCACACTTTCCGGACGTCAGAAGTCGTCCAAACAAATACGACAAGGAACTTGCAAAGACAAAAGAGTAGGGCTTGAAGTTCATCGGTGCGAAAATCAATCACAGTTTTTCACGGGCCATCCGCCGAAAAATATACAAATATGTCCGCGCTTCGGGCGAAAAGTAATACATAAAAAAGCTTCCTCAAAAACATTGAAGTAGACGCACACACGCCGACATTGCAACAAATGGCACAATGAAATGAAAAGCGAACAATAAAACTCTGAACGAATACGGGCAGCTCCGTTATGTACACGGTCCGAAGGTCGACGCACCTGTACAGTCCGGTGCAGGCGGGGCAACGACTCGTAGCAACGACAACGTCCGGCGGAAATCCCGCAGAAAGCATGCGAAAGAGAACGCACGCTCGGCGACAAAATACGTTCCAACGACGACGAAGTCTAAACTACTCTGCCAATGTCCAAACACAAAACTCCGGCTCGCGTTCCGGGACGGGAACCTAATTGTACGCGTGTTCAACTATCGGAAGTCGATTGGCAAGGAACCGAGGTTCTGGATCGTTTGTTCGTTCAGTCTTTTTGAAGTTCCACGGTTGGTGTCGATGGAACGACGCCGGTGCGTTTGCGAAAGGCAGTGGCAGCGCCAATTTGACTTTCTCACGCCGGAAAATCGGAGAGTTATCTTTGAATAGCGCAAAGCGCAAGTGCAAGGATACCGAATCATGGCTACCCTTGCAAGCGCTTTAACCTTAAGTAAGGCTGCTTCACGAGTGTTACCTGGAGAGACGTCGAGGCATCATTTACGACTACATTCGAGAACCGTTCAAGGTAGCTATACGAAGGAAGGAGCCGTCCAATAAACTCGCCGCAATTCCTCCACGTGGAAATATTAAGCAAAAGAATAGAACTGCGCTATAAAACATTTTTCACTGTATACTTAATTGACGGTGCACGCAGCATGGATTCGAAACAGTACCGGTCATCGAATGCTGCCAGAGTACCATACACAATTCTGTTCCAAATAAAATACCGCAAATACCGGACACTGCGAGTAGTGCGTGGTACCTGAGAAGACGCGCGGGTTGATGCACATGCTTCAGAGGGTGTTTTCGTTGCGCAAGCGTTTTAACTCACGCGACATGGAACTGTGGTATCGCGACGGTACTGAAGTCATAAACCACGCACACTAAACATCTAAACAACTAAAACAGGTAAGAGGAACAGTTTGTTTCTACGTCCACTGTCGACACTAAAATCACACGCAGTCGGACCCACGCACCGGAGGCGACGGTATGCCGGCAGAAATGTTCAGAGAATTCAGTCCCAGCGCACTGGGCACAGCAGTACGCTGGTGACCGCGCACTGGGAACGGCTGGCAGACACATTCAGAGATGGCGGCGGTGCACTGGCTCACGCCTCATGCATTACCGGCACAGACTTGCGGGCGTTGGCGTTTGCCTCGTCAAACTGCGCCACCTTGATCGCCTCGCGGAAGAAGTCGTTGGCGTTGACGTCGCCTTCCCTCTGCGCCGTCTCCTCCGCGGTGTCCCCCGCGCCGTTCTCGAGGACTCCGTTGCAGACGACGGGGTCGCCGGGGGGCACCATTTTGGGCGACGCCGGGCTGTCGGAGCGGAGGGACTCTTCGTCCACGTCGGTCTCGTCGCCCGAGCCGTTGAGGCAGGAGAGGTCGCTCATCGACGAGTCCCAGGGAGGCTTCTGGTTGACCAGGAAGTCCTCGCTCTGCGGGGTGTCCGTGGGCGCCTCCGACGGGGGACCTGCTGCACAAGGAAGGGGTGGTCTCAACATTGGCTAACAATAGACGCAAATTATTGACAGTGAAATGCAAATTGTCGTCACTAAAGCTTAATCCAAATTGTTGGCAATAAAATGCAAACTGGTTACATTGATAATCGTTGAAAAGAGATTGTTGACAATAAAGATTGATCAATAAAATGATTTGCAATAAAACTGTTCAAATTAAAAATGTTTACCATGAGGACTGTTTAATTAAAATTGTTGACTATAAATAATGTTCAATCCAAACTCTCGGTAATGAAATGCAAACTGTTCATGATATAAAAATTGCTGACAATGATGACTGTTGAATAAAAATTGTTGACAATAGGCAATTTTAGAATTGCGCACCCTAAAGCTTTGTGTATGCCAAGAATCGCATCGGCGGCATTGCACATGCGCCAAACGCTTACCACGTTTTGCGCTTTGCATGTGCTATTTTCAGAAAATTGCGTGCGTATGCAAAGAGCCTTTGTATCCTTTGCACTCATTCAAGGAGGATTCGTGATGACGAGTTGGCTAAAGCCAAGACGAGCCCAAAACTAAAGCCAAGACGAGCAGCATTAAAAAATGGCAGCCCCCAGGACTGCGGCTGCCAGAGCTGCGACCACTTTGGCGGCATCGTGAGCGCAATGTTGGCAGCATCCTCGCGACTGCGATTTTAAATACAAGACTACACTGCACTCGGTTTGAAAGACCCAGTAAGGCGGGCAACGATTGCCGGCAACTTGCTGCTTGCAACGTGCAAATATTTCTCGGCGAAGGTACAGTGTGCAAAGGTCAGTACACGAGACCTCTCTTGCCGATGCGACGCAAGCGGACACGACTGGTCGACCGCCTGCGTTGCATTCTAATGTTTAAACAAATCTAAAAGGTTACTCTGGACCAGGGCCGTACCCAGAAAAAAATTTCGGGGGGGGGGGGGGGGGGGGGGGGGGGGGGGGGGGGGGGGTTTTCGGGGACAACGGCGGCCATTTTGAAAGTGTCTATTGTCTTATTTTCGCCTATGAATCATGTGCATCGGTGGCATATAATGGAGAGTTACAGCAAACCGGAGAACCGGTCCCGGTTTGGTACCCGGTAGCCGACCGGCGCCACTGCGCGTGCGCAGAGGTGGAGATTAAAATCGGCTGGCTGCCAGTGCACCGACCAGGGCCGTACCCAGAAAAAAATTTCGGGGGGGGGGGGGGGGGGGGGGTCAGAACCCCCTATCCCCCCCCTGGTTACGGCCCTGCTCTGGACCAAAAAACTTGTTTTTTCTCAAGTTACAGCATTTCGTGTGTGAAATAAATATTGTAACTTTATCTTGGTGGCCCTGCAAGGACGAGATGCTTGGGCTTTCGCTTTGCAGCGGAGAAACATGTGCTGACGCAAGCACTAAATTTAGCACTAGCATGCGCTAAATGATAGATGAAAATTGTTTAGAATGAAATGTAAAATATTGTCAATAAAATGTGAATTGTTGACAGTGATGATTGTTCAATAAAAACTGTTGACAAGAAATATTGTTAAAATGAAAATTGTTGACAGTAAAGAGTGTTCAATCCAAATTGTTGTCAAGAAAATGAAAACTGCAGATGGTGAAATAAAAAATTGCTTACAGTGATGACTGTTAAATGAGAAATGATGAGAATAAAGATTGATCGATCAGAATTGGTTGACAGTTGGCAAATCACTGACAATAAAATGTTAATTGTTGACAATGATCATTTTTACACTATAATTTTTATTCTGAGGTTTTGTTATCAGTTTTGTGCACATTGTGAAAAGAACGAGTGAGTGTACAGACATGGTTGGCTATGTATTCTTTCCACACTCCATTCCACAACAGTGCAGACAAGCTCTGCAGGATGCTGTTTGTACATAAAGAGCACAAGTACTAGAACCTTTTAAAATAAGATTTTATAAATTGTTTTCATTTTGTCACTTGGGATTTTGGAATGTCGCCAAGGTTTTGCACACAAAATCTTACTTGAAACTCGAAACATTACATAGAAGCTCGTAACTCAAAACCAAGGGCGTAAGTTTTAGTACGTACATGTTTGTTAGCAAGCGAGTCTAGTTTTGTGATAGAAACAAAACTGTGCCTTTGTGACACTGCTAGCCAGTAAACTGACACGACTGTGACTTCGCCCTTTAAAAGTTTGAATATTTGACAATTTGTCGCTGCAAACCGAATAAAATAGTATTCGAAATTTAGAATATCTGCGCAACACTATAGTGACCGACAGGACTCCAACACACTGTCTTCCGCCGTACTTTGCTAGCAGGGCGCTGTCTAACGGGGCGCTGTCATCCAAAATTAGGAAGCTCGCGCAGGAGGCCGGGCAACTGAGGTTCCCCCCTGTCGTTCAATCAGGCGAGTGTAGCTGGAGTGCCCCCAACGAGCCGCCGGCCTGCGGTTCTCCCATCGGTGGGTTTGGATACTGGCCGAGGTGCCTGCAATCTGACGGAGGACTATTACGAAGAAGGCGCAGTAACTGATATTACTACGGTTGCTCGTCGAAAAGTCCCCGGGTGGTCTAAATGAATCCTCGGTCCTCCGCAGAGACCACAGAGTCATTATTTTAATCTAGAGGGAAAGGTCCCCCATGCGTCATGGCCACTTCGGAACGGGGGGCAGACGCAGAAATCGGGGGTCCCTCCGATCGTCCCAGATCAATGGTGACGCCTTAATATATGCGATGAAGCGGGATAACATAACTTGCAAGGTCTGTACTTGTAGATTTTCTCACTTCATTCTGTCCATAGTGAAAAACTAAGGCTTTGCGCGTCGTACAAAAAGAAATAAAATCGGCGAGCACTCGAACAACTTCGAGTCGTCGCGGCAAAACGAACGCGCCCAACGCATCGTCTACTTTCTTTTCACGTCCTCTCTTGGAAGCACCTACGTCAGTACTTACGAATTGCCGCATTCTACTCCCGTCTTTACCCCTCTGGCTGGGGTGTGCCAAACACCTTTCGTCGGTTTGGCATGTAAAGCCCGCAAATTTGACTTAGACGCCTTCGTGACTGACCCGCAGACGGGATGCTCCGGAGACGGGACCCACCGTGAGCTGCGGGGGGTGCGTCCTCCGAGAGGGACTCCCTCAGGTCCTCCTGGGAGAGGCCCGAGATGCAGTAGAGGGGTGCAAAGGTGCGCATCCGGCCCAGGCCGGGGCGCACGGGCAGCTGGCGCCGGAGGGACGCCGCCGGCGCCGCCTCCTCGTCGCTCGAGTAGGCCGCCTCCTCCGGGAACTCCTCCTCCAGAAAAAACTGGAAGTCCCAGTCTAGGAGGGAATCGGAAAGGCTGCCGCTATACACACGGCGTGTGTGCGTGCTAGAACTGCTATAGCCTCTGACAAGGTGAGAAGAGAGGAACTTCGCTCGTCCTGCATCCAGCAAGAGCTTTTGTACCTTCGAGGACGCTTAGGCCCCTCGTGCAATACAAGCCAAAGCAGGCTGGAAGGCATGGAGCATGCTCTGGAGCCATTCCAAAGACATGCCGTTTCTCACTTTGTCAACGACTCTAGCCAAAAGCATCAAAAAAGCAATTTTGGAGCACAAAATAACTTCCAAGACTTTGCGGCACATAGTGTTCTTCCCTGCGGAGCGAGATTGAGTTCCCTATCCATTCAAATCTAGCGTGCTCTTTGCAAGTGGCCCCGTCCAGCGAGCCGATCGCTTCCGCCGACAAAAAGAAGCCGGCAAAAAGGGCAACTGGCTCCACCTGGCTAGCCGATCAACGGGAGGAAGCAGGCAAATGGGGCGATTGGCTCCACCCGGCAAGCCCACCGCTTTAGCTAACAAAAGGAAGTCAATCGCTCCAACTGACAGAAGAAATTTGGCAAATGAGGCGGCACAAATGGCATTTAAACGCCCTTTTGGACTCGATCGTGACGAGCGAGACAAACGAAATTGGTCTTCGAGAGGGCATGGGTAGAAGCGGGCAAAAGAGCGGGTACCTCTGAGGCCGTTGTAGTCGATGGCCAGGGCAGACGGGACTGGCGCCGCCGGTGGCGTCGGCGGCGGCTCCTCCTCGGCCGTGTAATGGTACACCGACGAGATGACGTCGTTGAAGGACACCGTCTTGCGCAGAGACGATGCCTGAGGGGCGACAGCTTGGCGTTTGTTCTGGGGCAGCAACAAACGGCAAAGGCTTCCCAGGTAGCGTTCCAGAGAAATGCCTAACTTGGCACAAGCTTGGTTCTCCTAGGGGCCCTAATACAGCTTCGCCCTAAGGCGTTAGTACCACAGTACTTTTCTTCTGTGTTCCTATGGCTTTTCTCTGGCACGCCGCACGATTGCCAAAGTACAACGCTCGAGCCAAAGGTGCCACATACGAACCTGGAAGCAGTCAAGCCTAAACCCGGCACTTGCCTGGCAATTTAGGCCCAAAGTTGCTACACGAAAACTAAAAGTAAAGCCTAACCCTAGCACTTATTTATTTGTCAATTTAGGTCCAAATATGCCAGGTGGCAGCCAGACTACCAGCAGTGAAGCCCAATTTTGGCACTTGTTTGGCAAATTAGGGCCAAGAGACTTGCCAAAGAAGGCCAAGTTTGGGTCTACCTTAGCTTCTTTTTTAAGGCCCCAGAAACCAAATTTTGGCCCAAAGAACTACCGTAAAATACCGGGCAAGCGCCCACTCCAAATTTAGAGATAATCACGAAAAACTGGGGGATGGGTGCTTGACCGGTCATCAATTTTACAATCAATGTACTGTGCATATTTTCTCAGAACTTACAAATTTGGGAATGGGCACTTAGTGTGGAATTAGACGATTAAAAGAACGGAGTGAGGAACATAAATTAAACTGTCAGTGACATTAGTGCGTAACGAGAAAAAAGAGCTTTTAATTAGAATAATCCTGATTTCAATTCGACAACTAGATCTCGAAAAAGCTACCATAATTATGAGCACAGTTTATTAACAAAACCCTCCGGTCAACCAAAAATACATTCAACTGGACTGCTCCAGAAAGCTTATTTTTTTAATTTTTTCTATAAAAAAAAAGTGTCTTCAATTTTTTTTTTTTTTTTATATAGTTCCGTTTTTTTTTTTTTTTTTTTCTTTTCTCTTCGTATCAAGGTGTGAAGAGGTAATTTAAATGCACCTTAGTCCCACAGATAAAGTCGAGAGTCAAAACATGCCGAGTGTTTTGAGCTCCTCCCACGGGGCAACGAAGTTTTTGCATCGACACGCATAAAGATATGTAGCCGCTACAAACGTGCCAATCAAAACCACTTCGCTCGCGGAGGAGATGGGGTATCCAATTACCGAGCGTGGTTCGATTCCCACTGGGAGGCATAATCCGTTGTAACGAGTGTTATTGTGTTTTCGTTAGTAAGCTAAGCGAAGCTCTAGGCTCGCAAAGCGGACCTAAAATGAGCTCCGCATTAATAGCACTCCGGATGCAAGTATAAGTGAGGATTGGCACCTTAGAGGGGAAGCAATAAAACCATTCGCTCAGTTCGTAACCGGGACCCAGTTTTTTGCAATGCGCAAAAATCTAAGTTGCCCGACCTCACTTTAAACAACCTCCCAAACGCTCGTGTCTGCAATCAGGATTAACCAAGCTGACCGCCCAAGCTCTTCTTCTCCATTAGCCTTGGCTAAGCTACTTTCAAAAAGTAATTCAATTTAGTTAATTACTTTCAAAAAGTAATTACAGTAAACGACTAAATTTTCGCGAAGACCTAATTTTCGCGGATTTCGCGAATCGCCGACAAACGCGAAAAACATGTCCCGCAAACAATTCGGGCAATATGTGAACGCTACGGAAGCTACACTCTATTTGCGAAAATTAGAACCCGCGAATTATTTCACATTTTCAGCTCTGGCCCGATTCGTGAAAATTTGAGCTCGCGAAAATTAAGTCGTTTACAGTAGTTGGTTACTCTCAAATAAAAGTAGCAAAGTTACAGTCACAGCTACTGCAACGAAAAAGTAATTTGTTAGTTACTTTTAAGTCACTCTTCCATAAAACTACAAACCAAGGAAAAAAAGTGGAAAATCCACTCCCCCCCCAAGTTAATTACAGAAAGTGCAAGTGGAGTTGGTGCAAGTTGGCACAAGGCGAACATGACACTCAAGATGTAGGAACACGTTATTTAAAGAAGTGCAAAGAATGGCTAGATTGTACTTGTTCAATGATGTCTTAATGTTGAACTGTGGAAAGTAATGACAAAATTAACGTCTTTACTCTCGTCGTTACTTCAGAAAAAGAAATAAAACTATAGTTAAAAGTTACCGAAAGAGTTACAAAGTTACAATATTGTGTTTTTTGTAACGCAATACTATTGAGACTGGTCCAAACCCACGCACCTTGAGCCTCCTGGCAGATCGGAGGGCACTCTTGGTGGGAGTGGCACTTCGGTCCCAGGTGTTGGCCCTGGTCGGACTCGACTCCAGGCTCCGATGGACCCTCTTCTCCGCCGGCTGCGGCAGCGCCGATGCCTCCTGCGCTTCCGAGCCCCGCTCTTCCGCCAGGCACTCGAACGATCCAGACGTCGTCGTGCACGACGTTCCCGTGCTGCTCGTGTCGTCCGTGTCTTCGTCTTCCTCATCGTCCAGCTTCCGCCGGCGGTCCAGCCCACCAAAGTTGTCGGAGAGTTCGTCTTGGGCCGTCTCATAGGCCAAGTCTTCGTCGGAGCCGCGCTCGCCAACACCCGTTTCGTCGGTGCCCCCTTCGTAGGCTACGTGTCCGTCACTCCCCGTTTCGTAGGCCACCCTTTCGTCAACGTTCGTTCGGTAGGCAACGTCTTCGCATGCTCCCGTTTCGTACGCCGACCTTTTGCCGTGACCGGTTTTGCGGGTTGGCCCTTCGCTGGTACCTGTATCGTAGGCTACGTCTTCGTCGCCCCTCATTTCGTAGGTAGTCTCTTCGTCGACGGCGGAGCCGGCCAGCACCTCGTGTCCGTCGAAGATGACCCCATGCCCTGCTTGCGAGGCCGGTCGCACTGTGATCTCGTGGGTGAGGGTGTTGACCGTCATGATCTCCTCCTCCTCGCCGCAGATGGGGGAGGAGGACAGCTGGCGCCCCAGCAGCCACCGCTTCGGCGGGCTGCCCTCTCGGTCCAGCACGGCCGAGATGTCGTCCAGCTCGTATTCCCCGGAGAGGCTGTCCTCCTCGTCTGCTCCCCGAAGAGACGCGGGTTTCAGTTTTGCAGCTCTTAAAAATAGTTAAAAAATGTCCCCCCCCCCCTCCCCCCCCCCCCAAAAAAAAAAGAAAGAAAATAAAAAGAGCTTTTTTATTGCAAAAATTAACAGGCTTGCATTAATTCACACTCAATATTTCATCCTTCTGGTTAATTGAAACAAATTTCAAAATTGTTTTGCTGTTTTTAATGTATTGATAAGCCACGTAATTCGAACGGCGTTTTCGTGGAGTTCATACTTTTTGATCCCGTGGCCCAATGAGTGTGCTTCTATCTGAGCACCGGCGCACTGCAGAGAGGCAACAACCGCGGAGCTTGCTTCCACGGGTTTGCAGACGAGAATAAAATAGATGATAAGCGCGTTTTAATAACAAGGAGGTGATTAGACACAGCTGGGAACAGGGACAGAGGAAAATTGGGACCCCCTCCCGCGTGGCTTCGGCCCAAAGTTTCCACCCCGTCTCCCAGTAGGCCCGGTGCCAGGGCAAAGCCGAATAGGTTGGACCAGAGGAAAATCGGCAACCCCCTCGCCTGGGGGAAAAGGCGGGGGGTGGTGCTTTTAGTTTTTTTGCCTAATCCCCCAAAGGTCATCCCACACTGCCTGGTGATAGTTACGAAATTGCAGAGGGCAAGAAAATTGGTGAAGAAAAGAAATGATACTTTTGGTTCTAAATATCTAAGCTAGGTGGCGCAATCTACCGCACCGTTAAGAAGGGTACAGCCGGTTGCATCCATCAATCTACCCATCGCGGGTGTTGCTTCTCAGTACACCACTGCTGGGCGAGAAGTGCACTCAATAGGGCTCAAGATGGGCACACGTGAACCATGAAAACGGGCACCACACGGCAATTTCATAGCAACTTGAGCGGAAGCTGTGACGTGGCGGCATGGCATAGATCCACGTCACAGCGTCCGCACAAGTTGCTACGAAACCGGCCACGCGGTGCCCTTTTTCATCGCTCGTGTATCCCCCGCTTAATAGTTCACGTTAGACAACTTCTTGGCCCGATAAACAAACCAAATTTTGTTTTGAGTTTTCATGTGCTGTCTAATTGTCCATGATGAACAACATTTTCGAGGGAGAAATAAACTTACGTCGTACATTTCGCAAACGTTTCATGTGTGGCATACCTGCTTATGATCAGTAGGCCTATGTAGAGGAAACCAAATATCTGCTTTGTATGTGTAGCCATTCATAGGCAAATCATCATTTCATCTCGCATCATATTTAGATGAATTTCTGTTAATTCTAACTTCCGGTAATCCAAGCAATATTTGGGGTTTCCTGGAGTTTGAACTAATGAGGGTCTACTGTACTAATCATTGCCAAACGCTCCTCCACCCAAATGTAGCACTAGTGGTCCGAATTAGGTGCCAAAGTTTCAGAACTACTAACCGTAATCTCACTTAAAAGTTACGTGATTTTTACACGCAGCTGAGTGAAGGTATGGAGCTGAATACGTGGAGCTGAATGGAAACAGCAAACGAGAACGGGCCTCATTTTCCCATTGAAATTTTTGAAAAAATCACTTCAAACTTATGAATAAGATAACCGTTCATTCTGAATCTGTGGCACCTGATTCAGACCACTAGCACTACATTTGGGAGGAGAATAAGCTTCGGCGATGCATAGTTAATTTTTGCGGTAAAAGAAACCCCGTAAATTGAGTTGGAATGCCCTGTAAACTCGTGATTAAAATAAAGGCGAACGTGTGATCATCGACCGCTTGGTACTGGCGGCGCCATTCATACCCTATTTACACGGGCAGCTCTAACTGCAGTTAGGTGTGACCGAGATCAGACTTAACTGTGGGCAAGGGTGCCTGACATTATCTTAAATCACTATTACTGCTAACTATACCCTATTTACTCAGGCCCTTTTAACTGTAGTCAAGTCTGACCTCAATCACAGTTGATTGCGGTTAAGGGTGCCCATGAAACTAGGGTTTAAGTGACAGCCATGGTGGTTTACGCGCCTCATATAGCACTTTGTCCCGGTTTGTTCACAAAGCATACACGCCATCATGGACGCTGCTTTGCGACGGTGCAACTGCATGTTCGTCTTTGTATGGATCATCACTGCACAGCGAGTCCGGTAGCTTCAGAAATTACACAGCATTATTTTTGCACAAAACGTAAAAGAAACATTTCACACTAGTGATAATGCGTGCGAGACAAAACAACCCAGTCTGACTCGCCAAACAGGGCTTTCTAAAGATTGTTACCATTATCGTTAACATAATCCTACGTTGAACCAGAAACACTCCTTTTCGATTGGCATCTTCTCCGTCTTAGGTGTGGCGAGTTTTAGAGTGGTCACTAAGGATCGACACGGTTTCAAGCACAATATGGAATTGATCAGATTAGTTTCCAAAATTTTTTAAAACAAGTTAACCATGTCATGTAAAACAATGTGGGACACCTTTCAGAGTTCTAACCATGAAAAACTGACAAACGAAAACAAGTGCAATTGCCTGCAGCAGGAGAAAAAATGGCTACAACTAGCTCTTCAACAATCAATGCAATATGACACAAAGTAGCCGACCAGCACAAGTGCTGAGTCAACCTCTTCACCATTAAAAAAAAAGATAGCGATATGAATTGTATATAATGGCAAGTACTAGGTGACTGGTCTGCTACCGACGCAACGTCCAAAAGCTGCTAGTGACACAACTGACACAACGCAAGTGTCGCATTGCGCTTAGTGTAACGGCAGACAACATCGATTGAGGTAAACAGGTCACACCGAAAGGCATACAACTTACGACAGCTTAGGACCGCGTGCCTCAAAAAACTGCTGACAATGCTATAAATGACCGTAAATCTCATATGGCGAATTCGCGTGGTTCTTTCTGCGCGCTCTGGAGCACTCTTTCCAGAGTGCGCGAAGTCGGGTGGTTGAAAGAGAGTGCTGTGGCCTGATCGGGTGGTTCTCCTCTCCCTCTCAGAGCGCTCTCTGGCACTCCGGCTGTAGCCGTCGGAGTGCGGAGCGGCGCAGGCGTCACGCGGTTTTGTTGTCGATGGCCGGCAGTGGTCTGTGGTGGTGTGCGGGGTACGGCATGACGGCGATTGATATGTGGTTCTACAAAGTGCTTGTGCATTCGACGGTGCGAGGATTACGACGGACGGGACGACATTCGTTTGCGACCGTAACAGGAAAAGCCGACGTGTGAAGTGTTCCCAGTGCTTTCACAAGATTGTTCGTCTCACGGTGGTGAATCCGCTAAACCTAACCGACAACGAAACAGCTCGTAGAGCTCGCCGCTGTTTTACCGGAGTTTGTAGTCGCTTCAAGAAATTTTTGAGGTTTGGTAAAAGTGCGTTCAAAGGTTTGTGTTGTAAAATAACGGGAGAGCCGAATATAATGCACTGTGATTTGCGTCACATTGCGATGCTTGCACGTTATTTCGCCGTGAGCAAAATGCGGTTTATTAACCATTTTATATTCACCCGCTCAGTCGTACGCATGACCGCTATCGCAGCGCGTTCACTGTCGAAAACGCGATGAGTTGACAACTGTTTCCAAGCGTTGGCTTTCGTTCCGTTCTGCAAAAATCAATTCACATACTGTTGTTTTCTTTCTTTTTACATGCCGATGAGTAAAACAATTTACGTCACAAAACCGTTATTTCATCACATTGCGAGCGTAAATTACGCTCAATCATCCGCCGTACGCTCTAAAATCTTTTTTTTTTTTTAACGCATTATTAAAATTAAGAAGTTTTACTTCCATGACTGGAATGAGAATCTCGGAGCGCTCTGAACCCAGCAGTTGTGATCGGCTGAAAAGGATCCCGAGTAGCTCTGGCGGCGAGGAGGGGGCGCTCTGCTGAATCGAGGTCAGAGGAGAGAGCCGACCACCCGAATTCACCAATAGATAGTACATACATTCGATCTCACAAATTTCGGAAAACCTTCGCTCTAGCGAAATGCAGTTCTGGAGTTACCTCATAGATGGCACTCACGTGCCAGTGTGTTCTCTCGTTGCGAGATCACAAGAACTCGGTCCTAAGCAAATGCGAGTGTGTGAATGGGCCTAAAGGACTCGAACCACGAACCAGAAAAGTGCTTGGGAACTCACCGACTGTGCCGTTCTGCCTGCCGCCCTCTTCCGAGCCGCCCTGCCTCGCGTTGTGCCGTTCCACCGCACGCTCCGCAATCCTCCGCATCTCGCCTACAAACGAGTCCTCGCTCAATGCCAGCGAGTCTTCCGCGGACCCCGCCCCGAGGTGCTCCTCTTCCGCCGTGAGGTCAGAGAGCGCAGACGAGTCTGCCGCAGTCTCCTCCGCCGCCCACTCCGAAGTTCCGCCGGCACACCGGATCGGCGACAGCCCCGGCGGGCTCGGACATGAGTCCGTCGGCGTCGAAGTCCGCCCCACGTGCCGCGCCGGACTCGCCGGATCATTGTCGTCCGCAAGCGTCGCCTCCGAGCACTCGGACGTGTCGTCTCCGTCGAGGTGGGCCGTCAAGAAGAATGTGTCCGACTCCGAGCGGTCCGACAGCAGCCCGTGGATCACTCCGCAGCTCGAGTCCTCCGACACGATCGTCGCGTCGTTCGCCGTCACGAACGACGCGCTGCTGTCGCCGCTGCCTCCGCTGCCACCCGCGCCCGGCAGCTCTGGGGAGAGAAAGATGGCCGCCGCCGTCCGCGCCACCTCACTGCCGGCATTCCCGCTGAAAGTCAAGACAGGCGCGTCAGACGCCGCCGCCGCCACCACCGCACTCTCGACCGGCAACCCGGAAGCGTCTTCGTGGTTAGTAGCACGCGGCGTGCCGACGACGACAACGGAGTTAGCTGCAGGAGGGGGGAGGGGCGCGCTACCGCTACCGCCCGCCGAGGAAGTGCAACCACCACCGAATCCGCCGCCGTCGCTACTTACGTCGCCGCCGCCTTGCATTGCTGCGTCACTCCCACCTTCCGTAGACTCCCGCACTTCGTCCGTGGCGCTTCCGTTTGCCCAAATCTTCTCGTCGTTTGCCGTCGTTCTTGCTGCGTCGTCGCCGCGCGCCCCTCCCCCGGGCGACGCCACGTTCCAGATGTCCGCGGAGGCGCCCAGGCTCCGCGGCTCGCCGTTGCTGCTCGCACTGAGGCTCACGTCGACATCGTCGATGACGGTGATGCGGAACATCTCTGCCACCTTCTCGGGTCCTTCGCGGAGCAGATCCTCCACCGACGCGCTCTTCTTGAACCCAAGTGATCCAAGCTCGCGCGACGAATCCAACGATTCATTTCCTAAGCTGTCGTGTCGCTGCACAGAGTCCGTTCCGCGTGCACTTTCCGCAGACGAACCCGCGGAAGACTCTGCCGCAAGGATAGCGTCTAAGTCGCGGATCGCCTCCGAGATGTGGAACGACGTGAGGTCCTCTTCTTCCTCCGTCGCCGCGGAGCTTCGTCTCAAGTCCTCGGCGCTTCCGTGGAGATTCTGGAGGCTCGCGGAAGGAGCGGACGCCACGAAGTCGCTCTCGAAGCCGAGGTGGGAGAGATGGAGCGCGGCGGGGTGGTCCGGCGCCAGGTTGTGCTCGCGGACCGAGTCCGGCCGGAGCGCGTTCCAACGAGACTCGAAGTCTCGAGACACGGCAACGCCCACCTTCTGCTCGTGGAGGTGGGCGAGGAGGTCGCGGAGGTCGTGCATCGAGGGTCGCTCCGACGCCGCCTCGTTCCAGCACCAGGTGGCCACCCGATAGCTGCGACAGGAGCCGAGAGAACACCCGGTGAGTCTCGACTCACAACTCCGAGCGGACGGTTGTTGCCGCCGCGGTGTTGCGTCTCCAACTGGTGCGTTTATCGCGTCCTAAAATGTGATCCCTCGATTCGCGCCCCATCACGTCGTAGACGCATCGCGTATCTGCCTGATGCGACTCTACCAGTGTCACAGCAACGAGGTGTTGTCGGTGCCAGCGCTTCTACAACCAACCGCCAGGATGGCAACAGCACGACGCGCCGGCTCCTAGGATGCCACTTGTTGCCACTATGGGACCATTTTCGACGCGATACAGGATGCTAGACGCACCGGTTGGAGACGCGTGCCCCGTAGTGGCGTGCCCTGAGCGACTCACATGCGGTCTGCGTGCGTGCCCCCTGCCTTGGGCCTCTGCAGGATGAGGTCCCTCCTTGTCACCACCCTCCTGAGGACCTCCTCGTCTCCCAGCGTCTCGTAGGGCAGGGCCCCCAGGGACAGCAGCTCCCAGAGGAGCACGCCGTAGCTCCTGCAACGGGGACTCGGTTCGGGAACTGGACAAGCTGCCCTCGACCGCGAGCGTAGCTCTAACTTACCACGCCCTTTCAATTCGTTAGTTTACATCACTCGTTTGGCAAGCACGTCCCACGAGAGTGACACGTTGTTGCGTGCGAGGCAAAAGAGAACCGAGGAAGAGAGCGGCAGAAAACCGTCTGCAAACTGAGCGTACCAAGATCACACACTTGGCTGAGACGACATTTAGTCGCTGACACGTCTGCCGGTCACACCCACCAACAGTGTTTTCGAACCTCCAGAAGCGTGTCTTTTAGTTGTGGCAGTTCTCAAGTTTTACCGTGCTTGCATGATTATAACGCGCAAGTATATTTAGCGCTCAAATGCTCGGAAAATAACTCGACGCCGATTGTACCGCGCAGGTAAACAAAGGAAGGCTGGACGCATACCTTATAGAACAGATTTTATGAAACGCGCACCAATACAAAAATAAATACCGTGCAATAGTCGCCGTTGTGCGAGTCCAACAATAGTTCTTCGCTGGCCACGAAGGTACTTATCCTTGCTTTCGTCCAAAGCGTTTTAGGTGCCGCACTTCGTGCCCCTGTACAAGTGCGCGACCGTCGCCTCTGGGAGGGTCTTTTCCAAACAACTTTGCGAGCTCGTCGAGTCGCTGGGATTGCGAGGCCACCGCAGTGCTGCTCCGTTATCTTTTCTCACCAGCATGATGGCTTTTCGTTCATGTAATGCCTCCGAGTCTAATTTCTTTCCCTTTTCAATCTTAAGACGGTAGACACAAGTTCATAGACGTAAGGAGAATGCGCGTGGTACGGATGCCAAATTGGCGAATGGAAGCGAGCAATCACGATGGTGATGGGGCTAACCACCTTATACCGAGTATATTGCGTATTTCTTTTTGAGTTTTGGTTTCGATTGTAACGCGCGTGTATTTTGGGGCACCAATTTTGGAGAAAAAGTGTGCGTTACAACCTTGCAAACACGGTATATTGCCGCATCCGTGGCAGAGTTGGCGATGTATGTGGTTGCCACCTGGAGGAACGGGGTTCGAGCGGGCTGCTTCAGGACAGTTGCCCTTCCGTCGCCGAAAGCGGGAGGATCAATGCCACCTGTTTTAGTTACAGACACAAGTTCGCTTCATCGAGCATTAATTTTAGCTCCTACATCCGTCTACCTTTTTTCATCCGTGACAGTATGGCTAACGGGTGAATTGGTAGCGGTAGCCAAGAAAGCGAGCGAATCTTTAAAACAAAATTTGCCAATTGATCTGCTAGGTTCTTCTTAACCCATACATGCCTGCACTTTGAGACAAATTGCACATTGCACTTGCCAATTACTACTTTTTTTTTTTTTTTTTAGGACAAAAAAGTGATGAGATTTTTATGGTTTCCACAAAGCCAAATGTACTACAAACTCACCACAAACACAACCAACCAGTGAAGATAGTACCGGCAGAGTTCTCAACGAACGTCTCTGATCTGCGTCATACAGTCGCCGACCGTTTTTTCGGACTTGTTCGATATTTCGGACCTAAAGGCGGAACCGTGACTTACCCCATACAAATAGTGTATATTCACGACCAATGTTTCGGACAGCTTGAAGTCCGAAAGTTAGATTATTCGGACAAAATCTTCGCGAGCAATCAGCGGAAAACACCATTGAGAAGCGGCCATTTTGAATTCTATGTTGGTTGCAAATGGATTGGCTTGGTTTGGCAGCGCTACTTGAGCACTCCTGAGTCCTACCGCTAGGCGACGCTATGGTAGCCCCTTTTTTCCCATTTAGCTGCACGTCATCATCATTATCATTTTGCTTTGTTTTACGTTCCTTCGCGTCGCCAGTCGCCATTTTGCGCTCGTGGATTCGTACCTCTGATCTCGTTCGGACAACGCTGGCTTGGACATCATGGCCCCATCTGTTATTCTGCCGCCGCGATGTGTCGTTAAGAAGCGCAGAAAGTACTCGACCATAACGCTGGAAAAGAAGGCAGCGATTCTCAAGCTAACAGAAAGTTGCCGAACGCAAACGGAGGCGTAACCTAAAACAAGGCAGGCAGGCGTAACCTGAAGCAAGGCACTATTTACGGCTTTTTTAAGCCCACTTGGAAGTAATAAAGGCAAGTTTTTCAATCTGCTGATTTTTCGGACTGCTCTATTATTCGGACGTTTTTTCGGTCCCTGCGAAATCCGAATAATTGGACGGCAACTGTATCCCACACACCGATCACGGTAATAACAATCTTTTCATGTCACCAGGGAAAATGTGTAGCTGTACAGAGCAAAGCAACACGGTCGCGATTCCTGCCGGAAAGACTCACCAGACGTTGGCCTCTCTGGTGAGCTCCTTCGCCTCCAGGGCAATGTCGGTGCAGTGGAGCGACTCTGGGGCGCTCCACCGGATCGGCACTGCCACATCGCCCACCGCGTAGTAGTCGTCCTGCGCAATTGGCGCAAAAACACATCAACCACGAAACCAAAGCGGGAGTTTTTTCAAGACCACATCCGCTTTCAACAAAACAACACAATCTCACTACTCCAGAGTCAGTTCTCAAAAATTCCAGCTTTGTTACACGGGAGCTGAAGAGGTTCTTGAAAAAAAAGATATTGAGTTGGAGATGAAGTGTGGCATATCTTTGTCCCGTGAAGTTGAATGTCACAAACCATTTGACTTGACCGTATCACTAGACGCGAGAAAACCTAAAAAGCAACCACTGGGTGTAACGTTGCACCCAGAGGTTTTCATCCGCCTTACGCGTGCCGCTTGTGAGGGAATACGTGCAGAGTTTCTGACTGCTTGGGCAAGGCTTGCGGAAGGCGCGGAAATGTTGAGTTCTCTGTACAATACCTCACCATTCCCTTTTCCCATCAAACACGCTAAGAAGGAGGGGCTTCAGCACCATTTTAAAAGCGCCGTTGTGGCTACATGGAGTATCGATCTGAAATATAATTTTGATATTCGTGATGATGAGGGCCAAATCAAGGCGATTTAAGTGCTTTTTCTCAAATACAAAACCCCTTCAATTTCCCTCCAAGATTTAGTGCAGTGAATGACAATCCATGCAATTTGTCCCCTTTACTACCCGTCAACATCTAAAGGTCGCGAGAGGCTTAAAAAACAGTCTTGTCTCAGTCGGCCGTAGTCAAAAGCAAGTGTGTGAACGGGCCTTGATAGGTTTCGAAATTAGGCAACATTTAGAAACCAAGCAAGTCTCGAAACGATGGGGTCACTTTTTAACGCAATAGCGTTAAGGAGCTAGTGTCGCAGGAAAGCCGGCGTCGGCGATACAAGAAAATCCTGATTGGTTGATAGGGTCATGACGTCACAGCCACATGACCTCTTGCGGGAATTTCAAACGACCCATAACACTCGCGTGAAACCTGACATGCCGCGTAGAATGAAAGTGATTAAAACATGACATGTAATGCGAATGAAAGGACGCTGCGTGCCTCCAATGATTTCACTTTATAAAGTAATTCATTTGCCCTAAAGAAAAAAAATTAAGATTTTTAGGTGGGATTCGAATTCATGATCTTTCGGTTGTGAGCCAGACATGCGGACACGCTTGCACGGCTTGGGAACAAGCGGGAGTTTATGTGTTTAGCTATTGTGTTCCACTATTAAAGGCGAAGCTTGAGCGTCCTCCTGTATGTTTTATGGCTTTGGTTGGTGTATTTATTTTTTATTACTGTCAAGAAACTGAGGAAGAGGAGAATACATAGTGCACGGGGACATTAGAATGCCTAGCTCAGGTTGGCATAATTAGTGGGTAGAGCTAAATCCAGCTGCCTTTATCTCCACTGCACTCGTCAAACGCATTTGAATGCCACAGCCAAACACTAGACGCCGGCGTTCCGCGTTCTAACAAATTCGATGAATGCCAAATGCCGGTATTCCGCGTTCTAATGCATTCGACAAGAGCAGCGGAGACAAAGGCTACCTTTGTCTCCATTGCATTCATCAAACGCATTCGAATGTGAAAGCCCAACACCGGGCGTCTGCGTTCCAACGCCTTCTCTCTCTCAGTTTTCCGTAGTTCCATCCAGCCACACAGATTTCTGTCCAAGATGTCTACGTTCCAGGCTAACAGGCTTTTCCCATTATCTGCTGACTACATTCACTTTGAGCTGTAGCATAATAGTGTTTCATTCTGCTTTCACAAACTAGTTTTCATTGGAAAACTCAAGCCGACATATATTAGCTATATTTTCTCATTCTGGTACGTGCATTTAAAAAGCTACAAGCAAATAGAGGCCACTACAACTGAGCACATAGAAGTAATGTTGCCACTAGCTTTTTACAGCAGAATGCCTGTAGAGTACTTAAAGGTCTTGCCAATCAATCAATCTATGCAAGTATCTTCCCCACACCTGCAGCAAAACTAGAAGCATTTTTCTCTAGAATAGCCATTTCAAAATTCGTGCCATCTGGCGGATGAAAAAGCAGTTTCACTTTCGACACTAATGGCTGTCGTGAAACTATTTCGTCGGGCACCATCAATTCCGCACAAAAATGACAGATGAGAATTGGTTCTTCGATCACTTCATCGTCTCTTGATTTGCTTCAGATCCTATGGTGCGAACATAAAAACTTCAGTACAAAGCAGCGACCCCTAAGCCCCTCAATTAAATTTCTGCCATCAAAAGGCTTTACAGACAAACTTGTGGCGAGAGATTAATTGGACCACACGCAGAAATAAATGCTTCCGCCCCTCCGCTTGGTAATGTCTTCAACACCTTCCTTCATCAACCTCAAAAAGACTACCATTAGTATGGCACAGATACCATTCACCGAGATGATAGTGATCAAAGTTGACAAGCTGAATTTCGAAAAGGGTTTATTTGAAACGCACCGAGCGGCCCGCGTTGCGATCGTAAAGGAAAAGCCAGTCCATCGATCCAGAGTCACCAAACGACCTGCTCACCTTGTACGCCTGGATGGCGGTGCCATAGTCGCCGACCTTCACCGTCCCTTCCCTCGACAGCACGCAGTTCCGGGCGGCGAGATCACTGGTGACAAGAGACGCAGGGGTTGTAACCTCCAGCTCACGATACACTCTCAATTTGGTTCCACGTGCGTTCCAGTTAAATTGACGTTCCATATATTCTACCTGTAGCAAATAAAATTTTTATGTGAATCGGGAATTACACGAGAAACGCCGGTTGTCCCCGCTTAATGTTTTTTTTTTTTAGATCTGAAACAGATACTAGGTGCTATGCCAACCACCGTTCCACTTAAGTGCCAATCTGGTCCAGATAAAGCTTCCCGTAAGTGCTTTTTTGTACATTTACATTTACACTTGCCAATTTTCTAGAACACTGCTCTGTATATGCTACAAAGTATTCACAATCACATAAAACACTGCTCTGTATAAAATATGAAGTATGTGGAACATGGTTCCCCCTGGTTACGTGGAACTTTTTTGCAAAGAAGTTTCGGTTATAAACGAAACCTAAGTGGATCAAGATTAAGAGTGTAGCGCAGGTCTCACCAAAACTTTGCAACTATACCGTGGGTTTACATGCGCCAATTTAGAAGACCGGACTGCACTGCTTCGTGAACGGAAATGCCCGATGCTCACCAAAGAAGGCAACTACGGAAAACAATCCAAGTTGTATGGCGCCTGTCTGTCCCGTGAGAGCTGACATGCGCTTAAAAACATTTGTACATTTCAATTTGCACACTCTAATCTGCTACTCCTGGCTTCAAAGATCCAGGAACAATTGACAGCAAAGAGCACTAAAGCGGGGCAAGTAGTCTCCGAGGCATCACCACCAATGCAAGCCATCTATGTGTAGCAAAGAGAACAGTTCAAGATGCTTTCAATAGACTGGTTTTCCTTCGAAACTTGCAGTAAGTCCTTCCTGCCGTCAAGCCACAACTCAGAAGGTTAACATTCACCTAAATACTTGCAAGTAAAAAAAATAAATACATAAAACAATGGGACAACGCTGTGCTCACACGTGGACGAAGTTGTTCTTGTGCATGTGGTCGAGGCCCGACGCAATGCCACACGCAAACTGCAGAGGCGTGCCACTTTGCAGAAAAGCCTCCGGCTCTTCCCGTTTCTGCAGCAAATACGCCTTCAGATCCTGCAACAAATAAAAGAAACATGGCATTAACAAAACCACCACACAAAAAAGACAATACAAGAAACACAGGGGCACACACACAAATCTAAAATTGATCTACCTGAACCTCCTGCACCAGCTGCACTTGGTGCACACCGCCATATTCGATTTACGAGTGCATCCCATCTCAAAACGAAACCGAAAGTACATTGCCCTGCACTTTCCTGCACCGTGCTACACTTTTCTGCACCGGTGCAGGTAAACTGAATGAGCCAACCGAGGTAAAATAATGCAAACACATCCTTGTGTTTGTGCTATTTTATTTCAGTGCGTACAGTGATTACCAGCTAGCCCAGCTGTCGACCTTATTATATTTCACCCGTAGGCTCAACCGGGAGTGAAGTGCACTCGCCAAAGTGATAGCCACCAGTTTGTTGGAAATGGTACTTATAACCGTGGACAAATGCTGACACAGCAGATTCTCTCTGGTTGTAGTGATTCGGATCAAAAGGGAGGATCCACACTCACCATAGAAGAGTCCTCCAGGATCAGCAAGAAAGGGTCCGACTCGAGGCAGCGGCCCAGAAGCCTCAGGATGTTTGGGTGGTAAAGGACCCTGGAAACACGTCGACTATGTCACACATCTACCATTTTGATGTTCTCACTTGAAAAGCGGGAGGATTTATAAGAAGAAAGAGAATAATGAAGTAGAGGAAAGCAACAACAGAAAGCTGTTCACCTACGACTACAGGCACTGCTGCATAGGCAGGGGACAAATTAAAGAGAAAAAAAAAGAAGAGGGGCACCTTGGTAGCAGACAACCATTGCTAGACAATGAGGTAGGAGATGACTAGTAAAAAACAAAGCCGCACACAGGTAGCAGACGACCGTCAGCAGACAACGAAGAGTATGCCAGTGGCAGACGACCATCAGCCAACAACCAATAGCACACCAGAAGCAGATCACGTGGTCGTTAGCCGACAAACAACGGCATATTAATAGCAGGTGGTCGTCAAAACATGAAGCGCTACACGTTCGGTAAGTAACCAGTCTGCTTCCATGCCATTAATAGCATGGAAGCAGGCATGTAACAGACGGCCATTAGCAGACTACAAAGGAGCAGAGAGGCAGCAGACGATCCTCAAAAGCAGCAGACAGCATCCACTGCCCTCAGACAAGCAGAAAACGCCAGCGCAAAAGAGCAAGCCCCTTTGCCCCAATCTGCACCCCTCGTTCAAGAGTTCACCGGGACCCGTGGTTGGTGGGTGCGGCTACCTGAGGGGCTGAACCTCGTGCAGGAAGCAGAGATGCTCCGTGGGCGTGGTGTCCGACCGGAGTATCTTGACCACCACCCGCGTCGTGGTCGCCACGGGGCCGCTGCCGTTGGCCACTGCGCCACCCGGTCTCCTGTGGCCCAGGTTCTGCGCCTCGCCCCTGACCGCCTGGCCGAACCAGCCGACCCCAAGCTCCTGCAGGTACTGCAGCTGCTGGCGGGGGAAGTTCGCCTGGGGGTCGTCTGCGCCCGGCGAGACGGAGAAACCGTCTGTCGGCTTCGCATTTCTCACGTGCCTTTTTGAGCGCGTGCATTTGAGTAAGTTTTGTATTTTGTACCTAAAAATGTGTCTACATAGATGTCAAGCATATCCTAACGTTGTACAACATTGCTCCCTGTAATGGCCCACGAGGTGAGAGAATAGAGAAATAAACGTATAAAGAGTTACGCACGTCTCTTTCGAAAGATCCAGTATATATATATATATATATATATGTGTATTGTTAAAGGACACATGCAAAGAAAAAAAACATTTTTTTAAACAGCTTAGATGGAAAAAGGATATCATAAAACAATTTTACAACCAAGAAAAAAAAATTTTGGAGCCATATTTATGGCGCTATACGAATTTGCAGTTGGCGCCCGCGGGTGCCGCGGAAAAGTGGTCTTTATTTGTCACGTGACTGGTCCATATTTGCCACGTGCTGCTTGCGCTCTTTCAGAAGCTCCCTGTGGCCTCTAAAAGTAACTTATTGATCTTTGTTTGAAGTATAACAAAAAACTAAGATGAATAAGTAACTTTTAGAGTCCAAAGGAAACTCCTGAAAAAGCGCAAGCAGACGTGATAGACCTGTGCGCCGGTCAGACGACGGCGGCGGCGACGGCGGCGTGGAAAAACGCGTCGAAGCGGCGTTCGCACAACGCTCAGCGTGCGGCGGCGACGCAGCGCGGCGGCGCGCGGGCCTACCACGTGATTAGCGGCGGCTCCCGCGAGCGCCAACTACAAATTCGTAGAGCGCCGAAAATATAGCTCTAAAATTTATTTTTTTCTTGGTTGTAAAATTGTTTTATGATATCCTTTTTCCATCTAAGCTGTTTAAAAAAATGTTTTTAAACAGCTTCTGTCCACGTTTAAAATGCGACAACCTGACACTGTTGTACTCTATCTTTTTTTAGTGTTAACAGATATTCTAATGTTTTGTGCTCCCTTACGTAAAGCCCCGTGCGGGCGATCTAAGGGCAGAATGAAATGAAAATATCTAATTTCAAATAAGACCGCTGGGGACGCCACTTACCGAACCAGTCGTGGACAGAAGCGGGCCCCTTGCCCAGCTCCCCCGAGAAGTGGGCGGGCCGAAAGACCGTGGGGCGCTTGGAAGGAGAGCTCGACGCCCGGGGGAAGATCTTGGGCAGGGGCTCAAAGCTCACCTGCAAAGAAAAAGGTCGCCCAGACTGCCCTCAGTGTCCTCGACAGACACTAAACCCTCCTTTTCTTATTTTTCTAAAAATTATTTTGGGTTTAAGCTCTAGAGTGAAACCTTAAGGCACCCCAAATTAATGTTTTTTGGCGGATTTTCCCAGAAAGAAACCGAATACCCTAAAAGCAGTGGTTTTTTTTTGTTTTTTTTTAATTTTCTGCATAGCCTTTTTTTCAGTCTTCCTTGAAATCAATGCCCTGTCGGCGTTTAGGCTGTCACTGATGCTGCATCAAACATACAGCGGGAAAAACGCTAGCTTTTAACACCTCATCCATCCACAGGCCGCAGTAGACTCGCAATAATTCTAACTGATAATTCATACGTCCGTTTAATTCAAATTTTTTTTTAAAACTTTGGTTGTCCCATTATTTTTTTAACATACTTTTCCATGTATTTATAAGCTGCTTAATTCGAACGGCGTTTCCGTATAATTATTATTTTTTGTTCTCGCGGCCCCCCAATCAGCACACTTCTTTCCGAGCACTGGCGCGCTGCGGAGAAGCAACACCTGCGGAGCTCGGTTCTGCGGATGTTGCTTTTCCACAGTGCACCGGTGCTGATTAAGAAGCGCGCTCAACGGGGCTGATGGTCCCCAATAGACAACTTCTTTGCTGAATGAACAAACTTAATTTTGTTTCGAGGTGTCACGTGCTGTCTAAACAGTCCACGAGAAACAACTTTTTTGTGGGATGAATAAACTTATCCAATATTTCATTGCTTATGATTAGTAGACCTGTGTAGGGGAAGCAATCATACATCTGCTATGTATATGTAATCATCCATATAGAATAATTTTATCTTGCATCATATGTAGATGAATTTCCGATAATTCAAACGAAACCTGTGGCTTCCTAGAGTTTAAATCAATAAGTCTACTGTACTACTATCTGGAACTCCCTCCCCGAGGAAACAGCACTGATTTCGGACCAATCCATTTTCCGCCAGTCAGTCACCAGTCCTACCAGGTTGTCAGTCTACTTTGTTTCTATTTGTTGCTTTTTAAGTGTGTTTTTAAGTGTTGTATTGACATCCCCCCTTCTGTAACGACCCATCGGACCCTTAATAAGAAATAAATAAAATTATACGAAGGTTACGTTTCGTGGATTCTGTTATTTTTTTCTTAATGAAGATGCGCCTCAAACAGTAACTTCTCATATACAGTAATCCCCTGTTAACTCAAACTAGGCTATCTCGAAATATCAGTTAAGTGGAAAGATTTTCTTGTCATGAATTGAACTACCATAGGCACAATGCATTTACTCGTCGCCTATTGAATACTTTTCAGGACGGACCTCGGATATCTTGAATTCTTGACATTACCTAAAAAAAAAAAAGAGGCAGGGCACAGCAAACAGTGCAATGGCGGCCTAAACAATGGTTGAGAAAAAAACAGCAATCCAAAAACAAACCCACACAAAATAAGAAAAGATTGTGCATTATCTTGCATGTACGACGACGTGCAAAAAATAAAATAAAAAAGTCCCATTGCCTCACGAGTGTGGCAATACAGTGTACACCTAAAAAATGTTTGTTGTCATTCTTTTCTTTTATTTGGATAGTTTAGTGGTCAATGCCACTGTTTCTCTTTCTCTCGCATTCCCACTTTTGTCTTTCTATTTTTATAATTTTTTTTTAAAAGAAGGGGGGTCTTTTTTTTTTTTGCATTCTTGCTTTTTGGTCTCGCTGTTTCATCTCATGAGTGTTGCTTGTTAATAATTTTCGTTGCAGTCATTTTGTTCTCTCCATGGCATTGCGCACTGTGTTAGCATCAAGTCAACTGTTAAAAGGGTTCCATTCGCACAATGCAAGATCCGTACAACAAAAATTTAGTACCTCGCTTATCTCAAATTTTTTTTCTAGTTTTTAGGACTTCGAGTTATTGAGGGTTCACTGTACACATAGGGTTCTTCGTTTTCGGGTAAAACCCAATATTACCCGATTTTTGCACCCCAAACAGTTTTATGAAAATCGGGATAAACCCGATTTCTCCCCGAATACCGGTCTTGAAATCAGCTGAATTTATGGAAAACAAGAACAATGGATCTGTTTCAGAACTGCTTCCTCGGTCACTCGTTTGATGGTAACAAACTTCTTTGATTCGTGTTACCACTGCATACATTCGCTTCAAAATGAGTCAGAAAGCGGAAATATACCTTAAGATCTAGCACCATTGCTATATCTTACACTTTGCTAACTTTTGTTTGTGTAAATAACACATTTCAGGTACTTGCCCTCCATAAATAAGACTCTAGAAAACCCAATTTCTTCATGACTTCAGAAAGACCTCATTTCTCCCCGATTACCAGCCTTAAAAATAGCGCCCAACTTTTACCCCCCCCCCCCCCCCCCCCCCAATTTTTGAAAAATATAAAACCCGAAAACGAAGTACCCTATATATACAGTGCAATCCACTAGTAACAATAATGAGAAAACCTGATATTAAATCGTTGTAACTGATTATTGTTGTATCTGGATGAAATTGAGCATTTCTAGTCCTAGAAACTCTAGAAGCTGATTGTTACAACCAGTACATCGTCATGTGTGGTATCGTTATACGTGGATTGCACTGTAGTACAAAGAATTTTTTCTCTGCAAACTGACCCTACTATAATGAACTTCCGCAGCACGATGGCCGACCCATCTTCAGCCGATCGACCCAACGCCCAATAAAATGGCCTTCTAGCCAACTCTTCACCAACGATGGACCGACGTCTATGTACGTCGGCCCAAAGCTTAGCCGACCGCCTTCCGATGTCGGACCGGCGCCTACCTTGTCCTCGAGGGAGGGCTGCGACGCGAAGGCCAGGTGGGAGGAGACAGCCGCAGGGGGAAAGATGGTCACCTCGTCCGCCGCCCCGAGCTGGCCCAGGTTGCCCAGCGGAAGGTGGGGCACGCTGATGCCGTTGCGGGTCCCAAGCAGCTGTCGGCAAATCAGGGACGAGCGTCAGCGAGTGTCTCATTGGTTGGTCCCCAATCGGGAAGGAGTGCAACAAAACTGGCGTACGAAGCGTGCTGAAATCGGTGTCTTTCGGTGCTCCATTGCTACTCGCTAGCAGCAAATGTCCCAGTTTAAAGCGCCTCGGACAGTCGTTCGAGGCAAAAAAACAAATGCTCGAAACTTGTTTCGATTCACCGCTTATTGAGCAATCAAGTTACCTAACTTTTCGTCAACCGTATATCACTCGTAGCAGGCACTCACTTTACTTCACCTGATCACGCACTAACTTGACCCACTACACAACTTATTACTTGCACAAACATTAATTCAATAAAAGTTGCTCCAAGTTGTTCTTTTTTTTTTACTTGCATAGTGCGAGAATGGAATGTGCTACCAGAAAATGTCTCACTCTACCCAGAGTTGATTTTGGCCTTGTGACTTGCCAGAAAATGCCACCTCTCTAATACTACATGCCTTAAAGGGAATTTAAAAGATTATAAAGCGCAAAGAAAACAAGGACAATAAAGACGCAAAAAAGCGACAGGACGGGCGCTATTGCGAGCCTTTAAAGGGGTTTGCTGAAGCAATTTTGCATTTGAGGAAACACACTTAAATCGTCTTCACTTGACCTCCAGGGTCTCAAATATCAAAATTATCTTTTTTAATTTGGTGCACGCAGGCTGCGGAAAATCATTTTCAAAGTACTGCCGAAGGCCCTCCTTCCCGGAGCGTGACGTCACAAAAGGAATTTCTGGAATCTCAGCTCCCCGCGCATCTTTGGCGTCTATCAAAGCTATGCATGCGCACTCTCGCCATTTTTAAAAGCGGCAGAAAAAGACGTCACGACTGGTGCCAGTGCGGGGGATTATACCTGGCAGGCTTGCAATTGCAGGAACCGCCCATATGAGCGACACATGCTTGGCGGCCGAAAGATCCTCTTATGACGTAACGACTGGTCGGTAGTGATGCAAAACTATCGATAAATTGACTATCGATACTATCGATAGTTTTTCCAAAACTATCGATAGTTTTTCGATAGTCGACTATCGATAGTAGTAGCGATAGTTTTTCGATATTCGACTATCGATAGTACTATCGATAGTTTTTCGATAGTCGACTATCGATAGTACTATCGATAGTTTTTCGATAGTCGACTATCGATAGTTTTTACTATACTGGCGGCTAACGATACTATCGATAGTGCTATCGATAGTCTTGCACCTCTATAGTCCGTTACAACTCAAGAAGGTAGGGCGAAGGTAAGACGGGCCGGCGAGGAGGAAGCAGACGGAACGCTTTAGAGAGAAGGAGGTTTCACCCTTCCCTCTCCAGCGTTCCGTCTGCTTTGTCCTCCCCAGCCCGCCTTACCCTCGCCCTACCGCTCGCCTCCCCCTTCTCTCCTCGCCCATACTCCCGTCTTCGTCATCACTGAAAGCTGAACGAAAGTTGGGATGGTAAGTGCCTGGCCTAATTGGTGTCCCATTTGAAAAAAAAAAAAAATAATAAATAAAGCGATAAAAAAAGAAGAGGGAGCGACGGAAACTACTAGTGTCTCAAAACTATCGATAGTAAATCGTCGACAGTACCATCAATAGGTTTACGATAGTCAACTATCAATAGTTTTTTTTTATATTTGATTAACGATAGTTTTCCGATAGTCGACTATCGATTGTTTTTCGATAGTCGACTATCGATAGTACTATCGATAGTTTTTCGATAGTCCCTTCTCCCCCTTCTCCTCTCCTCGCCCAAACTCCCGTCTTCGTCATCACTGAAAGCTGAACGAAAGTTGGGATGGTAAGTGCCTGGCCTAATTGGTGTCCCATTTGAAAAAAAAAATGATAATAAATAAAGCGATAAAAAGAGAAGAGGGAGCGACGCAAACTACTAGTGTCGCAAAACTACGCAAAACTATCGGTAGTAAATCGTCGACAGTACCATCAATAGGTTTACGATAGTCGACTATCAATAGTTTTTTGATATTTGATTAACGATAGTTTTCCGATAGTCGACCATCGATAGTTTTTCGATAGTCGACTATCGATAGTTTTTCGATAGTCGACTATCGATAGTACTATCGATAGTTTTCCGATAGTCGACTATCGATAGTTTTTCGATAGTTTTCCGATAGTCGACTATCGATAGTTTTTCTATAGTCGACTATCGATAGTACTATCGATAGTTTTTTTGAGTATCGATAGTCAGATTTCTGGCGACTATCGATAGTACTATCGATAGTTTTGCACCACTACTGGTCGGAGGTTTTTCCTGTTTTCTCGTGTGTAGTTACGTCTTCGGGAAAAACAAATGTGACATTCAGATTTACAGGATAAAACTACGCTAGAATCAACCCCTATCTTATTTTCTGAAAGAAGTGTTTCAGCTCCCCTTTAAAGGGTAAATAAATGAAATGAAGTTGTTTTCGTCCTATCTATAGACAACATTGCTTTCATATGTGCCTATCAATATTTTTTATACTTTGGATGCTGCATTCATAATGGGTAGGCCTATCTATATTATTCATATTTTACAAACTAGTGTTTCTGCATTGTGCTTTGTTTCTCATTGCTATTTTGTTTGTTTTTTCCCTATTTCTTGCGTTTAAGAGAGTGCCTGAAACCTTCCATTCGAATCAAAGCCGTTGATTTGGACTGATTGTGTGCCATAAATAAATTTGAGCGAAGGACACCTCTAAATAATACTCTTTTCAACCTCTAATTGACTGCAGTGAATGCTAAGAGCCATTTGGAGCCAATCCAAGACCATGCGAGTGTCACATGGAGCGCAGCGATGCGCATTGTCATGGAATACGTTCGAAGCACTGAAATGGCTCAGATTGCTCGTAGCATCTGCTGCAGCCCATCGTAAGGCCAGACGATGTGTAGACTTTGTATGATAAATCTAGAATTCTGTTGCATGTGTTTATACAGCATAAAGTTAGTCTGCCTTAATAGGCGTCTGGCATCTCAGCTGTAGGTGAGCAAGTTAGCCAGTGCGGTACAACCGTTAGCCCGGGGGCTTTAACGTGCACCACGCATTAGTGATACACGACCGCAAGCCGGTGCAATGGTCATCCAGATCGAAATGGGCAGGAGCGGGGATTGAGCCCAGGATCCCCGACTTCTGCAGCGTGAGCTTTCGCTCCACTTGCTCCGAGCTGGTGTGCGCTAACCCACTCGGCCACCGATTCACCCCGATAAATATAAAGGAAAAGGTTTGCCGGCTTCCGGTGCCTTTTGGCTGCTTCAGAACAGTGAGGCAAAGGCAGACTAGTATATTCCCCCCACAGCAGCTAATGAGGCACATAGAGAGATCTCAGCAAAATTCACCTTGAGACTTTCGTTGCGGCAACAGATACAGCCGAGGGCTGCCAAGATGGCCGCCGTGAGAGCGAAGCAGACGGAGACTGCAATGACCCATGTCGAGGACAGGTTTCCCCACGACCCCGTTCCGCCATCCTCGCCACCTGGTTCGACGTAAGATGCAACACCGTAAGGTCCGACACATCAAAAACGGTAAAGAACCGTAACTTCAAAAGACGGACATACCTCCATTAACGGGAAGGCAGTGCACCAGCGACACCAAGGTTGCCGCCAGTGCCACCGACGGTGCAATGTGCGCTCCGAGAGTCATCCTCTTGTTACGAGGAACCTGCGATTTGAATGCAGCTCGACATTACCCTTAAATCTCTGGTGAGAGATATGCAGATATTATGAGTAGCTCAGCAGTTTGCAAAGGCACCGGAAATGTTGAGAAGAATGACTGCCTCATTAACGATATCCAATTTATCTACCTCAAACCAAGAACTTCCGCTGCAGAGTTGGTTCATTAATGGTGTGATCAAAAAGTAGCACAGTCATTATGTAAAGAGGAACAGACTTTTTCTTTACCTTTACCAGAAGCTCATCTTATCACTGCACAAACTTAGGAAAAAGAAAACTTGATAATAGACAAAACCTTGAGAATCAGTTACATTTTCATGCGTTTCTGAACAAGGGCCAACTATACTTGGGACAACTTTCTGTGGTCAATCGAAAAAAGTGAGAAGTGCTTTGATCTGGGCCCCTGACTGACTGCCCTGCCTCGAAAAGCTGTCCCCAAGCATAAGTAGCGAGGCATAGCACTCATTACAAGTTAGCGACACCGCTTTCAGAGACAAGCGGCCGTGCCAGACGAGCAAGAGACAAGGACACAGCTTTGGCGTTTCATCTGAGCGAGTGTTTTGCAATTGAAACACCAGCTGATTAACAAGCACTCGCTCTCTGAATGGCATCAAACAAAAATGCATCTGCACAAGTGCACATAACAAACAAACAAAGGACAAGCAACAAAACTACAGACAAGTTTCCGTCGTTAATTTACTGGGCATTGCTGTGACGTCATCTCGGCATGTTTAGAAAAATGTGCTGTCGTGAGCCGGAACTGATAAGCACAGCGAGGCAAAAATAAGCTGCACGAACTTGCAGTCATGACAGATTAGCTCTGGCTGCCCTTGTTACAGAAACATCTACCCAAAGAGATAAGTTTTGCTACGAGTACCTAAGTTGCACAACAATGCCGGTGGCCGAAAGTCCAAATGTCAGATGGCTTCAACTTTGTGACCACCGTAGAAAGTTGGATTTCTGTTGTTTCCATCATATCAGTCATATGTGTCGTGGTGCGCTAAAATGTTGGTGTGCCGTCAACAAAAGGTGTTGCTAGGGTAGTTTAAGATCAGATGAGCGCTGTTTCAGCTGTTTAGATCTCGACTTCGAGATAAGCTCGAGCGCGAGCTGGTGGCTCTGACAGATTCGTACCAGCGCGCGCTCGTACCTGTAGAGGAGTTCGCGCTCGCACCTTTCCGCAAAGTTCGGGTCAGGTATCGTACACACAGACGTGAGCACTTCGCTCGTCTTCGTAGGCGAGGAAGGCGATCGCGTCGCCGGTACCGGCCATGGACGCCGATAAAAATACGGATCTAGAATTTACAGCATTATTCTGATAACTGGGATCTACTTACGATGTGAGAAAACTCACCACGAATCAAGGAGAGACTTGTGGCTACACAGGCAACGACAAAGCGCCTCGATCGCGACAAGCACCACGACAAAGAACAGCATCAAGCAAAAAAAGTTACTCGTACGCAAGCCGAAGTCGTGTAATGTTCCGTGACTGGGACAAGTCATGCCGTTGGCATTTGGTCATCGTCGGAGTCGGGGGAAAGTGTGAGGTAACTTCTTTGCCTGTCACCCTTACGCCACCGACGGACCCAGAAAACCAAAGTTCTCGACGGAATGGACGAGGAAGTTAGGGCGATAGTAGCCGCTAAATTTAGAAGGGGCAAGAATGGTTACGAAAGAACTCCACAACCACTGGCGATACATACTCAAGGGCCTGGAAGGTTCACAGCACGGGTGCGTGCGTTGCCGTTTGCCCACCGTCTGTTAGGCTTAGGAACAATTTCCCAGTCATCCGATCGGGCCAAACGAGCCAGTGTAGCGTTTCACACTTCATTACGGCGGATTCATGGTCATACTATCGCGCACTCGGCAATAAATCGGCAGCGCAAACTCCCACGGCAAGATACGCCATTTTTTCCCCCTCCGACGGGCGACGCACTCAAATAAAAATGCATAAAAAAATGAACAAATGAATGGATAAATCGAGTCGACTCCGCCGTTTGAATCGGGCCGTGGCTTGCGCCATCTAGCCAAGATGTATAACAGAATTATTTGTTTACCTTTTCTTTTGGTGCTTCCTTTGTTCAGCATGCCGTAGCCTTTTTTCTATCCATCGCTGCAGATCTTCAGGAATGTAAAGCCTCCAAATCGATGAATGACAAATCTAGCCTCTATCTGACGAATAATGTTTTGTTTCTCTTTTCGGCCACCGCAAGATTCTGTTCTAAATTCAGTCAAGTCAATTCAATCACTACCATTCCTGTGATTCTCCAGGTTTATGGCAGTTGTAGGGGCCTCAAGGGATTCCGAAATCTAACCCCCCCCCCCCCCCCCCCCTTTCCTGGTCCCTGATCCATTTGACTTGACCTGGTCAAGTCAAATGGGCATTTGTGCCATACTAATGTGGGCCTTGTGGTAAAGTGTTGTGCGCAACGCTCATCTCCAACTGTTTGTCTTTATTTAGTGACTCTAGGTCTCACTACATACCTTTATAGGGAAATGGAGGACACTCTCCTCACTGCATTAGACAGAACGACGGCCGTGCCGGATCCTCCCCTGGTGGAGTGGTTTATTAGGCGATGCCCCTCTCTCTCTCTCCTTCCCCCCCCCCCCCCCCCCCCCCCTTTTCTTGCTGCCATAGGACGTGACCAGGCGATGCGTCCGAATGCAGTGCGGTTGACCGGGTTGCGGATCTGAAGACTGTACTGCTGCCGCCATCACGCGTGTGTCCGCGCTTCTTCGTTGTCGCCTTTTCCAAGTATTCCCGGAGGGTGTCCTGCATTTCCCTAGTAAAGTATTTCGCCCCTGCATCTTTGGTAAGGGCTGTCGTGAGCTCTGCCTCCGTTGCTCCGATTGGCTCGAGGGGTCTGCAGCGTCCGCTATTTATCAAGTTACGGCGAAACAAAATATAACGGGACAATCTCCCACAAAGTTGACTCACTTTAGCAGAGCAAATGCTGAAGATTAGGCAAGTGGAGGGGGCTAAATCCCAAATCATGGCAAACGGAGAGCAGCTTATTCTTGCAATAGTCCACGTTTGGTCAAAGGCTCCACTCAAGTCGTCCAGCTGTTTTTCTATCACCCTTTTCAAAAATCCATCGAGCAACATTGGCGGTGCTTGGACACGAAGCGCGTGATTGGATCACAGTCCTCGCCGAACGCTGACACAGCGCTCGTTTTCAATACATGCTCAAAGTATGTGAGCAAGCAACGGCGGGCGGGCATTGGCGCGGACTTTGGAAAAGGGTCTATTGAAACTGAAACGAACAAAGACCATGAAGAGGAATACACTCTTCTCAGACGTTCACATACAAAAGAGATGGTACTCCATAAAGTACCATGTTTTCATTACTAAAGTGCACTAAATTTTTCATAGACATCCTATGCATGTTCCCAACGCGACAACAGTCGTTCATCGCGTCGGCGCGAGAGGTGTTTGGGATATTCTGTACTGAAAGTAGCTGCAAACTAAGGCCCATTAGGTGATGTTTAATTGAAATATTGAATTATCAGTTGTCCCGCTTCTAAGGTGGAACAACTAACAACTACATATAAAGCAATGCACTCATTCCCAAGACGTGTAACGCAGCACAATATTAACAGTTTATTACAACATGTATGAGAATAGACGTGCCATATATTACACTTTTTTTAAAAAGTACAAAACGTGGACAATGCACAGCATTGAGTGTATCAGAAATTCAAAATTGTTGCTCCCTGTGGCCAACCTACCTCGTTTTCCCTCCCTCCCGTACTTCCTATACATCAAAGTTGGATCATTTCCTAATCTCGTTTTTAGCTAGTGCCGCCTCCATGTGCACTTGACTCGGAAGACCCTCTGGAACAATCTGCGGATTGGCGGCACTCTTGGACAGGTCGGCCACGACGTCCGCTTTTCTTTGGTCCACGACCGCTTGTGGAGCGACCGCTCCGTCCGCAGCTTCGGATTGGCCTTTCGGCTGCAATTTGGCTGCGCCTTCCCCAACGGCGGCGGCGGCGGGAATCAGGGGAACGGAGATCGGCGGTGCGTCTCTCTTGACGTCCATTGACATCTTCTCCGCCAGCGGTCTGTCGTCTGCTACGGCCGCCTGAGGCAATCCGTCCTGGGGCGACTTTTGCGCCGCCTGCAATGGCTGAATGGGAATGCTGGGCTTCTGCAACTTTTGCTGAAGTTTCTCCGCAACCTTGGGTATTTCCACCGCGGGACCAGCAAGTGGCACCTTCTTTGCAACTGGTTCTTCAATGTCCCCCCCGATTCTTAGGGAGATTAACATTCGAGAGGATAACTTTATCTGCGACTGGCTCCTGTGGCTTAAATACGTTGTATGGTTGCCGAGCTGAGTCAATGCCTCGTGGCTTGATTTCCTCAACGACGGGACGCACATCCTTCTGCTGGGCAGGTAAGGCTTGCTGTTGTTTTAACTGTTCGACATTCTGCTGGATAAGACGTGGGGCATTTTGCTGCGGCGGCTGTTTCACTAAGGGCTGAACCGGAGGCCGAACGTCCTGTCTCACCGGTTCCCGAACAGCATTCTGCTGAACCGGACGCTCCTGTCTCACTGGCTGTTGATTAGCATTTTGCTGAACCGGGGCCAGGACAGCCTGTGGTCCTAAACTGTCCTTCTGGACATGCTGCTGAAGATTCGAACCTTGCGCACTCGCTTCTGTCTGCTTCAAAGGCACTTCAGGCCTTTGAACGTCCGCCAAATCTGGCTTGGGAGCAGTCTTGTTGGCCTTCTCGGAGTCCGAGTCCTTGTGTTTTGCGATTTCTTGCTTGAGTTCACGTTGCAGGTCTTCTAGGATCTTCTTCTGGGCCTTCTGCTCTTCAGCGATCTTCTCCAGGAGCTGCTCTTGCTTCTTGGCTTCTGGCTCTTTTGGTGGCTGCGCATCGACTACGGTTTTCTTGCGCTTGGTGTCTTCTATCTCGCGGTCTTCCTTCCTCAGAGCCTCGGGGTCCAAGCCGCGGTCCTCTTTGACGACGGGCTCCTTGATGACGGGAGGTGTCACAGCTTTCTGCACCCGATTTAAATGGCGGAAAAAAGAAAATTAGGGCTGTGCGACTATTCAAATAGCAGTTTCAAATATTACGCTTTTTGAAGTGTTAGTTGCCCTGTTGATTGCGCTTCTCACCAAGCACCGGTGCATTGCAGAAAAGAAACACCCGCAAAGCTCGCACCTGCAGGTGTTGCTTCTCTGCAGTGCACCGGTGCTTGATAAGAAGTGCACTCAACGGGATAACTGGTAAGAAGTGCACTCAACGGGATAACTTGCTGCAATTAACACTTCGAAAAGCACAAATACTGCAGCCGCGTGCTCGGGAGGAAGTGCACTTCCAAAGCGTGATGGTGCATGCACGTGTCTCGTGTATTTAAAGAGAAGCAAAAACTCTGCAGATGTTGATATCCACATAGCAATAAAATTTTCAAAATTAAACTGGCTACATTATACACAACTACATGTTAGGCAGAGATGCCCTGACAACCTGCGTTAACCATTCGTGATTGAAGAAAATATATTTGCATACAGCAAGAATATCTATAGATCCCCTCGATTAGGCCTAACTTGGTTAATTTTACGTGAAATACGTCATTTACTTGCTATCCCAATGTGAACATTGGACTTTCTTAGATCTCCGTTAATAAATATAGTTATTTATAATAATTGGCTTAGATAATGGACAAGAGAGCTTGGAAACAACCTTTACGGAGTTCAGCTGGATTGCCGTTTGAGAATGGTGAAGCAGTGAAGGTTCAGAAAAACTACTCAATATTTGATTAGAAAATATTCGGACAAAACCACAATTTGCTTTGAATTCAAAGTCTGCTATTGGCGCATGACTAAAGGAAATACAACTATCGTTATCATCGTGTTGCAACAGAGGTAACCAGTAAATATGCAACTTCTTTAAAAAAGCAAGGATTTTCAGCTTTTCTTTTATGTTTCCTAGAATTCACAATTAGTAACGTTACTCTTGTTCATTAGAATTCCCCGACAATTCCCTTACACTTTCCCATGGGTCCAAGAAAATTGGTTAATTCGCAGTGACACGATTTGTGCTATGTGCCATAAATGTCCTGACAATTCCATACACTTTTTCACGAATTCCCTACATTTTTTTCTGTTTATCTACCCCCCTCTTTCTAGGTTCCTGAATTTTTGTCACTTCCTCGTTTTTTCCAGGTTCCTTAAACTCCCCCCCCCCCCCCCCCCTAATGATTCCCTACACTCCTCATCAATTCCTCAACGTTCTCTGACAATTTCTTGACTTTCCACATGTTCTCTCAAATTTCCTGTTGACTCCCAACACTCTCTCAGGTTTCCTTAGACTGGCAATTTGACACTTCCCGACACTTCCAGGTCCTCCCTAATTCCAGTTGCCCCGACAGAAGTCTGGCAGTCACGTGAGCATAAACACTCACCACGGCGACATTATTTTGCGGCTCCTGCGGTTCGGGTGGCTCGATCCGCCTCTGCGCTTCTGCGAGAAAATGAGTAGGGCATGTAACGATACATTGACTCAAATGTGGCACTTTTTGTGAACATCCAAGCTACTCCCTAAAATCCCGTAAGAACGGTCACCCAACACAAAAAAATAAATGATAAAAATACGGGGCAAGGGATCTTTAGGGACGAGACATCAAAATTGTATCCAAAAAGCATAAATAAACACAGAAGCACTCCCTCCGAACCATGCGACACGGTAACGGATAGTGAGGGTTGCGTTCACGGTAAATTTGCTTTCCGCTGTGCAACGAACATGCGGAAACCCGCTATGAACACGCTGGTCCAACGTACCGGTACAGCAGACCGCGCGGGTGATACAATTCCCGTAGGACATTGCGTGACGTGCGATGGAAATTGGGGGGTGGGTGACATTTCGGAATTTTTATGTTATAGATATTTAGCCAGAAAAACGGGACAGGCGATCTCCCGGGGAGAGGATTCCTACGGGATTTTATGGCAGTACGATGCAGGCTGAGCAAAGCAGGGCAAGCTCTTCCCACTAAGCTTTCTACACTAACAAAGTGAACCCTAGAGAGGAGGCAAGTTCCTCAACCTGCAACAGACTATAGGTAGCCGTAGCAATAGTAGCACTGCCCAATTGCTTACATTCGAAGGGAAGCTAAGGTGGGTTGGCACATTGAAGGAAGTGGGCGACTGTAGTATCACGGACCTCGAAAGATTTTCTGACATTTAAAGGGGTCATCGAACAATTTCCTGACTTTGAGTTAATCTCTACCACTTCTCGGAAAACCAGTTTTGCGTGCATGCGCTAGAGCAGTGGTTCTCGAATGGGGGTCCGCGAACCCTTTGGGATCCGCAAAGGCATTCTAGGAGTCTGCGAAGCTTTGCCTCATCAGTCAAGCCCGGCAATAAAAGTTGTCTTTTTTTTTTTTTTTTCAAATTGAGAAGAAACGTTGAAATTTTCGGGCATGTTTTCTTGCGTGTATGTCACTGAGAGGAGTCTACTTCACACAAGCCCTTAGCTATATCCATTTATTAAATCATTATCGTAATTAACCTATGCCTTTTCCCTTCCCTCGCCATGAACGGCGTTCTCCATCATCTCCGCCGATCCACGAGAAGTCTGCGAAACATTGATGGTTGAAAACCGCTGCGCTAGGGGAAACAAACTCTTAGCAAGTTCTACGCGCAGTGACATACTAGTCAAACAGTATAGACCGACACGCGGCCCTGACGTCACGCAGCTGCAGTGGCGCTGTCGACGGCACTGCGCGTGCGCAGACGCTTCACTCCTCCCGAGTTCGGTTTGTGCGCACGCGCAGTGCCCACACCTGGTGTGGGCAAACGCGGGCTTGTTTGTAAACAGAGTGTCGGTCTATATGTAGAGCTTCTCGTTGTGCCCCGTCTTTAGCGCCCCCAAAGAGCGTAATGTTATACTGAAAATTCATTCCCCGAGTGCCCACAAACTCCTCTTCGTTTTCCGAATGCTGGCGCTGCCAAGGATTGGACCACTTTTCATGTTTTGAACCGAAGACGTCGGACCGTCGCAGCCAATCGGCATTGCCGTTGTTTGTGGTGAGCGGTCCAACTCGGACAAACGAGAAAACGTGAGCGTAAGCACGAGCTGTCATCCGCCGACTATGAAATCAGTGAAGAGGCTACGATTTCGTCAACTTCTTCAGGATGGTGCCACTGCAGCTCCACCCAGTAAACTTTTGGCGACGAAGCGAGCCTTTTGACTCGCTTCATTAATCTCTTCATTTAAATGAAGAGATTAATAAAACATGGCCTTACGATGGGCAGATAATTGCGCAACTCGCTAATTCGCCGCAACACGAGTATGTCGCGCCTCGCCGCCGCAACTTCCATGGCCACCATACGCAGCTGCAGGTTGGGAACCGGTCCGTTCTTAGCTTCGCAATGACGTGGCGGAATCGCGCCATTCTGGGTCAAGGCAACGCGTTTCCTCTCACTCGTGCCAAGGTTAAGCACAAAAAAGTAACAAGCTGCAAATTCTTTTGCCATTAAAGTTGTTTCATGGCCTTTTTGACGCGCAGATTCGCAAGAAAGCCCATCTTTGAAATAGCGTCAAAACGAAAGCAGATGTCCTCCCCGGTGCAGTGCTTGCCAGACCCAGCGAGTAATCACGCGATTGGTCGAACCCACCGCTCAGTCAACGAATAAATGACTAGGAACCGTCCAAAATAATTATGGACAACAAAAATCTGAATAAAGTAAAGTATTATACGACGAATTCAGTGGTTCCTCACCGGGTGGCACCTTTGGCACTATCGCAGTGACCACGGGTGCCGGCTTCACCTCTGGGGGAGGGGGCTTCTTGACCTTGGGAGTGACCTTGGGGGGGTCTGGGCTGGCAACAGCTGAAAACAGAGACCCAATCACTGTGAACTCTAGGGGACAATGCATGTCCCAGAAAAACTCATAAAAATGAATCTAAGTTACGTAATAACAAAACGATAGTTTTCCGAAAGTGACATTTATGCCAGAAAGTGGAACAGTTTACTCTAAACTAACGAAACTTTCTGGGAATACTCTCTAGGTGTTGGTAGATGTGAATATGGAATTTTTCGAGATCAACCTTTTTTGCAGAAATTCTTTTTTCTGGGTAGTGTCTCCTTTCAACAATAATACACCCATAGACACTAAGCCAAAACCATCAAACACATAATTATACACCAATGCATTGCACGGCTATGCGTAACAAATACCCTCACCCAGGAGCGCACCGATGGAGAGAATTTAGGCGTAGCAGCAACTTGTGGGGATACCTAGACAAACTTTTGAGAGCATAGGGCAGTTTAAAAACACAGTCTAATGACCACTACAGAAGGCCTAATGTAAAACTAGTAAGATCCTCTTCAACAATGTTTCAACGTAATGACTACAGTACGATCAGAAAATGCAAAACAACACAACAGCCCTTTTTTTTCGAGTGCCACAAAACTGGATCGTTTAAAGGAGCGATGCAACAATTTTTGTACTTTGCGCAAATACCGCTTAGAATAGATCCCTGACGTTAATGACCTATGAAACATGTGTTCGTTTTTCGCCTCACGCAATAGAAGTCCCAGAAAAAAATTAAAGAAACACGAGCAGCGTTCACCCCCTCAACTCGCAGCCAGAACAAGCGGCCACGTGATCTGGAGCCGATTATATGCCGCCAATGTTGATCATAGCCACGCGCTGCAGGGTTTGCAAAGCGCAGGACACGCGCTGAGTTCCAGACATTGTTATGGCTCGGCTGTTGTCGTCGTTGCAGCGATTGGACACGGGTCACAACCCGAATGCTTCTCGAGCTAGCGATTATCACGAGCCCAAGTCGAGTGCCCACGCAATGCTCGGGTCCAATCTATGAACCGCATTCAAATATCGTCACTTGGGTGTACTGCGATCCCCGAGTTACGTCGTCAAATTTTGCAAAGGAGAGATTGAATGAAAATGATCGCTTTTGTCCTTGAAATTACCCCGCAACAAAGGAGTTTCTTGGCCAGTGGCGTTGCGTGTGAGTATCCTTGAGTCCCAGGTGTGCCAGTAAGCTTGTGTAGAGAGAAAAAAATTCCAATTGAATATCGTTGCACCGCTCCTTTAAGTTTGGGCCTGTATTTCTCACAAAACATACAATTTTTTTTTTCTCCTTTTAGGACAGCTATTTTTCTATCATACAACTCATTGCCTTGTCACTACAACCTAAAAGTAAACCCCCTGTTCGCTAGAACCAATACATTTTACAATTCTCCGCATTCTCTAGCCATTAAAGATAGGGATTCTCTCTCTGAAGCAATTGTACTTGAAACTAACCAGGATAAATTCAGTATCTTTGCCAGGTACACCACAGAAATGTTTTTCATTAATAAAATTTTTTAATCGGTTACATTTACCATTTATTTAGTGTCTACTCGTGTTCTTTTATTTTGTGCATAATGTGTAGTTCGCTTATAATTAACCAAACTGTTGTTTATCAACTCCCACTGTTTCATCATGTTGACTAGATCCCTCTCGTGTAATGCACTTCGTTCGAAGCACCTTTGAGGAATAATAAACTGAACAGAATATTGTATGGATTCCGTACTGAGTCCAGACGCTGATGAAAAGGGCACTCACGAACGACCAGGGCCGGCTTGGACACGACGATGGCGGCGGGGCTCGGCGGCAGGTACTTGGCCGGGAGGCCCGAGGAGGCTGTGCTCATGTTGTGCAGCGTGGTCACCGTGCAGCCGACCATGATGAAGAGGCCGGCCCACGACAGGGCCTGCACAACACCGCAGCACTCTTTCAACCCTTGAGTCGCATTACACTTTGCCTTAATTTTCCTACTTTTTCAAGGGCCAAGCTTTAGTCGGTTACAAGTCAAGAAGGTAAGAGAAGCTCCGCCCGCAAGCGTGATGCGCCCGTTTCAGATCCCTCCGCAGTTGAAAAAAGAGTTCACTGGAAACGTTCCCTGTTCCGCTTCAATGGATAGGTATTGGCTACAGAGTGATGCCCCAACGTGTCTCCGAGCCCCACCTTTTAAGAATGCGACTTTTGTATTCATCGGAGAGGGAACCAAGCCTCTGAAAGTGGCCTTTGTATCCATCGGAGGAGGAAGCTAATCCCCCAAAGTCGTATTTGTTTCCATCGGAGGGGAAAAACTCTAAGCTCCCTCTCGTGGCTTTCGCAACGCTAATTCAAAGTCAAAAGATAAAGAAATATTTACAGGAAGGCAGGACCTTCCTCCCGCGTTGACTGCGACGTCACGGAAACGATGGGACGCTATTGGATGCGGAGGTGGCGGAGGGATATACGATTCCCTTTGAGGAGCATTTGCCGCTACCTTCTTGACCTGTAGCTTACTACAGTCCTTCCCCAAATTCCTTGCTGTCCTGAAGCTCTGGCCAACCCTCTCCCCAAATCACCTTCTTTCTCAAAAGTTAAGCCGATTTTTCCCAAAATTCCTTAACTTTCTTGAACACCTTTCCCTAAATCTCCTAGTTTCCCTACCTTTTCAAAAGTCGAGTCAGTCCTTCCCAGAATTTTTCTGCTTTCTTGTGCTTTTGCCAGCCATTTCTTTGAACCCAATAATTTCCCAAATTTTTTAAACTAAAATTAGTCCTCCACAAAAGTCTCCACTTTCCCGAGCCCTGGCTAGTCCCTTCCCTGAAATCCTTAATTTCCCTAAAGTAGACCCAGTTCCATCCCAAATTTATCTACTTTCTTGAGGATCTCTTTCCTAAATCTCCTAATTTCCCCACTTTTCTGAAACTCCAACCAGTCCTCCAGCAAAGTCCCTAAACTTCTTTAGCTTCCTTGAGCTCTGGCCAGCTCTTTCCCCGTCACCCGAGTCATCCCTTTCCTATATTTCCCTACTTTCTTAAGCTCAGGCCAGCTCTTTCCCCAAAGTCCCTCAATTTCCCCACCTCTCTGAAACTTGACCCAGACTTCTACCGAAGTCCCTAAATTTTCCTACATTCCTGAAACTCCGTTGAGTCATCCCCTACAGTCTCTAAATTCTGCCGCTTTCCCGCAACTCTGGCCAGTCCGTCCCTAGCCAAACTTCCGGCCTCCCTCGAGATCCCCCGACCTTTCCGAGGAGGTGCTCGTTGGTGCTCTTGGCGATGACCCGGGTGAAGATCATGCCCGGCATGATGATGCAGATGAGGGTGCCTATGGTGGAGCCCGTCAGGCCCAGCACCACCTCGATGTCCGGCACCAGCACCGCCGTGGCCAGCGTCGTGCCCACCAGCAGAACCGTCAGCGCCCGGAACTGGCTGTCCGGGATGTAGTCGTACGCCGGGTCGTGGAACTTGCTGCCCTGAGGGGAAGACCACCGCAAGGACAACCGTGTTCGCTCATACTCTTAGCCGGAACTTGTATGATTAACCGCCAGGATTGCGACATCTGACGGCGTGACATGTAGGCTCCTGCGACGTCGTTTGTTGCCACTTTGGTATCGCTTTTGATGCATGGGCGGAATAGGATGCAAAACACACGGATGGTTGATGCATTCTAACCACCATAATTGCTGTGCAACCGCTCTGAATCCTTCCAAAACGTGTGACTGTCTGGAGAGTGAAACAAGGCGCAAAGTTGCGTAATGGGCCCGTCCTTTTTAATCCCTTTTGCAGAGTACTACTGCAGATCGGAATGATCCAAGCGACAGCGGCATACGATAAGAAGAACGCCTTAGGGTAGACTCGTGTCCTTACACAAACAATAAAAAATATCTAACGTAATGCAAGATACAGCAAAGAAAGAAAAATGAGCAATAAAACGACTCAATGGGCCATAACTAGGATTCAGTGTTTCCGGAGCTTATTTTTTTTACGTCGAATTTGGAGGATGTTTTTCGGAGTTTATTGTTTGCCAAAAATTCACTTTATTTTTATTTGATTCCCAATTCTCCGAAATTCTGAGTTTAAATTTGCAGAGTTTCTTATATTTAAAAGAAAATAATATCTGGGTGTAAATGCGAGCCAGAAAAAAAAAAATTGTCCTTGTATCAATTAATATTTTTTCAGCTGGATTTAGCGTGGGTGCCATTACCATTGGAAATACTAATTTGTCCCGCAACAAAAGTCGCACAGAAGTGTTGCTTCGATAAACGTCGATACCTTCAAATCAATAAACTCCCGGAGGTAGTAGCTGGGAAGCTCATATTCATCCCATCCTATTCCATCAGCCTACCCAGTGGCTGTGCGAGGTGCAGTGATGAAGGATGTAATAGAGAAGCTTCAACTGCCCCCCCTCTTCCTCATTTTAGGCAATCCTATGGTCCATAGTTTTCACTGTTACAAAAATGTAACCTCTCCTTCCTCTAAGAAGCACAAGTAGTATGGCCCAAACTAGAAACCAAAACTGTGGCTTTTGTCATGAACCGAAAGTACAATGACCTGCTGTCCTGAGTAAACCTTACGAGATAAGCAGTAGGATCCCTTTTGTCAATGGTCCGAGATTTGAAAGATAACTGTGATGGAATTTTCACAGAACCATTGTCACTGTGCACTGATCAAACTGAATTGTACTGGGTGATTTAAGGAGCGGCCAGGCTCTTTAAATCGACCGCAAAATTCGGTTTCTTAACCTATCGCGTTCCGATTTTGTACAGCATTGGCCACAGGTGGTGCATTTTTCTACAAAATTTGCAAAGAGCGAGCTTACCTGAGAAAAAAGTAAAAAAAGAAAAAGGCTTAGCTCCTATGGAAAACGCAGCGAAGCCACTGGCGTTCAAACAACACGGCGCCCTATGGTTTGGAGTAAAGCCTTTTTCTTTTTTTACTTTTTCCTCACGTAAGCTCGCTCTTTGCAAATTTTATAGAAAAATGCACCACCTGTGGCCAATGCTGTACAAAATCGGAACGCGATAAGTTAAGAAACCGAATTTTGAGGTCGATTTAAAAAGCCTGGCCACTCCTTGAATCACCCTGTAGAATATCGTCTTTTTTTTTTTTACCGGCGAGTGTTTTTCAAAGTTTTTCGGATTAATCAGAAAACAGGGAACCCTAGCCATAACAAACACCAATATGTCAAAAGACGAACAGAAGCTGCAGATAAAACAGGTGCCAACCAGCAACTTACGTTTTAATGCAAAGATAAAAAAAGACAAACTAAATAAATATGTTTCAACTTGCATTCAAACTTGTTTTAAAGCAAAAAAAAAAAAAAAAGAAGGGAGAAAACAAGTGACAGCTACTATGCTTGTAGAGCACACACCACAAGCTCTAGCCTCGATATAAATCATCATCGAGCACAAAAATAAACAAGTACAGTTCTAACAAAAATCTTGTCAAACATCTGCAGCAGCTTTTCATGCAGATGTTCCGTTGTAGCCTCGAACTTTGATGACAAAAGGGTAAGTAATAAGGCCTAAATGCTAAACAGCTTCAAAGAACTGACGCTCCGTCCACCATCACCCCATCACCGACACAAGACTGACTCGATCAGCAAGGCCCGAGCTCAAAGCCTCGCCAGCATTCGTGACGGCACACTTCCGAACATCGACATTTCAGGCATGCAAAGAAACACGGCGGATGGACGTTTGCACGTAACTCTGCACAACAAACGTTAGATGCAAAGGAACACCCGAAAACAAAAAGTCGCAAGCTCGACGTCACGTTCCCCAACACAAGCAATGGCCCGCAGACAGCAACCACTCACGCCGAATGACCCATGGACGCGGTCTCAACGACCTTTGTGAACTTGCCTGCTCGGCCACCGTGGAGGCGTCGGAATCGAGTTCGGGGTCATTGGTTGACCGGACGGCCATCCCCGTATTACTGTCTACCTGCGCACGGCACGGGTCGTCAACATCTACATCCGGTTTTATCCGACGAATTCCCGCGGCGTTACTGTTTCTCGCACGAAAAAGTGCTTTTTGCCAGTCATCCGAGTGCCGTGACCATGCGTCATGCAACTAGAGGTGTGGCACACTAGTGACATTTTATGGCAGTTCGTCATGCAGCGTTACAGCGACAATGGGGGATTTGCGAAACTGCCTGCCGTTTCATTTTAGTGAGTGTGGGTGTTCAAAGGGCCACAAAAATTGTCCCTCTAACGAAGCGCACACGGCCAACTTCTTTTTGTGGCCCTCCGTAGTATTGTACGCTTCCGACTGCATGGCTAAATATCCGTGCGTGCTAATAGATGTGCGCCATGGGACGTGTGCACTTATGCAGTAGCAGAAAGTTTGGAAGCGCACAACATGATGCCAGCATTTCATTATAGTGGCGGTACATTGTGCTATGCGAGCGACATAATGGTACTGCATGCCATTCGAGACAACGTTGCAACTGCTGAAGCAACAGATGTACGTCACTCGCACGCTGCGGGCACCTGCAATACCATGCCAGAAATATATCTGGACCCCACAGTTTGCATCTTGGGATCGCTTACGATTGAGTGCCTTAAAACCTCTTGGGTTTTAATGGGGAGCCATCTATTGGGGATCTGTACAACATGCACCTGGCATTCACATTTATATTTTTTTTTTGTCATTTTACATAGAAAGTACTTACATTTGATTTCGCAAGTGTCACAAAACTTTCACTCTATGAAATGCAGTTTCAGAATCACCTAATAGAAGGCACCATGTGCAAGTGGGTTCTCTCGTAAGAGATCGCAAGAACTCGGTCCTAATCAAATGCAACTGTCTGAACGGGACTTTGGAGTTGTGACTGTCTGTTCAGGAGAGAAGAATGATACCCAAGGAGTAAAGAAAAGTGAGCTCGTAAACACAGAACTCGACACCAGTTGAAAGCCACACGAATGCGAAGCACTGGTTGCGAGTGCCGGTCCGCTTGGGTAAGAGACGAGTCGTTCCCTCACCCTCTTGAAGAGCAGAGAGTGGAGGCTGGTGCGGCAGGGGAAGAGGCAGAGGGGAAAGCTGACCACCAGGGTGGCCACAAAGCCCAGCTTGACCGCCTCCGAGGCCAACGAGGTGCCCACCCGCACCAGGATGTTTCCCGGGATGGGGCCCCCGCCGCAGAAGGCCACGTACCCAAAGAACCCCATCTGGGCCCCGGGAACACACGACCGGATTGAAAGAAAAAAGCAAAGAGACGTTTTAAAATTATGCAAGATCACGCTGACAAAGACCAGGAAGCATAGAATGTGTCCTGCACAAACCACACACTTTTGTTTTTCCCGTTCTCTCTTCCCAAATCCATTCCCTCACTTTCCTACAGTGCCCCTCTTTTCCTTCTTCCTCCCCATCTCACACCCACCCTCCCATTCTTTTTTGCTCAATAATGTTAAGACGGAAGCTGAAAAGATGCAGAGGTCACGTGACGTGGAGTCGTGCGACATCAATTTCTCCTCCAAATTTGGCGGGGAAACTGAATTGTGTAGTGTCAGAGTGAAAACGGCATCTTTCCAACAAGGCGCAGAAGCAATGTTAAAGGCAGGAAGCATTGTCAAAGGTCACCTTGTCAGCGACTCCAAAGAGTTTCTATACGTTTCGCTTATCCTAGAAAGAAAAATCGAGTCTATACTTGGTTTCAGCTTAGATGCAGCTGGCCCAATGAGCTAATAGGACCAATGAAGCAGTGCGAAAAGTACAAGTCACTGGGCATTTTTTGTTTATAATTGGTTCAGCCATCATAGAACACATACAAAAACATGGCCAACACCATGATGGTGCGCTTTTGACGCAGTCTCATTGATCCTGTGGGCTCGTAGTGTTGGCTGTGTCTGGACTTAAGGTGAAGCGAAGTAGAGGCGTGACATCCCTAAATGAAACGCCTCAGTGCTATGTGAAAAGTGAGAACTATGCGAGACGCTGACTAGAGGACTGCTATGGGGCAATATATGGCCTTTTCCTGCCAAACATGGTGGACGGTGGCCACGAGACACCAACCCCATCACGCGACATTGTGATGCGGCATTGTAGAGTGACGTGATCGTCATACGCGCATTTTATTTCCATAAAAACTCGTCGCAATGCTCTAGACCAAGGGTGGCCAGACAGACGTATTCAAGGAGCCATAAAAAAGGAACCGTTTTAAGTGAAGAGCCGCACAAGAAATGGGGTGTAGCACTTTCTTGAAAGATGCTTCTTCTCGGTTGGCGGCCACGGCGAATTCACTCATAAAGTGGCTGTTTGGCAAGTTCCTTTATCGTGAATCCCCGTTCGTAAAACAAGGACCTTGTCCGATGTGCGTGTGATGCACAAAGCTGACAAAAAGCAACGCCGAGAAAATATGGGAGAGGAGGAGGAGGCAAGAGCGCGCAAGGACGTCAGACCTCCGAGTTCTGGTTCGAATGATTAGTGGGAAGACCATGTCTCGACCGTACCTGTCGAATGCGCTCGAATGCAAGAGCCACACGCCGAACGTCGGCGTTTCGTGTTTTAACGCGTTCGACGAGTGAAGTGGCGACAAAAGCCGCTAGCTTTAGGTCTACCCACGAATCCTCCCAATTAGGGCTCGGCGTTCTGACATACTCGCGCACTCTCGTTTCCTCGTCTCCCTCAGTTTCCCGGCACATACTATGTCTTTCCTTTTGATATTTGTTTTAATTTTTTCGGGGGGGGGGGGTGTAGGTTGGCCAGGGAGCTGTGAAACACATATGTAATGGCCTCCAAAGAGCCGCATGAGGCTCGCGAGCCACAGTTTGGCCATTCCTGCTCTAGACTCAAAAACTGGCCCGCAAAAAATAAACATTCCGCATTAAAAAACACACATATCGTTGAATAACAAAGACAATTGAGCTGGTTGGTTCATTCTTAAAAGCACAAACAGTGCAATGACATGGACAAAGTAAAAGAAAAAACCTGAAAAAAAAGAGAACTTTTCTGACACCCACACCGAGTATAAATAGCACCCACTGTATAGGGTATTTATACTAGATGCAATGTTTAGTGCGACACACTCAATGTCGGCATCGATAAAGCTTAGTTGTAAGTCAACACCGTTGTTTGTCAGCCTTCTTTCCGTGTCATTGCACTGTTCTCAAAGTATGTACAGTATCATATTCCCATCAGCATCTCATAAACAAAACGTGCAGTGAAACATCTTTCCCAGTGTGCAAGGGAAGGAAGATGTTGAGACGTACCATGATGTAGACGATGGAGCACATCTGGACTGCCCCGTTGACGACCCTGTTCATGCGCATCAGCGACGGCTCGTTGAGCGTGTCGAAAATCTCAAACAACTGCCTGCATCCGAGAAGAAAAAAAAACTCTTTGAAGCGTCTTTTGCTTGTATTTGTTTTCTTCAATCAGAAACTGAAGTGCCTCGTTTAACGACACTGACTCCCTCTGTTTACAAACAGAGAAGCTCCTACCGACATGAGAGAGATATACGGGGTGCATAAAAGCTAAACCAATGCAATCTGTGCAGGTGAAATATATGGCCAGGGGGACATAGTAATAGAGCGGGCTTATCGTCACAATAATTTGGGTAATTAACTAAAATTTGTTCATCAACATTTCAATTATTGAAGATAAACACATGGCCCCAATCAGAAACTTGCTGAGCGTCATTGAGAACTACTAAATCACTAAATTTGAAAAAGAGTTTGAGCACGCGGAAAGTGCGTAGGAGCGCTAAGGTTACCACTCGTGCAAAGAGGCGCAAGGCCGGAGTACGAAAACATGACTGCACAAATTTTTTGCCTCTTTATCGAATCAAAGACTTTCTCAAAATTAATTTAGCGATTTTCAACGACTCTTAGAATTAGAACCATATGTTTATATTCAATATGTAAAAAAGTTATTAAACAAATTTTAGTGAATTAATTATTGTGACGACTAGCCCATTATATTATGTCCTCCTGGTCATGTAACTCACCTGCACATGCTGCATTAGTGTAGCTTTTGCGGCTTTTTTTACAACAAACATGTAAAGTCTAAAAGAAACACCCTGTATATAAACCAAAGGCAAATAGGCAACTTAGGTGCGAAGTAACATGTACGCTAACGTGTCCCTTATCAAAACGCTTCTGTCGCCTACCCAACTTGATCGGCCAACCTTATTTTCTGATAGACGACCAAAACGACTAAAGAAAATCTAGGGAAAATATTTTCATTGGTGGGCGTCTCACTAGACTTATTTAAAGGAGGAAAACATACAGTCGACTCTCATTAATTCGAACTCTCTTAATTCATATTGTTTCTTCGTGCCAGTGTATCTAAAGAGTATTGTAGTGCCTTAACGACGAGTCCAGTTTTTTTTTTGGTGCCTCTACAGTGAGACAAATATTTATTACGAATTTAGAAATGATCTCTCGAACATGACTTGACACATTTTCCAATGGATGGATGGATGCTAGTCTGCATCTCTTTATAATGGGCAGTAGCTTGCGCCACCTAGCCTAGAAACTCAAAACCAAAAGTATGATTCGTCCCCTCGCCCTTCTAGGCCAATTTGCTCCCCCTTTTTCAATTTAGTAACTCTCACCTGGCGGTGTGGGATATCACCAGGATGACTTCCGGGGGATTGGGTAAAGAAACTAAAAACATCACCCTACCCCCTCCCCCCGGTGAAGAAATTGGCAATTTTCCTCCGATTAAACCTCGTTGGCGTTACCCCAGCACCGGACCGACCAAAGGACAGGGTTGAGACCTTGGGCTGGAGCCACAAAAGGGGGAGTCCCAATTTTCTTCTGTTCCACCTGTCCCCCAGCTATGCTAGTTAGTCCTACGTCATTCTATTCTCCCTAGATAATTTCCACCAGTCTTCCAGCCTACTCTTTGTTATTAAAGGGCATTTATCATGCATTCTTCCCTTCCCGTCTGCGAACCCCAGTGTTCCGGCCAAATCTGTCGCCCCCTCCGGGAGGGCGGGAACAGGCCCTCTGCACCTCAATACCACACAGTCTGTTGTCTCGTCTTCCACCTGGCATACGCCGCAAAGGATTAACTGCAATGCTCGTGTGCAATTAAAGGGGCCCTCCGGAGCTTTCTGCGATCGTCTGTTTATGTTGTTATATTGCGTAGTAGGTGCAACTTAATATGTATACAAAGTTTTAGATTACAAAACCGTTTACTAAGCAGATGGCAGAAGAAATATATCGGGACTATTTTCTCTTGGAAGACAATCCCCCATTCCCTGCCCATCGCTAAAACTTGAAAAATGGAAATGCTGCATCTCGCGGTGAATGCAAACGTTATTATTGCCACACTTTTTGAGCGTGATGTAAATTAGAGTTTGAGAAAAACGTAAACTGATTGTGGTGCGGGAAACATAGTCCGCAATTATTGCTCCAAAACCAGCGAACTATGTTTTCTCCCCGCAAGCTTGTTGCTAGGGGGCGATGCGTCGGCGCGTCTGCTTCCCGGGGCGTCTGCAGGCGTGCGTTTGCGGGACACGTGTTCCTTCTTCCCGTGGATCCCGACTCCAAAGCCAGCTTTGCGATCCTTCCACGTCAACGAGTCTCACTTTTCCTTGTCATCTGTGGGATGCGATTGCGTATTGCAGTAGCAGCGCGACTGTGCGGTGCAACAAACGACGACTGCCGAGCACAAAGTCCGGGCTCCTCGATGACGGTCTGCGCGTGTTCGAGAGATTCCTCCGCGGGTTGGCGGTCGGCCGCGTTGGTGACGCGCAGCGACGCCGGAATCCTTCGCTTGCTATTGGCTGACCCGTAAAGAGATGCCCCTCCCGTTTTCCGGGGTCATCTCAGAAAGGGGGGTGTGCCGGGGACTTTGATAGCAATTTTAGTAGGGAAATCCGCCGCGCATGACCATACTTTTATGATTTTTAGGATCCTTAGGGCCTGTAGATTGAGTTACCGCCATAAATAGACCATCGCAGAACGCTCCGGAGGGCCCCTTTAATCCTTTATGTTCTATGTTTCTTAGACATGCAAAAAAGCTACGATTACTTTTTGTTACACAAATGTTTTTTGTCTTTTTTTAAGTGTGTATATTTAATAGTAGGTATGAATGTGCCAGATGTTTTTGTTTCCTTCTGCGCGTTTGTATTTTTTCTTCAATTTCACATACTTGCTGCAAAGCACAGAGGATAGAGGCCTCAGTAAGGCAGAAAGGCCTTTTATTTCTACCTCCCTACCGGACTTTTTGGCCCACGAAAATCGAAATAAACTTCAATTCAATTCAACTCCTGCGAAGAATGGAAGGCAACCAAAAGACACCGCAACAAAGACAATCACCATAGGGGACAAACCGCAGCACGGAAGAACGTTGAAACTGCGGCAGCGAACAAAAGGAGTTCGTGCGAGAGCTGGCAGGACTCACGGTTGGCAGGACAGGGCCATGGCGAAAATGGGCAGGACCGAGAGGAGGTTCTCGTGGCGCCAGAGGACCACCTTGTCCCACCACGTCATCGACCAGAGCACGGGAAACGCCTCGCCAAAGATCTGCATCCGAACCACGGGCGAGTCGAATTCCTTTCTCTTGGAAGGGTCTACGCACACACATCTCCGTACGATGCAGTTTGGTCACTTGAAGACAGTATTTGTTCAATCGATCGAGTCTTAGTGGCACAAAGGTCATCAACAATATAGTAAGAAAGGAAATTGATTACATACGTAACAAATGGCTACGCTACTTATTGACTGGCGTTAAATACGAGGCGAGTACAGCTCCGCAATGTAAACATACTTGAGGCAGGACAAAATTAGAAAAAAAAAGGTCAGTGTTTCTATGTTCAATTCAAGTAACTGCTTTTTTTGCATTGTTCTCCGCCCTGCCGTATTAAATGATGATGACGTCGATGATGTGGCTTAATATACGAGTGATACGCAGTAAAGATGTCGACGTCAGTCCAGGGGCAAATAGAAAACAAACATTTCACAATTACTGCATTGCCAAAAACTAAGGAAGGGCATAAAAAGCCATAAAAATATTTGCTGCGCAAAGAAAGAAAACACTTCATTAGAGCTTGTGAGAGCAGCTGAAATGATCCTGCAGCTATAGTCACTGATAGGTGAAGAGTTGAGGAGAAGCTCCTGCAACTTCTTTCCACTTTAGAAGAGCAAACGCTAGAGAGGAAGCGACCTCCTCTTCAGTGTTCGCTCTGTTGAAGTGGAAAGAGGTGGCAGGAGCTTCTCCTCAACTCTCAACTTATTACCGACTATAGTAACAAAAGGTGTTCCTAAGGCTGTGAGAGGTCCCCAAAAACAATATAAAAAGCTAAAAATAATATGGTTTAAAAATTGAGAAAACAATAAGAAAAGTTCAAGCAGGTTCAAAGAAGTTCCTCGAGAATATATAAAAATAGAATGAAAGAAAAATAAAATCGAAACTCTGCAAAGCAGGAACAGGAAACCAAAAAGGTACACAAAAAAAAGAAAACGAAGGCAATATAAAAACAATTGCAAGGAACGTATTAACTATCGGAGACAACAAAAATAAAAGCTTCCCCGAGAAAACCCCCAAAAGAACCTCAACTCTCCTCTAAAAAGGCCACAAATCTTAGCAACCCTCAAAAGTATGAATGAAATGGCACCACCTGTGAAGAACAAAAAGGAAGAGGTAGATAATTTCGTTCACTCTCTCCACTCCAAATGGACCGGGACGCGGGCTGATGAGGATACGTTGGAAGGGTTAACAAAGCAGAAAAGGCGCTGGACGTGTCACCTCTCGTCTCGTTTATTCAGCCTTACCAAATGTCCTGGTCTCTTCGCAACGTCGTCCCTTGGTTACCGGCGACCGCCTTAGATTTTTTTCATCCCAAGTCCCGAACTGGCACCCCCTAGCTCAGCCACTTAGAAGACAAAGCCCTTCTCCCCCAAACATCATCACCGGTGGATCCATGCAGCGCCACCTAGCTTGCGTCGGCATCACCGCCAACGCGTCGTGCAGCGTCTCGCGACGGGGCGACGCTGAGACAGACACGTCTGCCGCTCTGCGGCTTTCGTCGAGCTTCGACACGTCTCGGGGCGGGTCAGGGATTTATCGACGGCGACACTGTGCGGGGGCCTCGTCTTCCAGGAGGTGTCGATTCGGCCGGCCAAAGATCTCTAAGTGGTCCGCCTTCCGGAAGGGGCGGTTACCTTGAGGACTAGCAGTGCGTAGAAGACGAGGGACATGGCGCTGAAGCTGGTGAGGCTGTCCAGGTTCCTCAGCAGCCCCAGGGGCAGCCCCACGCAGGTGCCCAGCAGCAACAGCAACGTCGTGCGCACTCGGGGGGACGCCTGGGCGGAGAATCGGGGCAAGGGGGTGACAATGTGTCCCCACGGGGGACGGAAGGGTCAACCTTTTCTCGCTTCCCCAGGGTGCCGTCTTTACCCGACCCTGGGGAGTGGGGACGACTCTCTCGCGTCCCCAACCCGGCCCATACCCCGATGGGAATGTCCCTTTTGTCCCCGACTCTGGAGAGTGGGAGCAGGAGGGACGGTTCTCCTCGGAACCAAACCGAAGAGAGTGACAGAAGCCCTCTTTTATCCCCAACAATAATGCCGTCTATCCCCCAACCCTCTCCTGACCCCAACCGTGCCTGTCTCCAACAAGCACGTCATTTCTCCCTCACAAAAATCTACTTAAAGATGGGGAGCTCTCTGCTGGTCTTTGCAAAAGCAAATAAGTGAATGCTCAGACTACACTTACTTTGCGCTCTAACAGCAAAGGAGCGCCGGTGCTGTGATCTCACCCTCACGTCTCCTATTGAGCGAACTCTTTCCCCGTAGCTGTTCCACTCCGCTTTCCGCTTCCTCCCGTTGGACGGAAAACGGCGGCCATAGGTGTGCCCCACCCACCTCCACTAGGAAGAAGTCGGAGGCGAGGGGAGGGGCCAGGTCGCCCACGACCACGAAGAAGGCCACGCAGCTGCCCAGCAGAAAGCCCAGGATTCTGCAAAGCAGAGAATCAAAGATAAAGACTCGAGGGAAAGCACGAAATTTGGCGCTTACACATGCACTACTACAGTATTAGAAAAGATGATTTGAACTACTCAGTAGTGGGACTTCCCGTAGATTCTGTTGAACAATGGCCGTCTGAAGCAGTCTCCTAATATGCCGGCAGAGCTGGCACTGCCAGTGCAGTGTTACAATAATTCTGCCCGTTGACGAGACATTCTAGAAGTAATGCCGAAAATTTGCACCTCCATGCTCTCAAAATGCAGTTGAACTTTTGGGGGGTTTTTTGGCGGAAATTATGACCGATTTGGTGGATGTATCACAACGAGTAGTGTGAGCAGAAGCACCGTCTTTGTTTCATACATGGGTGAGATTTTAAAAGCGCTTCGTACGTACAACGTGCTGGAAATGTGTTATTCATAAAAAAAATATATCGTCACAGTCTATAATGTTCTGCAAGCTGCTTGTGTCACCATCAAAACTGCAATGGGGGCGGCGTAACCGGGGTGAAAAAGTGGCACCTCCTGACCACTTCCCTTGGGGTGACATCTCGCAAACAAATGCCATACAGCAATACTACAATGAGGTGTTATTAAAAGATAATTTAAAAAATATATACCTATATCAACCTGCAACGCAGCTCTAGGAGATAGGCGCAAACCGGAATGACTGAGCCAGCCCCTAGTCATTGGGCGGACGTCGAGGTACCACTTTTGAGGATGCAGTCAACGTACCAAGTTGGAGACGCCTTTCAGGCACCCTAGCACTACTAGTTGCATAGTGGCAATTCTAAAGACAGTCAGCTGCAAATAAAAGAGGGAGAGTGACTCACCCAATCTCCACGACCAGCTTGCCAGTCGGTCCGTACGTATGAAAGGCTGCACAGAGCAAGGCAGGTAGAAGCTTGACAGTGGAAAAGGATGGGTCCACATAGATACCTTCCGTAAAACATCTTTGTCTGTTGGATGTTTGCAGTCACTTACCAACCGCAAACGTCCAGCGTTCCCACTTGAACAGTTAGCAGATACCACCGTGGTAGAGACAAAGCGAGCTAGTTTTGCGTCTACCCAGTAATTGGTGCAGTGGCAGAGTGTCAAGCTAACAATTCGGGGGATGTGGGTTCGATTCCCATTGGGGCGCGTTTCGAATCGAGTTTTGTTTTTCTTAATTTACTGCTCTTATTACAGATTGTTCCCAGAGTATGAGTTACACGTTCCTTGGGGAACCCCAACCCTTGAACAGAGTCCGAGTTTCAAGAAAATTGAGAGTGTCGACGGAGCTTAACGATGGAGCTCACCTAGAAGTTCATAGTTTCTACGGCGTGCTGTGACCGCGGCCTTGAGTAGGAGGTGGCACGTGAGCCTGGTGAGGACTCCGCTGATCAGCAGCAGCAGTGTGCTGAGGACTATGCCACACTGAAACGAAGAAAAAGCAGCGACAGTTTGAGAATGCTGTGACAACGTTAAGACTCGTTTCAAACTGTACAACACCGACAACCAAGGATTGTGTATCGATGTTTATTATTGCAACATCAGTATCAGTTCGATGTTATGTCCCACAGTGTCCAGTGTGTGTCCATTCAGTCCAAAAGCTCCGAATGATGTCCCGGAAGCTCGCGTTGGTAGCGCGAGCACTTCATCGCTTCGTCACGTGGCTATCTTGTATAGCGCAATACGATACAGATTGGATGCAGATGTTCCCAGAAGGGAGGAATCAGCGTACCAAATGCGGAATCCAAGGGGGAATCAGGACATTTCCCCCACCCCCTATAAATTTGCCATTGCCAATAAAAATAGTTATTTTCTATTCGATGTACAGCGTGTCAACCCCAAACATTTACAAAATTTTTTTTCCGCAGAAAAAAAAAAAAAATAATGCATCGCTAATGCATAGTCTTTGTCTAAATGTAATGCAATCTGAACCAGAGGCCAAAGTTTCAGCAATTGGCTCCATTCAACCCCACATATTTGAGAGCCCCGTCGGCTGCTATTTTCCCATTGAAAAGTTCTAAGGATTGCTTAGAACTTTTGAATTATAAAACGGTTAGTTCTGAAACTTTGGCACCTGGTTCATACTGCTAGCACTACATTTTGGGCGTTGATTGAGCGTTCGGTGATGCACGGTTTATTTTTGCGGCGAAAGAAACCCTGTAAACTTTTGGGGACATGGTGTAGTATCATTTTCAAGCTGCAAGTTCGCTGTCAGTCTGTGCAGTGCTACACTACAGTTTGTGTTTTCTTGTGTAACCAGTCGGGGCATGAAAAAAAACAAAAAAAAACACAATATTAAAAAAAACAAATACCGTAAAATACCGAGCAAGCACCCACTCAAAATTTGAATACAATCGCAAAACAATTGGGGTTGGGCGCTAGTGAGGTTATCAATTTTACATATAAATGTACTGTGCATATTTTTTCAGGTGTTTCCAGTTTTATGGGTGGGCGCTTAGTGAGGAACGGGCGCATGCACGGTATTCTACGATATATATATATAGGTATATTTGTTTTTTTTGCGACTCTTTTCTAATGCTCTATTCCTATACGTTGACGATAAAAGTTGTCACACAGCTGTTTTAAAAGGAAGGATTGGGAGCAGATAGTTGCATTTCTGTCAAAAATGATAATACTTCACTGTCTTCCTAAACGATTGTCTCGTCTATTTCTAAAAGCTTTTTGCGCAAGAAAAGACTCTGCCAGGGAGTGCTCCATTAGATTGCCAACTGTGATTGGTACCCCAGCGTTCAGCGCAGATCTTGAGAGAAAATATTTCGGCAGTACTTACGTCATACCCGACAAAGTCATCACACGTGGAATATGCTCTTTCGTGGCCAAATCCCGGTGCCATCGTTTGCGTGCCGAGACAACTACCTGTGGTGTCGTTAGTTTTGATTTCTTTATCTTGTCTGTAAACCTCGTGAATGTATGTGGCACTGTTGTTCCCATGTATATAATTGTGTCGTCTGATAAAGTTTGATTATCTTTCGTTGGGTCATGGCTGGTTGACTCTCTTCTTCTTGGTCTGAAGGCCGAAACACCACATTGGCGACGAGGATGGGATCAAACATCTGAAGTACACACTACTTTTAACAATAATGCCATTGGCCGTTGCTTTGATCACGTGATCGGGTACGCTAGACAGTGAGGGGGAGACGCTGCTGACAAGAAAGCCCCGCTATGGCGGTGGCACTATACGGCGATGTCTCATTAATATGGACCCCTCCGTTCCCCCAAGAAAGCCTCTTAATGCAACATGTCCACAAGGATGAGACAAAAATGTGTGAATTTACCATCTCCCGAAAACGTTGTCTACATGGCGCGGTATCCATATTAACGAGACATCACCGTATACTGTTCATCGTGACGCTTTTTCATCTCGCTTTTGCATCTTACGTTATCACAGAGTAGCCCTGATTAAAAAAACATATTGTACGTCAAGTTCTAATTGTCAGCGACAGTAGCCCTTTAGATACGGTTTCAAACTTAACTTTAGCCCTTAAACACCCACCCCCCCTCCTCCTCCTCCCTCCCTCCCTCCCTCCCTCCCTCCCTCCCTCCCTCCCTCCCTCCCTCCCTCCCTCCCTCCCTCCCTCCCTCCCCCCCCCCCCCAAAAAAAAATGAATTGCAAAAATGTGCGCAATATTTACGTTGCACGACACACATCTCGGGTTTAAAAGGGCAATTCCTAAACACGCTTACATTTTGAGACGTTGGCCCCCAAAATAATTGCGCTAAAATGCTTTTCTCGGGGAGTGTTTGGTTTGGCAGATACGTGTCCTATCCGGGCAATTGAGACAGATGCTTCTTGAGAGTCCTGGCGGAAGACAATACCCGAGACGATACGATACCCTCAAGGTCGTGCAAAAAATGGAAGGGAAAAGGTGGCACTTGCTTTTGCGAAGCAGTACGGCATTGCCAGGATGCTGACACCGATGATGCTGTTCCCCAGGTTGATGGTGTTCTTGAGCGACGACGACGACGGCATCTCGGCGGCCGTCCGAGAAGCTGCCGTAATCCTTCGGCCTTCCCGTGCCTGGTCGATCCTGACATGGGACAATCGCGCCCAGGGCGCTCCGGGTGACGAAAAATCCGAGCGCATTTACGCCATCGCGTAATGGCGACGGCAGCTCTGCACTCGCGTAAATAGCCATTGTTGCGGCGTCGACGTCGTTTCCGTGCATCCTCCCAAGCACGATTCTGAGGATTTTTGCGTCACTTTCGCCTCTGATCTCGTACCGAAAGTTGCATTCTCCGGACCCGCTACAAACTTTTTCAGGGCAAACCATACGGCGTGCAAGTTTGTCTGCTCTAATGGTTGCGCGCATGCGCCGGCGTAACAGAATGTAGGCTACAGCCACTGTCAAAGGAGAATGGATGGCGTCTGGAACGCCAGGCCTCCAGGACGCGCTTGCTCGTTGCTTTTTGACATCATGATGCCAGCGCATTGTCTTGGCACCGGGAGTTTTAGTGAAGGACGACAACAGAATTTCCTGGGGAGGACCCTTACGCCCGGCTAGCTTGCCGCCGACACTACATTTAACATTAGACCAGCATTCCTAATACGTTGAACGGTGGGCGCAGCCGCAGAAGACCGAGTTAACCGAGGGCTGTGCTCGTGGCGCCATCTCCTGAAAGACGCAGCAAGAGATGGCAGTGCTCGGTAGAAAGCAGGCGACGCCGCCGTACACTTGCTGCGTCTATTGGGAGACAGTGCCACAAGCACAACCCTCGAATAGAGAGCTCTCTGCCCTTGGACCCTCAGTCAACTTGGTTGTTTGCGTCGGCATCCGCCATTGAACGTGTCAAGAGTGCTGGCATAATTCTTTACCATGAAGGAATCTACTTCCTTGAAATTCCACTATGAATGGATGGATGAATGTTAGCGGCTATACCGTTTGTAACGGGCTGAAGCTTGTGCCACCTAGCCCAAGTCTAAAAAGACCCACCCATCTAAGCCACTTTTCTTCCCCTATCACCAGGCAGTGTGGGATATCACCAGGATGACCTTCGGGGGATCAGACGAAAAATCTAAAAACATCACCCCCCGTCTCTTCCCCCCGCCGAGAAGTCATCGATTTTCCTCTGGTCGAACCTTGTCGGCGTTACCCCAGCACCGGACCCACTGGGAGACAGGGTTGAGACTTTGGGCCGGAGCCACGCGGGAGGGAGTCCCAATTTTCCTCTGTCCCGCCTGTCCCCAGCTGTGCTAGTTAGTTGCGCATTATTCAATTTTCCCTAGATAATCTCACCAATCTTCTAACCGTCTCTTTGCGACTAATCATTTTCTCTTCCATCGTCGCCAGGCCCCCGGCCAAATCTCTTACCACTTCAGGGAGGGCAGGGCGAAGCCCCATGCACTTCAGAACCAAGTGCTCTACTGTCTCACTATGGCAGGCAGCACATAATGTGCCCGTCTCCTCAAATTGAGCCCTTTACGTCCCCGTCCTGAAAAATCCCCTTCTCGCCTCAAACACTCAAGAATTTCCCAGTGAATTGTCCAACACATTTTCCTTTCTTATGTCCTCTTTTTGTGGCCTGTACATTTTTACAGCTGATTTTTCCTGCATTCTTACCTCCCACATTTCTATTTCCGCCTCTTTCAGTCCCTTTCCACTGAAGTATGCTTAGCCCCATCACTAGTGTGTAGGTATTTAAATGGAAGCTTTCAAGTTCGGTTTGTCCATTTTGTGTTTAAACTTTTCATGTACAAAGTACTTGAATATTTTCCGAGCCCACCGCATCCCACGGCAAAATTTAACACGTCACCTTAATAATTAATAATAAATAAATAAATCAAGCACGTAACAAGCCAAGATTCTGCCACTACGTTTTGCCCCCACACCAGTCGCACTCCCGGCGAACACATTTTCCGATCACAGCTTACAGCCCAAGTTGTTTTTGTGCCGAAAGATCATAGAACGTAAATAACCACAGTCTTTAAACTTGGTGAGGTCCGCTACCGAGTTACTCCTCACTAACGCAATGTATCACTATTCTAATCACGACGCTGCGCACCACGCTCAAAGGTCGGCTGCGGTGAACTATTAGTACGAATCTTTACGGCCATTTGACACTGGACAAGGATACTTTGCTGACGTGCGCTTGAAGAGCATATAGGGGAAACTCACCCAAATTAAATACTAGGATAGCGAAAGTCGCCTGTTCAATTGTGTGTAGTCCTCCATGACTAGTGCCGCGTATTCACCACGTGGCAGACCATCAATCGCACAAAACAATAGCCTGACACAACACAAAGAATGCAACCACTCCAAGTCGCGGTTTTTCCGGCTGATGTCCGCTGTACACGACGCAGAAAGCACGTCTGTTTACGAAAGAAGTTCGGCACTTGGACGAGTAGCGGCGCCAGCGACTGTAATGCGCCAGCTATCAGCATCATTAGAAAACCGTTGCTAATCTAATGCTAAGGGCCGTTGTTATGGCATTTGAGCTTGACGTGGTTACAAATTGTTCGATGAAAAAGTAAATAATATTGTGTAAGCACTGTGTCTTCTCAACATATAATCACGAGGGCTTTTTCTGTCGTCTCGGTACCATAAAGCGCTGATAGAAGCTCACAACCGGTTTTGCCTAGCTAGCAGACGACACGATGCCCGTGCACAGCTTTGATCGAGGCTTGAAGTGCGCGAGCGCGCAAACACCTACCTGTCCGTGGAGTAGTGAAGCGAGCGACGGTGAAATGGAGTATCAACACCGAAGTGCAGGCCAGCGTACGTTTCAAGTTCCGACGGCACAGAAGTTGCTTGTTATTATCCAGTTCCTTCGCTTTAATAAAAGCTATAATATCAGCAGGATATTTTTCTTTAACTGGTGCGACGTCCGTACTAGAGCGAAAATGATTGCACCATTACAATGCACGTCAACTGGAAAATCAAAAAGGGGCCGACACTGCTTCGATATCATGCTCTAAACAGATGCTTCTCTCGCTGCATTTTTTTTTTAGCAGATCTTCATACGTGTGATTTTCGCCACAGTATATCGCACGCAAATACAATTCGTCTTTGTAAACCTGTTGAGTTTTCTTAGACCTGCCATGTTCCCAATAAAACAAGATCAAAATCGTAATAATATGCAAACGATTCAAACTACTGCAGACGGCATACTTTCATGGCGTGTGCGTTCGTCAGCAGCGATCTCAAGGATCTCAACTTCTCAAGACGTCTCAGGACCGGAAGTTGCCGTCGCAAATGTTCCACGCGATTCTCGGCAAACTTTTGCCGTGTTGCGAAATCTAGGCTTCCAATATCTATTCTTTTTAGAGGTAGAAATTCCACGTTCGATTTTTGAACGACCGTTTTCGAAGCGAAATCGTCTCATGCATTCACCCATAGCAACGGTTTGTTTGGAGTAGTGACGACACACGGGTCATTTTGTTTGCAGAAAACTTCGCTGGTTTGTTTTGCCTCAAGCACAAAGCAAACTGCACAAATGTAAACTCAAGAGCTTTCTAGCGCGATTCCATTTTGATCTCAAATCTCAAGTTACTTAGGAAGTTCTCGTAAATACTAGAATGCTTCGAAAGAGTAAAAAACTAAGGCATCGAAACGCTCCCACAACGTTGCCTGCTACCTCGCCCCCGAAAAACCAGTTCTCTTTCAAGTATGCAGATGTAATGGAGCTGCACTTTCTACAATAAAAAATACAACATATAAAGCAGCAAGCACCATGGCAAAGGACTGACATGACCCAGATAAAATCTCGTTCTCTGAAGTAACAGGTTTTTATTCACAATGCGCGTATACAGATTTGACAAAAAAAAAAAAAAAGTCACCACGCCAAATAAGCACCAAGGAATCCCCGCGCTGTCTCCAACTATCGTCCCGACCCTCACGTAGCTTGTTCAGCAAACACACAAAAAAAAAAAAAAAAAAAAAGTCACTTGTGAGCCATCGCATCTGAACATCACCGACCGTGCTTCGCAAACAAGTGCACACGCGTCGCACAGTCCCAGACGAACTAACAAAGGGCAAAGCATAGAAATACTGCACTTCCCACTGCATGTGTATATGCCATATGTACAAAACATTTTTCTCTTCGACTTAAATCTGGTGAACAGAAACAACTGCAAAGAACTGCTGCAAGAGAGTTTTTTTGTTTTTTTCTCGGTTTCTACACCTGTCAAATTGATGTAAAATCAGACGATTGTACTTTGGGCTCGTAGCAATGTAAAACAAACGCCTTTAGAAGGAAACTAAAACTGTTGTTTGACAACACATCTTATTCGACACTGCCCCAGAAAATGCACTTGCACTGCGTAGCGTTTCTCCCTCAATGTTTCCACAAAACAAACTTTCACAAGCATTGCACATACTTGCACACACAGACACACACCCAGAGCACATACACACACAGTCAGCCTTGATGATTGGCAGACGATGCCAAACCCGTCGTCTGCTTCTGAGCAGCCCCCAGAAAACGTGCAAAAAGCACCACGTTTGGTCACCAGCACTACGCTCATGGAAGCCTTATGCAAAGCACTCTCATTTCCTCAAGTAGAAGACAAAGAATAAAAAGTAAACTAGCATTAACCCCGCTCAACCGCAAAAACACGAAAAAAGAACAGTTGCTTGTCCAGCTCAGAAACCGCAGCCACTGCTTCCGCAAAATTAAAAATAGCGTCCTCCTTCCTTCGTTTCCTGCACTTTTGTTTGCGATGCTGCGAGCCCAAACTGGAAGCGGGACACTCTGGTGGCAGGGGTCCAAAAGTGGCAGACGCAGCACCACACAGAGGCAAAGCAGCAGACGACCTCCACTGCTGCGCAGCAGAAATGCCAGTACAAACAAACACAGAGTAACAGACAGTTCCAAAAGGATGGCAAGAGGTCTCGCAGAGTACTGCGAGCCTGCTAGACACACGTGAAACGTCGAAGCCAAACTAAATACCGTAAACCCTGCAGGCAGACACAAACAAACAAGCAGACGAAAGGAGACCAGAGTTGGCAGACGACACAAACGAGGCAGGGTTGGCCTGCTTCTGTCAATCTTTTTGACAATGGTACAAAGCATTGTGCACAACAAAAAAAAAAAAGAGGGAAGTTTATTGAAGATTTGAAACTTGTGCTAGGGGCCAAATATACATACAATGCATGCACACATTACCAAATAATGCGAAAAGGGTGAGCACAACAAAATGTAAAAGTTCATGGGGAGGCTGACTAGACAAAACAAACTCCGCAACACCACACCAGCCGATCGGCAAGCAGACGATAACACAAGACTCGAGCCTCTCTTCGCACTGTGGGTTATCTTTTTGTTCCGGTGGACTGCAATTCTAGGAAAAAGGCGATAAAAAAAAAAAAAAAAAGAAGCACACAACGGGCTAACGCAAAGATGTTGAAACAGCATTAAAAAAAAAATCTGCAATGCAAAGACAATATTACCAAAATGAACAAAACGTGCCATGGAAATAACGAGGGCAGCTAAAAAATGCGATGCTAAACGTAACAAACGAAACGATTTGAATATTTACAGGCCGTTCTGCACTTGAACCTGAGGACAAGTGTTGCACACGGTCTCCCACAAAACACAACGCATGTTTGAAACAAAAACACTTAAAAACCAAAAGGCACAGAACTGAAAATAAAGAGAAAAAAATTGGGCAGCTTGTAAGAAGTCAAAACAAAAAAACTCTTTGCAGAGGACGACGGCAACGTGCGGACACCTTGATCATGGGCAGCAGTCTCATTCTTCAGTTGCACTTTGTGTCACGCACGCCTGCCGCGCGTCTTTCCATTATGTACACGAAATACACATATTTTTAGGGAAAACAGAAAAAAAAAAAAAAGATCTCCAAAAGACACATAACAGAGCAGATGGCCTGAAAAGCAGAGAGGGAAGAGCAGGCATTCCCTCTAAACCAGTTTGACACAGAAGACTCCACCACACCACCGGTAGTCTCCTTCCCTAGGACTTGCCAACCCAGAAGATACAGAGACCTAGAGAAGAGATATCCCCTCCCAAACCCCCTCAAGCTTCCCTAGCCTCCCAGGGGATAGAGGGAAGTCCACACAAGGAAAAGGGGAGAGAGAGAACAGCATACATTTCCTTTCCATCAGTTTGACACAGCAGACGGCACCACACCACTGGCCGTCTCCTTCCCTAGAACTTTCCAACTCGGGGGATGCCGGGGACCTACACAGAGATATCCCCTCCCAAGCTTCTCTAGCCTCCCAAGGGATGCTAGGGAAGGGCACAATAAGAAAAGGAGAGAGAAGCGCACAGATCCCCTCTCCACCAGTTGGACACAGCAGATGCCACCACACCATCGGCCGTCTCCTTCCCTAAAACTTTCCAATCCAGGGGATACCAGGGATCTAGGGAAGAAATATTTCCTCCTATGCTTCCCTAGCCTAGCGTACATCCCCTCCAGACCAGTTTGAGGCAGCAGATGCCACCACACTGCCCGTCTTTTTGTTCCCTAATTTGAACACGAGGCATACTAAGAACTTAGGGAAGGGATATGCCCTCCCAAGCTTCCCTAGCCTCTTGAGGGATGTGCACACAGGGAAAGAGAAAAACTAGGACACATCTTCTCTCTCATCAGTTTGACACAGCACTCTGCCACACCACTGACCATCTCCTTCCACTAGGACTTTTCAAACCAGGGGCAATTGGGGACATAGAGAAGAGATATCCCCTCCTAATCCTCCAAGCTTCCCTAGCCTCCCTAAGGGATGCTACGATCAACCCAGGAGATACTAGCGGCCCAGGAAAGAGATGTACCCTCCTAAGCTTTCCTAGCCTAACCAAGGGATGCTAGGGTTGACCCAGGAAATATTAAGGACCTAGGAAAGAAACATCCCATCCCAATGTTTCCTAGCCTCTCCAAGAGATGCTAGGGAAGGCCATACAGGAAAAAGGGGGAGGAACAATAGAAAAAAGAGGAACAAAAAAGCGAGGACACGGGAGCATAGAGGGCAATAGGGCACGGACGGAGGGGTTATGTGTGGTACGGCACGACGTATGTGGCGGGGAAGTATCCCCTGCGGGGGCCGATCTCTCCTTCCCACCAGTTAGCATCGGAGCGGTCGTGCACATTGATGATGTCGCCGCGGCGGAACTCCAGTTCTCCAGTCTCCTGGGGCTGGAAGTCGTACATGGCCTGCACCAGACACTGCGATAAAAAAATAAAATTAAATGGTCTATTTATGTTAATCTTGAGGACCAAGTCGGCATACACAGAATGTGTTTCTCGCGGCATTCTCTAGAGCTTGTAGTATCTGGATTTTAGTTCTTTTTTAATTTTTCTTTGGGTATAGCATGTTATTTTATTCCAAATTTTGTCCTTTTTTATGTGATGGTGGGTACGTCCCCATTGTCTCGTTGAATACCATTAATCGTTTGAATGCGGCCGCTGAACGTTGAATGCTGGTGTTCAACCGGTTAATTAATAGAGACAAAGTTAGCTAGCTTTGTGTCTCCCTGTCAATTGGCGCAATGGTAAAACGTTGTGCTAACAATCATGCGGTCATTGGTTCGACTCCAATTGGAGCGCGTTTCAAATTTATTCTCTCTTTTCAATTTACCTGTAACATTTCATAACAATTTCCCTAGCGTTCCGTCACACTTTCCTCGGGGATCTTAAACACATTCTGCGTTAAAAAAGAAGAGCAGATGACAACGGTTCAGTAGGTCATAGATGAAGGACCGGACTGGGAAAGGACACGGAACCAAAGCTCTAGCGACTGATACCACGGCAGAAGACGTCAAACAGATAATGTTGTAGAGGATGACGCTGCAGTAAATGGTACTAGAACATGACAGCAGACAACAATGAGACTTGCAAACAGAACAACAGCTTCACCCCAGACAAGCTTGACGTGGTCTGCTTTATACAACCGATAATTTAGCAGAGAGTAATGTAGACTTGTCTATATTTTCAAACACTGAATTGACGTAATGAGAAAGCAAAGGAACAAGATATGAATAGCAATGCCAACAAAGCATCACGTGTAATGGGTACCGCACGAGTGCTAGCAATGACATCCACATATATCTAGTGGCAGATAAAGATAGCCTTACTGTCGATTGCGTAGACCAGTGGTTCTCAAATGGGGGTCCGCAAAGGCATTCTAGGGGTCTGCAAAGCCCTGCCTCACCAGTCAAGCCCAACAATAAGAGTTGTCTTTTTTTTCGAACTGAGAAGAAACATTCCAGTTTTCAGGTGAGTTTTCTCGTATGTCAATGAGAGGAGTCTACTTCACACTAACCCTTAGCTATATTCATTTATTATATCATTATCACAATTAACCTATACCTTTCCCTTCCCCTACCACAAACAAGATTCTCCATCATCTCCACCAATCCACAAAGGGGTCCCCGAAACATCAATGGGCGAGAACCACTGGAGTAGATAATGTGAGCAGGAGACAAAGAAGACTTCACGTCGTCTCACACACCAAATCAGAGTTGCAGAAAGAGAGAACTATACACCAACAAACAAAGCGGACGGCACAATTACACTGTGACCCCTAGTTCCAATAAGAAAAAAAAGTCCAGAAAGTAAAGATAGATTGTGTATGCTGTACAGAATTATGAAGACAAAGATATGAATGGAAAGCATTACTACCTTGGTTTGATTACAAAGATTGCTCGTGCCAGTTCCCTAGAAGACAAATGTTAGGTTGCATGAGGAAAGACGCAACGACGAACATTCGGAACAGTGTTCATCAGAAAAGGTGAGGCAAGCTCTTTTGGCAAATAATCTTGCATACTTAATGGTACTATCAGATCACTTCTGCAGGGTGTACGTTCACAGTAGGAACAAACCATTCAAAGCTATCTCTCCACCATAGAACAAAAGCTCCTGCCCCTAAACATTGCCATGTCCAAACAAAGAAATACAACAACCTTGTTTACTGTATTTTAGTCTGATTCGTAATCAGCTCGCATCCTTTTTCCCATTGTCGTTTTCTAGAAGGTCGTCCCAGTCCCAGTCGTCTGCTAAGAAGTTTCTTTTCTAAAATTCTATCCAATCAATCTGAAGCAAACAACTTCGTAGCTAGATGACCTCATGCTGGCTCACCTCATAGCAGACAACCTCGACGACGATTGGCAGACAGTCGGCTAAACCACGTCATCAGTCAAAACAACGGCCGCCATAACCCCGAGTCAGTAAACGGGGGGGGGGGGGGGGGGGGGGGGTGGGTGTGCCATAATCATCCACTGGTCAGCGCAGCCGATGGCCAAAACGAACAACTTTGGGAAGGCCTAACGAGCGACGCGTCAGGGTTCGGCGAGCACTTGGAGGCTCAAGGTCAGGACCAACAATCGTGGCCGTGGGCCATCACAGAGTCGCGAAAATCCCGCATAATACGGCGCCACCCATGAAACCACACAGCTCTGGCCGGAGGGTATTGTGCCATGGTTTCCGGTCAGCCGCAAGACGCGCTCGCTGCGAATGCCCGGCCTCCAGCAAGCGCTCGTTGCTTTTCTATGCATGAACGCTTGAGGCAGCGGGAGTTTTCGGAAAGGATGACCACGCTATTCCCCGGGGAGGTTCCCACAACCAGCCAGTGTACGAATGGCACCCACCTCCTCAGGGTGCATGTCCCGAAGCTTGATGTCCTGGGAGCGAGAGACGGAGGCCGACCGGTGGTACTCGACCAGCTCGTTGAGGGAGGCAAACTTGACCACCCAGAGGAAGAACTTGCCCAGGGTGTCCCGCAGGACCTTGAAGTGCTGCACCCCGTCCCCGCAGCGCACCGACAGCGAGAAGTCCCCGGGGGAGCTCTCGCTCACCCGGATCAGGAAGGCCCCCTCGTGCTTGTTCGACAGCAGCTTCTCTGCGTCCGCACGCGTGATGCGGCCGTAGTACCAGCTGAAACCGCGGGGCAACGACGAGGTTATGAGTCGACCTGGAGACGGCGTGCCCCATACTCGCGCTCTCGAAAGCTCGGGAGTCGGGTCACGCTCCGTGTCGTTGGGGTACGGGACTGGGGCGCGGGACTGACCAATGTTACTCCATCAACTCGGTTGGCAAACTCCCACGGAGAGCGTGATCGCTTTTCGTACCCCTCTACCGGGTTGACGCTGTTCGAAGAGCCAATCTTCTTGCTCGCTGCTGCGCATCTTGCAACAGCGGTTCAAAACACGGCCACGGTGGCCAAGAAGGACGACGCTTCAAACAGTATTTCCGAATCATGGGGTCACCAGCGGAAACTGACGTGTGTCGGCGCGTGTTTTAGAAGGCATCACGCTCTCCGTGGGAGTTTGCAAACTGAGTTGATGGAATGATGTTGGGACTGACGTTCCAGGCACCGTTAAAAGTATACCGCAACCAAATTCTAGCACCTATTTTATTGTCTAAATGCCAACCACGTTTTGGCCACACTACAGAGACACCAATTTTCTGCTCGAAAGGACACCAAAACATTTGAAAGGAATACACCGAAATACTTTACGCCACTCTACACTTAAAGGCAGCGCCGCTCCGTGGAAGTATGATGGCAAAACTTCTCTGCCGCACCGATTAAACCCCTGCGGGGAGCGGGGAGGGGCAACTGAAACGGCCAGGTTGTTAATGCGTTGACGCCACCAAGTGGAGAAGCTCACAACACCCCGCCAGCTTTTATGCAGCCTCAGCCGTGGGAAAGCATGACGTCACGAACGCAATGCGTCTCGGGCACTCCCGAGATGCATTTCAACCTGGTAGGTTCAGTTGCCCCTGCCCGCAGGAGTTGAATTGGTGCGGGAGAGAAGGGAAATCCAGTTCAACAAGGTTCGACAGGGCTCGCACGCAAGCGACTTGCCGCTGCACTTCCCCGTTGCGGCGCCGATTTCAACTTGAGTGACGTAACAACATTCGGTTAATTCCTTTTCAACAATGTTTTAGTCTTTTTGAGCAAAAAGTTGGTGTCTTCGTGGTGTGTCCAAAACGGGGTTCACGTGTACACAGTCAAACAGGTGCTAAAATTTTGTCGCAGTACCCCTTTAAAACTACATCCGGACGCTGCCTCGTAACGAGCTTGAATTGTTGTTTGAGATATGCAATAAGTGACGCGGTCCCTAAACAAACTACCTGGTCTGGAAACTGCGGTGGTTTCCACCCTAGTAGCCGTTGTTACCACTAACAACCCTAATCCACGTTAAAATAATAAAAAAAATTTGAAAATTGAAATATAGAAAGTTTTGGTAATGTTTTGAAAGGCAGGTGTAGCACCCTTCACACGGTATTTCAATTATTCTGAAATAGTACGACCCCTAGGTCTCGAATATAGACGGTGTTTCCAGCCATTCATCTTTTAGATCCGTGGGGTTTCGCGAGAGAATAGTCACATCCGGTGACATCGTCCACGGCTTCTCCAAACCCACGTCCATTTGTTAGGTTCTCCAAGCGAACGGATTGGCCGACTCCCAACGGCGACAGCGTGCCTTTGTTGCACCAACTTGTCCCTAGAGAAAATGTTCCCACTACGCGCAACGAAAAGATTTCTGACCAGCTTATCTAAGGACTGTGTCGCCGACCACCCGTGACGAAGAGACAGGACAATGCGACAATGTACGGCAGCGAGCCACGCTGCGAGTCCGAGCGAAGGACAAGCTACGACGCTTTGAGCGGGCCTGCTACGCGTTCGTTGAGAGAATGCGTCTTACATGCAATGTGGCTGCGTTCGTTGAACAGGCTTCGCTCCCGCTCGTAGAAGAGATAGTATAGTCAATCCAATGACAAGCTGAATCGGATCCGCGCTCAACAAAGCAATGTAGAAAACATGTCGGGCGACGAGCAGAGTCGAGACAATGAGGAGCCAAGTAGACCCATTTCTGGGGTCCGGAAAGTCGTCGTCATCGTCATACCTCGAGCGCTCTCCCACAGGCGTTGCACATGCTGTACGGGTTGCATAACATCGTTACATAAAAGCAAGAAGCGCAAATTTAAATCCTTATGCAGAGGGAAACTGCATACCAAATAAGCGACACAAATCGAGTCCATACACATAGAGAAGCAAAGCTACGCCAATTTCTATCCACGCAGTTGAAAAGCGTTGGGGCCAGATTACAAGCTACTTACAACTGGTCGTAAGCAGTTACCAGAGGCTCAAGAAGCGGTTTCGAGCCTCTTCGGTCGCGAGCGTGCGAACCAGCCTTTAGTTGGTAGTGCTACAAACGTGGCACAGCCTCGTTGGGCTACATTGCCGCTAGACGGTTAATTAATAAGACAGACAAAGCACACTACACGAATGCAAGGAGACGTAACGTCTCCGAGTACCCCACTTTCCCGGGGTTCCCACCCCGGCTACTGTGCCCGAAATTAGCACCGACCGTGTAGGCACTCTGTACCGATCAAAACAAAAAGAGACAAGTGAGGGGCACAACCAACCCCACCTAGAACAAAAGGCCCATACATTACGTCGTCGTCAGCGCATCCCCGACCTGACCCGGCACGAGCAGCAAAGATCGACGAGAGACCCCTCGAAGAGGCAGATGCGTCCGTCGTGGTGTCGCCACACGCTAGCGTAGCGCCCGTTGCAGTACACCACAAGATGCACCACAGGTGACGCTCATTCAAGCTAGGCAGCGCTGCGTGGAAGTGACTACATGCGGGGGGGGGGAGTTTGGGCCTTGTCGTTTAGGCGGCGCAACTTACTCGTGTTTTTTCATCTCGATGTAGTTGCTAGGAATGAGTCCCTCCTTGGAATCGAGCTCGGCCCGGTACCAGTTCATGTCGTCCTCCATGTTCAGGACCTGCAAGGAGAGTGGCCCCTCCCGTCACTTCGACGCCGCACCTCCGCAGCGTTCGTGCTGCGCGGCACAAGGCATTTTGGAGTTGCACCGTTTGCGCTAACATACACGTCGGGGGCTCTGAGTCTGACGCTCGGCAAGACCGCCGACCACATTAACTGGCCTGTGCTGCGCGTCAATTGACCACTGCCGCGATCCTGAAACTAGTGCAGTCGGCCTAAAAAGGAAACCCCGATCGTATCTCGCGTTAAAACACTTCAATGTTATCGACCCTTAATCCTCGAAATAGAAGATCTCCGAACATTATATTTCCGCAAAATATTAAGGGATTAATCGTTATGTCTGACGCCAGTATTTCAAAACCATGTCTACATTGCACTGAGACAGACTGTATGAGAATTTCACTCGGTTCTGCACACTAACACACACACACAGCAAAAAAAAGAAAGAAAAAAGTTGGAACTATTGGGCAGTGGAGCAACGAGCTTGCCAACTTCGGTAAGCCCGAGACAAGATTGACTCTGACCCCACTCCCATCCCCTCCCTGTGTCCAAACAGAATTCTCGCCCCATTTCAAAGTGCGTCCGATAGCAGCCTTGTGATTATGCTTCGGAAGAGATAGGCACCGCCGACCTGACCGGCCCACAAAATGAAACTGCAACAGCTGCACCGTTCTCGAAAAAAGACGGAAAGGACCAGTTTGGCTCTTTCTGCTCGCTCAAAGTGGTAGTTCTGAGGTCAGAACGAGCTAAGAATCGACGTCTTTTGGGGGCGACTCCGCTTTTGTCTCTTCGTCGCTTACAATATTCCTCTACGAGCTACTGAACGACACGGAGACATTAGCGGCTAACGTCTAAAAGGCGAGTTGTCCATTCTTTGGAGGACGAACTGTGCGCTATGAGGAAGGCGAGTTGGTTAGCGCCACAGAAACAGAATTGCAGAGGGTGAGTGTCTTTTTAATGACACCCTCCAAGTCACCTACGGCGACCTCGAGCGTGGATCGTGTAATATGAAATGATTATGGGTCAATGATTGCCGTGAAATAGGGCAATGCAGTGTTCTTGTGTCCTGATCGAAATGGCCATTGGAAAGTTTGTTAAAAAGGTGATTTCACAAAGTCGAGGGCACCGCATATGTCTACCGGTCAACTTGTACAGGTCGCATTTCTGAAAATTTCGTAATCCGGCTGAAATGAACCTATATTTACACGTTTCAGCTGAAGACAGCGGCATTAGGTTAGTGCAAATTCACCGGTCGTGCAAGTGCCTACTGTAACAATTTGTCCTAAATAGACACTAATATAATAAGCTATGAGAACTAAAGCAAAAAAGAAAAACAATTATACCTTCATGCCAAAAAAGAAAAAACCACGCAATTAGTATTTAGACTTCTACCGAGCACAACAAACAGTTGCGTGCCAATAACACACACAAAGAAAAAAAACAGAAAAACCAGAGATGTGCCTCGGTATGTTACACAAAATACATTGCATCCAAATTGTTTCCTACTTGAGCTGTCAATAAATAAATAAATTTGGGGTTATTCGACACATCAGCTACAAAGGTTATAGAAGAAATAATGTAGACAAGTGGGCTTGTTGGTTCATTATTAACATTACAAACAGTGCAACGACATTGAAAGAGTAAAAGATGACAAACACCAGCACTGACCTACAACTACACTTTCCCCAATTCGGCTGGTTTTGGCAGTACTTGTAGTTATAGTCGATGTAAGCACCAATGAAGTTTAGTTGTAAGTCAGAGCCGGTGCCTGTCTGTTTTCTTTTACTCAGTCCATGTACTTTTAGTTATAAAGCATATCGAGCTCCGATCACATGCATGGCCATGCATGTGATCGGAGCCGATATGCATGCCTTGCTCAACACTGCGAGACTTGCGCTTTTAATTAGATACAAATCACGCTCTCGGGGAGTTCTTCAAACACCGCGTCAGAGGTGATCCCCCGAAGCAACCGACAACAAATGACGCTCAATTAGCAGGAAGAGCTGTCGCAATGTTTCGGAGCCGAACGTAGCGACGCCACGCATGGCCGATGATCCGGCAAGCGGTTGGGCGCCAAGCATTAACACAACCGCCGACTCCCCCGCTAACAGTTTGTTGCTGGCTGACACCCAGAGGTGCTCAAACGCGGGCACCGTGACTGCGGAAGGGGAAACGTCTCTTGAAAGCACCCCAAATGCTTTGTCACAAAACCTCCCAATCCCAATATTTTGTCCGTCTGTCGTTGGTGCATTTTACGGTTAATTTAGCGGGGAAATTGACGTCCTAATACCTGTGTACCGTCAGTTTACCTGCTAAATTTAGCAGATAAGCTAATGAAGATATAGGTGCTTCTACGCTCACAGAAATGAATGTTAAATGTCTTCTAAAAAATTTATACAATTGCTTTCTTTAAAGAAACACTGACAGGGTATTTATGCTCGCTAAGGTTTTTATTTGAACACGACGTATAAAAGGCCAACTACCCAGAATGCAATTTGCGGCTCAAAATTCATTTTATTTCTGCCCGAAAACAGCTGGTAGCAGTGGCGTAGCCAGAAATTTTTTTCAAGGGGAGGTGAGGGGGGTTGAGGTTGTTGGCATGTCCATGAATTGGGGTAGGTATGGAAGGGGGGAGAGGGGGCCAGGGTGCATGTCTTGTATTATAGGGATGGCTGGATTTCCGGAGGGGGGGAAGGGGGGGTGGCTGAAACCTTACAAGCCTCCTCCCCCTCCCCTGGATACGCCAAAGGCCAGTCGAAACTTGGTCAGTTTTAGCCACCCTCACTCTTTTCCATGGTCATGTGGCTTTCAAACTGCGTGTACAAGGTATATTCGAAGTCGTGGGTCATCTAAAGAACACATTCAATATCAGAAATATAAAAGAATATAAACCCCATTTTTGTGGCCTCAAAAAGCTGCAAACATGTTCATAAAAAAAAAAAAAAAAAATTGCACAGATTAAAGGAAGTACATGTACACGCCAATCCCAATATGACGACGTACCGCAGGCTGGACGACACGATGGCAGCGCACAACGAACCAACGTTGCGACGGATAGGGGGCCATTACTTAGGAACTGTTGTTCATTGTACCGGCCAATCGATCTTCGAGCGCAGAACATAGAGCGGAATGGATACAAGTGCGAAACAATCTCACGAAAAACGGTGCACGCAAATTTGTAGTCGTCTGCTTACACAATAAAGAGGCGGAGAAAAAAAAAAGAGCCCTGGAGTGTAGCTACGTGACATCCGGCCATGTGTGTGCTCGTGTTTCGGTTTCGAGCGGTTAAATTTTTTGCCTTAATTAAAATATACGTAACACTGCAGCAAAATATATATTGGGTAACAAAAAAAAAAAAACTTTTTTTTTTTTTTCGGAGGGGGGGGGGGGGGGGGGGGGGTGTCAAGGTCTTTTTAAATATACTGCATTTTGCGCATTATAAAACTTCAGAAATAAAGGATGCTGACAATCTTTTTTTCTTTTAAATTAGAAAACGTGATTGTGTTGTTATGCAAAGCCGTCGTAGCATGCTGCATCGCTTTGTTTCCTCTCCAATGACCCTTTCCATAATTCAGTCTGGCCACTTTGATCACTATCATCATCTGAAAAGAAGGCATACGTGCTATACTAATGGTGGCCTTCTGTTCACTGATGAACAAAGAAGTTGAAAATGCTTCTAAACAGATAATTCAAACCCTCTACACTCGAGACGTCAGAGCGATACGGAGCAGGAATGGGATGCAAGAGCTGTGTAAGCATTCATTTGTAACTCGGGCCCAGTCCTTCTATGAATAGCACACAATTGGCTTCAAAGACCCTTGATGTATAAGACCATTTTCCTTTTAACAAGGCGTCAATGTGGATCAACGCTTCGTTCTGACTGGTTGCATTTTTTTTTCGACATCGACACTGACAGAGATTGAGTAAGAACTGTACAGTGAGGTGCAAATTCTCTTTTGTCAGACTTGCGAAAGTGACGGTGCCCCATAAAACACAGCAGACTACAGGTTCATTGCCGCCATTAGTACGGTAAAAGTTAAAGTGTCCTTTGAGCCACCAGATGGCGCTGAATTCCGGAAAGGGTGGCAAGGGGTTTTTATAGCCTCGCTTTCTTTTCAGTGCAGAGTGAATATAGATTTCACATTTATATATTCTAAGCTTAAAGGGTAAAACAAAATGGCTAGGTGGAGCAAGCTACCGCCCGATCCAAAGGGCTCCGCCGGATTCATCCATCCATCCATCCATCCGGTGACTGTGTTTGTCCCTCTTGGAATCATTTCCAGGAATCATTTTTGTGATACCTGTCCAGCTCGCTTGCACCTTTGCATTATAATTACACACATATTTATTTTGTTCCAGGTGTTTTATTATATACTTCACATCATCATTATTTCAACGTGTTGTCCCTAGAGCACTATATAGCTCCTACGGAGCAGAGTAGTGCAATCCTTTGAACCCCGTGTTTTGCCGACCACATGGCCAACAGAGCGGCTCGGCGCGAGTCACGTGGTACTCAGGGTTCCAGGAGGCGGCCCGCCCTATGGGAGAATACATGGAGATCGACATAACACGGCTGATTAAAAAACTAACGGCGAGTTCACATTTTTCAAAACTAGCCTGCCGTGAAGTTAGTAAAGCGCTAAACACTTTATTAAAGTTTTAATAATATCGGATGCGTGTGCAAATTTTGAGAAGGCAATTTCCAAGGCAATGGCGTTTGAAGCAGACGATTTTTTCTCGCAGCGGAGATGGGCTTTTCGGGTTGGCCGGAGCGGGTCACGTGAATGGTGTGACGTCGCCGTGTCGTCTGCTGCATGATGCCGCTCGGGCAATTTTTTTTAAAAAGTTACGTCCTTGTATGGCACAAAACTTATCGCAAATTATTCTAAAATGTTTCATTATTATGTCAAAAATGATTGCCATTCCGTACATCCCCACAAAACTGAAGAAACAACGATTTTCTCACGTTCTCCATGCATATCTGACCGCAGTTGGAACCTCCGGGCGTTCGCCGCTAGTCGCCGAGAGACGGCGTTCTAGATTGCGCTACTCTGCTCCCGAGAAAGAGTATTGATGCATATGACATTGCTTGGAGAGCTGTTCTGTGGTTATATTATTTTACAGAAATATACCAGTTCCATAAAGAACCTTTTCAGATGAAAGTAAACATCTTCGACATAAATCTGTCTGGTTTGGGGAACAATTCGAAGGAGATCGCGCTGTCCCATTCCATTTTTAGTCACCCCTGAAGAAGGAGTCAAGTCGATCCCGAAACGTTGGGAACTCTTTGTTTCTGAACTTTTGGTTTGAGCTTTCTTTTTTTTGGACCTTTTCAGATGATATTACCTGTTGCCGTTTTGCGTGATGCAAAATAAGAGACATGGAACTGTGGTCTCCGTTTTACAACGAGACGCCGATGCGTTTCATTGTAAAACGGAGACCACAGCGCCGATGAGAAAAAAAAACACCGAGTGAGGAAGCGGGCGTCGCAGGCGACGACATTCTAGAGGAAGACAAAGTTGTCGTCACCGTTAAACGCAGGAAGCTGTTATAAAACACGCTTCCTAGTGCGCAAGAAATGGAGGAGAAATGTAATCTGCGTGCCGTTTTGACGGAAAAAGCGTAGCGGGGAGGAAGCTCACCAAATTTACGAGCAGGTCGCTTTAAGAGAGAAGCAAAAGGTCGCAGACGACGAGGAACCACTTTTTTTTTTTTTCTTTTGTTGTTCGCTTTCCGACATCTTTCTGTCTCCGCTTCCGTTCAAACAAACGAGGAAAAAAAAAAAAAGATAGTTATTACGAAAGAAACCTAAAAAAAGGAACACCGGTACTCTTTTTGTGTGGATGAAGCCATCGCCCCAGACAAAAAGTCCATCAGCATTACTGTTCCCCACTGGAAATAAACGTCCTTGATAACGATACAAGCGCAAAAAAAAGAAAAAGAGAGAGAAAGAAAAAAAACTGGACAAAGCGCAGAAAAGAAAAAAAAAAAAGAGGCCATGCACTCCCGTGGACAAGACCACACACGACGACCACTGGCCACTAAGTATTCGTCCAATCGAACAATCACCGTCGAGATAAACAGTAAGAAAAGATCGAAAAACAATTACCGCAATCCGTGAGACGCTGCACGTTTTAGCTAAGCTCGCTCAAAAACGTCAACCGAATCGGACGCTAAAAAAGACAAAACAAAAAGCCTTACCTTTAGCACTTGGCCTTTGCGAAAACTCAGTTCATCGTCGGCCGTCGCGTTGAAATCGTGCTTTGCGATGGCTTCCATATTTCGTAGTACACCTAAATGTCGAACCACACACACCACCACACCACGAATATTAGCAATAATAAAAAAAAGGGCTGGCCCACCAAAAAAAGAGGTCTGGCTAGGCTTAGCCCAGCAGACTCGTCGTTCGGGCTGGGAGAAACCCCACAGTTCACGAGACGGCGATATGTAGTCCGCTTTTGATTTCCGTCGCTCGGCCGCGTTGTCGGTGTCGCAGTCTTGGGTCAGGCACGTCGCTGGTTATCGAAGCTCCGTCGCGGACACAGCTTCGCCGTAGAAAAGAAAAAAACACGATCACAACAACGTTTTTCCCCCAAAGGTTAAAAACTCGGCAGCCGCCAGCACCTATCAACACAAACTTTCATTTCGAAAAACACAGAGCAGCAAATGACTGCGCGGAGTGGTCCACGTTTTTCCAGATTAAAAAGCAAGAAGGCATTCGACACTCGAGATTATGCGTTTCAGAAAAACATGTCGAGTGCAATGCAGCCCATTGTAACGAATAATTTAGGATATTATAAAGGGGGTTCAAGTTTGGAACAAGGCTTAGAGGCTGTTTTTAAAATAAAACAGCTGTCGGCGAAGTTATGCGGAACTACTTTCTCAGGCGGACGGACCGCCGACTGTTGTGAGCTCACGGAGCTCACTCGCTCCTTCTTGTCGTATGCAAAGCATGGGAGTTTATAAACTATCCTTGCACATGGGACTTGTACAGTCGTAGGTTTTAAGTAAAAATATGGTCTGAAATTATAAAGATGGCCATTGAGAATGCTCTATATAGACGCACTTTTGTTTGTTTTCGATTCAGGCCATTTAAACGTGCGTTCGATTATACCCCACCAGCGACACTCCACAATTTGACTTTGCTCACTCTAGAGTTAAACCCACGTGACACAAAACTGTGATAAACAAATTAATTATGTTACATAGTTATACTTATATTAATATTTTATTGGTTCGTAACTTCAATTTTTTTGTGTTTTATTTTGTCCGAGTTCAAAAAGTTTGTTTTGATTTTAAATAGATAAATAAATTAATAGCGCACTGATCTCTATGTGGGCTAGAGTTACCTGGCCAGTGTTTTTAAAGAAGGACTGGCGATCACCAGATTTAAAACTTATACAAATATTATACTATTGTAAGCATAGTTTATTTTTGTTTAAAAATTGATGAAAAATAAAGAAGGAAATTACAAATTACCCTAGCGGTCAATCCATGCAAACAACACCTGCATAAACTGCATGTTTTCCCCGCATCACAGGCGAATCGCTGCTGCGATCGCGGGATCGCCACAGCTGATGCTGTGCGGGGGGGTTGTCCCTACAGTGGGCCCCAGGGAACCGGCACAGCCGCCGTCTTCAAAACTCGTCAAAAAAATACAAAACGGGTCGAAACGTTAGACGACGTGATGCGCTACACGAACGCGACGACATCTGATCGAAACCGCCTCTGATAACCCTCCCCGAATTCGATTGGAGAACACCTTGAACACCAAGGACCCTCGCTCGGGCCGCCGCCGAGATGGCTGCGACGATCGCAAGAATCCCGTCGGAACCTCGTTACATAGACACCTTTTTCCACAAGTACGCGCTTTCCGTGGCCGCCGCGGCCGTCGCAGAAACAGGTAAGTCCGTGTCTTCCTTATTACCTTAAAAAAAAAAAAAAAAAAAAGTTGAAGATTGCGGCGTGTGATCTTGAGACATTGTGCAAGTGCGTTTATCTGTGGCGCGCAAGGTCAAAAACACATTTTTCCGAAGAGGGCATCGTAGAGACGATAAAACGTAATAAATAAACAAATATATGGTCGATGGGGGGAAAAAAAAATCTCTGGAGTGCGAGATCAAAGGGCGCGAGCACCTGCGATGTTTTTGTTACAGCTATAAGGTGCACCGGTTGTAAAAGCACACGCGCGGTTTCAAAGGGGAAAGCAAAAATCCCACTCGGAGATCAGATATGAGTGTTTGCTGAAAGACGTGTTTTTCCGGGGTCAAAAAACATATGCGCCCAAATTTGAAAGTTTTAGTTTGGGCTTGATTATAAAATAACAATAAAAACTATCGGCACTAGCTCGATGCAGGTTCTATCTGTATGCGTGACGAGACGTATTGTTTACAAATAGGGAAGAGTACACAAACAAAACACAAGGTTCGAAGCCGTGCATCATTCTCTTGTCTATCTTTTATATCTACTGCACAGCTCCAGACGAGACTCTTCATCATAAATTATGTCTCATCCACCGCAAAAAAGCTGTTAAGGGAATAGTTAATCTTAAGTTTGGATCCATTTACGAATATCTTTAGATGTTTACTTCTCCAGGAGGTCCCCCTTTATGCGGGGAATTAAGATAACTGTATACATTAAAAAAAGTTCTTGTTCCATCAAAATGCACATTGCACGACGCTATGAGAGCACAAACACGACTTAGGCGCTGTTTCGCACTTCGCTTCAGAAAGGGTACTGGTGGGCATCAAAATATGTACCACTTTGGTTAGCATCCTAACTGAACACTTTCTACCACAGTAGTTTTGATGACAGTCCTTCAATATACCGAGAGAAAGACAGAAAACTGGGAATGACTTGTTTGCACTAACAGTCTCGTGGAGTGTACATGTTTCATACACACAAAATGAAAGACGTTTACTATTCGGTCTAATGCGAAATTAGAGCGCAGCTCTTGAGGAGGAGGACGGGAGGGTATGCCTCCCCTCCCCCTCCGTACCCTCCTCGCCTCCCATGTAGCAGAAAATGTTTGCTAAATTTCTCGCTAGCTTCCCTGCTAAATTTGGCGAAAATTTTCCCTCTAATTTTAGAGCAGGGAAATTGACGGCATGTGACCTCAACACCAATTCAATTTCCCCGCTAAATTTAGCGGGGAAACCGTGGTGTCCGATAATGCAACGCGCGCGGTTACGCTGATGTTGACGCCGCTAAACCCGGAAACGGGCGCCTAAGAGCTGCACTCTAAAAGCAGAGTTTGTTTCTCCAACTGCCAAATCAATTACGAGAATTAGTTGTGCAGCGTATGAACTGTGAACCTTGTTTTTTTGCCTCGACATAGCAATGAACATAAATTTCTGAGCCTCGTCAGATTTGAAAAAAAGGAGAGTTAATTAAAGAGGCTGCTTGAAATTCGTCTTCAACATACCCTCGAAAAGGGACGAGCGTGCTCATGCGTCTTCCTCGGATCTCTGACAGTGACGTATCCTCTCGACATTGTCAAGACACGACTCCAGGTCCAAGGAGAAATGGCAGCCAAGGGCCATCCGGTCGATCGCCGAGGGTTCTTCAAGACCGCGTCGGGCATAGGTAAGGCGTTTGGCGTAAGCAAACTCGAATCGCCTTTTTACGGCCCCAGTCCCCGAAGCACAAGTCGTTCTTCATTGTCGGTAGCTCAGGCTTTCGAGCGCACGTTTGGGGCTGCGACACGAAAATGGGTGGCGCTTAGAAATTGGTGTAGGCCATGTGTCGAGGTCACGACGGGGCTCTTTAGTTTTAGGTAATTCAAACACGTCTCTTTAGGATCCATAACCATAAAGTTCCAATTTCACAATTCGTAATGCAGCTGTTTTTAACGAGGAATGTGTTCTATGTCTCGTTTGAACGAGAAAATCGTCCTGAACGAATATCAGGAAAAAGCGTCGTGAACAAGGTACACGACGTTAAGGTTATATATAAAGTTTACAAATAAAGTTTCAGCCCCAGCGGGGCTCGAACCACAGCCGGTGCGGTGGCAGTCGGATACCATAGCCACTGAGCTGCGTTACACAGCTGCTCTGGAAGGATCGGGCTCCAGCAGAACGTGCCGGCAGGGGCGGTGCGACATCATTCCGCACGATCGCTCGCCTCATTGTCGTTGTGCATCGTGCAAGAACCATATAAGGTAGCGCTTGTGCAGCGTGCTCGTTTGCTCGGTCTCGCCTTGGCTGACACCTGTGTGCACGCCAAAAAGACTAGCGCAAACCACGTGGAAGGGGGGGGGGTGTCTTGTACTCATGTCCAGTGCGCCTGTGTGGAACGTGCCCCTCCAGGGACACCTTCTGTGCTCACTAGTCTTTGTCAACATGATCGAGCAAACAAGAATTTTTTTTATTGTCAAAGCGGATAAAAATTGTGCAGCCTAAATTACATTTGGCGGACGAATATTGGTGCTGTTAATAACTTTTGCACAAAATATAAATCCCAGTGTAGTTTTCGCAAAATAAAAGTCCTTACTCCCAAATTTATTTGCGAGCGATAAGATCTCTTCACCTCTCCCCCACCAGACGAAAACAACTCTGACAAATTTATCTTAAAATGAGCCGTAGAAGATGTAGATTATTCTCCATTTGAAGAACGCAGAGACTAATAAATCAAGAACTCTACCATACCGCCTCCAGCCTTGACCTGAATTCCAACCTACTACCAAGAACACGCGCTTACAAGTGCTAAAGGAATGAAGTGTCACGGTGCATTGTCCACGCTTCATTGGTTGGATGCCCGCTGTAAATGAAAATGCGCAAAAATAGGCGAGTGCAGACACCTATGCAAAGAAGAAGTTACTCGCAGCGTGTTCTTGGCGCTCGATTGATTTGGCCGGCGCATAACCTTCATCAGAAATAGAGGGACAAGGGCACGAGTCGTTGACGTGTGAAATGAAAGCACGAAATACGATTAATTAGCAGTTGAACGGAGCAAAGTGCTGTTTTGTACAACGGTACATAATCACTGCGAGGCACTGTGAAAAAAAGAAAAAGGAGATTACGGTTGATGGTTTTAACTGCAGAGGATGTTAATAGTGTGTTTTTGGCCTCCAAAACGCGGAGCTGCACAGCGTTGTTGGAGGTCAAATACGTTTGAACAAAAAGATAATTATCACCGTGCCATATGTGTACCGTTTCACAGCTCCGTTTTGATACCTTGTTGCTAGGTGTGTCGGGAAAGGAAACAGCTTGCAATGTTTAAAACGTTGCGCAAAGCGAGCTTAGCAAAGCTTCCGGGTCTGTTTTGCAAACGTGGCCGACTTTTTCTCTTCCTGCTTATACTTATAGTATACCAATTTTTAGAAGAAAAACTTAAGTGAATTTTAGACATTCTAATATTACAATTAAAAGGAGACATCAGTCTTTGGAACAAAAAAGCTCCTAAAAGACTGTTTGCTAAGAAATGGCCATTTTAAAATCTACAGCTATTTTTATTTTGATATGCCAAGTTTCTTATTTTGAAAATTAAAATTAGAGCCATAATATCACTTTATAATACCTATGCGGGCTGAAATTGCACTGAAGTTGACACTGAAACAACACTTTCTCAAAACAGAAATGTTGGACTCTGCAAATTTTCAGGAGGGATATTTCAGCATCTAAAGCAGATAGAAATATCACATTTTCATCAACATGTAACTGAATGTGTGAAGCATACAATGTTGGAAGCAAATTTTTCAATATAGGTCTAAGAAAAATTTCAACTAAAGTATTGGTTTATTGCTTAGTAGCTACAGATTGAACACTGGACTTCAATGTGTTGTAAAGTCACTAACAATGATGGAATCTAAAAAGTGCTCCCAATATTTTATTATAATATAAATAATGGAAAGAACACAAAACACAAGGACAGACAAGACTATTCTTGTCCATCATTCCAAGTAATTCTGCATTTTTCATAAATTGCAGTATCAAGCCATACGTTAAAACATGATTTCTTAAAAATGAATTTTCACTATTGTTTTTGGAATAAAAAGGTGAGTTAATTATAATTCTCCTGAGAGAATAAAAAATACCAGACATTTGAGATTAGCGCAAAAATCGGAACACGCTTATGCTATTTCGTTGGGTTTGTAAAAAAATGTGGAAGAAAGCTTCAAGACCAGTTTTCGACCTTAACAATTGTAACAATTGTACTTGTAAACCTTTGCCATACGATAATTGTGTCAAGATTTAATGTGGACGAACATTTATCGTGGGATCGTCATGTGGAATTTGTGATTAAAAGACAATGTGCCGTTTCAGCATATTTGTACAGGACAAGAAGCTTGTGCCGCATAAAGTTAAGACTACTGCTGTATAGGTCGTTATCTGAATCTATTCTACGACATGGAATCACTTTATAAGGGCACTGTTCTCCATACAAGACGAATGCAATAGACAGAATTTCAAAACATATGGTGAAAAACATTACATACGGAACATTAGAGATGGAAGATAAAGCAAAGAAGCTCCAAATTTTATTTTTCAAAAATTTTCGTAGATATGTTACATTTATAAATTATTTTTATGATTTTACGTTCAAGGTTCCAGTTGACAAGCCTAAGGAACTAAGGCGTAAAGAAAGGTTTAAAATCCCCAGAATCTACACACGGTATGGAAAAAGATGTAGAACTCACTATATTCCCACCTTATTTAATGCTTACTGGGCTCACTTTAATGAAAATAAATTCAATAGAGGTACTAAAAAAATAATTAATAAATTGGTGCCTCTCATTAACTCCATAAACACTGTTTTTCGATAATGATTTTTATTAGTTGCATTCATTTTTGTTTTGTCGAATTTGGGTTTTGTTTTGTATTAATGTTGGTGTCAATGGCCACATTGTACTTGTTGGATTTTTTTATCTTGCTGCATTGATATGTATTTCGCTGGATTGACTAGTCCTATGCACAAGCAGGATTCTGCTTTTGTAGGCCAGCAGTATTTCTATGTATTTGTAAAGTGAATAAAAACATTCTTATTATTATTTATAAACCATGTAGCAGAGATATCAAATCTTCTATATGGTGTAAGCTCTCCAACATAAAGATGGCTTTTTAATGAAAATATTTTTATTCTATCGTTATCTTTACTGTATGAGTACTGTCCCAAACTCCTAGCTGTGCCAATACTTCAGGCATACTTGGACTTTACTTAATCATATCCGTATCTTTGCTACCGGTTTTTGCTACGGTTCTACTGCAATACCGACTAAGTTGTGATCCAAACAGATGATCCCTTTCCCACAGGCAAATTCCACGAACTGATTGTATCAGTGGAATCGTGTGCATAGTGGGAGGAAAGGAGAACACAATGTCAAATGCAGCCACTTGCTCTGAAGGTGATAGTCACTAGACTCACTCATTCACCTACTCACTCCCTCACAAGTCATTTTTACGTGCTGTGCTTTGTATGCTACATGTCTTCTCAGAACTCTGAAAAACACTGGTGAGAAGACACGCCATTTTTTTTTCGAAGTTTTAAAAATTTACTTATCATTCCCCTTACACCTGGGCGCAGCAGATTTCAACGAATCTCGAACGAGGTACAGACGCACGTGCAGTGTTAAGCCACACCGCACGGGTTGTAAAACCTGGCGCTCTTGAAATTACGTTTCAGTGAAAGAAGAAGGGCTGGTGAAACTCTGGAAGGGCCTGCCGCCGGCCATTTATCGACATCTGAGTGAGTATCCGTCTGTAAACAAGAAGAGGTAGGACAGAGGTCGTTGTTGAGGTTCTAAAAATTGGCCCTTGTTCCGCACTGTCTCGGCAAAGGCAGCGGTAGCGAAGAATGTATTGCGTGTCGCTTTGCGGCGGTCTTTGCGTTACTTTTAAAACGTAATTCGTCACAGTTGCAGTTACTTTTACTTTTAGAAAAAAAAGTAGCGAAGTTACCGTTACAGTTACAATGAAAATGTAACTAGTTACAGTTACTTCAAAATGGTATTGGCATTACTTTTTAATTACTTGTTTCATAACACATTACCCTAGTTAAGATAACTAGGCTTTACACATCACCTCCACACAGGCTATAGCCAGATCGCAATTCGTAAGCAACTACGTACAGTGTAGACCACATATAACGTATGTCGCGGGAGTCACGAAAATCTGCACTATAAGTGGTACCGCGCTAGAACCAAAACATAAATTTTTCAGGCCAAAATACATGCCATGAGACAACTTACCTTTGTAAAAGAATTTATTTTATGTTAGGTGAAAAATAAAGCTTAGTTTGAGGAAAGTCTTTATTTCACCAGACTAGTACACTTCTCTCTCAAGTGTGTCACACATATGAAAGAAATTAGTGACTTTTGCCTGGCGCAGCCTTTTAACGGCGTCGCAGGTTGCGGACGGACGTTGCGAGCATTCAGGATTGCTAACCCTAATAATTTTTCTCCGCTGATGAAAGTGCGTGAAAATTCGCATCCTTTATTCGGTATGCGCCATTAATACCTTCAACTTGAGCACAGGCATGAAATGCTCCAAATAAGAAATCCGGGCGATGTTTGAAAACACAAATGCTTAGAAAGCACCACTGTAGTCAAAGTAAAGAAACACGACGGCACGGCCGTTTCTGCCGTCTTGAGAGTGCCGCCACGACATCGCCGCACGAGTATGTGGATCTTCCCTTCTGGTACGTGCTGGGTTATCATAGCGACACACAACGAAAATTCACAGTGAAGGATAGTGCTTTTACGTGGAACGATTAGCTTCCACCACGCCGTCTACGTCGACGATCACAACCGACGCCATGTTTGCGGATAGAAGCAGCCGGCCCGCGACCGGCGTGCAACGCGCGCGAACACTTCTCCTCGACTTGCGATTGGTCTGTCGTTGCGGTTGTTTCCAACGTTTCCAACGTAGCGGAGGGACGCACGCACGTGAATGACACGTGCGTGCGTCCCTCCGTCGCTATGGCAACTGAAGCCTCTCTCTTCGCTTCTCCCCGCTTCTTCGAGCAACCTCCTTGCCCCGCGAGTGCCGCTTGCGGCTCGCGCCATTATCTAGTGTCGCACAGGGAAGCGTGCTCGCTGCGCCAGTCGGTCGGCGCGGTCGGCGGGCTGTTCCAGAAACCGCACTATAACCGGTATTTCCCTTCGCGCGCCTGCATTTTAAGCGGTATGTAATTACATGGAGTTCTATGGAAGGCGAACCGGTGGTTTAAAAGAGCCGCATTATACCCGGTCCTGCACTATAAGCGGTTATGTTGTAAGTGGTCTATACTATTCTCAAGTTGTCGCAGGGTGAACATAGCGCTCGAAATGTCGGAACACATCATCTGGAAAGGGCAAGGAATGGCTAGACTGTAGTTGTTCTATGATACCTTAATTCTTAAGAAACTGTGAAGAGTAGCGACAAAAGTAACATTGTTACTTTCATCGTTACTTTAGAAAAAGTAATAGTACTGCAGTTTCAAGTTACATTTAAAAAAATTAACACTTACAGTTAGAAGTTACCGGAGAAGTAACCAAGTTACAGTAACGCATTGTTGTCAGAATTCTGTTTACCAAATACTGCTTCGTGATGATGTCGCACAAACTCGATACGCGTGCCTCGGTAGCATGAACATGGAGTCGCTGAAGGAAAGCCCCGTCGAAGCTAACACTCGAGCAGGAGGGGAACGCAAAGTTTGCGTCTCTTGCAGTGACACACTTTAGCCTCGACCCTGCTGTTTCGCGTCTCCCCGTTTCCTCAGAAGCACGTGCTTGCCCTTTTCCCCCTCACCTCCTGCGCACCCTCCCAACATATGTGCGAGCACGCTTCCTCGACACCTAGATAATAAGGCTCCAGTGTCGGATCTTCTGCATCACCTGCCAGAGGCTAGCACAAGGCACAGATTTGACGCGAGTGCTGCTTTGGCAATTTGACTTGGCACAAGCTCCATTTTAACGCACTTGCGTCCAATCTGTTTTTGTGCGACACTTTTCCGTTACAGGAAAGTGCTGGGAGCCAGCCACACAACGCATTCTGTGGTAATAAGATCAAAGAAAGGCACACATCACGGGACAGTGTGGGCTAACTACGGCTGGTTTTTTGAGCTGCAGTATTTCAAGGTTGCATCTAAAAGCTTTGCCTACGAAGCTATGCTGTCGGGCTGAATTGAATGTGGCGTCTGCTTTTGAATGTTTGTCCTCGATGAGAGGAAGGTGTTGAGTTGCTTTGTTTCTTGTTCTCTGCTCAGTCTACAGTGGTTGCCGGATGAATTTCTACGAAGGGATGAGAGACCGCTTCCTCAAACCAAAGGACGGCACTCGAGCTCCTCTCTGGTAAGGGTGCCGCTTAGTTTGTTGTCGGAGTTCTGTTTACTTGGGAGCTGATACAAACAGCATGTTTTTTCTTAACCACGTGGTAGAACATTGTCGATATCTTTTCATAAGATTGCGATAAAAGAGGCATATGATCCGAGAAAACGAAGCTAACGATAACGCTTTTACGTGTCTACATATGAGACAGGGAGAAGCTCCTGCACAGCCGCTGCTTCTAGCACAGCGGTGCAAAGTGGGGAAGCTCACGCATGTGCATGGTGTGCAATTACAAATTTTGAACTCGTGTGAAATGGAGCTACTAGTGTACATAATGGAATAAAACAGCGCGAAAGATACAAAAGGGAAGAGGCAAACCGGTTTGTCTCTTCCCTTTTGTATCTTTTGTGCTGTTTTATTCCATTATGTACAACGATTACCAACTAACCCAGCTACCAACCTTACTGCAGCTGCTAGTGCACCGGAGAAAGGGAGGGTAAGGTGAATGAGTTGTTGCGGAAGCCTTAATCCCTTTAAAGCCCGGTTGAAGGCCATGCCCACTCGGTAGGAACGATGCAAGTGCTGTGCAGAGAGACAAAAGGGTGGAAAAGAGGGAGCAGCAGATCAAAACGAAGAGGGTGGCGCGACAGAAATCACCGACTGAATCGGATGGCAACTTGGATACAACAGCCTGGAAAGACAAATGCAACAACTGGGAAAATAATCATACATATATTCCTATGGGTGTTGAACAGGAATAATTTTTGTGAAGGTAACACAAACACATAAACCAAGAATGTACCAACTTGGTTCTACGTTTCGATTCCCACCCAAATCAATCAATAAACACTCTCACAATGCGAAGCATCTATGAGACGCGGAATTGCCATTTGCCGTGTTAAGCCTCGTGCTGCTTAAACAGTGAGGAACGTAGCTAGAAACCATCGATGCAGGTCAGGATCCCAGTCTGTCTTCGTAGTGGACGTCCTGTCGGGTCGTGTGCCTTGGCGGTGAAGAGTGATTGGCGCGTCCTGCCGTTTGTTCTGACCCAGGAAGTGTGTCCTGGTGGGAGTCCTGGCTGGAGGACTGGGCCAGTTCCTGGCCAGTCCGACAGACCTGGTCAAGGTGCAGATGCAGACGGAAGGACGCCGGGCACTCATGGGACTGCCGCCCAGGTGGGTCACAGAGGGCGGGGCGGCACTTGTCGCACCTGGAGCGTGACAGATGCAGTCGTATGCGGAGCCAATTTCCAAGACGGCTGTGCCTACCGGACGGACACAAAAGATCTGTTTCAGCGAGGCTATGGTGCGTGGAAGGCGTCTCCAAATTGGAGACGCCTTCCATGCATATTCAGTCTCCTTTTCTGCATCCAAATTGGTCCCCAACTGGCAACAAATGACCTCGCAAAAGCCGGAGTGTCATGCTGTCGGATGTCGCGATCCTGGAGATTGGTCGTGGAAGTTCCGGCTAGAAGCACGGGCAGTGGTGTGATCTGTCCGAGTCATTTTGGAGCATCAAAAGAAACTTTTGGAGCATTTGTTTGCAATTCAGTATTATTCGTATCACTTCAAATATTATATGTAAATATTAATGTGTTGGCTCGTCCATCGGAAGACATGATCTATTTTGCCTTCCCTCTTCTGGGCAACTTTTTGTTAGCATCAATTGCAAGGCAGGTTCGATTCCCTCAAACACGGAACTAGCTGTTGCGCGTACACGTGCCAAGCGTGACGACAATATGCTGAATGATGAAGGAGAGTATGAACTGCTGCGACTTGTTATTTTAGGTACAGAGCCAAAGGTAAACCAAACAGTATATTCCATGAAAATCATGTTAGAACAGAATGATAATCAGTACCCAGGTTGATGTTTCATTAAAGTCCTAAAGGTTGTAATAAAACTTCAATTATTATTTGAGATAAAAGCCAAGCTTTTGTCACTTGATTATTAACGTTAATTTCAATTTATATGCATTACTTCATGATAACGAAAATCAGAATGTGAACAATGAACAAGCCTTAGAAACAATTCAGTTGAACTCGTTAAGGTTATTGTCAAGTTTCCATCCACTCCTTGAGCTAATTAAGTTTTACTTTACTCCATTCACGGTGCCATTGCACAGATGGAGTGTATGTGAAGGTAATAACCAAACCAGCGAGTGGATATAAAAAATAAGCTTATAGAGAAGTTCATGTAAATATTCCCGTAATACGCAGGTATCCTTGCTAAATCTCTAATCTGAACAAAAAGCCATCAAAATATTGTAGTCTATCGTATGTGCTAGCCAAATTTTATTCAGAATTTTTTACAGCGTGGCTTTCTCCTAAGGCCGCGCTGTGGCGAAGCAGCGTACGAAAAATGGCGATGGTTCCTCCGCGGTTTTCGCTTCACTGCAGTGCACCAGTGCACAATGGGAAGCGCACTCAAAGAACTTAACCTAACGCACCAGGGACCCTAAACTCGTGAAACACGAAGTTGGGGCCGAAGTTGAGGGAGCGCACCGATTGGGTCAATCGTGATGATGACTTGGCACTTTCGTCGCCAACATCCAATCGGCGCGCTCCGCGAACTTTCGGCCCGAACTTTGTATTTCATGAGTTTAGGGCCCCAGGACTGACTACAAACGAGAAAGCACTGTACGACTTCAGAGTATTGTCAGTGTTAAGGCGAATGTCCCCCCGAAAAATTAATACGAGCCTACCATAATGATTTGGCTGTGTAGCAGATTCTCTGCTAATATATTTTCAGTATTAATAAAGAGAAATTACAGTGGTGGAACTGACAAATAGCGATTTGGAGCAGCTCTTGTAGCAGGGAACAACGGGTTTTGCAGCAGAGATTCCCACTTTTGTAGCAAACAATTTCGAGCTTTCGTGTCAAAACATTTTATACAATCTCTTTAAAAGTTAGCCTGTGGAAAAAAACTTCAGTTGTTGGAGTGTTGGGAGACTGTTTAAGGTATCATACCTACAGGGGTCTGGCCACTACAGATATCCATTTATTTATTGAACAATCATACACCGGTAACTTTCCAGATGTTTCAGTTAACCTACTAGGAGTGCAAATGGCGTCTTCGGTTTGTGTTTGGCATAAAAAAAATGTTTTGGGCTAATTTGTAGAGTTTGTATCACGGTGACGCAACTGTTGCAAGTTCGACATCAAACGGACAATTTTGTGAAGAATCCGTCTAACGCTGCCTTCGCTTGTATTCAACCTGCTACTGTTTTTAGAGTAGCTATGTGCTCCGCTTAGCTGCTCTAACTGATCACAACGAGTAGCGCTACCTATTCATGCATTATGTTTGCATAAAAACCGATAACTTCTCGTTAGGCATGTGCAAGTAATGGATTTTGGGTTCGAAGCATATTCAAAGTAAATAGTGGTTTCGGCCAAATATTTTTGATTCAAATATTGAATAGTTGCTGCGCCTTTCTCTATGCCTTTCACTACTGTTACACCATGCTTAAAGGAAAATTCCGTTGAACTTGCAGCTTTGTTAAATTTAATCTAGCTATATTTATGAAATGTGGCCTCAGACAGTCCAACGCCTATACTATGATAGCAAGTAAATGACAGATTTGACATAAAATTACGGTAAACCATAAGGGAGCCCCACCACACCTATTTGAGAGGATATCTTGCTACATGAAAATATTTTTTTCAATTCTTAATTAAAACAAAATGAGCGCAAGTAATGAACTCGGGTTGTTAAAACAACGCTGCCTAACATACACCCTTACGTAAAAGATTTTACTGCAATATAAATATCAACAATCACGCCTTTTTTTTCTTTAATTATGTTATGCGCGCGTGCGTTATATTACTTTGAAGGTGCTTTTTTTGCCTGCGTGCGCGGCTGCGCTGCGGCGAAGCTAGTCGCGAGGTCGCGGTGTCAGCTCCGCGGGTATTGCTTTTTCGCAGTGCACCTGTGCTTGAGGAGAAGCGCACCCAAGGGGGCTAACCTGCCGCGATCAACACTTCGAAAAGTATGAATATTGCGGTTAATTTTGAAGCGAACATCAAACAGCGTATAATTTGAAACTAGTACTTGATAATTCAAATATTCGCGCAGCCCTACTCTTTGCTCATAGTAGTGAGGCATCCAAAGAAAGAACAACTGTACTTTCTTCATTTTCAGTGGCATCGCCAAGAATGCCATGTGCCAGACACTTTCAGTTTCCTTTTTGAGAACAGCTCCCTTTTGGTGCAGACATGGCGAAAATTGAGCACAAATACAGCCTTTGGAGCGGCACGTAGCAGGGTTTTCGTTCTGGCACAGTTTGGCACAAATGGCGCAGCAGTTCCAACACTAAAATTATGTTTTGGTGCAACGTTGGTGCGAATTCATCACATTTTGTCTAAATTTAGCAGTATGTAGTGGGGTGAGCACTTTGGCGCAGCAGTCGGATCACTAACGAGTAAACGTGAGTCAAAGTCACCCGTCACGGCATCCCTCTGGCTGCCAAAGCTTTCGTGAATTGTGAAACTATGAAGACGAGACCATGATGGTCACAAAAATTGACGCCAAGGGTACGCCATAAAGAATTTCTGGATTCACTCACCTTTGCAACGATCATTGGGAAAGAAAGTAAAGGTTCGTCTGGAGTAGAGACCCTTAAGGTCACACGAATCATTGGAAGAGTGCTTGTAACATTTAAAAGTAAAGCTTGACATGAATATGAGTTCAACTTACTCACTCTTAGGCACCCATAATGATGAGGCATAACCAACTATATCAGGGACTTAAGTGGTCACATGGAGCGTGGTAGTCGCTAGCCAGACATCAACTTTGCTCGTCACACAGTCACTTTGAGTCAGCGGTGAACCAACTATCCATTAAGCGGGTGCCAAACTAGCCCACTGAATACGGTTGAAGACGCGTAAAAGCATACCAAGTTTAATTATACAACCCATCAGCCTATCGGTGAAATAAAGACATTAATTGCAAACCCCCCTGTTCACGTTAAAGAAATGGAATTTAGGCCCTCATCAGACTCTTTTTTCACGAATGCATCTGGTTAGTTGCATGCCTTCTTACCAGTGCAGCACCACTGCGACTGGTTGACTGGTGGCGCCCTCTCTAACTGCTCGTTGGCTGGTTTTGTAGGGTAACAAACACGTGGCAGGCCCTGCGGAGGATCGCGTCCGAAGGTGGCATCCGCGGGCTCTGGAAAGGCACGACTCCCAATGTCTACCGAGCCGCCCTTGTCAACCTAGGAGGTGTGTCCTTCTCGCCCCAACCTCGAGCAGTGTCGTTGACCCATTTTGTGTTTTGTGCAGCAAGATTGTTGTAATACTACGGCACATATGTTGCTGCATTGCTGCGCGGCATGCTCCCAGTCCCAGTGAAAAACTGAACATTAGATTTGACCATCGGAGGTAATTTCGAAGAGAAACCGAAATCTCGGTACCTTTACCCCCATAAGCTTCTATCAAATTGTGCGCATTTTTTTCGGTATGCAACGATTTTGCATGTTGCACTGCTGTCGTTGCTGCGAGCAACATTGATGTGCCCTCTTGTTGTAATAACATTGCAGCCTTTCAACTACTGCAGCAAGCCTCGTTGTTGTACTGTACTAACGCAGTATTTTTCACTCTTATGCTAAAACAGTAGTGTTGCTTGCAATACAGCGATGCTATTTTTGCATTTTGATGAACAGCGTTAGGTCTGACTAGAAGTGTCCACACTTCTATCTCCGACTGTTCATTACTGAAGTGAGACGTCTCGAAATTTGTCTGTGGCTGTGCACAAGCACAAGTGATCTTAGTGGCAGGATTAAACTTCCAATGAAAATTGTATAGATTGTCTCAACAGTTGTCCAACGTAAGGCCTCTTTTGCACGAAGAATCCGCACGTAACAACAGCGCATTCCTTTTGACTTGAATCCCTCGCCAACTTCTCGAGTCTTCTGCCCATGGGTGGCCGCCCTGACTAAATGGTAACTGTTAGTAGAAACTCTGGCTGGGTGGCACAAACTGCTGCCCAATTTAAGTAGTTTAGTTGTACTCATCCATCCATTCATTTGTCCTTTCTTCTGTTACAAGTTTTCCCCGCATTGATCTCTGTTTCGTCTCGGCCGTTGTCTCTCCAACCCAGACCTGACGACATACGACACGGGAAAACGACTGCTGCTGCAGCACACGAACCTCAATGACAACTACTTCACTCATTCACTCGCCAGGTCGGTCAATCCCAGCGCCTAACAAACTTCCAAGTCCCTGCACTATTGGAGCTGTCCAAGTATAGATTATTTCACAATTTTTTTTTTTATTGATATCGCAATTGACTTGTTGCAACGGTATCGCTGTATCATTATATCCGAGTATAGGTTATTTCACAATTTCACAATTGATTTATTTCACACCTGAGTGACTCTTTGCAATCTATCGGAGCTGTCCCAGTATAAATTATTTTGCAGTTGAGTGATTTCACAATTGGGGAGCGAAAGTTCGTCTGCTCCTTTTGCAGGGGTTGCCGTGACGTCAGAACGCCGACCTCTGATTGGTTCTGAATGAAGGATAGTGGGTAGACCTCAGGGCAGCTTGCTTTGAGGTCTATCCACTGTCCTTCATTCAGAGCCAATCAAAGCAAGGCGTCTTTCTAACGCCACCGTAACTCCCGCGCAAGAAGCGGACGACTTGCTCTTCGCATTGCATCACTATCACTGTAAGGAGTTGTCCGAGTATAGATTATTTCCCGAGTCATGATACTGTCACTCAAACTGGTCTAAATAAGATTTCACAATCGATTGGTCGGTTTATCTGTCCTGCCGAACAGTGGGATGTCTGGGCTCGTTGCTGCCACGCTCGGAACACCGGCAGACGTCATTCGAACGAGGGTCATGAACCAGCCGACAGACGACAAGGGACGGTGAGAACAACGTTCCATTCCCACAGGGGTCGCACTTTGGGCCGATCGGGGACGGGCGCTGATTTGTTTTCTAGAGAAAGATCCAATGCCTGTTCCCGGCTGGCCCTCTTCGCGTGCCCTGCCAGAAAGTACCGTCTTTGCTTAAACTTCGCTTCACTCTTATCAATATGTCTGCCATGTCAGTCTTTACGAGAGTGGAGCCTATTTATCTGTAACAAAAAGCAAGTATGTAGCGAAGACACGGATATGGTGAAGCAAGATCAAAGTATGCTCATAGTGCTGGCACAGGCATTTCAAGCACCAATACAGCGAAGATGCAGATACAATAATGGTTCCAGTTGAGAACGCAAAATTATTTACTCTACACGTTTCCGACCAGCCACGCTTCCAAAGCTAGTCTTGCCATCGTGAGGGGGAAAAACAAAAAGTACAGTCTGGCAACTACGGACGTGCCTTAGCACGGCCTAACTTTCGGGTGATTTCCACACACCGGCAGCAAGATATCCGTGTCCTAAGCCTGTACCCGCAAACGTGCAGAGGCCATTGGGATATGTCTACGGTCTATCTATCGGGATATGGCTACGAAGTTCTCTTCTGCGGAATACCGGACGATGTGCATGTGTCCAGAGCCCAGCGACTCTGCGTTTGTTGCCTGCGTCATAACTGATGGAAAGGTAGTACATAGGGAGGTTGTACTGTACAGCTGTTACGGAATTACTCGACACGGTACTGCCACGATTCTGTCTGTCACAGGGGGCTCCACTACAAGTCGCCGCTGGACTGTCTGCTGAGGACCGTGCGGGGCGAGGGTTTCAGGGCACTCTACAAGGGCTTCGTCCCCATATGGGCACGAATGGTGAGAGCCCATTCGCTCATTGTCGCACAATTTGGAACATGGTGGAGCTCATGCCAGCATGAGCTCCACCATGTTCCAAATCGTGTTCCAACCATGTTCAAACTTTCTGGCACCTCTGTGGTGCCAGAAAGTTGCTTAGTGGAAGCAAGAGTGGGGCAGCAATGAACGGAAACGGCCGTCAGACTGTGCAATGTTCCGACAACCTTTTCGAAGACGCCGTGACGCACTACCGTAATACCCAGAGATAGCCCACCTAAAATCGAAAGCAAATCAGGTGACAATAAGGGGTTGGCTAACATCCGATGTACAATAAAAAAAAAGTGTTTTAAAACATTTGTTTTAAATTTTGTGACCTGCAAAACTTGTGATTGCAGGGAGGGGCAAGGAACCAGAGACTACTGTCCTTTACAGTCAGCAATGTTCACTTATCTCCTGCCTTGGTCCAGGTCACCATTGGCCAGGGTTCTGTACTTACTAAAAATAAACTCGTTTTAAGTTTTTGAAAAAAAGAAAAAAAAAAAAAAAAAGCAGATTATGCCAAAAGTAGGGGGCAGGTTACCTTTCAAGGGGTGGGGAATTTTTCCGGATATTAAGGTACATCAGGATGCCACACATTAAAGGGGCAGTAAGCCACTTTTTGCGATAGTCTATTTATGGTTATAACTCGATCTATGGGCTCTAAGCGTCCTTAAAAAAAACCAAACATTACATTCATGCATGGCCAATTTCTCTATTAAAATAGGCATCGAAGATAGAGTAGGTCTGTGGTAATCAATCTTCAATATTTTGGAGGTATTTTACAACCACCCCGACAGTATGGAGAAGGTTTCCATTGTTGCTTCCAGATGGATGGATGCGAATGGCTGTAGTCTTTATAACGGGCAGTAGCTCCTGCCACCTAGCCTAGAAACCAAAATACAAAAAAGTACTTCCCTCGCCTTTCTATGCCAGTTTGCTTCTCATTTTTGTAACTATCACCAGGCAATGTGGAATATTGCCCGAGTGACCTTCGAAAGATTGAACAAAAAACTAAAAATGGCGCCCCCGCCGGCAAGGGCGTCGCCAATTTTCCTCCGGTCGAACCTCGTCGGCGTTATCCCAACACCGGTCCCACTGGGAGACGGGGTTGAGACTTTGGGCTGTAGCCACGCGAGACATCGCCAGTGTTGCCCAACGTTTCTCGTTCCGCCCCTTGACTCGATCAAGTCCCATCTTTAATCGTCGTCATAGGGATAGCAACCGGCATTTCTCGTGTTGCGTAACTTTGCTTGCTACTGTTTAAGTGCAAAATCCCAGAGCTACGGTTGCAAGCGGGTGCATGAGTCGTTTTTCAAATGCTACTGCTACCACTTGTCACCTCACGAGTGCACATTTTGTGGTCTTTTTCAGGCACCATGGTCTTTCACGTTTTGGGTCACTTACGAAGAGTTCCGACGGTTTGCGGGCGTGGCTTCGTTTTAAACAAGACTAAACAACTAGTTTACAAAAAGTATAATTTTACAGTTCGCGTTACATCGAATCAAACGACACCCGACGTGCGGTTGCGCTCGTAATCAAAGAGCCGCCGGTGCCGTAACTTTTTGTTTCAACTCGATGATAAATAGTTTTCTTTCATTGCTTCTTCATCTCAATACTGCCGTCTAATTGTTTAAGCGCTCGATCCCTCTGACTGTGATAATCCACGTCGACGCCCTTCCTCTTTCGGCAAGGAGACCCATTCTGTTCCCGGGGAAAAAACGGCAATTAACGAGAAAAGAAACGCGTGTTTGCAGATTGTATTTATGTACGAGCCATATAGGCATTTGTTATTTTTTTAGAGTTTCTACTCGGCCTGGCGCAACGTTACGCATAATCGAGCACGTTTTGGTTGCATGATTTCTGCGACGGAGTTGGCAAGCGACGGCTGCGAACGACTCCGGTGCCGTCCATGGCACACAACCTGTTTTCCCCACGCATTTGAAATCGTGAAGGTACGATGAAATTAAATATACGTAAGTAAAATTTTAACGCCGGCGTGCCGTGTCGGTCACCGACCAGCCGCTTTTGGAGATGCAAACACTGAATAAAATTTCGTGTGATCATGTTCTCTGTTGGCTGTTTTTAGTAACATCACAAAACCTTCTAGTCTCACGATTGGCAGCGATTCGACTGTATCGACTTTGGCTGGCCCGAAGAAAGCCATACACAGAAAAGCATCACTTATTTTCTTCGACGGTAGAGTATATGAAACACCTGGACTGTGCCATTTCTACGTCTGCGACTGTTTTTATTCTTGCTAACACGTGTTCGAGAGTCTTACATCGACTGCGGCACTCCACTATCTGCAGGACATCGGGGTGAAAACAAAGCAGATGACGCTGCGTCTTTCGACTGGACGACGAAGCGAAGAAAGCCAAATGCAGGAACAGTAATGCCTGAACCACATTATTTCTCTGTCTGTGACTATGTGTGTTCATTCTCACAAGCACGGGAGTGCAACTCGAACGCTTGCTGCCGCAGTGTCGACCGCATCCTTTTGCACCTGGAGGGCAAAAAGAGGCAGACGACGCTGCCTCCTGATGGCGACGGTGAGACTTCAGACGAGCGAGACGAGCCTGAACTTGTTCTCCTGGGGATCCGGGATGACGTGGTAGTACTTCTTGTGCAGGCTGGACACGTCCCTCCCCTCATAGAAGCTCTGGACGCGGGGGTTGTCCCAGCATGGGTTCACCTTCTCGAAGGTCACCGCCACCCGCCCCTCCACCGCCGCCAGCAGGGAGTGCCGGTACCCAAACACCACCTGGCACGGAGGGCATGCCAGTCAGTCGAGAGCCGCAACACGGTTGTTGGGAATGGCGAAACTATAGTGCCTGGAACGCGTCTCCGACTGGAGTGTTTACCGTGCGCGAAAATGTAGTCCCTCAATTTTCACCCGATGACATCTCAAAGGTGTCGCGTCGTTGCCGGCCTCGATCCAGGTGGTGTTACAACAGCGGTGGTGGACATGGAAGACGCATGTTCCGCTGCACGTCGCTTTCCAGCCAGGATCGTGACATCCGACAGCGCGACACTCTGGCTTTTGCGACGTCACTTCGGGGCCACTTTCAACGCATGGGCGGAATGGGACGCTAAACACACCAGTCGCAGACGCATTTTAGGCACCGTAAACGAAATGACAACCTCTCAATTTTGCGCGCCCGCTCGACGGTGGCATCTTGTCGAAGGTGGTGACAACAGGTGGTGTGCAAAACTTGCATAGTAATGCAGTCGTCAAGATTCAGGTGGGCATCCAATTAACACCAAGTAATAAATGCAAAGTCTTCGCTCAGAAGCGAGCTTTTTATCACACTACCAGACTCCTGTTAGCAGATAACACGGGCTGTCGTCTGCCAATAGTACAGAGGTGTCGAAATGGAAGGTCTGAATCTTCAGTGATCACATGATGCGTTCACCTTAAAAGTTTACCGAAAAATTCCGGGGATTCCTGTGGTCTCCCCTTTCCGATGGCCGTGATAACGGCTGCAAGTCTGAACGCCCGGCCTCTTGCCGCAAGCTCCTACCTCTTTAGTGAGGCGGACTCCCCTGCCTTGGGGTCTTTACTCTTCCTCTGGGGACCTTTTCTGTACCGTACCCCCCCCCCCCCCACCGTCCGTCCCCCCCTCTTCCCGGACGGGAAAGCATCGGCGACCTCTCGGACGCTTTCCCATCCTCAGCTCCTTCAGGAACCTCGTGCCTGGCAGGTAAGGACTTGCTTACCTTGTCGACGGGGTTGGGGGAGAGGAGGGGGGCATTTTGAATGGGGACATGAAGCATCTTTTAAGGAGTGTTCACTAAACTCTCTTAAACTCTGTCTTTACCCAGGTATGTTTGTCTTCTCTTCTGCTATATAGTGATCACTGGTACTGACGGAGGTATTTATCGAACTGACCTGCCATAATGTGGCCTAAACATCGCAAACATTGCCGGGGAGATGGGAGATCGCGCTACTAAGCGCGATCTCCCATCTCTCCAAATGTAGTTATGCTATGGTGCCTGGATCGCGTCTCCGACTGGTGTGTTCAGCGTCCTATCCCGCCCATACATCAAAAGTGGTCCCAAAGTGGCAACAAATGACGTCACAGAAGCCGGAGTGTCATGCCATTGCATGTCGCGATCCTGGCGGTTGGCCGTACAAATGCTGGCGAAAAGCACGAGCGAACGCGAGTGTCGCTGTCATCACGGCGTCCCAACTTCCGGCTGCTCTAGCTTCCTTAACTGTCACAGTGGAGAGCGACCTGCAGCAGAACAGGCGTCTGCTATACGTACCAGAACAGTTGAAACGCCGCCAGGGTCGTGACCGGCGACAGCATGACTCTTCTATGACGTCATCAGGCGGAAATCGAGGGACCACTTTTTTGGCCGCGGTAAACACACCAGTCGGAGACGCGTTCCAGGCACCATAGTTATGCTGACCAACCTAACGAGAATTTAATGTTTGGAACAAGATAAGGCATGCAACGACGGCAAAGAGTTAGAATGGTCATGAAAGTCTAAGCAAAGGTTGAAGGTGCTTGCAGATGATGGACACTCATGTCCTCCTCGCAGCATAAGTTTCAAACGTGGCTTATAAACCACGTGACCCCAATTGAGCACTTGTAGGCACTCTGATATCTAGCAACCCCAGAAGCTTTTCCAAATCTGGTGGCTCCACAAGACCTACTCCACAAGCTTTTCCGAATATGCCTCCTGGCATCTTCGGAAAAGCTTGTGGAGTAGGTCAACATGCCGATTTCAGCACTCTCACTGGCGCGTTTTTGTAGATGGCACATCGCCTGGTTTACGCTGATTGGGAGGGAACCCGACGGCAAGTTTTGAAGTGTGTGTGTGTGTGTGGGGGGGGGGGGGGCAGGTGAAGAAAGACGAGGAGGGCAAGATGGTCTCTGCCAATATAAGCGGATGCCAGGCAATGCCAATTGGAAGTGCGCCTTGTTCTTGGGAGCCAGCTAAAGATTAGAACACAAAATCACGGAAGTGTGTTTGCCGAAGCTTCGGACCCCCCTCACTCCCCCCCTGCAAACCAGGCGGCGTGACGTCCCTAGGTTGTCGACCTACTCCACTATCTTTTCCGAACACGAAGCCGGGGGTGTGAAGGTTAACCCACGTTGAGGCCCGGATGGAAGCGGAGGGTGCGCTGCTTGACCAGCAGCTCCCCCTCGTGGACCCTCTGGCCACTCCACTTGCGCCAGCCGTATCTGTGGCCCCTCTGGGGACCGTCCTGGCGGCAGGCCCGGTTGCCCTTGGTGGCCCCACGCACCGCCTGCCACTGGGGACCCCCTGCGCGGGAGTCGGTGCTCTGACAAAGGGTAGACGTACAGGCAGACACGGCTAAAAGCTTCAACAGCTTTCGTAGAGGAAGCTGCCTTTACAGTAAGAAGGAAAACTGAAATCGCACTCACACGTACACCTCGGCGCCGTTAGCCACCAAAGTAATTAATTGGGCTAGTTGGTTGAAGTTTAAAAAGTATGAAAGCACGAAAAAAAATGAGGACCAAAACAATGCGGGCGCCTTGTCTTCTCTTACTTCGTCTCAGTCCTCATTGTTTTTGTACTTTCAAAGCCATCAGCCAGCATTGAAAATAGCGCTGACTTCACACTATATTAGTGATAGAGTGCTAACACAGAGCTGCATCAATGCCAAGTTCACGTCGGCCCTGCATTAGCGTTGTTCCTAGTGTCGATCTAGCGCCGCAGTCTGTGCATGAGACGGCCTTTAAAAACAAGTTCAACGTGGCAAATTTTACACCACGACGTCGGTGCTCAACTGTTAGCACTTCAACTTGCTCGTCTCATCGTCTTGGACCCCCAACACATTATCGTCTCGATTTTCAGCTTAAAGGAACTCTCAAAAGAAAGCTATTAGCATCAACAGCTTACGAAACACTGGACGTGGCGAGTCATATCTTGTCATCGCTTTGCAGCCAATGAGAATGCAGCATTAACCGATAAGAACACGCAACAATGTGTTTTCAGAAGCAAGAACATATTGAGCTATGCCCCGTGTCTCTGTAGGCATCAACTCTGGCAGCGAAGCAGATTATCTCTCTTCTGCATGCGATTATCCCATCAAAACAGGTCCTCCGTCCATTGTATCCTCATTTGTTTCGTCAGGGGGAGGGCCATTCGGTTTAAAAGAGAATGGAGAGCTGTGGATGAAAAGGCACGCTAGCTTTAGAAACATTCTTTTCAGAAACACCGGTACGTAAGCAATAACTCAGTCCTTCTCCATGCTTCACAAATATGCAGTGCCTATTCCGAGCACTAGTTAGCTGAAGCGAAAATAATTGTTTCACGGTCCCCTTTAAGGTACCCTAATGATGTCCCTGACCTCATCTTTCTTGGAGGGCACCTCTAAATCCCCCGGAGAGAAACCACCCCTTTTAGATTGCCCCGTGCCACAGAAATTCGAACAGGGCTGAAAATTTCGATGCGTGCGCCACAAAAAACGTAATAGAAGATTAGTACGCTTTCTCTCTTCTGTACCAACAGGAGCGCAGATGCAACGCGGCAAAGCACAAGAGCATGACAATTGAACAGTGCCAGATTGGCTTCGGGCCAATCACGGTGTGGCGCCAGTTTCCCTATGCGACCAAGAAAGATGTTGTTTGTCAGTGGCGTGCAGCATGTGCGAACAGCGCAAGAGGAATTTGTGTGACAACTTCGGCACTAATCCTTTCCTTTGCAACATACTCTGGCTCCTGTCCCTGCGCACGGCAATCCATCTTTGATGGCTTTTCAGCCAAATGTCGCCGTAAGAAATTCTTGCGCCAAAGTTGGTTGGATTTTTTTTCGGCTACAGAGAAGACGGTTCTGATTAAAGACCGGTATACAAGCTTGCACTAGTAATCGGTCAAACTTGAAACGGCATATACTCATTAGTATTTGCCTGTCTGCACTGCACTCATTTGTAACAGGTCCAAACCATTCTTTCCTCATTTTGCGTTCGCCACACCCGCACTAGTCCAAAGAAACACTTGTTCACGACGGTCTAAACATTTATTCGAACTTTTAACGCCGTCGAAACTGGGGATGCAAAAGGCAATAGGCTCAAAGCCCGCCATTTTTAAACTGTGCGTACAAGAAAATGACTGTGAGTCGGGATTACTCAGACTCGACAATGTACAAGGCAAGTTGCTGGATTCTCTACCATGTAGCACCATATCAATCCTGATCAAACTGCACAAAGAACATCAAGCTACCAAACATCCTCCAGACGTCCGCAATCTTCGTGCCATCAAACCGATCAACATCTCCAAAGTTCACCGTCTTTGTTCCGCGTGTCCGTGAGCTCCGATCTTGTTAGGTCGTGGTGGTCGGCAAGCATGCATTTCTGACGACAAAGTCCGAGGACTAGCGTCCGTTTCGTCGAAGGTCCATTCAAATTCGAGCAAACAACAAGAGCACTTGGGAAGGAGTGTGCGCACAATCGCAAATGGGTCCAACGCTTATCGAAACAAAGTAGCACTGGGGGGAAATGTGTTTGGCACAAGGCGGGGAACATCAATCCGGGGACTTCTCCTTTCGCTTCTTGTGCTTCTTTTTGCTCTTCTTCTTTTTCTTCTTCTTAGACTTGGTCGAGGAAGACTTCGTCGAAGGCGCCTTCGGATCCAGGTTTTTGGTCGCAGCCGTGTCAGCGTCGCTGACCTTCCGCTTCTTACGTTTCCGATGCTCCAAACTCTCCTCGTCCTCCGACGAACTGCTAGACGACGACGACGAAGAGGGCGACGACGACCTGCGTCGCTTCTTCTTCCCCTTCGACGTTGATGTGGACGCCGTTCTCTGGGCCATGAGGCGCTCGCGATTTTTCCTTAGCTCTTCCTGGAACTTTTGGTTCATGTGGTCTTCCCAGGCCGCCAGCGTGCTGGAACCTTGCTTCTTTTTTTCGATGATACGCTTCACCTCTTCCCAGGTCGGCCTGTTGCGGCTCAGGTAGTCCTTGATCGTAGGTCCGCTGGACGTCGAAGGCGCCCTAGACCGCGCCATCGCGATGGGGTTCATGTACGCGTACCGCGTGTCCCGCTTTCCCATGGCGTCGGCGGGGTCAAATCGGCGGCTACGTGACTAGGAGACTGCTAGGGTTCGTGTCGTGTCATCGTAAGCGGCGAACGGATCATTGGTCGGAGAAAAGAAACGGCATGAATAGTTACCGAGTGTGGGCCTTGCACCTGGTAGCGATGCAACAATGCGCTGTAGGGCGGCCGCCATCTTGAGAGGAAAACGTAATTTTTTGAGGGTGCGTTCAGTTACTTGACTTTTTTGCTTCCGAGGTTGAGAGGTATCAACTTTCTTCGGACGAATATAAAACAATGACGCCAAAACTGAAGTTTGAAAAAAAAAAGTAATTTTGTTGGAACCAGTTAAAACTTAAATAAATATATTTTTGAAAAGTAGTTTTAGTTACCGTTTGGTAGAATAAAATAGTACTTTATACTATTAAAATTATTAGATTTTTTTTTTTTTAAAGCAGCAGGTTATATTTTAAAATCCAATCCAATCCGAAGAGCAATGGCGGCGCCCGTGTGGTAATTTAAATTTTTAACTTAACGTTGAAGTCATTCACGCTCTTCGAGCTTCCCAAAACAGAGCGAGAATGTCGGCACAGTGCATCGTACTCGACACTTCCGATGAAAGCGACGGCGGCGCGGACTGCACGCCCATCTCGAGCAACTTTTTGCCGAGGCGAGACAGCCAAGGGGCAAAGCGCGAGTCCAACTGGCACGATTCGGAAGCCATGATCGACCTGTCCCAGAGCGATCCGGAAGAGAACGATTGCGACGAACTGCACCACACCGACCATCCCACCGGCGAAAGCGAAAGGCTACCCCGAAAGCGATCGCGGGAGTGGTCGGACAGCGATTGCGAGGAACTGCTGCCACTTAGTCTCCGCATTCAACCCCCACCACACCAACCTAAAGCCTGCGATGTCGTGGATCCAGTACCGACCAAATCGACTGCTGTGCCAAGGTGAATGTAATAATAGTATTAATAATATAAATACAGTAGATGTTTGCAGTGCATGTTTTATAGGGGGTCTTGGTTAGTGACGCTGGGGCATAAAAATAACTTGGTATAGTATCCGAGACACATTAGTAAAACGAGCCGCAAAAATCGGCGCCTGCACATAGAAAGCTCAAACTTTCACCGAATGTGCACTGAGCCGGTCAGTTTTACTGCGTGAAATTTCAAGGCGCAGTTCTCTTTCTGTAAAAAAATACGAGCAAAAACTTGCCAAAACAAAGTTTGGGCGCGTTTGCAGACGACCGATTTAGTGACACTATTTACTTGTGGCGTCATCTCCCGATACGCGCAGCGAGCTGACGACGCACTCTGTTGTTAGAGCACTATATAGCTCCTACGGAGCAGAGTAACGCAATCCTTTGAACCCCGTGTTTTGCCGACAACATGGCCGACAGAGCGGCTCGGCGCGAGTCACGTGGTACTCAGGGTTCCAGGAGGCGGCCCGCCCTATGGGAGAATACATGGAGATCGGCACAACACGGCTGATTAAAAAATGAACGGCGAGTTCACACTTTTCAAAACTAGTCTGTCGTGAAGTTAGTAAAGCACTAAACACTTTATCAAAGTTTTAACAATATCGGATGCGTGTGCAAATTTTGAGAAGGCAATTTCCAAGGCAATGGCGTTTGAAGCAGACGATTTTTGCTCGCAGCGGAGAAGGGCTTTTCGGGTTGGCCGGAGCGGGTCACGTGAAGGGTGTGACGTCGCCGTGTCGTCTGCTGCATGATGCCGCTCAGGCAATTTTTTAAAAAAAGTCAGGTCCCTGCGGGGCACAAAACTTAGCACAAATTATTCTAAAGTGTTCCATTATTATGTCAAAAATGATTGCGATTCCGTACATTCCCACAATACTGGAGAAACAACGATTTTCTCACGTTCTCCATGCATTTCTGACCGCAGTTGGAACCTCCGGGCGTTCGCCGCTAGTCGCCGAGAGGCGGCGTTCTAGATTGCGCTACTCTGCTCCGAAGGAGCTATATAGTGCTCTATCTGTTGTCTGCTCGCTGCGCCTATCGGGAGATGGCACCACAAGTAAATAGCGTCGCTGACTCGGTCGTTCGCGAATGCGGCCGACCATGAATTTGGCAAATTTTTTTGCTGTCGTTTTTTTTTTTTTTTTTTTTTTTTTTTTTTTTACAGGGAGAAAAGTGTGTTTTGAAATTTCACCCGGTAAAACTGGGGTGGCACTCAGTTGGTCGAACGACATTTGAGTGAACACCGATGTTTCATGAAAGACATTTCAGCGAATGGTCAGCCACCGCAACGTGGCATTTACGGGTGGGCCAAGTGGGTTAACATTTTTGTAATGAGCTGTTGCAGACTACTGCCGCAAAGCAGCGTGAACGCAGCAGGGGGGGGGGGGGGGGGGGGGGGGGGTTAACACACACCGCCGTTATTCGTTAAAACATTGATTCGTTCAGATGGCGCTATTCGCTAAAACATCAATCACTTATGGGATATGGACCCGTAACACTGACCTGCTCGGTGCACATTGTGCAGGTGCCGATTTTTCTGGCTCGTTTTACAGCGGAAGGTCCACTTAGGATATCCTACAGTTGGCTACAGGATGAGATCCTCAGGGTGTCTCTTCCGTATGTCCAGCCTCCAGCACTCGCTCGTTGCCTCCTACTGCGGTTTGGCTAAGCGTGCATGCTCGAAGTTTACGGGACATCGAAGCATAATCAAAAATAGAGGGCTCGCGCTCGAGGCGCGGCAACTGAAAGTCCTCTCGGCCGTCCTCATCTTGTCAGTGACAAACTGTGAATTCCGCTGGTGCATCCGGAGCGCTTTCCAAAATCCGCGAGGGAAGGAACAATCCACTTTGTAAGACCCACTCCAAATCAACGAGCGGAAGAAGAAATCACATTTTCAGAGCGACCCACCGGCTGTGCCTGCTGGAAACGGTCTGCCAGTCAAGATGGCCACTGCTCGAACTTCACAAGTCGACGAACGCCTCAGTCGACCGCGCATTCTGACGACCAGTCACTAGTGTCACTGTTGTTCAGCTGCAGAAACGTGTAACACAGGCCGGGCACATTATCCATACCACGGAGCCCACGTTATAAATAGCGAGGAAAACGTCCGCGTTCGCCACCGTCGCATACCTTTCGGCCACCTCGGAGCAACGGGGAGCGCGGATTGCTGGCAAGACTTCAATAAACACGAAGAGGTAGCAAACCATCACTTGCACGGTCATTGCCTAGTCTGTTCTTGCTTTATTGCATGAGAAAATGGTGGCGGCATGCAGTGTAAAAAGGCATAGCAATCATTTGCAGCAAAATGAACACGCCTAACCTTGCATTCGCTTCCTTCGGATTTTCCGTCGGTCCTTCTCTCGCTCTTCCTCTCAGGATCGCAAATGTCAGAGCTTACGATTTGCCACGCTCCAGTCTCACATCTGCACCCGATCCACGCGAGGCATAGAAGCGTTTGAACCGTCACCGTCTTGTGTAAACAATTGATGCATGCGAACAGATTCAATTCAACGGTCCAGCCAGTTTGGTGATCTCGTGCATGTGCATTGCCGAGTGAAAAGAAATGACGTAGCGCCCTTCTGTCAGCTTCTGCCAAGCTCCAACAAATTCCATGAATCAAGTTTGGCGGGCTTGCAGGTGCTCCGCGGGGCCGCACTGCCACAAATCTACGAGCAGATGACCAACTTGAGCCGGACCTTCCAGCGGAAGATGCGCGCTTCAAAAGGGGCACTTTTGGAGCGCTCCAATTCAGGCATATTTGAAATGAATATGAGTTGTGTTGAAAGTTTGCCTATCAGTGCCATGCCTCTAGGGCAGGCACGTAGCTAGGGGGGGCACCCATGGCGCCCGGGCCCCCCCCCCCCCCCCTGAAATCTTCGATTTTGCTGGGGTCTCCTCTTCCCCCTCTCCCTCATACAGAATTTTGTCATGGGCAGGCCCCCCCTGAAACAAAATCCTGGCTACGTGCCTGCTCTAGGGCCCTCTCTTACTGCAAGGACAAGCATTGAAATGATACCTTGTGGCGCAGGAAGGCAGTACACGAGATTTCCGACAGTGAAGACGACAGCTTGCCCGACCTGAGTCAGCAGATCGGAGTCGTCTGGGATGTCCCTCCCCCACACTGTCATTCGCCGCTAGGCTCAAAGCAGACAACAACAGTTTCTATCAGCGCTGTCCCGACAAGAACAGCCAAGGAAACCGTTGCGGTGAGTTTGAACAATTTGATCGGCAATAAGGTGCCACGTCTGATTGCCAGTTAAAGGAGTCTTCCGTCTCCTTCGATTGGCCCCTGTGACAAGGCAGCTGGTGTGCCTTGACAAAGTGTTGACTGCCAGTTTAAGCCTTGCCACCAGGTTGTTTCGAGTTCTGCTACCATCATGCTTTGCCCGTAATACAGTAGTAATAGTAATAATAATCCTATTTTCTGTGCCCCAAAACAACCACATAACAAACAGAGATCATGTAAAAACTGCATCATCACCGTATATGTCTAGTTAGGTGGTGCAATCCTATTAATGACGGTCGATAGTTGAAATGCCTGACCGTGATGGCTTTTGTTTTTGAATGCCTTGTACATGTTACTGACGTCTTACGGTGTTGTCGTTGCAGCAGGTTTCAGTTTCCGGCGGCGACAACTTCACAAAGCTCAAGACGAGGAAGACGAAAGAGGAGAGGGAGGCCCTCAAGGTGGCCAAGGAAGAAGAGAAAAAGAGAAAGGCGCTCGAGAAAGAAGTGGCACGCTCCACAAAGCCGGGGGAGTGCATGAAGGTGAATTTCTTCTTTAGCTGCATGCTCATCACTTTACATTTGTAGTCTGCAAACGATTGGCAGTCAAGCGACTGATCATAGCTGCACCATCAATTTGTCTGGCTCCAAATCGGTCACTTCGCCAGGTACATTGTGATTTCGCAGGAAGGTGGAAAGGGTTTTTTATCTAGCTTGGGAACTGACACCCTTCTTAAATGTCAGCAAGTGCAATTGCCCGTGTGAGAATTTGAAGCAATACTCGTCAAAATGCTAGATAAAAAAGTGTTTGCAATTGTTGCAGTTTGGGAAAGTCGTTCGACTTACAGAGACGAAACTGTTGTTAAAGATAGACAAATTTTCTTTCCTCTAATGCAGTGGTTCTCAAAGGAAGGCCTATGAGGCATTCTAGGGGTCTGCGAAGTCCTGCAAACTCTTATTGCCGGGCTTAAGCCTGGCAGTAAGAGTTCTCTTTTTTCAAATTTTCGGGCTTTGTGTGTATGTCAATAAGAGAAGTCTACTTCACACAGCTTTTAGTTATATCCATTTATTAAATAACTACATATTTAATTGTCTCGCCATGAACAAGGTCCTCCATCATCTCTACCGATCCAGAAGGGGTCCGCGAAACATCAATGGTTGGGAACCACCGCTCTAGTGAACAGAAAATACTGTTTGTTTGTGTTCATGTTTTGCATGCAAAACAATTGGAGATGGCCTTTCTTAGCAGCAATTTATTTTCAGGTTTCTGTATAAATTCTAAGCCCATAATGATTGGTTTGATGCAAATATCTACTATTAACCTATAAAAGGAGCACTATTATTAGCAAGACTTTCGTCTTACTAATAGTAGTGCTGCATTTGTGACTGATAGAAAAAGACATATATGAGTATGTGGAACCAGATTTTGAATGCATACCTGCCAAGTCTCCTGTTTTACCTAGGAAAATCCCGAATTTCAACCTTTTCGTAAATTTTCCGGAAAAAGCAAGGTACCCCCCCCCCCCCTACCCCTCAAAAGAGTTTTTGAGGGGGAGGGGCGGTTAACAAAAAGCTCTTACGCGATACCATCGGTCGGCTAGCCGTGGAACAGTTTCAGTTTTCATACATTTCTTATTTTTTGCACGCTATTCTCTCTTTTTTGGCTAGAAAATCTTTTGACAACGTTATAAACAATTGTTTCTCGTAGATAGTACATTCATTTGATCTCACAGATAGCGCGAAACCTTCGTTCTAGCGAAATGCAGTTCCAGAGTCACCTCATAGGCAGTGCCAGCGTGCCAGTGTGGTCTCTCGTTGTCCTAAGCAAATGCGGGTGTGTGAACGGGCTCTGTCGATGACCGTAGTAATTCGCATGCCCGTTGTTTCGAAACAGTATGTGAGGGTGTCTGTGGACAAGAACATCCTGGACGCGGCGTCCGTCACGGAGCTCATGGATGCCTTTCTGGAGGCAGACATCGGGGCCGACACCGCAGAGCTTCCGCTGGAGCGCAGCGTTCTCTGGTCGCGGAAGCACCTCTCGCTTGACGAGGTAGGCAGTGCACTTCCACGGCGGATCGTCCGCTCTGCAATCGGTCGCCGGCGACGAAGCCGATCTATGCAACGAATATCTCGCTCAATCCTTTTGTTTCCCCGAAGGCACGGCCCGGATCGTCGGCGTTAACGTCCGAAGTCCAGGAGAACCAGGTGGCGGTGGTTCTGCCGGCTGACCAGTTCCTCCGGCTCGTCGCTTCCGAAAGACAGGTTGGTCGGAACGCTCGGTGCTGACGTACCAATTCTGCGCGAGTAAGCGATTGGCTTGTTCAATTTACCCGCACACCCGGCACCGGCTGCACTCTGTGCACATTGCCGCGTTCGATTTGCGAGTGCAGACTCTCTCTGAAAACTGAGAATACATTACCCTGCACTTTTCTTCCCTGCACTAAACACCTCTCACGTCGGTGCGGGCTGGTGAGGGTAATTGAACGAGCCCCTTAAGGGTTTTTTTCGAAGTACAGTAAAACCTCGTTATAACAAACTAATGGATATAACAAAGCAATCATGATTCCCCTTGCTTGCTAATAGTGGGAAGAAATGGACATTGGCTATAACAAACTAATGGTTATAACGAAATAATTACGATCGCTCCTCCAACTTTGTTATAACGAGGTTTTACTGTACATAAAATTAAAATGTTCCGTGCGTCGCAGACCGCGGCATCTTCGCCGGGAGGTGTCTCCCATTGGTGAGGGCAAAATGCAAACGTTTGAGCGCAACTTGTTGCCAGAATCAAAAGTTTGAAGTGATTTTGCCGTCTGCTATGGATGTAGAAGGGCAGTCTCTGGTATGAATCTTCGAGAAATCGCTTCTCGTATACCAGTTTTTGAACCAGGTACCATATTGGGTAAAAACTTTATATCCTGCATTCGCCACTGGGGGATAACTTTAGGTGAAATCTTAGTGCTCTGCAATGGACTGTTTGTTCACTTGCTGCAAAAATAAATGGGTAAACAAACTTTCGTCCCTCAAATTTCCAGGACCCTCTGACGCGCGAGCACACGTCGCTTTCGGAACACCTGACCAGCGTCGAAGACCTCTACCCGGACAAGCGTGTGACGTACCTCGTGTTCGAGATCGAGAAATACTTCCGGTACGACTTGGCCACTTTCTGCTTGCAACGTGTTATCTATTCATTAAATTTTACTGCTACCTTTATTACATTCCACTCTCCAATCATTTAGTTTTGACGATAGTTCTTTTACCGCTGCCTTTATAACATTCCACTCTCGTATGTTTCCCATAACTAATTTGAACTGAACAGGCTCGGATTAGTGGACAAAATGTTGTAGTTAATGTGGAACCAATTGAACGGGTGAACTCACATCTTAGGGTTTTAGGGCTGCACCCCACAGTACAGAGACACTGAAGTGAATTTTGAAGGTAAAGTGTACAAATGATTTCTTAAGTTCACTTCAAAATTTTTTTACAGTACCAATCACTTGCATAGTGTTGTGGTGCAATCCTGGGCATGCGACATCTACAAGTAGTACGGTAATGTGGTGGCAACCCGTCTTCTTTTTTTCAGTCGAGAAAAGCGTAAAGCCAACGAGGAGTATAGGGCGCTCATTCTCGGAACCACAACGCAAGCGCCCAAGCGCAAGAAGACCACTTCGTACGACGGTCCAAAGCTGACAAGGGACGACATCGAGACGGTGACCATCTTGCCTTAACTAGAGCTCTTTCCACATCTCCTTGACAAGCATGTGTGAATAGTGGATTTTGAGTTCCCAGTTGAACTCAAAATCCAGCTGAACTTGAGTTCCCTGAAAACCCAGCTGAACTCGTGGAGATTGTTGCCAGGCTTCCAGTTGTCCATTTCTAGGCTAGTTAATTTTGATATAACTATGTTCATTGACTGTGCCCTTCAAAAGTCCAATGCCTATGTTGGAATGGCAAGTAAGCAATGTGTTTGACGTAAAATTAAACCTATAGAGATATCCAGTTAGACCTAATCAAGGATATTTATAAATATTCTTGCTATATGCAAATATTGCTTCTTCAGTCCCATACAATTAACACGGAATGTTTAGTTTGGAAGATGTACTGCAATGTAGATATTAACATTCACAAAGTTTTAGTTTCTTTTTATATACACCTAGTGCGTGCGTGCATGATCGGTGCCATGGAAACGAGCTTTCCTCCTAAGCACGTGGCTGCGATATTTGCACTTTTCCTAGTGTTGATCGCGGCGGGTTAGCCCCGTTGGTCAATACTTCAGCTTGGCCGAGTTGATGGTTCATGCTTACACTCACAGCACACAAGAACAAGCATACTTCAAAAGTTCACTCGCACAAAGAGAGAACACTCACAATGCGCTGACTCTCAACTATAGTTTGTATTGAGATAAAGATGAGGAGGATGAAGAAGAAGCACAATACAAACCAGAGTTGAGAGTTGGCATAGTGTGAGTGTTCTTTCTTTGGGTGAGTGAACTTTTGAAGCATGTCTGTTCTTGTGCAGTGTGAAGTGTAAGCATAGCCCCGTTGAGTGCGCCTCTTACCGAGCACCGGTGCACTGCAAAAAAGTCACACCCGCGAACTCTGCGGGTGCTGCTTCCCCGCAGTGCACCGGTGCTATGTAAGAAGCACACTCAACAGGGCTAACCTACCGCGATCAACACTTCGAAAAATATGAATATCGCAGTTCATCTCGAAGCAAATATCGAAGTATTATTCGAAACTATTATTAGAAAATTTGAATATTCACACAACACCACCCCTTGCCATTCTTTGTAGCGTTCCTTGAAACTAAACATTCGAGAAAAATCTCTGGTTGGGAAACACAATAATTAAATATGGCAACCAACCAAGTCCTAAGCATGTAGGAGCCCAATGTATCGAATTGACTTGGTTCTTCGTCAGGGGCAACTGTGGCAATTGAGGAGCGGCGTTTTTCGGTCTTCTTCTTTTGCTTTCAGGGATAAGGCACATTTCTCCATCTTCTTTTTTCACAGATATGGCAAAGCCCGTTCACAGGCACTGTTGGTAATGTGCCAAGGCACCTGTTTATGTTGCCTGGCGTCGTTTGAATGTGCCAGGACTGGATGAAAACCCTACGTCGGTTGTTAGTCTCTGCGTCGATAATGCTGGTGTTGTCGAAATCCATCCGGCGGTCTTTGACTTCGCAGTGCTCAGCGACTGCGCTGTGCTCATGGTCGAGCATGCTAACGTCGCTTTTGTGTTGGCGTATTCTTTCATTAAAGTTCTTTGTCTCGCCGATGTAAGTGGCTGGACAATCTGCACAAGGGCTCTAATAAACCACGCCCTGCGTTCCACAGCGGCACTTCACAAGGTACGTGAGTGCTTGCCAAGGTGCGAGAGTTGTCTCATCGACTTTACCGTACATCTTGTTCACCGAAGCAGTTGAAAGCTTCCTTACGCAGTTTTTTGTGCACAAGCTTGTGTCTACTGGAACGTACGAGTGCATGCAACGTTATACCAACAACCTCCACACATTGGGCTCACTTTGATGCCAGTACATCCGCATTTTTGCCCGCAAAGTTGAGCCAAATACTCAAAAGTTTTTCGGCACTCCGAGCATCCAGCACGCTCCATAACAGTGGTTGTCAAGCACCAATGTTAGGGGGATTCCTTTTGGATTGGCAGAAGTGATGAGGACCCCATTAACTGGGGAGGAAGGAGGGTATTGAATGGTTACAATGACAGAAGGGTAAATGAAGAAAATTTTATGCTTGCAAACTAACTTTAAAGCTCTGAAACGGAGAATAATCAACCCTACTTACCCTGCGCACATGGTTTGGTCTATTTGGCTTCTTGGTCAAGGGCTTCAGAGACCCAAAGAAGACCTTCAGGGCCCCCCCCCCCCCCCCCCTTTGAGAACGACTGTTCTATAGGCACCTAAGGAGTGCATAGAGTGGTTTATTACATTCACGCTTCTTGCTTGGAAAAGCATTCTTACTGGCTAAAGCCACGGACTCACTGGCCGCTGAACGACGCTCAAGACCTGCCACGCGTTGCAGTCCTTAAGCTGTCCGATGCTACCTATGGTGGGGACTTATACTTGCACGAGCATTATTAGGTTAGCTTAAATATGGTGTACAGTCATCGCTTGGGAGTTTTGTAAGAAGCTGCTCCCACTTCAGACGGGGCAAATGTTTACATCAATTTGGGAGTTGCTGCCGAGCTGTCTCCCGACTTTTCCAGGATCCTCGCACTGCAACACGAATTGCTGGGTTTGGGTCCGGCTAGAGACGGGCGGGCAGCTTGGAGGACTCGGAGACATTGGAAGCGGCAGCAGCCAATCGGGGAGGCAATACTTTCACGCGAAACGCCCGCGGTAGTGACGACGACAACGAAAGACATCTTTCATTGTTGGTAACCTGGTTCTGCTTGAAATAGATCGCTTTTGCGACTAAATGGGGAGACGAGTTATTATTACCAACGCCATTTGAAAATATGAAAGCCTGTTTTTAGAATGTAACTGAGTGTCTAAATAGTGCAAGAAAATAAAAATGTAGCGATAATGATGGCAAATCGTAGCAATGCGGTTGCTGCGTGTGAATGTCGAGACGCTGGGAAAAATTGCCGCGTCTCAAGTGGGCCTTACAAACCTGGAGTTCTTGGCGGTTGCAGACGCTGGTTCCGCTACAACTGGAGCGCCACTTCAACATCCACTACGTCGAGACCGCCAACCAGCTGTCCAAGCTGCTCACGGCATTCACCAAGGCAGTTGCAGAGCGGCTACACAAGTAAGCGCGGATGTTGTCGCTTCGTTCTGAACAAAATACCGTTCCTAAGCGGAGCGGCGTCGTGCAAATGCCATGAGCCAATGGGGCAACGTGCTTTACGGAGACATAATCACATTCTGTTGTAAAGTGGTGTCATTTTTTATTATTCGGTAATGAAAAGAAGCAGCGAGAGCACTTCAACACTCTGGTACAGACATTCCGAGTACATGCAGAAACGCTAGATTCGGACAGTATGGCCGTCAGCACGCCAGAAGTCTCCAAGTGTTGTCCCAGCGACATACTCTCCACAGAGGTTCTCGAGTAGGCGTTGCATTTGGACCAGCGCTGACTTGCTCCTTTTGAGACGAGTGGCAATTCGGATCCTGAACCGTCTTCATCCGTACAGTCAATTTCTTTAAGCATGAGGTGTTTACAGCCTTCGAGTGTGTTGGATGGCGCATGGCTGACAATGCTCTCAAACCTCCTATTCCACACTTCACGCCAGTGTTGGGAAAAATTTGCTAGGTTTAAATATTCCGTTTAAAAATGGGTTCCACGGAAAATAATTTTTTCCTTGCCATTTCTTCCTACATGCCTTTGGGGCGATTTTATGCCGAGGCCATTTTTTCTGGAACCCCTCGTTAAGGTTAAGCCCTAGGTCAAAGATGGCACTCTTATAATCGTTAGATTAAGCCCAAGGTCAAAGATTCTCCTTTCCACCCAGGCAGGCGAAGCAGGGTCGCGACCTCCACTTCCTGGCACCGGGGGGCGGCATGCTGCGCAAGCACGACAGCCTGCTGCGCGTGTGGCAGGCGCAGCTTGAGCAGTTTGCCAGCGTGGGGCGGGACATGGCGGAGGCCATCGTGACACGCTACCCTTCGCCCAGGCTGCTCCTCCAGGTAGCCTCGAACCGGGTCCTCCAGACGCTCGGAATAGGCCTCCTCTGTGCGGAGCGCAAGTTCGTCTGCTTCTTGCACAGGGGTTGTAATGACGTCGGAACGCCAAGCTCTCATTGGCCGATTGAAAAAGCAATGGGTAGACCTCAAGGAATCGAGCATTGAGGTCTACCCACTCTCCTTTCAATCGAAGCCAATTACAGCTTGGCGTCATTCTGACGTCACCGCAACCCCCTGTGCAAGGAGCAGACGACTTGCTCTCCGAATATGCGCACAAAAGGAGAAGCCTGCACAAACTCGTTTGCCAAAACAATGTGTTAAAGGCTCTGGTTCCCGAGGAATGTGCGACTGAACGCCGCAGAAAAAGTTACAAAACGTGCAACACACGCTACTTTAGAGGGCGACTTGTACAAAAGAATGCATAATCAAGAAGAAAAAAATGAAATACTAAAAGCGCCCCAAGGAACGACTGTGAGCTCAACATTTTACCACTGCACCAGTCAGTTAGGTAGACGCAAAGCTAGCTGGCGTTCTCTCTAGCGCGGTGGTCTCTACTAACTCTCTGAACGTGAACGCCGGATGCCAGCGTTTAAACATTGGGAAGAAGCAAGAAATCCAGGATGAGCCCACTGTCATAAGAAAGGACAGGGTCTGGAATAGAATAACACGTTATATCCTAAGAAAACAAGCTGCGATGTCCACCACAAACCTCGGAGAATGCCTGAGAAACATGTTCCGCATATACTAACTTCATCCGTAGGATCGAGATAAATCGAGAAATTTTTTTCTGCAGTTCTCAAGGCTGCCCGTGACGCCACTCGTGTTTTTGCACGTTGCAGGCGTTCGAGGCCTGCGCCGACCCGTCGCAAGCCGAAGTTCTCCTCCAAGACATCTTGGTGAGGCTTTCAAGTCTTGTACGGTGACAAGTTTACATCCTGAGACTGGTATCCCTTCGACATTTCGACTTGGCCGCAGGAAAATTCGCAGTTCCATGCTGCTCTCGCGTGTAGATGCATGCGACGCACTAACCGTGTTAAACTGGCTGCAATCGATAGCAGTTGTGTGCTGGGACGTAGTGTCGGTTCCAGTTTCTCACCCACCGACGCTTCAATTTTGTGACAAAAAGGGGCCACCAAATGTCAATTTTGCCCGTGCAGATTTGCAACTCGTATATGATTACTAGGTTTATATTTGTAAGACCGCCCAGTATCGATACTCTGGATCCAGCATAATCCATAGTAAGGTCCAGTTTGCATCCTCCATAAACCCATATTAGACCAAGTATGAAACTTGTATAAACCCATACTATGCCCTGTTGCAGGTTAAGAAAAAAGTGAGACAAGCCCTTCCATTTAGCGGAACGAATGCCCGAGAGCTTAAACAAGTCAACGGATATTGCGTTTCTTAACCTGTAACAGGGCATAGATCAAGCATGAATCCAGTAATTGCGTACTAGATTAAGTGTGGATCCAGAAGGGCTTGGATCCATACTCGAAATGAAAAGAGTTGAGTTTCAAGGCCGGTTCACACATTTGCATTTGGTTATGGCTGAGTTCTTGCGATCTCCGATGACGAAAGAACACACCAACATGCCGGCGGCACCTATGAGGCAGCTCTGGAACTGCATTGCGCTAGCTCGAAGGTTTTGTGGTATTTGTAAGATGAAATGCATGTGCTATCTACGAGAAATTATTATTTATAACGTTGTCAAAAGTCTTTAGAAAAAATGATGCGGGAAAAAAATGGGAAACATACGGAAATGTCTGGTTTTGTACGGCTACCCGACACGGTGCCAGTGTGCAAGAGATCGCAAAAGGTGTTAAGGCACTCAGCACTAAGCAGTCGCAAGTGTGGGAACCAGCCCTAAGACTATGTCTCCACGTCGCCACAACTTCTTTCATAAGTCGAGCCAATTTGCGAAACCGTCGGCTCGTTTTCGGAACTCGTGCAGGTCCGTCGCGGAGCGGGCGTGCTGGAGTCGACACGACGCGTCGGACCGGTCGTTTCCAAGCGGATCTACCGCTTCTTCAGCTCGGACAACGGAAACGCCTACTTCGACTGACGTCGCACCTGTGCCGTGCAAAATACTTTCATATATAATGTCGCTGCAATCCCAAATCTAAGGTTTAAGAGCGAGGACGACACAAAACAGGACAAGGTCTTTTTCTCTACATATTTTGTAACTTCTGTTGCATCGACACTGGCTCGTCTACAGCAAGTGCCTCTCAAAAATTTACGCATTTTTTTTTCACCACAAAAATAAAGTATGTATCGCCGAACGCTCATTTTTCGCCCATATGCTAGCGGTTCGAACCAAGTGGCAAAGTTTCAGAATTAACCATTATCTTACGCAAACGTTCAGTGATTATCGTAAATTTTCGATGAGAAAATGGCAGCTGACCGAGCTCTCGGATACATGGAGCTTCATCGCGCCAATTACCAAGAACCGGTCCTATTTTCCCATTGATATTTTCTGAATATCACTTATAACTTTTGAATAAGATAACGGTTTGATCTGAAACTTTGGAATCTGGTTCAGATTGCCAGCGCCACACTTGGGCGGAGGCTAACCTTTTGGCGATGCGTCGTTTATCTTTGGAATAAAAAAAAACCTGATAAACTTCTTTTTTAGACATGTGTTACGGTTCTTTTTTTTATTGCGAATATGCATAGCCCTGTTAACACACACATTTATCATTCTTGAAATATTTCAAGGACACTGTTTGTGCATTCAACATATATGAGTGCACAGTTTTATGCTATGTATCTCAAAATAGTAGCTTGCAAAGTATTTGCCCAAATGTCATTGGCAAATAGCTGAAAAAAAACTTGATTTTAGAGTGTTTTGTAGTTCTGTAAATGATTTGTATGTTTAGAAGGTTTACTGCTGCTGTTAAATGGTTAACAGTATAGTTTTCAATCATCACCTATGTTGCCAACATGATTGCAAGAAAAAGAATTACTCTGGGTTATCAACCTTGACGAAAATATTTTTCTAGGAGCTCAAATTACATAAGTAAGAACTAGTACTAGTATCATTACTAGAGCTCTCTTTAAAGAATGATGCAGGGGATCATATGTTCATTGAGCTAGCTTTAGTTTCTGGCCAGTGGAAATTGTACAGTTTTAGAGCTTGTATTGAAAAACCTTTACTTATAGTATGTACATCTATGTCAACCTGTAAATATATACTTTACACTTCCATTTCACTTGTTTTCAGAGTTCTTTCATCATTCAAAACAATGTGGTCTGGAACAGACCAGTTCTCTTACAAATGTATAATGACACACTAAGTTCTTATGGAAATACCTGTTACTCGCAGAACCTCGAGATTAGAACACATTAAATCCTCGGGCTATGGTGGTTTTGTGAATAACCCAAGCACCATCTGGTACCATCAACCATACATTGGGTATACTAGTAAACTTAACACGGCGGCAACACCGACCTCTCAGCGTTGACTAGATGCTACCACAGCCCCTTAAAAATGACTATGTGAAATTTATATATATATACACATGCATGCTATACCCCACCACAATCCAGGTGTCAAAGCCAGAAATGGACGTCTCGTTTGGAAGTGCAAACGAGTCGAATTTAGTTGACCATTCGAAATGGATGCGCACTAATCGTTCCTCGAGCCTTAGTAACGAGAGTGCTTTCGTATCGAAATAGTTTTCTCGAAACGTGCAGAGTACAAAGCCTCGACGTGCTGAAAGGGTACTACGTTTCGACGGGAAACAAATATTTTTAGAGAAATAGCGCCGAGTTCCACCACACGGACAGACGTCGTCGACCCAATCTCGACAGGCGGGGTGCATGTTTGTGTCAAACGACCGCCTTCAATAACCGGACCAGACGTCAATCTTTCGAGCGAGAACGGTACTAGACATTCAGATTGTTGCGTGCCAGACACATAAAATACTGATTGATTCAGTGTTTAATTTGAAAGTTTCCTTCTATTAAGTATGCCCTCCTGAAACAAAAAATTTACAAAAAAAAAGAAAAAAAAAGATTACTTTTGATTAATTAACGAGTTGCCAGAGTTGCGCATTTCGTGCTCGACGACGCTTTGCGTGGCGACCCTGCCCGTACATTTACCGACGTCTCAAATTTGTTAAATCGCGAGATGAGAAAGCGTGGACCGAGATTCCAGGACGACGTTTCCCGCCGCATTAGTTTCAACCACAATCCCTCTGTGGAAAACACCACCACCTCGTTTCATTTTGGTCGTTGAGTTTTGTCTGTCGCTTATTTACGCGTCTCTGGCAGCGACCGAAGGCAACGCTATGGTGCCCGCTGCGCCTCTCCGACAGGCGTTTTTGGGCATCCCATCCCACCCGCACGTCGGAAGCGGTGCCGGAGTGACGACAGACGACGCCGTCGAGACGCGGAAAACGCGCCGTCAGAGACCCGCTCCGGGCACCAAGCGACGCGGGGTCGAGTCCGAGATGGCCGCGAGCGATCAGTTGCCACCCTCGCCGCAGCAGAGTTTTCCCTCCTTGCGGTGGCCAAGCAGCACCACCTTGAGCACCGTGTCGTACGGGACGCTGGCGTTGGAGCGCCGGTTGGCAGACGTCGTTGCCAGGGCCAGGTAGTAGCTGCCGGGACGCCGGTGCAACACCTGCATCGCAACTGGGTGGGGAAGACGAAAACGTCCAAAGTCATTAGCACTCCTCTATAAGCTCGACAAAATATTGAATTTTTAACGCAGAATGCATTTAAGGGTTCTGGATTCCCGAGAAAGGTGTGACAGAACGCCATGGAACCCGTTACAAAGTGTGTAACACATACTTCGGAGGACAACCTGCGCAAAAGAACATGCGGGTAGCTGAGAAGAAATAGCGATCAAGTGAGAAGAAAGAACTACATTCTAATAGCAACCCGACAGTAATGGAACCCACGACCCCGCGATTATGAGGCCGATACTCCACTACAGCGCCAAAGGGGAGCCTTGCAAAGTGGAAAAATCCCATTTACTCGCGGTTCGAACACGAATGCCAAATGCCAGACTTTTACGTTCGAACACTGAGTAGAGACAACAGCATCTAGTCTTACGTCTACCCACTAATCATTCCAACCAGAGCTCAGTGTTTTGACGTCCCCATGTCTTCCCTTCGTCTTTCTCAATTTTTATTTGTATAACAAAAAAAAAAAAACTGTGAAGTCTGACAAGCCTCAGTAATTCAACCCAACGACTTTTTTTTTCTTCTTTTTCCAGACATTTTGTGACCTGACCACCTTCAAAAATTCACTCCACTGTTAACCAATGAATTAATCAATTTTTAGTCTTTCCTTTGTATGTTGTGCGAAACCCAATGTGGCCCGAATGTGGGAAGCCTCAGTCCTCAAAAAGATCAGCTTGAAAACAACAGCAATCCAATGCACGATTCAATGTGAGCCATCTTTAGCCCGCAGATACCTCAATGAGTGTAGTCACCTTAATACTACCTGTAAAGTTATAATTTCATGAAATGCATTTCTGCTCACTTCGTATACATGTGCATATGCCCATATCTTTGTTAGTTTTGTTGTTACTACACAAACGCACATTACACATTGACCAATATATGATATTTTCTCGCTATATCTAACATTCAATGCTTTCTCATAACATAATTTATGATTGAACGGCCAAAACCCTATAACATATTCTGCATTAAAGGGATATTGAATCGAAAATAAAAATATACCTTTCATGTTCAGAAATAAATTAAATATGGTCAACTCTACCTGCTAATGACAATCGCACGCTTGTATTCTGAACGGGTAGATATATTTTTAGTTCCAAAGGACCGATTCCAGTGAGCGTTCAAGTATCAGTCGTCAGAGAGTGCAATGCATCGCGGAAGGCATGATGTCAACTGGCCCAGCACTGGCAAAGCTGCTTGGGGGCTGGCATGGTTACGAGCTCTGCCACCTGGTGTCATCAACACGTCGCAACCTGACCGTTTTAGTTGGCCCTACTCGATCCCCGCAGGATCTGAAGAGGCAGGGAGAGAAGTGAAATTCGGTTCGACGGGGCTCGCGCGCATGCAGCTTGCCAGCGTACTACCGCGGAGCGACGCCGCTTTTAAGTTCAGAGTGATGTAACGACAATCGGTTTATTCCTTTTAAGTAATGTTTTGGCGTCTTTTCGAGCAAACAACTGGTGTCTCCGGGGTGACGCCAGAATGTGGTTGACATTTAGACAACAAGAAAGGCGCTAGAATTTCGTTGCAGTATCCCTCTAAAAAGGTAGTCTTATTGAGACGGAACGACCACTACTATTTGACTTGTTCTTAGACCATTCACATCCAAAGCCGGCAATGCGCTGGCCGCCGCAGCAAAGGCCAAAGTGCACAAAGCCAGCGATTCGCTAGTCTCCGTTAAAATGTCTGTTTTCAAAATATGCCGATAGATGGCGACGCTATTAGACCCCATGCGTTTTGGCTAATACTTCTGACACAAGATGGCACTTCCTGTTTCATATTTTATGCGCATATAGGAGTGAAAAAAGAAAAAAAGTTTGCAGCTGTCTTTTCAACAAGGACATGGCGTTACAGAGGAGTTGAAGTCCCTTCAGTGGTGAAATCACTGATCTTGTGTATGACAGCGATGAAGATGATAACTCTGACGATTCAGTTATCATCCTGAACATCATTAGCAGTGATTGTGACAGCATGATGAAGGCGAGGTGTCGGAAACCACGACTGATTCCTCGGCACCACCTGCACCAACGGTTTTGTATGATCCATGGCAGTTTGCTTCTTTTCCAGGATATGCCAATTGATAAAGAAGATCTATGTGGTGGATATAGCTATTTACAACGGCGATATACACTGCAGGAAACCAATCAGCAGGATGGCGAGCCAAGGGCCAGAAAGTCTACCTAACTCGTCGAGTAGGCCGTCCAAAGGGCTGTTTTTCCTAGATACGGACTATGCATAGTTACGACTGTGGGTGCGCTAATGATAGTTCGAGAGGCTCGTGAATCGTCTCACTTTTTTTTAAAAAGTCCCGACAATACGTAGCATGAAGCAAAATTCATCAAGGCAATGCCACTTCAGCAAAGGTCAAGGTACAGGCAGCGAGCACCGTTGGAGTGTGAGGAATCTGCGACCAATATTCACATGCTTCTGCAGTTTTTGTAGTTTTATATCTGGAAAGCTCTTTAGGTACATTGCATGCACATATTATTCACAATCAATAAAAAAAAATAATTATCCTTCACTAGCATGCTTCAAGTTATTAAAGGGCAAATCTGGTCAACAGTTTTGAATTTGGGATTGCAACTGTTTTCAGTTAAAGCAGTGTCCCTGAATTACAAGGTATAATTTTTTTTCCCCTTCGATATTGCACATAGTTTTATAAATGTCAAGGCTCAAAGTTTGGTTTTGGGCGTCTATGGCAAAACCGAAACTATCTGCTGGAGGGATGGCAACACTGATCATCAGCCGTACGGCCGCAACGTGACGTCACCGTGGTGCTGCGGTACACGGTACAACCAATCAACCGCAGCTCCACCCCAATGTGACGTCGCAAGGGTGCTGCACCAGTGTTCCACGACTAAAAACTAACCCTCTTGCCGCCCGCTACAGAGCAGCTGGTCGCACCTTTAAAATCGGTTTTAGTGGAGTGTGCGGCTTCACTTTAACGTAATATTTCGGCTGCGATCGTATTTAGTGTCTCTAAAGCGATATCCGTCACTTATTTTGGTGTTGTTTTTGACTGGAGTTGCCCTTTTAAGCTTTTTAATAGGCTTCACGGGTGGTATCAGCCCGATAGAGATGGGGTGCGGAATACTGTGCACTCGAGGGCAATGACACGGCGAAAGCCAAGGGGTTAATGTGGCAGGAGAAGTGATGTTTGTCATTTGTAATTAATCTTTATAAAGTTTTTGGTAGACAATATGACCTTTCACCCTGCCTATACCTCATAGTAAAATAGGGGCAGTGTTTCATTATATCACATTCTGTATCATCATCATTGAAACAAAACAAATTACATACTCAAATGTTATATGGATATCCCGCGAATAATATTTCGATATTATGCGAGAGGTGTGTAAAAAAAGACACGATTGCGCAGTTCAACGACCACTACACATTTGAAGCAGGGTAGTGCGTGGAGACATCACTTGCACTTGTACAGCATATTAGAAATTTCTATTTTAGTAACCTTACGGCTGCGTAACAATTTTAGACATACCATTTTCACTTCTCGAAAATATGTCGGGACTGCAAACTCCATCTGCAAGAGAAAAACAGATAGCACTTTTTTTTTTTTTTTCAAGGAGTGTCAAAAACTGGAATTTGTTACCAAAGACTAGTGTTATGCACATATTCAATTATCAAATAGTAGCTTCAAATATTACGCTATTCGATATTTGCTTCGAGATGAACTGCGATATTCATATTTTTCTAAACGTTTATCGTGGCAGGCTAATCCCGTTGAGCGCGCTTTTTACCGAGCACGGATGCAATGCGGAGAAGCAACACTCGTGGAAGCAAGCTCCGTGGGTGTCACTCCTTTGCGGCCAAAATCAACACTTCAAAAATTAAAAATATTGCAGTCGCCTGCATTAGAGAAGAGCACACCTTCAAAGCTGGACTGTGCACGTGCACACCTGGCATATTTAAAAGGAACGCAAACTTTGGGAATGTTAATACGTGCATTGCAGTAACATTTTCTGTTTCTATTATTAGTATTATGCAAGAGTGTATGTTAGGCAGGGATGCCCCGACAGGCTGCGCTCATCATTTGAGATTATTTTTTTTTGTCAAATTAGAGATTGAAGGAACAATATTTTCATATAGCAAGATTTGTAAATAACCTCAATTAAATATAGTTTTGGGGATTTCTATAGATTTAATTTTATTTTAATCCCAATGTAGGCATTCAATATCGGATTTGAAAATATTCGGCTCAAACCACTATTTGCCTTGAATTTGTTTCGAACTAAAAGTCCACCGTTCGCACATGACTACCAGAAACCACTGTGACCCCAATACCTTTGGAAAAGTTGCGTGAGAATTCGTAACATATGAAGCACAGCTAGGGAGAATGCCATGCCGCAGTTTTCTGTGCTTTTCTGTTTGTGATTAGTCCATTTTTTTTTAAGAGCAAAGTTGACAAAATCCTTGTTTGCTCCTATTCGGTGCAAAGTGTGTACTTTTGTTTAATGCTGTGGAAGGCCCTACTTTTATAATGCGACTGGTAGTGATATTAATAAATAAAACAAACAAAAATATAATGCATACCTTAAAGGGGAGCTCTGGGAGTTACTCAAACTAACCAGATTTTTAAAATTCCCGGGCTTTACACTTTGAAAACAGCAAATAAAGGTGATGTCAAGACCGACGTTCAGATTTTCCCGCACTTTCCGACGGAGTGACGTCGCACATTGCATAACTTGCGGGTCGAGCAGGCAGTCTAGGAAACAGCATCTTGCGCCTGTTTTTTTTCGTTTTGCTGGCGTGAGCCTAACCAGCATTCATTTGACACTGTCAATATTCTCGTAAACCGTCCAGAACGAGCTGTAACGGCCCCATAATATCGCAACATCTGACGTCACGTTTTCAATGTCGCCAGAGGAGCCTCTCGGCCCCTCGAACCAAACTTAAAACATCAATACTTTGCAAAGAAAGAAATTACTGTGACTTGCAATTTGGGTTCCTCGTTCGGATGTGTCCACTAATGTGTCGAACCAACTTGGGGGCAAATCAGTGACTATAAAAAGTTTGCCGGAGCTCCCCTTTAAACGGCACACCCGTTAGAATAATACGAGACTTCTAGCCGTTGAAACCCAAAACAGTGATGACGGCTTGGAATGTTTGAGCCATACTCTTTCGTTGACCCCGTTTGCTGCCACGACCCACTTACTGAGGCAGACTTGCTGCACCGTCAGCCGCGACAGGATGTTCACCGTCTTGTTGGTGAAGTCCACGATGAAGTACTGCTCTTCCTGGGTGTTCAGCGACAGCTTGTGCTTCTGCGCACGGCGAGAAAACAAACCATCTCATCACATAGCCCAAACGTGTGCGACGTCCCGCCGCAATAACGCGCCAAGAAAACGTCGCGGACGTGCCATTTTGTAGCGTACGCAGTGTGATACTGTCGATCAGACAGTCCCTTACAAAAGATAAATTTACCTTAACTGGACTCGCTACAGGAATGCTCGAAACAACTTGGACACGGACATCTAAGAATTCACTGTTCCCCCAACTTAACACCTGTTTCATGCCGGACTATGCGGTTTAATTACGGTAGACTGCTAGAACCATACCGTAGTGACAGTAACATTTTTAAAAACTTTTTTGTCTTAAGAACCATTGTTGAAAAGAATTGCTTATCAAGAGACCCTTGACAGCCCATCACCAAGTGTGTTTTTCTCAAAGCGTAATGTATTTACTAGTGATGGACCGAATCTGCCGAACTTTAGATTCGGCAAAGTTTGAAGGAAAGTTCGGCAAAACTTTGGCATACGCGTGTGCACGTGCGAGAACGTGACGGGGCCATGGATTGCAAATGGACGTTGTGCGGTCACGCGGTTACCATCTTACATTGTAGTTCTACCGGCGGTTATGGCGAGGTGCAGGGTAGGCGACATGCTAACTGTGTGTTTGTCAGCCTTTGAGTGTGGTTCCCATGAATATTTTCTGCCACAAGATCAGAATATTGACCAGAAATTAAAGCAGTCGACTGCGCAAGTGACAAATGTTGCGGTACATTCTGGATAGCATTATTTTAATTATATCTTTCCAGTGGTGCAACGAGATAGCTGCAAGATTACCTGACGAGTTCTTGAAAGCACTCCTCACAATTATAGCAATCCTGTTTTTGGCTCACAAGTAGTTTGTGCCAAAACAAAATAATATGGCTTCTTAATTTACATTATTTTGCGGTTTTCATCTATCCATGCACATAAAACTAAACACAACTATCATGCTTGACGTTGCACATCCGACATTCCGAACTCTTGCAATCTTTCTAAACGTCCGCGTGTGTCCTAACATCAGAAACCGGCATTTCAAAAGTTAAAAATGAGACGTTGCAAATATGGGATGCACACTTTCATGCAAAGCTGGCATAAAAAACACAGCGCATGTGCAACTAAAACACAGTGCAAGGCAACGATCGCGTACTGGAGTCTGGGTGCTCGAAAGAGATGCTCTGTCATCCTCATCCTGTCGGTGCGCATAGCTGCTCTTCCATCCTTCCAAGCGACACGCAAGAAACTAATCGTACCTATATTTCACGCCATTTTAGTTTTGTTTTGTTTTCCCAGTCTTAGCACACATAATTCAGTTTGCAGTGAGCCAAATGTATCTCTGTCACCCACTTCGGGCAACCGGACCGACAACGAAGGTCACTCGCGTGAACGACTCCTGTTGGCAGTTGTCGGGATGGCATGGGGTGCGATTGGTCGTGCGCTCACCTTTGGGTTGTAGTGGTGCACACCGTGGAAGTGGTCGAGGTACGCCGCATATGCCGGGTCCTCAAACTTGTGCGTCTGCAAGAGCGAAGATGGAAGTGGAAGTGAGCGTCGCACTACAACCTTAAAATCTTTGCAAAAGAAGAAAAATAGGTAAAATAATAGATGCTTTTGTCACTGTCGGTAATCACAGGCAATGTATATTGTTGCAACGTTAAGAAGTTATACACAGAAGTTAAGTGGGCTGAAATCGCATGTCTGTAAATCATTGTTTTCCAGGCATAGCTCGTGAGAACTTTGCAGAAGAATAGTAATTATTTCTTAAATGTTGGAACTAGCAGACGCATTTTGCACCCCATCTGTGCGGCGTAAGAATCCGAATATGGTGCTTGGGCTTCTTATCACAGTCCGCCTGTTGTGACAAAACATACAGACCGTAAGTGAGGAAGTCTCCATTACATCAGTATGTATAGCTCTGATGCCTCCACAGTACTAGAAGCATACATCAACGTTGCATCACTACATCTTTGCTGTGTCACCTTTACTACAGTGGCGTTCTTGTAGCCCGACATCACCCTCTTTCACTAATGTTTCCCAAACTAGGCCAACTACAACGAAAATCCATTTGCACCGATCTGGAATACAAGGTTAAATTGTAATCACTGTGATGACCCGGTAAACTGAAATCTGACAAGTTGTTGTACAAACCACGCTTTAGGTCGCCAATTGCTCCGCGACGTAAAGCCCCCCGCATATATTTGCCCGCTCTCCCCACAAGGTCGGGCTCACCCACGCGTCGAGGTCTGCCCTGCTGGACTCGAGCGGGGTGGTGGCCTTGATGAGGACCCCGTCCACATACTTGGAGATGGCCGGCACCAGATGTGCCACGTGGGCCGTCGTGCCGTCATACTGCATACGCCACTGCACCCTGCCCTCCGACGCGCTGACCAACTGAAACTGCACAAGGGCACGCACAAAAAGCATTCAAATGCTTAACCTACGCAAACACGAGGCATTAACTCGGGACACGAGTCGGAACGCATTTCTGTGCACCTAGACGTTAACAAAACAATGACACACAAGGGCTCATCGATCAAGAAAATGTAGTTGCAACTCAACATCCAGCCTTCTTTTACGTGCAAAAACTTTCGGAAGTCGCCTGTTCCCCACACTCTTTTCCTCATTTAACGACCCAGAACTTGGAATTAAAGAGTCATTTCAGGCACATCTTTATTATTAAAAATAATTAGTGTAGAGCGAATATTCGAAATTTCGAATATTTGTTTCGAATAATATAATATTCTATATTCGTATCGAGAGCAACTGCTATACTCATATTTTTGAAGTGTTGATAGTGTTTTTTGCAGTGTTGCATTGCTTGGTAAGAAGAGCACTTAACGGGTAACCCCTTCAAGTGGGATGGTGCATGCACACACCTGGTGTATTTAAAAAGAAATGGAAACTTTGTGAATGGTGACATCCACATTGGAGGAAATTTTTCTAAATTAAACTGGCTATTAGGCGAGAGTATATGTTAGGCAGAGGTGCCCTGACAACCTGCGTTCATCATTTGTGATTCTTTTTTTTTCTAAGCAGAGATTAAAGAAAAAAATATTTGCATATAGCAAGATTTGTAAATCCATTTGATTAGGTACAGCTTGGCATGTCCATAGGTTTAATTTTATGTCAAATCTGTTGTTTATTTGCCATCTCAAGACATCGGTTAGATAGCAATTAGCAAGTTAGATAGCAATTAGCTTATAAATGCGGTAGTGGAAGCTTGGCAATAACCTTCATGAGTTTATCTGGGTTTTCATTTAAGCACGGTGCAACAGTAAAGAAAGGCTCGGAGAAACTATTAGGTACTCGATTAGACAATATTCAGCCAAAACCACTATTCGCTTCAAACTCAGAATCCACTATTTGCACATGACTATAATTTTTATGACTGCCAACACACCCTAAGTTCAAGTTCCTTTACTTCATCTCTCACAACATATATGGCCTGCCAAATGATACATATCTATTTACTGCACTGCATAGACCAAGAATCAAACACTCCAAAGTTATATGCCTATACCTTGTCAGAACTAAGCTATTCCAAAATTCTACTTTTCCTAATGCTGCTGAGCAGTAGAACTGTTTGCCGTCATTGCTTGTTGAATTCCTAAATGCTGACATGTTTGAAAATGTCCTGCGGTCCCACCTGTTGCGACCCTCCCCCACTTGGGCAGTGCTGCTGCCTGCAGTAGTAGTAAATAAAAATACAAACATTGATTGAAAGAAACTTTGGAAGCATGGTCGTAACAAGTGAAATCAAGTGACTTCTGGAGGAGGAATGCAACCTTTGATTAGAACGAATTCACAGCGTCATTTTAAAATAATAGCCACTTCCAACTTTACTACTAGACTCACCGTGTTCTTTTAAAATTAGATGGAATTGCAGTTGCATTAAAACTGCCCGTGGGTGTTATCATCGCCGTTCACTTTAGACTAGTCTTGTGCAAATACTGGATTTTGAGTTCGAAGCGAATAGTGGTTTTGGCCGAATATTTTCGATTCGAATATCGAATAGTTTTTCCACGCGTTTCACTAACGTTGCACAATGCTTAGACGAAAACTCAGCTGAACTTGTAAAGGTTGTTCCCCCTGTTCATTTATAAGCTAAGCTTAATCTTCTATACTTATGAACTGTGACCTCAGAAGGTCTGGTGTCCTCGGATGGCAAGTAAACGACGGATTTGACATAAAATAAATCCTGTAGAGATGGCCAACTATACCCAATGGTGTTAATTTACAAATCTTGCTATATAAAATATTCTTTCTTTAATCTTGAGTTAAAAAGAATGAATCGTGCGTGGTGTATGCAGGTTGTAAGGGCATCTCTGCCTAACATAGTATACTCTTGCATAACAGTTTAATTTTAAACCTTTTACTGCAATGTAGATATACAGATTCACCAAGTTTTAATTTATTTTCACATACAGTCGGCACAGGTGCACCATCCCGCCTTGAATATATGCTTTACTTCCAAGCACGCAATTACGATATTCATACTTTTCCAAGTGTTTATCGCGGTGGGTTGGCCCCGTCGAGTGCGCTTCTTACCAAGCACCGGTGCGCTGCGGAGAAGCAACACCCGCGGAGCTCGCCTTCGCGGGTATTGCTTCTCCGCAGCGCACCGGTGCGTGGCAAGAAGCGCACTCAACGGGGCCAACCCGCCGCAATCAACATTTCGAAAAACGCGACTAGTGCAGTTCTTCTCGAAGCGAATATCGATAGTCTATTATTCGAAACTACTATTCGAAATTTCGGATATTCGCACAACCCTACTTTGGACATTAACGTTGTATGACATCCAAAAGCTGCCTCGCCATCTTTTCTGTCTTAATTGTTTCAAGTCATGTTGTGTTGTGGTCCTTCCAATGGGGACCTGTTCAGGTCAAGTGGAAATGCGTAATGTATGCAGTAATGAAAATAAAATTATGCCTTTCACCTTGCTGGAGATTGAACGTATCGCCCAGTTCATTTTAGAATTCTTACACCAACATTTCTTTCCAAAACGGGGGCATAAAGACTAATGGCTTGAACTGAGAATGAGCAACTGGTGCAATCTTTCTGTGGCACGGTCGCCAGACGTAGCACTAAAATGCGAGCAAGTGGGGGTGACTCACCAAAGTGGCGTGCAGGTGATCCGAGACAACAAAGAGCTCGTACGAACTGTATGCCTTGAAGTGTCCCGACATGAGGCTCCTGCACCGGGACAACGCATTTGAAGCGATCAGAATTCAAAACAGACTTGAGGAAAAGAAAAAGTGTCGGTCGAGCGTATTACTACTCACAAAGGTGCTACTTTACGTTGATCGAGAACCAACACAAGCTCAGCGTTTCTCGCAAGTTCAACATCTCTCTCTGACGTAACTTGCAAATGAACATCACTCGCAAGGGCTGGATACTTAGCTCGTAAGCACTATGCTACTCAAAAGTCCTCACAAGTGCAAGACTGCTCATAAATGCAACTTGACTCATATTTTAAAAAAACTGGTTAAAAAAAAAAAAAAAAGATTACGATAAGTTACTTTAAAAAATAATAATTATGATTTATAAGTTGCAAACAACGTATTATTTTCATTACTACACTCAGAAAGTGCACGTCCATATAGTACATTGAATCAAAGCTTTATTTTTAGGCTGTTTACAAGCATGTTCTACAAAGGTTTTCTTGATTTTTCAGAATTTTCAATTTTTTCATAACACAATGTTTTGTTCATGGTATCTTTGATCTAGAAGTTGAATCTGAATACTTTTGTCAGGGTTTGATACCTCATAAATCAAAGAGTGCAATAATACTCATTCAATGAAATGTGAACTAAAATATTTTTAAGTGAAAAAAACAATGATTTATTTTTAATTACTACAGTAAAACCTCGTTATAACAAAATGGGATATAACAAACAAATGGATATAACAAAGCAATCATAATTCCCCTAGCTTGAATAGTTGGAAGAAATGGACATTGGCTATAACAAACTAATGGTTATAACAAAGTAATTACGACCGCTCGTTCAACTTTTTTATAACGAGGTTTTACTGTACCATCAAAAAAAAAAAAAAAAATTTTTTTTTGTTAAACTTTTTAACCTAACTTTTTTCACCATACCTCTATCAAAAACTATGGCACAAAGGATGTCTGCATCTTCTACAGACATTCTTTGTGCCATAGTTTTTGATGGAGGTATGGTAAAAAAAGTTAAACACATTTGTGATAAAGTTGGTACTTTCTTGAAAACTTTAATAGATAGAAAAACAATGAGCTTATGTTCGTGCTTAGTGTGAACAAATTATAGTGGATATAAAATTTTTATATAAACTGGATGAGGAATGAGAAAGAAATGTTCAAGGCCAGAGTCTCCCCTTGTCTAACATCACTTATAAATGTGGCCTGAACCAAAACTGCAACACTGCTCACAAGCTACAGCAATGCCAAAGTGCCCACAAGTGCAAATGTTGCTTGCGAGTCTAGCTAAGCAATGTTGCATATAAATGTGAAGTAATCACAAGCGCTCTACCTGAAGATGCTCACGACTGCCAATGCACTCAAAAGGATTCGCGAGTGAAAATGTGGCCTCAATCGGAACTGAGACGTTGCTTACAAGCGTTGTCCCAAAGTGTGAACCTTAACCACAATTACCATATTTTCTGGACTACACATGCTTATAAGTTTTTTACATGGTGCATACTATCTACAGGCACAGACTGTACAAGTATTTGTTTTTCAAGACATATTTCATCATGAAGGGATGTCGCGGATTTAGGGAATGACATGTTACGCGTTTACAACGATTTTTGCATACAGTAAGAACGCCCACCCAAAATGAAGAGATAAATGGTGAAAAACATTATGTGGGCTACCTTTGGGGATGTGACAGCAAACCTATATAAAAAAAAATAAGGATAAACACCTGGGCACCTGCTACAAACCATGTGACACGGCAACTGATACAGAAGATCGCGGACATGGCAAATTTACGAGGGACTAGACCATATAAGAAATTGTTTGAACATATGGCAACACTGTGCTGCCATGTTTGTTGCGTCGAGGTTCCTCTGCTGTTTGTCAATTTCGTAGTGTTGTCGGTAACAACTGAGGCCTACTCCTTACATCATCGATCTTCGCTCACACCCACGAGCTAAGGGTTAGTATTGTTTTACGCTCTTCTTGCACATGTACGTGCTCGTCGCCCCGCCGGACGTCAGTTTCTCAAAATTCGGCTTTGAGTGCCGGCAAAGGCATGGGCGCGGGTGCCTGGTTTTCGAAAGCGCTTTTTCTACGAGAGTGCTTATGCGAGCGAAGGATTCTTCAGAACTACGCTTTCACGCCCCGGCCTTTGCCAGCGCCGAAGTCAACTGGTGAGACGGAGCATGTTCTTCGGCGCCCCACTAGATGGCACTGTGCATTTTGCATCTCGTCTATTCACTACGAACTCCTGTATCACGGGAAAGGATACCGCAGGTTGCGGATGCAGCAGGTTAGCGTTTCACAGTGGGAGAGACCCGCGGGAACTTGCCGCAAACTCGCATCTCACAGGAACGGATACTGCAGATCGCAAATTCAGCACATTCAAGCTTCATGGTGCAATAAACGCACGGGAGCCCGCTATAAAATTGCCTGTCATGGGAACTGATATCACGCACGCGGCTCGCAGGCAACAACGCAGGAATCCGCCACAAACTCGCTTGTCAGCGACCTACTGGTACCGCAGATTGCGCAGTTGATGTGATTCCCGTTGGACATATTTTTTGTTTGCTAATAAAGATGGCATTCTTCCAAGTATGCTGTCTACGAGAAGTGCGAACTACGCATTAAGTCAGAGGTGTACACCGGGTATAGTCCAGAAAATGTGGTCAAAATGCAATTCCAAGTACACATATCGCTGCTCGCACGAGCATCGTCGTTGACAGGCTCAATGTGAGATCCGGCGGGTGCGGCGCGGTTGCACTGACCGTACTGGGGAGTCGAGCATGAGGTCCACGCTCCAGCGGATGTCGTAGTGTGGAGCAGTGAGCCGCTCAAGGTGACCCTTGCCCCAGGCCAGGATCAGCGACGGATTCTCATCGTCCGGAATTGTGGCGGTCCGCAACGCAGTCGGGTTGATGTGGCTGCAAATGGTCGTCCACACGCGTGCGTCTCAATCGTCGGATTTTTTCGACTATCCTACAATCCCACGCGCCGAAATTTAAGCTATTCTTTAATGAGCCGATTGCTCGTACTGCATTGCTTTACTTTTTGCAGTTGATAAATAGTGCTCCCATATTTTTTGACAAATCCTTTTTTGTGCATCTACGAACATGCAGCGTTAGAACACAGCCTCTGCATGCTCAGGAGCTGAAGGAATGTTAGCTGCCATGTTCAGAGGACGTTTGATTTCATGTCCTTCCAACTGGCTTCGATTAGCTTTGCAGCTTCTTTAGATTACAACACACACATGTCTGATATACACACACAACAAGTTTCTGGTAACAATGTAGCAGTACTTTTCTATGCTATAATTAGATAGATAGTCTTAGATAGTGAAAGAAAAAGAAAAATGCACATGTCTAACAATCAGTTTTTGCTTACACTGCCACTCAGAATCACACTCCATAGCATACTTTGCTACGGGATAGTCAATGCACAAAAAATGAATTGTCCATATACGAGATCATGTTTTCATCAATGCCATTACTTTATGCTCTTGCGTCGAGAAATTTGATTCCCAAATAATGGGAATTCTGGAGTAAATCATGTGCAGAATTTGTTGACGGCTTCAATTGACCTGTGCCAAACCACTTTTAAGGGAAGATTCTGGACACTGAACATTTTTTTGTGATTTCTGATCTAATTTGTATTAAATTCTTACATCGACTATGTTCTTGTGGTAAGCACAAGCATAAGCTGAATTTCTCCTATATATTATACTTTTTAAGAAAAATTCAATTTTATCACAAATGTTTCTGCCCAACTCTTTTACAATACTGCCATAAAGACACATGGCACAAAGTATGTCAGCAGGTTCTACAAAACAGTAGAGAGTGCACCAAAACCATCGTTATAATCTTAGCATGATTCCAAAAAAAATTATCAGGAGTTTATATTTTTTTGCTGATAATTTTAAAATTAGTCATCAAAGACTTCATCAATTAGAAAATTTTGTACTAGTTATCATTTTCCAGAAATAGTAGACTTGTTTGACTGTTCAACTTGTGAGGTATTAAACCTCCAAAAACATATTCGTGTCCAAGTTCTAGATCTGAAACCAAACTTTGTGTTGTGACGAAAAAATGAATCTTGAGAAAACAGGAAAAGCTTCTCAAAATATGTTTACAAATAGCACAATCTAAACCCTGGGAGGGACGACAAAAAGATATGCTGCCGTGAAGTTGGCAGAACTGAGCTAGACTGACTGAGCTTCACCCAGACACCACACCACCAGCAGACACCCGTCGCCAAGCTACCCGTCAAGATGGTGTGGAGTCAGGGCAGAGGTCAGTCAGTCTGGCTCACTTCCGCCAACTTTGCGGCAGCATGATTTTCAGAACGCAACCCTTAGGAACCCGTTTCCAGGTTGAGTGACGTCGTCGTCAGCGTAACCGCGTGTTGCATTATGGGACGTTTCCCCGCTAAAGTTAGCAGAGAAATTTGTCCGCTAAATTGGCCTCCAGGACCTCCCCTTAAGAATATTTTTGGCTTAACGGGCAATTCTGTAAAGACCACGGACAAGATACAACGTCACGCAGAGAGCGTAAATTGTTTTCCCGCTAAACTTCGCGGTGAAATTCGCCAAGTCACGTGTGACATAGTAGCACCTGTGAATGTAGAATACCTTTACAGAAATTTGGCGGAAGCCTAAGCATTTTTCGTTTCTCTTCCGTGACTAGGAGCCAGAATTTGAGATTAGAAAACGGAATGCTTGACACTGTAGAAATGTTACATTTTCGCAGGGTCCAAGTCAAGGCTCGGGCATACGTACCTCCAGATAACATGGGCGTGAGCGTCTGATGATCGGTTCGCGCCGCTGCAAAGGTCACTCAGCTGTGTTTTCATCACTGAACCTGCACAAACATCAGAACACACTGCTTGTGCACAACTGCTGTGTTCTTAATTAAGGATTACACTTCCAAACAATGAAAGCATTCGGAACTATCTCGTGCACCTTTACACGACACAATAAAAATGTGTAGATAAATGAAATCTGACTAAACGAGCAATTTTACGGGGATACCTTTAAGAAACCAAGTTGCTAGCGGTGGTCACACAAGTCCTTAACCTCTCAGATGCCGGTCAGAGCACTCATGGCAAAGCAATGCTCGGCTTCCTTTTGCAGCCTTGCATGTGGCTTTTAACCAGAACCCAGTAAACGGTAACCAATCGGGTGGAGTGGCATAATATGCGATCAACTAATAACCATAGACGGCATGTGGTGCGATGTGCATCGGTGATTGCAAATATCTCCCATGTTTGTTTTACAATGTGCGAAAAAAAATGTGAACTTCGATACTTTGCACAAAGTTGACTGACGCAAAATGTGTCGTGTGTTTCTGTCAGCTCGTTTCAATCTGTTTCACACTTCTTTCCATTATACCACTTGGGATTTTTTACTTTTTGAGGTTGGTGCAACTATGAGTCATGTGACCACATAAGCATGTGACTAGACTAGGCTGTGGCGCATGCTGAAGTGCCAAATGACATCGCAGAAACTATGTCGCGTATGGTGCCATCTTAAGGTGTCACGTAACATTATGGAGTCACTGTATAGCATCATGATGTCACCTGACGTCACAGTGTCACATCACATGAAACGGCGTCACATATCATTACATACGGCACGGTTGTTAAACAAGAAGAGATACATACAGAGGCGGACTTAGCATTTTTCCACCCTAGGCAGCCCTTAAAGTAAAACCGAAGTGGTTCTGTATTCGGGTAAAAATACTCAAGTCGTCTTCAGTTGGCCTCCAGTCACAAATATGGAGATTATTTTTCAATTTGGTGCACGGAGGCTGCAGAAAATCATTTTCAAAGTATTTCTGAAGCCCCTCCTTCCCGGAGTGTTAAGGGGGGACACTACCCAAAAAAGTAAATTTTTGAGCCACTTGTCCGATTTAAATTATATTTACAGGGCTTGTTTCTGTTGATGTTGAGAATATTTCTGCCAATTTTTGTTAACCTGGGTGAAGTACAAAAAAAATTACAAACGTTCAAAGACGAAAGTGGGCGTGTCTGCTTAGGAAAACTATCGTTTCGAAATTACTTATAAATTTGTCGTTTTCATGTGTTACATTGCATTAGGACAGTTCAGAGCAGATAACTATGGAGCTATATTTCTATGTTATACCATCTTTCATGACAAAAAAGCCACATAAACACAAATACAGTTGTTTAGATTTCCGTCCTTTGTCCAAACTTTTACTTCTTGAGCATGAAAAATGACAAAAATAAAAAATACAAGCTCACAGTTATCTTCCCCTTAAAATTTCACCCCAGAAAAGCTCATAAAAATGAATCCAAGTTGCGTAATAACAAAACGATAGTTTTCCTAAAGTGAAATTTATGCCAAAAAGTGGAATGAAGAAAAATGTGTTCGAAGTGCTCCAACCTCTACCTTTTCTTTAGCATTGGTGGACCGAAAACAATTTATAAAAAATTAACTATACAGTGTAAACTAATGAAACTTTCTGGGAATACTCTCTAGATGTTGGTGGATGTAAATATGACATTTTTCAAAATCAACTTTTTTTGCAGAAATTGTTTTTTCTGGGTAGTGTCCCCCCTTAAGTAATAAAGGGAGTTTTCGGAATCTCCGCTCTTGTGCATGACCTCTAGGACGACCTTAAGGACGGCCTTAAGGACGACATCTAGGATAATGTCGAGAATGGCACCTAGAACGATGCGTAGAGGACGACATCTATAGGACGACCTCTAGGACAATCTAAAGGACAACCTCAAGGACGACGCCTTGAGGACGACATCTAGGAAGACCTCTAGAACGACCTCAAGGAAGACACCAAGGACGGCGCATGCTTGATGACGTATTTTTATGGCCATCTTTCGGGCACAATGACGCCGCTTTTTCACGCAATGGGACAAGTAGGCTTTTGGCCTTAAAAAGTATCAATTAATTCGGGGCGACCACAAACTGGCCGCCCCCAAGATTATGCCACCCTAGGCAGCTGCCTACTCTGCCTAGTGGTAAGTCCACCACCCCTGCATTCATCTACTTCAGTCGAGATTCTTTCGATAAATATAGTGCAACAACCAGTTGGATGCAGAGGTCGGCATTTTAGGTCGCCCTCACTCACCCTCACCCTCACAGCCACACTCACCTAAGCCCCTCACTCACCCTCACCCTCACAGCTACACTCACCTTCAGCCCCTCACTCACCCTCACCCTCACAGTCACACTCACCTTCAGCCCTTCACTCACCCTCACTGAACCTCACGGCCCTCACGCACTCACCACCCTCACGCCACTCACCGCCGTCACGGCCCTCACGGCCCTCACCGCCCTCACGGCCCTCACGCACTCACCGCCCTCACGGCCCTCACGCCCCTCACGGCCCTCAAGGCCCTCACCGCCCTCACGGCCCTCACGCCCCTCACTCACTCATGGCCCTCACGGCCCTCACCGCCCTCACGGCCCTCAACGCCCTCACGGCCTTCACCGCCCTCACGGCCCTCACGCACTCATAGCCTTCACGCCACTCACCGCCCTCACGGCCCTCACCGCCCTCACGCCACTCACCGCCCTCACGCGCCTCACCGCCCTTGCGGCCCTCACACCCCTCACGACCCTCACGCACTGATGGCCCTCACGCCAGTCAGGCCCACTTCAGATGGGGCAATTTCGCCCAGAAACTTTACGTCGCAACACCAGGAACACGGGCCGCCCGCGATCACACGCAGCAACCAATTGCTGGAATTTGCCATCGTCATCATAAAATTTTATTTTTCTTGCACTATTTAGACACAATTACGCATTATAAACGTGTTCTTATGCATTTAAATCTCGTTAAGAATACTAATGCACCTTTCTGAAACAGTTTATTTCCAAAAAACGATCGATTTCAAACCAGAACCAAGTCTTTCGGTGTCATCATCGCCGACACGAGGTATCACGTGAAAATTTTGCGTCCCTGATTGGATGCAGCCGCTTCAAACGCATTCAAATTGCTCCGAGTTGCTTGCTTATTTCGAGCTGGACCCAATCTTAGCAATTCGCGTCGATCTAGGGAAAGCTAGAGAACAACCCGCCATTACCACCAAAATTTCCGAGAAAGATGCTCGATCTGAAGGGGGCCTCACGCACTCACCGCCCTCACGCACTCATAGCCTTCACGCCACTCACCGCCCTCACGGCCCTCACCGCCCTCACGGCCCTCACGCCACTCACCGCCCTCACGCCACTCACCGCCCTCATGCCACTCACAGCCCTCACAGCCCTCACTCACCCTCACACTCATGAATTTTCCTGGTTCAGAAACTCACTCGCCCTCACCTCACCTGTGAAGATGAGGGTGAGTGAGGGTGAGTGAGGGCCCTGATGAGTGAGGTTTGCCGAGGTATGGTTGGATGCAGCTCCAAAGTTCCTAGGTTGATCAAAGTGAGGTGCCATATGCTACCAATTCTACATCCACCCTTGCGTTATACCACCTGTTCCTAGTACGGGTTTTCAGCGCTACAGTTTAACGTGCTGCAGTAGAAGACAACCCCAATCACCATACGGCCAACATTCTCCGTCTGCCCGAGCCAATCGGAAAGCCCCTCTCCCGACAAGGTTGCGTGATCCGCGGTGCCAGCTTTCGAATTTGTACTCGTGGCTGCTGCGACGGCTTTTTCTGCTCCCTGTTGTCGTTGCGCGCCGCGTGTAAGCACGGGTGGCTCGGATGCGCCGACGCGAAGTTGGTGAAATTGACACGTCGGAACCTCTTTTGCCGTCCGTGTTTCCTACGAGGTCATTCGATTGCTAGAAGCACGGGAGGTCCAAGTAACGTTTTGGTATTTGGTCAAAGCACACACACTCATCTGGGATGCGGCGATCAAAAGTATGTGGAAGACTGGCATCCTGGATTTTTGTTTACTGCGGGTGAGTTCTAGCTGCATTCTGTGACTGTTACTGTATGCATATATATTTAGTCGTAAGACAGAAAAAAACAAGGTCAATGAAGTTGTCCTCGAATGTTCGTAGGTTAAAACTAGCAAACCTTTTTTTTTTTAATATAAAGACATATATTCACTGACTTAGGTTTTAACCTCCCCGAGGAATTCGCAAATTAGTCTCGCAAAATGTGGAACAGTTTGAAACGTGCCGAAGCAACAGCACATGGAGTGAATATAGGCTTTGTTTCTTCTACATATTTGCAGAATGATGCTGTTATCTACTTATCACAAGAAGTTACCTCCCCCATGCGCAGACTTCATGAAGGTACTCTCTAGTAAGCCCACCATCCAGTCGTGGAGGCCTCAAGGGCAAGTGCCTAAGAAATTCTATTGTTCGCTTAAAAATTAAAATTTGGCAGATTTCTTTGTTTTTTGATACAATGCCATGTCCACCTGCCGGCAATATGAAGGTGAACACCTTACCTGGTCTCTTGCATGTTTAATGGCTCCCTAAAGCTATATTAACCCTCAACGTCTCAAATGGTACGTGGCTTGGGGGTCTAAACTTTGCGTTCTAGTCCTCTTCTGGAACAGAGCTTGTTCCAAAACTTGCAGGAGCGTCAAAAACAAGAAGAGGGCTGTTCAACTTCATATCGCTCACGGGTGTACCTTTAACTCTGCGGTGTCATGCGTTTTCCAAAGATACCTGTTGAGCACAGGAGCTGCATTCAAATGTTTCGCGCTCAAACAAGCTATCTTTGAAAATCGCAATCGAAATAGCGGAGTCAAAGTAACGAACAGCCGGAACATAGAACTCATAGAATACACGGAATGGAGGGAGAGAGTAAAAAATGAAGTGGAGGGGCTCACGTGATCGGTGCAGCTTTGTGCAGATTTTACTTTCTGCCCAGACCTAGTTCCCCATTCTGCCACAACGACTCGTGTCGCTAATTTTTTGCTACCATTTTGGAGCATTTTTAACATCTTCATGTTAAAAATTAAAACATTCTACTAGTACTTAAAGAAATAAAAAAAAAAATAATTGATTTATTTTGATTTTATGGATGAAGTCAGTACACACAGCATGTGTTTCTCCGTCATTATTCGTGGCTTGCGATGGACATTCTAGCTTTTAAAAGTTTTCTTCGGTTATGACATGTAACTTTATTAAAAACTCTGTCCTTTTCTACGTGACGGTGAGCACGTCTTGGATTCCTCGTTTTTTTTCGTATAAACGGTTTGAACGCCAAACGCCGTAATGCCGAACACCAGCGATCGCCTTTCGCCTCTAGATAGTTCCTCGAATTTTGAATACAGAATTTTGTTCTTTCTTTACAATTCGCCCCTCTTAAACCCTTTGTTACGAGTGCCCGTTTCTCGCTCTCCCGCAAGATCGACCGCGTCAAACAGTCTTCAATTCGAAGAGAGGCCGGTGCGACGCTCACCTCCACCCCCGTGGGTGTGGCAGTAGAGGAGGACGTCCACCTGGCGGCTGTCGTTGGTGCCGTACTCGAGCACCGTGAGCAGCCTCGGCTTCGAGGTGCAGTGGTCCAGCACCAGGGGGCTCCCCAGCAGACGCCCGTCCCCTCGAGACACGGCCGACACGGCGAAGAGCGGGGAGGGACTCCCGGTCGTCGACGACGCTCCGTCCTCGTTGGATTGGAACTGTCGGGGAATTTTTAACGCAGAATGCGTCGAAGTTGGTTCGCACTCTCGCGCCTGCTCACTGCTAATGACCGTGCGCCTTCTTAAAATCTCTCGGGATCTCTCACGATGAGGGAACGCACTGGTGCCATCTATTGAATAGCATTCTTATTTTTTTTTTTTTGGCTCGAAAAACTTTCGACAATCTTATAAATGACCGTTTCCCTTGGAGAGTATGTATGTTTGATCTCGCGAACACCACAAAACCCTCGCTCTTGTGAAATGCCGTTCCAAGGTCACCTGATAAATGACACCGGCGGGCCAGTGTGTTCTTTCATCGTGAGATACAACAAGAACTCGGTTACAAGCAAATGAAAGTGTGTGAACGGGCCTCTACATGGTTGAGTTCCCTGAGCAAAGCAACACGTTACGCTCAACCGACACGCAGATCAGGGCCATGTAAACGATATGGCTATTTTGCTTACACAACCTTGACATGCCAGGATGTCACGTGCCACCCCGACACCACGTGACAGCACGTGATGTCACAAGGTCACGTGATTCCGATGTCAATTGACATCATAAACGCACGCGGCATGTGCCCAGCTAATTTGCGACACATTCTGAGCATTTCTCTGTGAGATATGACAGAGGCATGCATAGAAATGGCCTAATCCCTACATTGTTTCTGCAATCAGCTTTACAGTTAAAGCTTTCCATAAGTAGAATAAACAGTGATTAACTAACGGCCCATTTAAGGTTTACTAATTCAAAAGCGGCTTAGAACACCAACTTCCACATAATATTAAAAGAAAGCGAAGTACAAGAAAGAGCTATAGATACAGTAATAACTTGAAACGGCTGCTATAACTAAACATACCATATATCAACTACTACATATAATTAAAAATCTGCTGATATATACTGAAATCATTGTTTTTTTAAAAAAATGGCTCACTATATCAGCATTATTACCATATCATCAGTTTAAATGCCTGTTACCAGTATTAGAAAGGAACCCCAATCTTTCTTCCCCATCTCTATATCTTGCCATATCTGTCTCTACTACAGAAAGGTTCTGCTCTAAGAATTATGGTGAAAAATGGCGAGTCAAGAAAAAGAGGACGACAAAGAGCTGCCGGTTTTGTCACTCGCCTCGATCGCGACGGCGAGGTCCGGCAACCCGTCGTCGTTACAGTCGGGTGCCACGTGCATGTCCAAGATGGACTCCAATGTTGTCCGGTTGTCGTGGTCGTGCGCATACCACAGGACACTGCCTGCGCATCGATAAAGATGTCACACTTTCTGGGAGTTAAGCGTATTCAGTAGAACCAGAAGCTAAGCACTAAGTTCAGGCTGAACTCAAGCACCCTGACAATTCTTCCCCAGTCTTTTTTTAGGACCTCTGAATAATTACATCTATTAAGAGTTTGACAGTAGCATTTATTTAATTCCCTTTATCCTATATTCCACTAAAAAGACTCATCCAAATTTTCAAGCACATTTGATCGGACGGGCCCATTTAATTAAAGATGAGTGCATGTTTTATTTAACTGCCGTAAATCCGCTTGCTTTTGTGAACGGTCATCCGATCATCCCCGAGTTCGATCCCTTTTCCTGTTTGTTTCGATCTGGATGGCATCATACTCGTGTTCAATTGTGCCATCGTACTGCACTCGTCTAATCATTGATCTTTTTACCTATTTATTCATTTACCCTCGAGGTGCAAAGTATATTAGAGACGGGAATGAACACTCGAAACAAAGATGGCAATTAAATCAACTAAGTTTGCCGTTAGCGAGAGTTTGTTTAAAAAGAACAGTATTGCTAATTGCAGCAATTAAAGTGGGAAGGTGGGCTCAGTCATGTGATGTTCGAGGTATAAATGAGATGTCCAATGTGCGAGTGTTAACTGTAGATGTAGAAGCGACAAGCATGGCAGAACTCACCGTCCGACCTGTTGAGGGCAGCAAGAAGCGTTGTGGTACCATCGCCGAGCACAAAGCAGACGTCTCCCAAGCACTTCTGTAGTGCCACACTCGTGTAGAGCCCCGTGGACCAGACGGCGCCACCGGTCATCCCGTTCACTGCCATGGCGCCCACGGAAGAAGATGCGTCGTCACCAAACCGGCGAAAGCCCAGGTGCACCGTCGACTCTTTTTCGCCGTCTCCTTCGAATGTGGTCTCCAGGTTCGAGGTGAGCACTGCACGGCGTGGATCGTTTTCAGTCAGCGAGGGGTCAGAAAATTCGACCCCAAGTGACACTAAAGCGTAACAACCGAAATGGGCTGGAATCCACCAGCACTACTGATCATGATTAGCAACCTTTTCTGTGAAGGCAGTGCCCATTACACGAAGGTGCACGCCAATCACTGATTGGCCAACACAATCACAAATAAAAATGGCAATTGGTGGACACATTCGTGCCAAGGCTACAGCCCATTACACAAAGGTTGGCCAATCACAATTTGCTAGCCAATCACGATAGGCCAACAAATTTTCACACGTCAGCCAATCACAAAAAAACTGTGACTAGTCAGCACCTTTGTGTAAAGGCAGCGTCCCTCCCAAGTTGGGCTGACAACTTTCATGCATTGTGCCGAGGATTCCAAAAAAATTTTGATCTTGCTCAAGTGCAAGTTGAATGGGTGGATATGGCACAGCCCTTCACTTTGGCGAATAACTAAATCGAACCACCCAGCAAGTGCTTTTAAGCTCGATGCAATAAAATATTTGAAAGTTTCTTTATTGAAACAAAGTGCCATCTCGTAGGAGATTTAGAATATTCCCTTCTGATTCCTGAGCTCTCGGCATTTGAAACTTTATATAATAGGGTGCATACTTTTTTTTAATATATTTTGTTGTTCCTTAAAAACTCAGTGGGGGTATTAAATAAGGGAAGGACTGGGAAAAAAAACATAGTACACTTTGACACTAAAAAAATTCATGCACAAGAATGATTTAGTAGAATGACTGCAGTTCGCTAACATGTAAAGGATGGTTACACACTTGCGACTCTTTTTAGGACCATGTGCCTTAAAATCTCTTACTACACTAGGGCACAATCTATTGGGTAGCCATAAAAAACTTGCAATGTTCGCTTTTTTTTTTTTTTGCAAACAATTTTTTTTTTTTTGACAATGTTATGAATGACCATTTCATGGATACTAGCACATACATTTGATCTCGCAAATAGTGCAAAACCTTCTCTCTAGTGAAACACAGTTCCAAGGACACCTGATAGATGGTGTCAGCATGTTCTCTCATCACAAGAAATCACAAGAACTCAGCAGAAAGCAAACAGAAGTGTGTGCTAATGGACGGTCCTCAAGATGCCCGGCAAAAACTTTGTAAGTCAGTAATGAGCGCAATTTTTTCGGGAAGGGCGCAAATGCCCCCTCTACTCACAGCACAGCAGTGCTCCCCCAAAATTGTGCCAACTCTCACCGAGTCCGCTGAACACCTGGTTCCACTCCTGCACGACTATGGGCACGCTGTCGAGGGGCTGAAGGCTGCCGTAGCGGCACGGGATGAGCCAGCCAAAGCCCACCACGAAGAGGAGGCTGGCGCACAGGCTGAGCACAAAACAGACCCGGCGCGGCACCGACATGGGGGGATCCAGCGTCGTCTGCAACCAAAAGGGGGAACGTTGCAGCCATTACGGTTAGAGGAACGCCGCAGGCTCAAAGATGTTTTTAACCGCAAATGTGTTTAATGGCCGAGATCCTTGAGGAAAGAGTGACAGAACACTGCAGAAACCATTGCAAGGCATGCAACACATACTTCGGAGAGCTAACTGCACAAAAAAATGTCAAACTGAGAAGAAACAGCGAAATTCAAAACGCATCTCAATGGGAGTTAAGCCCACGACCCGACAAATGTGAGCTCGACATTCTACCAATATGCCAATTAATGGGTGGATGTAAAGACAGTTAGCTTTGTCTTGTAGCAGCCACTGAAACAGCGCCCACAAAGAGGGAGGCAGTTTGAATCTGCACTTTTCCGGCGACTCTCTTCCATGCTGAGCATATCACACACAAAAGACAACAGCTTACCATCCTGCATCAAATGGCATGGTGGAAAGATTCCATCGCCAGTTAAAAGTAGCCATCAAGACACACGGTTCATCAACATCCTGTGTCAAAGTTTTTCCCATCGTGATGCTAGGCATTAGGATCTCAGTCAAGAGCGACCTCAACTGCAGCATTGCTGAAATGGTATATGGAACGACACTGCGCTTCCAGGCAGACTTGTTCAAACCAGCAGCCACCAAGGATGTGTCGATCTGGAAGATTGCGCCAATCGTCTCCAAGTTACATTACAAAACATCAAGCCGTGCCCAACGAGACCTCAGTCAGGTGATATCTTTGTGAGCAAGGACCTGGCCGACTGCACACGTGTCTTCGTTCGCAACGACACAGTCCAACCACTGTACGACGGTCCTTACAAAGTCCTCAGCCGTACCGACAAGACCGCGACGTTGGCTCTAAAAGGTCGCACTGACGTTGTCTCCATGAACTGAGTGAAGCTCGCTCATTTGGACAATTTTAATTTAAACAATGACGCCAGCCTCACAACTGTCCCTGCAACAAAACCACCAACAGCAAAGTGTCCTAAGTTAGTTTGTTTCCATGACAACAAGCCTACCCGCTCGTCTCCCCGGCTCCTCGCAAGAGGGGGAACCATGTAGCGGCCACTGAAACAGTACCCATGAAGAAAACGACAATGCTGCACACAAAGAGACCTTACGTGCACACTACGCGCGGCACGGCTGGAGAGAGAATGATCAGGGCCATCGGACAACTGCACGTACCTCCACAAGTCGACGCCATCACAACTACGAGAACATTCTCGGATGGCAAAATGACAAGAAAGCTATAAAGATCGTAAATATATTATGAAGGGTTGGCCCCTTCAGTCTCTACCGTGGCAGTTTTTACTAATGTTTGAACGCGCACGCCGATCGCCAGATGCCAGCATTCGACGTCCCAGTGTTCGGCGTTTGCGTTTAAAACTGAAATGTTGGCCACAAACCGCGAGGAATGTGACGAAAACAAATTCTTTGTATACCGACTTTATCCGTAAAACCAAAACAAAGCTAGCATTTTTTTTTTACTTTTTGGATAGGTTACGTACGACACAAAATGCATTTTTTCAGAAATAAATATTGATTTACGTAAAATTTCAATCTACAAAACACAATTCTCTCTACTTTTTTTTTTTTCGTGCCTTTTCTCGGCGTGCAGCGGTTGGCTGTGGACGAAGGTGCGGAGGAGAGGTAGGTGGGAAACACAGCGCAAGACAAACTGTTGGCGAGGATGCTTGCTTCGTTGGGAATTACACCCAGTGCCCCTTTCTTTTATATTACAGGTACTAGAATGGGCTCCAAGCATTCGTTTCACACGCGCATGTTCCCCAGGGGCTGAAGACTCCTACACCCGTACAGCCCATTTCTTTGAGAGTAAGCTACAATAAACGCCAATTGTAATCGATCATAATTGTAATCTATCACAACTGTAATCTATCGTAGGGAGAGACTGCAACTTTGGCATGTTTTCCTGTCTCAATGTTTTCTTTTTTTTATTGCTACTGTGCTAGTGATGTTGATGTTAAAGTATCTGTTGTTATTTGTTATTGGTAATGTATGTGTAATCTTTTTTCTGATTTTTTGCTTTCTTTGTTTGTCTTGCATTGCACCGCATACTACTGAACCTATCTTTGATGCAGGCAATCGGTACCCTGTTGGGCGACTTTGTTTTGCCTTTCTTACCTTTGAACTTCCCGAGGAGAGTTTCTTCTCGCCTTTGAAAAATGAAAGGATTGACTGATTTATTGATTTTGTCGACTGACTGATTAGCTGCAAAACTTGAAAGTATAAAACAGAGAGGACGAGGACGGGAACAGGACATCTTTCATTTAGCAACAACATAGAATGGCACAACGATAAAACCGCCCCCCAAGGGTCTCAACGTTCTCAAAGAGGGAAAGGAAATACTAGTTATAAAGGAAGGGGAATACACTAAAAGAAAAGTTTGAAAAGCGCATCAGTAATCTAGTTATTTTCGATTACTTAGAATTAACCTTGGTCATTGTCAGTGATAATGCGGAATTATTCTTGTTTGCAGTCCAAAAAGGGAATTGTACTATGCATATAAAAGTTTAAAAAGCTGTAGCGTCACGACGAGGTGTCAACATTCTAGTCATCTCTGGTGTTAAGAATTCGACCTCTGTCTTTGTCAATGATAATGACGGTGCAGAAATGTTAACTTTCAGGGCGCCGAAAATACACAAGGACAAGATACAAGAAAGGAGACGTGAACAAGGCGCACTCGCAACTAGCGTTTATGAAAAAACCACTCTCTTATATACTCATGGAAAACAACACAGTCATACTACACAGTCATACTACACAGTCATACTACACAGTCATACTACGTCCGGTGTAGCCCCCTTCGTAGAAAAGTGTGCTCTTTTGCCGATAGTGACACAGACGTGTCACTAATGCAGTCCTTGCCCTTTTCTTTTATTTCGAAGGCGTCGTGCAGCTCCCTCGATATCCGATCGGCGTATCTGGCCAAAAACCTCGTGTCACTAAATGACGGTGTGCAGGAGCAACGGCTGCAGTGCGTGGCGAGGTGTCCCGACGGGGTAGCCCGTGTAGCCGCAGCATGTTCGCGGGCGCGATCATTAAAACATCTGCCCGTTTGGCCAATGTACGATGCTCCGCATGACATGGGGATTTCGTATATGACGCCCGTAGCACATTCCGTGTACCTGTTGCGGTGCTTCGTATTGCAAGGATCTGCTGACTCACGGGGATTGTTGATTCTGCGACACAGTCTCGATAGTTTGTTTGGTGCGGAGAACACAATAGGCACATCGTACCTATCAGCAACCTTTTTAAGATTGTGGGTTAGTGAGTGTACATAGGGGATTACCACCGGCCTCACTGCTGCTCTTTCACGGGGCTGCCTCCGTGTGCCTTTGAACTTTTTTATTAGGGTGTCCGCTACATCCACCAGAACTCTCTGCGGGTAGCTTGCTTTTTGCAACCTCGCTGCCTGTCTCGTGAAGCTCGCTTGAGCGGTGTGTGCACATGATCTTCTTAGTGACGCCTCGAGACAACTAGATGCAATTCCTCTCTTTACAACGTGGATGTCCTGCAACGCCTTGAGGGCAAAACGACTAGGAAGTTCAAGACCAACACCATCGTCGACCACTTTTTGGAGCACAACCTCAAGCTCCTCACTTCGGACAAAGAAGGAGGCTTCGTGGTCCTGCCTGAAGCCCTCTACAAAACCAAAGCAAGGGAAGCCATCCAGAAGAACTTCAAACGAGTGAGACCAGGCCCGCTAGCCAAGGTGAAATCCCACGCCATTGAAATGTGTGGTGCATTGGAACTAACGGGACTGCTAAAGAGTGCCAAGTCCAGTAAGAACCTTCAACCTGACGTTTTCTTCACCGCGAAAACACACAAGACAGATATCCCCTTCAGGGCTATTGTCACGGAGAGGGGGTCATGGCAGGCTCATGTTGCCAGCTACCTTAGCAAGTATCTGACCTTGCTGGAATTGCATGATCCGTTTTTTGCGCGAAATTCAGACTGCATTATCGAATACCTGAGTGATGAAGAACACGGCATGCGCAGCGCTTTTTCGATCGACGTTGTAGATCTGTTTTATTCGATTGAGTACAAGCCCCTGTTTGAGTCTGTCAGAGAGTGCATTGAACGAAACGGTGTTCTACCGTTCCAAGCCTCTTGTTGCATTTCCGTTGATCATTTTTTGGAACTTTTGGCATTTTACCTAGAGAGCATGTTTGTCCCTTTTGAGGGAGAGATGTATGTGCAGAAGAGGGGAATATGCATCGGGTCTTGTGTTGCGCCGATACTGTCCAATATTTTTTTAAGTGTGTGCGGAAGAAAGATTGCCGAGAGGTTGGGCGACGCGAACCGGTGTCGCATTTTCAGATATGTGGACGACTTTCTTGTCCTCGGCAGACCCGCTGACGCACCGAGCTGCGGGGTTCAAGAAGTGCTTGACATTTTTAGGTCATGCGGGGATGGGTTGTCGTTCACACATGAAGAGCCAGTGAAAGGGCATATACAGTTCTTGGACCTTAGGCTAAGTCTTGAAGAAAATCACATATGCTGGACATATGAGCCACGCTCTAAGAAGGGTATCCTTCCGTTCAGCTCGGCCCATTCGAAGGTTGTAAAGAGAGGAATTGCATCTAGTTGTCTCGAGGCGTCACTAAGAAGATCATGTGCACACACCGCTCAAGCGAGCTTCACGAGACAGGCAGCGAGGTTGCAAAAAGCGGGCTACCCGCAGAGAGTTCTGGTGGATGTAGCGGACACCCTAATAAAAAAGTTCAAAGGCACACGGAGGCAGCCCCGTGAAAGAGCAGCAGTGAGGCCGGTGGTAATCCCCTATGTACACTCACTAACCCACAATCTTAAAAAGGTTGCTGATAGGTACGATGTGCCTATTGTGTTCTCCGCACCAAACAAACTATCGAGACTGTGTCGCAGAATCAACAATCCCCGTGAGTCAGCAGATCCTTGCAATACGAAGCACCGCAACAGGTACACGGAATGTGCTACGGGCGTCATATACGAAATCCCCATGTCATGCGGAGCATCGTACATTGGCCAAACGGGCAGATGCTTTAATGATCGCGCCCGCGAACATGCTGCGGCTACACGGGCTACCCCGTCGGGACACCTCGCCACGCACTGCAGCCGTTGCTCCTGCACACCGTCATTTAGTGACACGAGGTTTTTGGCCAGATACGCCGATCGGATATCGAGGGAGCTGCACGACGCCTTCGAAATAAAAGAAAAGGGCAAGGACTGCATTAGTGACACGTCTGTGTCACTATCGGCAAAAGAGCACACTTTTCTACGAAGGGGGCTACACCGGACGTAGTATGACTGTGTAGTATGACTGTGTAGTATGACTGTGTAGTATGACTGTGTAGTATGACTGTGTTGTTTTCCATGAGTATATAAGAGAGTGGTTTTTTCATAAACGCTAGTTGCGAGTGCACCTTGTTCACGTCTCCTTTCTTGTATCTTGTCCTTGTGTATTTTCGGCGCCCTGAAAGTTATCATGAACCAACTAGCCCAGATTGCCATTCTAATGCAGAAATGTTGTTGTTAAAGGGACACTGACACCCCCCAAAATATTTTTTTCATTTTTTGCCAGGCGCTTCATTATGGTGCCGGAGGACTACCCAATTAATATTTTGCAACAGAGTAGCGTATTTTTTTAATAAAGCCAAAAGACGCAACTGCTCGAAACCGAAACCGAAACCCGCGCACGGAGGTCGGAGAAGTGGAGAGAAGAGAGTGAGTGGCGGAAGTCACGTGGCTACACCCGACAGTGCAGTTTTTTTTTTTCTCTCCTTTTTGTAGCAGACGACATGCGGCGTAGTGGGAACTGTTTGCCGCGCGATTCTTTTGCAGTTATGTTTGTTCCGCTCGCTGTTCTGTACTCCGAGATGAGTTCTTTTGTACATTGAGGAGTTGGAAATGAGTAGTGAGTCCCCGTGGTGAATTTCCATGATCGGCTCCGAAAAGAATACGCCCAAGATGTTGCGTGAAGAGCTGGCTCACATGTCCTGCATCCGAAAAAAAGTGGCATTGTGCGAAAGAGTTTCCGAAAGATCAACGGGATCGGGACCAATGGCTGGCTGCAATTCCTGTAGAACATTTATGGGCACCTCGGAAAGCGGACGCTACCTGATTTATATGCTCCTTGCATTTTGTGGAAAGTGATTACATTGAGTTCGCAGGTGTCAAAAAGGAGATCCCATACCATTTAATTCAGCGACGTGTCGTCCACAACATTCGTTTGTTATTTTTTGTTTGTTTCTTCAGTGATAATTATAAAAAAAAAGAAATGTAAACATCAAAAAAAAAAAAAAAAGATTTCATTGGGGATTGAACCCGGTCCTACCGCGTGTGAAGCGGACGTCTTTCCCACTGAGCTCTTTTCACTGGGTGATTTCCTTCCTTAGTAACAATGCAGCCAGTAAACTGTAATTTGGAAAGTTTGCTGCCGATTTTCATCCAGCAAAAGCACTCCCGGGTCAAAATCGGGAAGCACCACGCATTGGCGACATAGTAAAGAAATTGTACGCGTGCATATTCAACTCGAAGTAGACCCGTCGTGCTTGACGTTTGCGCGAGCGATGTCTTCAGCCACGAGAAGGGAGCGACGGCTCGGCGACGTCTTCGTGCAAATCGGCTTGGTGGTCGGGCGTGTTGTACGGGATGAATACCAATTCTTTTGATGAGTCCCAAATTTCTCTTTTAAAGGCAGATAGAATTCGCCGGTACCGCGAACGACAGTTCTGCAGTAGAGGTCCAACGCCCGTCGTCCGCTGCCATCGCCGTCCCCGCGAGTCCCACGATACGCGAAACGACGCACGCACAGAATGCTTCCGGTTCTCTGTGCAACTTTTTTTTCAATCAACGTATTTGCAGCTTTTTAGAAGCCACAAAAAATGGGTTTCATATTTTTTTCTATTTTTAATATTGAGTGTCTGACTTCAGTGACCAACGACTTTGATTAAATTTGGTGGTCGCTTCGATACCTTAGAAAACGGCCCGTGACCGCGAAAAAGAGAGTGAGCAAGACTCGAACCGGCCAGTTCTTGATCGGCAATTTTCGGGCGGAAAGAAACCGAATTTTGAGTCGCAAATTGTGTTCTGGGTAGTTGGGCTCTCATATGTCATGTACAACTAAAAACCTCGCCAAGCATAAACACCCTGTCAGTGTCCCTTTAACAGTCCCCATGGCAAATGACTCAATGATCTCTCTTCCAAATCTGTTATTGTGCCCGCCCAGTATATTAGTATTAGAAAAATGAGGTGTACAGTCATCGCATGTGCGGCTGTGAACGACAATGGGGTGATACGACTCAGTTGAAGCCTTTGATGCTTCCAAGTTATGTTCTCTGAGTTGGTGGTTGACGCATCTCCCAGTCTGTCCAATGTACTGACTGCCACAGCTTAGTGGAATCGAATAAACCTTCGTAGTTCGTAGAATGCGAAGAAAGGAAGGTTTATTCGATTCCACTAAGCTGTGGCAGTCAGTACATTGGACAGACTGGGAGATGCGTCAACCACCGACTCAGAGAACATAACTTGGAAGCATCAAAGGCTTCAACTGAGTCGTATCACCCCATTGTCGTTCACAGCCGCACATGCGATGACTGTACTCCTCATTTTTCTAATACTAATATACTGGGCGGGCACAATAACAGATTTGGGAGAGAAATCATCGAGTCATTTGCCATGGGGACTGTTAACAACAACATTTCTGCACCGTCATTATCATTGACAAAGACAGAGGTCGAATTCTTAACACCAGAGATGACTAGAATATTGACACCTCGTCGTGACGCTACAGCTTTTTAAACTTTTATATGTATAGTACAATTCCCTTTTTGGACTGCAAACAAGAATAATTCCGCATTATCACTGACAATGACCAAGGTTAATTCTAAGTAATCGAAAATAACTAGATTACTGATGCGCTTTTCAAACTTTTCTTTTAGTGTATTCCCCTTCCTTTATAACTAGTATCTCCTTTCCCTCTTTGAGAACGTTGAGACCCTTGGGGGCGGTTTTATCGTTGTGCCATTCTATGTTGTTGCTAAATGAAAGATGTCCTGTTCCCGTCCTCGTCCTCTCTGTTTTATACTTTCAAGTTTTGTATCTATTAACCAACACGCTCGTTTTCAACTGTGATTAGTTGGTTGACTGGTCAACCGATTGACTGCTCAATTGACCGATTGGACAGTTGATTAACTGATTGAGTGATTGGTTTGATGATTGGTAAACCAATTAACTGCTCAATTGACTGATTGGACAGTTGATTAACTGATTGCGTGATTAATTGGTTGATTGGTCAACCGATTAACTGTTCAATTGACTGATTCGACAGTTGATTAACTGATGAAGTAATTGGTTGGTTGATTGGTTGAGTGAATAGCTCCCCCCGTCAAGACTAGTGCGTCGTACCTCATCGTGATCGGTGCAAGGTGCGACGTGCTTGCTGTTTCCACGCGGGATGTCCGGTCCGCCGTTGGCAGATGCTAGGTCCGGTAGAGAGAGGGCCCCGTCGGACTGGCCAGACGCCGTCCGGGCGCGCGGTGACCTGGCATTGTGGCGGTCGTCGGGCCGCACCAGCTCGTCATCGCTCTGGCTCTGGGGCAGCAGGGCGTACTGCTTGGCCGTCCCATTGAACTTCATCGTGGCATGCGGCCGGCGCCCTGCGAGGAACGGGCCACGCCGACGATCGGCTTTTCCGGTATCCAGACTGGCAACTCCGATCATTATCATCACCTCAGTGTTAGCACCTGTGCCAAACTAATGGCAGTCTAATTGTGGCTGATGCAGGAAGCTGGTGATGCTGGTGCAACTTGACGCACGAATTAGGTACAATGGATACATAAGAGTTTATTTTAAAGTGTGGTCCAATGAATCCCTTGGCACAAGTATGGCTCTAAAGCGTTTTTACGGCAGAAATTTAATCGAGAGGCTTATAGATTGGCGCTTTGCACTGGTAAGTTCTTACGTTCACATCACCGAAAATGAAACAAATCACGAAAGAATTATGAGGATATCGAAGAACAGATTCTTAGCCGCAACTGACGTGTAAAAGTGGCGGCACCGAATGAAAACTGTTTTGTGACCGCCATTAGTTTGTTGGAAGTGGAACCGCTTTCTGAGCCACCACATGACACTGAATTTTAAAAATTGAGTCTGACACGGGCACTTGTTGGGCTCACTTATACAATGTAAGAATTGTGGCAGAGCCGTGTAGAGAGTTTGGTCATTAATTGGTAAGAATAGGGCAAAGATAAGGACATGTCATTGCCCGAAATGACTTCAATGACCTTGGGTGCGTTGACTGAGAGCCCTTGTGACCGACCACTGGTTACGTAAGTTCCCCTAGAAAAGGTAATGAGCTTAACTTATGCCTTCCAATCACAATTTATAAGTAAGGATGTATCCAAGTATTGCATTTCGGCACGCTAGAGTTGAAGTTTGCGACTCTTCGTAACTGAAAAGGCAACGCACGTGACTTTGTTGTTACGGCGACATTCAGAATGCACTCAAAGTTGCAGCCGCAGCCAGAAACGAGTAGACGAACTCTGCTCCGTGGACTCTGCTCCGTGGGAACTTCGACACTAACTCCGAGCGCACAGCCCACGTTCGCCTCATATTTAAGGAAACATTTCTCGTCTATGTCACCTTTTCTGGCTCAGTAAACGCATCAGCACCATGAAACTCCCTATTTCCATCCATCTATTACAGTTATCCATTCATATACTTTAAGCTTAATCCAGAAACAAAAAATACCTGCGCCGAAGTATGCGTCTCCTTCAAGGCCATCTCCGGTTATTCTTACTTCACAGGATCATCACGGGGAAAATATGCGGCGCTGGCGGCAGTGCCGCGTTCGTCGCTCCGCCCCGGTTCCCACTCTCTCATGATTATTATTATTATTATTAAGGAACTTTATTTTCCATTTCGATACATAAATGGAGGAAACAAGGGAAAAACACTGTGAGAACAGCTTGACGGAGCCCCTTGCTCCCTTCTAGTGGCATATACAGAAGTCAAAAACAAAACAACAGCGAAAAACACTGAGAAAAATCAACATAACAAAGTAAAATACAAAAATCAAAGAGGTCTCAAAAATCGATTCATTCGTTTTCGCCACACAGATAAAATTCCCCGCTAAATTTAGCGGGGAAATTTTCCGTTAAATATAGCAAAGAAAATTCCCCGTTAAATATAGTGGAAAAACTTCACATCTAAATTTAGCGGGGAAATATTTCCGCTAAATTTATCGGGAAATTTTTTCTGCTAAATTTAGCGGGGAAATTTTTTCACTAAATATAGCAGGAAATTGTTTCTGCTAAATTTAGCAGGGAAATTTTCCTACTAAATTTGGCAGAGTAACTGCCACAGAGCCCGTTCTAAAAAAGTGTCTCTGATCCATACTAGTCTTACTAGAGAGCCGAACTGGAGGCAATAGCAACGCCGCCATTTCTCCCGCAGTGGCCACTCCAAGAACCACAAAGCTGCACCTATTGGCTCAGGTCGAGTCGCACGAGGGTTGGTGGCGCCATCTCACAGTGCCATTTCGCAGTAGCTATATAAATCAACTTTCATGTTTTGACTCGTCGCTAAAAGGGGGCGCATCGTATGAAGTTTGGTCTTGGCGGACGTGAGTGCAAATGTGGGAACCAGTCTTTACACATTATGTGGAGTTTTATTTTTGTGGCCGCCAACATGGAAAAAATATTGCCGATGGAATGCATACGTACACGTGTAGACGAGTGCACTTTGTGCCACCATTTCTTTCGCGGAATTTGGGAGCAGAATGTCTACGGCAACTCCTATGTTGCAAAGGACTATGGTGCAATCTACTTATATAAGGAGTATTCACTGAGCGCTATATTTGTGGGTGATGTCTAGAGCGCATGCTCAGAACGAGTCCACATTACTAGGCTGCAAAGACCGGCAATCCTGAGGGTGCGAAATGCACGTTTCAAAAGAACTGTGGAAGCTCGCCATCAGCACGCGCTCAGCAGTCGCGCACACAACTATGGCCGCCAGTGAATATTCCCTATAATGATGTACCACTTATAACGATCAGCTTCTAGAGGGCCACACATTTTTGAATCGGGTATCTAGTCCAGGTACAACGATAATCTGTTATAACAATCATATTTTCGGGTTTTCTCATTATCAATGCGGACAGCAGGTCGTCTGCTTTTTTTGCAGGAGTTGCGGTGACATCAGAAAGACGCCAAGATCTGATTGAATTATGACAGGTAGAGCTCAAAGCAAGATGCCTTGAAGTCTAACCAGTATTCTTCATTCAGAACCAATCAGAGCTCAACGTTCTGACATAATTCCACAACCCCTGCAAAAGAAGTAGACGAACTTGTGCTCCGCATAGTGGATTGCACAGCATACTCGCTGTCACCTCAAGAAAAAAAGGCAGTTCTGCGCATTGTTCATACGCCACGCGAAGTAGTTCTTACAATATTTGGTTGTCGGAGGAAGAAGCGATGCTTTTGGTGTTTGAAACGTGTAGGTCTTGGTAAGATAACATATATCTAATCTAAAATGCACCATACATATATCTTAATTCACCAGATAAATGGGGAAATTAGAAAACCTACGCGAGAAGCCGGACTTCTTTTTATTACAGTTCTTGGGGTGAACGTGAGCGTAGGCTGTGCGATTTTGGTGGGCGAGTTTGTCGCGAAATGTGTAGTACGCTGATGCCGCACCAGTCCGTCTGGCTCTCCGGAAGGAAGTCCGGCCCCCCCTGCCCTTTCCCCCATTCAGCACGGCGATTGGTTGCGCACGCTATGACATCAAACCAACAGCTGAAGTCCGTTACATGACACCCTAGCTTTTCCGTGGCCTTCCTAAGGTGGGACCAACACGAGCAAGCAAGCTAAGCAAGGATCGCGCTAACATATAAATTCTTTCGATTAAGAGACCAAAAATAAAAACTCACAAAGGAGAAACAATTTACGGTCACAGAACCATTGATGCTGCAAGGATTGTTTATATGTAGGGTTCAGCGCTTTTGGTTTTTATTTTTTCAAAAATTCGGCATACTTTTTTCGGTGTTTATTTTAAATTTCAATTTTCGGTTTTTCGGTGTATATTTATTCCCCCAAAAATTACCATTTTTTTCCAGTGAATATGAAAGAAACACTATCGGACACCGGATCAGATGATCCTTGTAACTGTGATATTTGTGATCACTCAAAGAATAACGGCACATATACATACGTGGTCTTCACTGCAACTTCCGTCGGGACACACCTCAATATCGCAGAATTCGCGGGTATATTCTTAAGCGCGCTTCTTTTTCCTTCCCATTCTGACGACGTGACCTGTCTGAGGTGATGACTGTACAAAAACCAGCGGAATGACAAAAAAAGAAAAATTCATTGTATTTATGTTTTTAACCACAGGGAAGTTTGCCTTTCCTCTATGTCCTCTCAAGTGCATGATACCCAAACTTATTTTAGGACCAGGAACTTGACAAACTAAGTCCGATCACAGAAAGGACACAAATGTCCGGCGAAGGCCAATCAAGACCTCTTTTGTTGCGTGTTGAACCTTGGAGGAGGCGAGCCTTGCAAAGCCCTCTCGCCCCTCCCCTCGTCCTCCCTCCCTCCCTCCCTCCCTCCCTCCCTCCCTCCCTCCCTCCCTCTCCCTCCCCCCCCCCCCCCCTCCTCCACCCGCCTCGACGAGTTATAAACTAACCTTTTTCGGTTAAAATCCAAATTTTTGCAAACGAATTAGATATACTTTTATCGGTTTAAACCGTAAACGCCGAACCTACAAACTGACCTTTTTCGGTTAAACCGAATTTCCGAGAATGAATTCGGCGTACTTTTATCGGTTAAAACCGAAAACTCCGAACCCTATTCATATGTGGAGCGCAAGTTCGTCTGCTTCTTTTGCAGCTGGGTTGTGGTGACGTCAGAATGCCTATCTCTGATTGGCTCCGATTGAAGGATAGTGCGCGTAGACCTCGAAGCGTGCTGCCTTGAGGTCTACCCACTATTCTTCCATCAGAGCCAATCACAACTCGGCGTTCTGACGTCACCACAACCCCCTGCGCCAAAAGCAGACGAAACTTGCGCGGGTACGTAAACCACGCCGTGGTAGCGTGGCTACCGTAATCCCACACGCTTCCGTGAAAACGCTGGTGCGCCTGGAACCGAACTAGCGACTTGGTTACTTGCGCGAAATACGATAACTTTTATTTCTAGACTTGCTGCAAGTTTGAATACATTTCTGTAGATAAAGCAGAGGCTCCAACCATCGATAACCGATACCTCAGGCTCTGGCTAGTTCAAGCCACAGGTTCAAGCCACCGATCCGACATCGCGAATGTGATACTTACGGGCGAGATGGTCAGAAGAATTTTGAGGGTTCCTGCGTCCGTGCGGAAGGGGGGGGTGGAACTTTTCACTACCGTGTCACGCACATCTCTTCGGGGAGATTTCGATCATTTCGTGAGGCGGAACGAGCCACCTGTGTTGACGGAAACACAGCACACAGCTGTCACTGTACCATCGTGCCAATCGTTTCCCACACAGCACAGGTCACGGCTTCGAGCTAAACACAAACTAAAAACGGTCGGATCGCGACGGATTGGATTCAAGTACTGATTTATTTATGAGGTTCCTGTTTTGATAACCATGAACTAAAAATAATAGACGAAACAATAAATGCGATTTCTTTATATGCACGTTTTTCTCTAGATTCGAATCCAAGATTCTTTGTGTGTATGTGCGTGTGCAAAAACGTTTATTATGATGCCGCCTGAAGTTAGTTTTATTCTGATAACGAACTTTGGCGACCGACTTGGTAAGCCAAAGGAATAGCTCAGAATAGCCAACGCAATCCATTCATGTCTTGATCAGAGACATCCGAGGAGGAGTCGGAGGAGTCGCTGTTTGCTGTTTGTTTGGCGGTTCTGGCTGGTTACTCGTGAATCAACCAACTTGTCGCCCAGTTGGCGTGCACGAATCACCACCCTGTGACACCAGACACAGGGCTAGTCCAAGCCGTCCAAGCCTCTTGTTGTGAACGTCGTGGCCTTCGCGATGGCTCCACAGCTGAGGAAACGTCCGGCCCAAATTAATGGACTCGCCAGGTACGTGCCACGTCGGTGGGAAGCGCAAATTTAGGAATTCCACAGGCCTATCTTTGGCCACAGAGTATCCTAGACTTGCACGTCCTAAACTGGAGGGGGTCTGCAACGTTTGTCACACAAGTGGCATGCAAAAAAATGCGTCCTTATCCAAAGCAGTGGGAAGTGCACCTAAAACCTAGAAGGGATTCTTTTTTATGGCTAGGGTCACAATCACTTCCACTGCTAGGTCTGGTACATTACCGCATTCGGACACAAACCCTTCCATGTATGGTGAAAGTCGCAAAAGTCACCCAGTTGGTGGAACAAAATGCAGTTTCTTCAGAAGGCATGCCTCGGAGGTCTTGATCGGCCACAAAAGTAGGTAACCGCTATTTCACAGTCAGCTACACATTTCGAACAAAATAGTATGGCTGTACCCTTTATAACCGGTGGTAGCTCGTGCCTCCTGATTTACAAGATTTAGCTTGGCATGGCTTGGCTTTAGGGTAGGAGCAACCTCAAGTCTCTCTCGATTCTCTGGAATGCACACTGCGTGCTTATGTGTATGTTTACACAGCCGGAAGTTAGTCTGCCTCGACTGGCGACTTGTCTCTCAACTTGCAGTTGAGCAATTTGGCCAGTGCAGTACAACCGCTAGCGTTGGGTCTTTAACGTGCACCATGCAGTAGTGATACACAACTGCACGCCGGTACGATGCTCATCCAGATCGAAACGGGCAAAGGTGGGGATTGAACCCAGGATCCCTGGGTTCTGCAGCGCGAGCGTTCGCTTCATGTGCTCCAAGCTGATGAGCGGCGAGCGCTAGCCCACTCGGCAACTGATCCCCCTTAGGGATGCACACTAGTGGTACTGGCGCGCGTTTCCGAAATCGTCCACTTTCTTTTATCTTCAAAATTCGCCATGTGCGTGTTTTGACAATGTGCATTTGAACCTTGGAGCTTTTGGTAGATAATAACTGAATAAACAATTTAAGTGTTGCAAGAAACCAAAGTATGCGGATGAGCTGGTTAGGAAAGATTGTAATCTTAACCCGGAGAGACAGTGAAATAAAATAATGGACAAGACACCACAAAATCTCAAGTGCTGCTGGGTTTATTCACGAGAGAATAGCAATATATAGCCATCCACACGGACAGGAAAAGACGTGCTACTGTAATTTGAGGGAACTCGGCCAGAGAAACTGACCTCCAAGTCTGGGAATACAGCTCGTGCGGTCGTCGACCGTCTCTTTGCAGCATGACGTGCAACGACCTCTGGAAGTTGCGCAAGTACACCAGCTACGTCAATCACCTGTGTCCGGGAATGTCGACAACCAGGGAGATGAATGTGTTCTTCTTCACCTTGAGCACCCGCGACAAGCAGGAGCGGTTCTTTGCGGCCTGCACGCACGGAGAAGCAGACCTTTGTGACATCACACGCAAGCTGTCGGTCTTCAACGAGTTCCTCCAGACAGTGGGCATGGAGCTGAAGGAGGTGGCACCTGGCAACCTCGGGCTGGTGCCGCTTCAGCCGGGCACCGTGATCGACGCCTTCCGCTGCACGGACCACCGTGCCTGGATCCTGCTGCACTGGCTGCTGAAGGAGCACCGCTGCATCAGCACGCTGACTCTCCCCTGGACCATGCTACCCTGGTCCACGCTGCCGAAGCACCCCCAGCGCCTGCTCTGCGACGCCCTCCGTCTCAACATGGGCACGCGGAAGCTGGGGCTCTCGGGCTGCACGCTGAGCAACGAGGCATTCACAGACTTGGTTGGCGCCGTTGGCACGCTGACCGCGCTGGAGACGGTCGAGCTCTGCGATGTGTTCCCGATCCAGGGCAGCGTGGGACATCTGGGCGGCGCCCTGGAGAAGCTGTCGGCGCTGAGGAGCCTCACGCTGTCCGGGGTTCGCATGATGCCATGCGACGCGGGGCTGCTGATAGCGGCGCTGAAGAGCAGCCCCGCCCTCTCGTCGCTCGACGTCGAGGACTACTTCCTAGAGCCGGAAGGCGGCGCGGCCCTCGCGGAGTTTGTAGCGCAGAGCGCGACGCTGAAGCGGCTGTGTCTCTGGCAGGCCGTCTGCCTCAAGATGAAGGAGCTGAAGGTCCTCTTCGCAGGGCTGTCCTCCAACTGCAGCATCGAAGAACTACGCCTGAAGGGCTTCGCGCTCAAAGAGCGGACAGTGGACCTCTTGGCACGGACGGTCGCGAGGCATCGGACGCTGAGGTGCCTCGAGGTGCGGTGCTACGTTGCAGACTGGGAGGTCAGCGGGATCCCCCTTGCCAAGCTGGTGAAGAAGGACACTGGTCTCCGGGAACTGGCGTTTGCGGGCGGCAAGGGCGTGTGTCTGGCGCTCTTTGCGGCGGCCATCCGCAAGAACAAAACTCTGGAGAGCCTGTTTCTCGGCCTGTCCGACGTGGAGGTCTCCGACTATGAAGACTTCCTGCGGGCCCTCGCGCTGAACGAGTCGCTGAAGCGTGTCACTTTCGAGAAGGTGGACAGCGCGTCGCTGAGCGACCTGTGCACACTTCTCTGCGAGACGGGGACGGATGGGAGGGTGAGGTTCAGAGCAGAGTTCGAGGACCCCCGGGTGTTCGTGGCGAGCGCCAAGAACTGCGTGAGGCTGCGCCACCTGAGCTACGCCCCGCAGACAGCCAAGAGCGGGCTGCCTGCGGAGTCGCTCCAACAGTTGGTCCGCTACGACCAGCTCCGCGAGCTCAACATCCGGCTGGACGGGACAGTTGAGTGCAAGGACGCCGGCCTCCTTGCACCCTTTCTGGCGTCCACGAAGACTCTGCGGGAGGTGAATCTTACATTCTTTGTGGATGTGGACGCCACGCGCTACCTCTTGGATGGGCTGACACTGAACCGGAGCATATCCCGGTTGACACTGAAGAACTGGACCTTCGGGGCGGCCGAGATCGAGCAGCTCTTTGGCATTGTGCAGACAAATGATGTGCTGAACGAGCTGCACCTGCAGCCCTCGGACTACCGGGGCTGCCCCACGCTGAACCAGCTTCCGCAAAGGCTCCGGGCCAACCACAGCCTGCTGAAGGTCAGCATCAAGCAGGGGCTGCGCTACGACACCCAGATGTTCCAGTTCGCGGTGCAAGAGGTGATGCGGCGCAACCTGTCCACGCTGCACCGTGCCACACAGTTTGTGACGGGGTCGCGCGGCAGGGTTTACGCGGAGGCTTTTGAGCGGGTCTCCAAGACCCTGGCTCTGGTCAAGGAGGTGCAGAAGGCGATGGGCGAGACTGAGGAGGAAGCGAGGGAGAGGGTGAGGGGCGCCCAGCGCTTTTTGGACGAGCACTTCTTCGTGGCGGTCGGCATAGTCAAGGAGGCCGTGGTGTGCGTCCGGAACGGGCAGGTCCAGTTCGACCGGATCGGCCTGGACAACTGGCTGCACGTCCGGCAGTACCTTAAGGTAGCCGACATTGAGCCGGAGCCGAAACAGGAGTCTGTTGTGCCTCGGAAGAAGCGCTGCCTCTAGGGTTATATAATTTTGCGCCATCTGCGCGGCCGGTCTAGTTGCGTTGTTTCGCTGAGCAAAGAGGAGGAAATTTGCACTCTTAGAGTAGTACCTCCTCCCTTTTGTTTCTTAAATTGAATTGTGAATGCAGTGAGAAGGAACGTTCGACATCCTTGCGTCGGAATATTGCAACATAAGCCATATCTGGTGCCATCATCGTAGGCATTCCAGAGTCTCACCTAGCTGCCGACGGTAAGAGACCATCGTTGACGAGTGATTTTCCGTTTGTGGTTTCCCATAGAACTACTTTTGCACGTCGAGAACTGTAACGGGAACCTCACCGATGCCTTTTGGCCACCATGTCAAGAGTCTCCTCGCAAATCCTCTAAAACAATAAGGTGCGGCTGGCAACGTCGAGACTGATTGTTGCATAGCAGACAATATCCTAAAGAAGCTCAACGTCTGCCACCGCTTTTAGAAGGCCTTGCAATTGGTAGTCCTAGACAAACTTGTAAAATGGTCGACAAAGGCATGCCCCTTTAGGCAGACTGCACGTCGGATAGAAGTAGATGACTCGCCCAGGATGGTTGTGGTGTCGTTTTTGTGCCCAGTCATCCCATCAAAGCTTGATCAGAGTTCATTGAAATCTGCTAGTTTTCACGACGTAAGTTGTCTGTAGAGGACAACGACGCTGTCTTACAGTTTTACCTGTTCTACAATGTGCTACTGGTCTCGAAGCTTCTCCGTAATGCTATGGGAGTGCTTAATAGAGTAGAGGCACTGCGAACCAGTACAGTCGGCTGCCTGGCTCTTTTATTGCTTGCAAAGCATCGCTTTGTTGAAAACAAATGAAAAAAAGCTATTTGTAAGTTCTTTTATTAGAGATCAATAAAGAATGAGTGGGGCTTGCACACAATGATCAGTTAGATACATAGCAAAATGTCGGTATACGAGAAATTGTTTTGTGAAAACTACCCGTCATTGCGAACCTGGAATGGCTCATTGAGAGGGGGGTGACCAAACAAAAGTGCCCCCTCTGGAACAGTAGCAACTTTAGTGGCACCTGTTGACCCTGTACCAAACTTTGACCTAAGTTTTATGACCAGTAGCATATTGAAGGACTCTGGTTCTGTTAAATGATGCTCAAGATATGTGCAGGTTGATAATTTTGTGTCATTGCCTGCCCCTTGTAAATGGTCGAGTTCGGTCTACTAGGCAAACACACAGCTGACACTGCACGTAGACCTAACGGAAGCAGTCTTTTTGGCAGATCTGCTGGCAGTGTTGATCAACCGTTGGCGTGAGCACACCGTGAAAGCTTTGAATTGGGGAATTGCAGCAACAACTGAGCTCAGACATTATGCAAACGTCGCGACCGATTTGCCTAGTTTCATCGCGACTGCTCGGAAGATTGAGTGGACAGTCGGTGACGGAAGTCACTTTTTTCTCGCAACCGGTTGCCTTCGCATGGGGTGGTTTTTCTCTTTGCTGGCATGCGGCTTCACACCTTTACAAGTCACGCACTTCTTCGGCGTCGTCTGCCACTGTACCTCGGGAAATGTGCAAACTATGCCAAGAGGGCTCTTGACATCTCAACAGTGACAATAGCTACATGCCAGCCCGTGTTTTTGACGTCAAGTCGAGGCAGGGGCGCCATCTGTAGGACAGTGTGTGCGCTCTTTACAAAACAGCCACGCACCGCCCGTCGTTCCGGTGAGCAAGCGCGCTTGTGTATGAACAGTGAGATTAGGGGCGTAGAACGTCCTCACCTTCACGACGGTCAACTGGGGTGCAGGCAAAATTAGAAACGTATTAGAAATGCAAGTTAAAGAACAAGTTCGACACCGACGTAAACGGTAAGCTTGCGTTTTGTGTCCTACCCTACAATGTCCCGCATTTTGGGCACTTTACAGAAACTTGTCTAAAACTGTTTGGTATGACACGTTGCCTTGCACCTTTATTTATTTTTATTTGTTTCCTTGTTCCGAATCTCTTGAAGCATTTGTTTGGGGAATTCTCTACAGATGTTGTGGTGTAACCACCTTTATGTATGAACGGTGATGGCGTTTGTTTGGCCTCTTTTATAAAATAAAGGCCAAATTTACTCAGTTTATTTTCCATTTCTTTTTTACCTTGATTCTGTAGTTCCATTATAGCTTTGTTTCAGTCCTTTTGACCTTTGTTACAAGGACCCCCCCTTTCAAATGCTTGCCTAGATGTCTCAAATTTGTATAAAGTCGGGGGCTTTCGTGCCTTTATGCTTAATCATGCACCACATGCAGCTGTCAGATAGTTCAGAAATGACACTTAACCTTCATGGGATCGTTTCTGTTTAGTGCAATTTTATTTCCCTTGTCTGGGAGCCTGCTTTGAAAAAGGAGCTGTTCACCAGCTTTACTTTTTAATAATAATAAGTAACCTCAGTATTACTAAATATGCTAGATGGGGAGGAGACTAATCGGTGATGTGCAGCGGATGAGAGTGATGCACTTAGCAACTGCTTTTCTGGGTCAAATACGAAGGATGAATCGATCAATGAATAAGGTAAATTGAGAAAAGGGAGAGAGAAGTGGATAAGGAAACTTAAAAGCCAAAAGGGGAAGTGAAGTTGGATTAGGACTGTGACAACTGCAACTAGAGCTGATCGGTAAGATCAATTGCCTCTTGAAGTTTAAGGAGGGGGATCGGAACCCTTCAACATTGGCAAACAAATCCACTTTCGGTCGCACACGCGGATCCGACGCTGTAAAACGAGCCGGAAAAATCGGTGCCTGTACTTAAAACTTTCACCGAACATGCACCAATTAGGTCAGTTTTGCCGTATGAAATTTTAAAGGGCAGTTTTTTTTTGTAAAAAAATGAGAGCAAACAAGAAAACTTGCCAAACTTAAGGTTGGGCTCGTTCGCAGAAAACCGAGTCGGCGACACAATTTACTCGTGGCACCATCTACCAATAGGTGTAGTAAGCGGACAACGCACTCTGCTGTCCGCTCGCTACGCCTATTGGGAGATGGCGCCACAAGTAAATAGCTTCGGGACTCTTCCGTCTGCAAATGTGCCCAACCTTGACTGGGAAGTTTTTTGCTTTGATTTTTAACAGGAAGAAAACTGCGCCTTGAACATTCACGCGGTAAAACTGCCCTGCTCAGTGCACGTTTGGTGAAAGTTTGAAATTTCCATGTGCAGGCACCGATTTTTTCGGCTCATTTTACAGCAGAAGGTTGGCTTGGGGCACCCTATACATATTTTCTTTTGTCAGAGTCCCTACACTACAATGTGCAAATGTGTTGGAAAGCTGGCGACGGGGGTTTTCAGATATATAGTTACACATTTCAGGTGTACGATAACATGAGCCAGGAAGAAATTGGGGGCCAGCTGAAGGGATCTAACCAGTTCAGATACCAATTGGGTCGAGTATCTACAACAGGCTTTGTCAGCTACTCTGAAACATGGGTATGCAGCAATATAGGTAACCAAAAATGATTATCGCACCAAGATGTTGGACTTTTCGCCTAAATAATCTAACACTGTTGTCGCTCTTTCTTTTTCTTTTGATGGGTATCATTGTTGGGCATTTCACTGTGGGTGCTCAAGTGCTTCGGCACGATCAAAGATCCTCGTCTTTGTCCTAAATTTGTGGAACTGGCAACCAAGAAGTGTTTTCCAAACCGACGCAACAAGGCTGCTTCACACACTTGCAACCGCTTACACTTGCAACCATATACACAGACAAGGAAGCACTTGTATATTTTCGTGATGGACCACAACCTCTTAAAATCCCATGTTGAAATGTTTTCACATAAAACTGAAATGAACCGCCGTGTCGCTTGACTTAAGTCATCTGAAAAGGTGGCGTGGGGAGATGGAGCAAAGAGAGAGAAAGATATAGAATGGAAGAGAGAGTTACATGTACAAGGGAAGGCTCGCTGCCCGCACGAATGCAAGCAGCGAGTCAAAAATGTTTCCAGTGATTGGACTGCTTTGTGGGGTTAGGACATGTCCAGTCTGCTTAAAAAAACACTGACACCCCACCATTTTTTTTTGTTTATTTCTTGCCAGGCGATTTTTTATGGTGTCTGAAGACTACCCAGTCCATCATTTGCTACAGTGTCATATTTTTAGAATAATAAAAAAACGCAACTGCTCGAAACCGAAACTGGGTGGGGGAGGAAGAAGATATATAGAGGAGGGGGAAGATACCAAAAGTCATGACTGTGCAACTTTTTTTTTTAATCAATGTATTTGCAGTTTTTTAGAAGCCATAAAAATAGGTATATTTTTTGTCCATTTCTAGTATTGAGTGTGTGGTTTCGATGACCCACGACTTTGATGATCTTTGGTGGTTGCATCTAAACCATAGAAAACGGCGGCACGTGACCACAAAGAAGAGAACAAGTGCGACTCAAACCGGCCAGTTCTCGGTCAGGGGTTTTCGGGCACACTGTGTTCTGGGTAGTTGGGCTCTCATATGTCATGAACAAATAAACTTTCAGCCTTTCCACTCTGGTGAAGAAGGAAGACCAGCGGAGCTGTGCTATGGTGGGACAACCTCAAGGACTTCTTGGACAACCTCAAGGACGACACCTAGAGGACGACCTCGAGGACAATGCCTACTACGACCTCAAGGATGACGCCTAGGAAGACCTCAGGGACGACGTCTCGGACGACTTCAAGGATAACATCTGGGACTTCTAGGACGACCTCGAGGACAACATCTAGGACGACCTCAAGGACGACTTCTGGGACGACCTCGAGTACGACTTCTAGGACAACACCTAGAGAAGTTCAGCCTTTTCACTCTGGTGAAAACCAGAGTGGAAAAGCTAGAAAGGTTGCCGCCATCTACGAGCTACGGCGGCAACCAGACAACCGGCAAGTCTGTTGTCTGGTTGCCACCGTCGCTCATAGATGGTGGTGGCTGTCCAGAGTTTTGTGTCGAGATTTATTTGTCCACGGACATGAAACTAGAAAAGCTAGCCCTTAACAGCTTCGCTGTAAAAACTTTGGCGAGCATAAATACCCGTCGGTGTCCCCTAAGTCCAAGGCCGGTAGCTCGGTGGAGTTGGGTTTAGGTATGTGGTCCTATATGCGGAGTGCTTAGGGCAGTCCCGGACGATATGAGGGCACATCGCCGGCACTCAGCATAGGAGAGAGAGCGGGCTAGCGCCTACACCATCCGGAGAAGAAGGGTGGTGAAATTTGGCCATCCAGATTGGTGTTAATGCCGTTTGTGTTTAGAGCTTGCGGAGGTTATCCTTTCCCATCTACCGTAATATACCGCGAAATAGCCCACCTAAGGTCTAAAGCAAGTCTGGTGAAAATAAGGAGTGGGCTAACTTTCGGTGTGCAATCGGGGAAAGTAAAAAAATGCTAGTTTTAGATTCTCCGACGAGTGTCCTTCCCAGTCGGCAATGTTCCCTTATCTCCCGTCTTGCCTGAATAATGCCATTTCTGCCAAGGTCACCATTGGCCAGAACTCTGCAATTACTAGAAGTGGGCTGCATTTCGGCATTTTTACGAAAAATAGCAAATCGGACCAAAAATTGGGTTGGGCTATCTTTTGGAGGTGAGACATCTCAAGATATTATGATAGTATAACCAGATGGGATAGGACACTCCCCCAAAGGAAGAAAAGCAGCGAGTCGCGCTTTCCTGGTGAGTCGTGCGGCCTTCCTGCATTCTAAAGGGTCTATAAAGACCCGAGGTGGACTGGGTTCAGAGGGGCAAACGCAGCCTTGTGAGGGTTCGAAGGTATATAATGCATCCCTCGCAGCTGCATTCGTCCCCCTTGTTGCCCGATACGTCAGCGTGGCAGGGTATTTACGCCACTACTATTCGGCACCCCATGGGAGTTGAATCCCTTGCACCTTGCATAGCAACCAGAGCTCCCGAACTGTCCCATTGCAACCAGTCAAACAGGTGCATCTGTGCACCGCCTCTTGGGGAGTCGGTGAAAACACGCAACTGCCTGGCACGGTGATGTAACCGAGATTGAATGACTGGCAAGATGGCCCAAAGCTCCGCAGTTTTTGAACTCGGAGTGGACGGCGCAAGTTTATTACGTGTCTGCTGGGTGGTGTGCGAGTGATGTGCGACGGTGGTTTCCCTTTACCCGTCGTCTGCCCGGGCAGCGTACGAGTAGATGAGCAGATTTAGTGCACCTTAGGACGAGAGAATGCACCTGCGCATCTGTCGGGTAGCCGTGGAACACTTGCAGTTTCCACATATTTTCTTTCTTTTTTTTCGCCCATCATTTTCTCTTTCTTGTCTCTAAAAACTTTTGGCAATGTTATAAACGACCCTTTCCCATAGGCAATATGTACATTCAATCTCGCAAATACCGCAAAACCTTCGCTCGAGTCTGGTAAAATGAAGTTCAGAGGTAACCTCGTAGATGGCGCCAGCATGTTCTCTCATCGTAAGAGGTCGCAAGAACTCGGTCCTAAGCAAACACGAGAGATTGACACGTTGGAACCAATACAAGGAGGGTGGTTTTAAAGGTGAGGGTCGTGCTTGCACGGGCTGCAGAACACGTTTTGCCCAATACAAAGATGGAATGGAGATAAGGAGGTCTAGGTCGAATTGGTCGCATGGATGGCTATGTGGGAACAATTCGCCTGCCTCGGAAATGGCGACTTGTGGAGTCTCACTGCATGTGGAATGGCAATCAAGCAGTAGTATGAGCGGGAGTCGTTGCATCACGGGCAGGGAGACAGCACCGACTGCTGCCCCGTTGCCACTTAAAACAAGAACAATCTTCTCGGGACCCCTACAAATTGCCACCGAAATTTACATCGTGCTGCTTATGGTTCTGGGGTTATGAAGGGATTGAAACCATTTGGGGTAATCATGCTTTAATGTATCTCAGGATGTATAGTATCTTCAAATTGTACATGGGAATCGCACTAAAGAGTTTTTCACATTTGTTTGCTCGTACACTTCTAAGAAGTTGAGGAGAAAATATAAAAGCTGGTAAAATTCAAGGCTGTCATATACATAAACAGCGTGGAATGGTTCTCAATTCCATATAACAAAGTATTTTCTGGCTTGGAAAAAAAAAAAAGCAAAATACACCAGTGTAACAGAAACAAGACAGAAAAAATAAACGGTTCTACAAAAATAGTTTTGGCACAATCTTTTCTCGTCCGCAGCAATATAACGAACGTAAGAGCTTCTACATCTGCCAACGCTGAAGTGTGTTGATCATCAACTGCCAGGCACCAATTCATTGCATCCTTTTGCAAACTGAAATGCATTGGGACCTCTCGAACTAAAACAATCTAACAGTTCTTGGCATTCTTTTTAGCTTGTTCTTTGGCCGATTTGATCAGCAAGTTGTGACTGTAGGAAACAGAATCGACTTCTGAAGTCGCCGGTCGTTGCGAAGGCACGTCAAGTGGTCCGAAGTCATCTTCGAGATGGTACGGGCGTCGTCGTAAGCGGTGAGTGGAGATAGCTCGTGAGGATGGCACGTCGGAGTCACGCGTCGGGGCATTCGTCGACAGACGTCACAGTCCTATACAGGAGCTTATAGATCACGGGGCTCCGGAAGCAAAGGGTCTCCCCGCCCCTGCGGAACTGAGATTTCTGTGGACAAAGACACGGAAAGAGTGCGTTAGCCTGATCGGGCATGTCCTCAACGAGGTCCGTCTCTGCATTACTGTTTTGCCGGCTGCGGTGACCCCAAGAGCTTAACGCGTTCGCTACATTTTCCAGTTTGTGGTTTTGGTCTCCGACGACAAAGGTTATCTTTAAAAGGGCCGTGCAATGGTATTGGGTAGGAACGTTTCTCACTCTGCACGAGCATTACTGACATTAATGGAACTCGAATACACTCGCACACAACACCACTGACCGAGAGGTTTCTTCATTGCCGCATAATTTCTAGGATAAAAGTGAGCATTTTCTTACAGTCTCTCTCACAAAACTTGATGACAAAATTATGGGGACTGCACTGTTGGCGTTTTCAACGATCCAGGATTTTATCATTAAGCTTTGCGATTCCCACGGTGATGACCTTTACATGCAGCTCATACGGTGGGCACGAGGACTGCGTAAGCATTTGATTCGGGCTCGTCACAATCGATGCCTAGACTGGCATTTGCGTAGTGGCTCGTACACAATTGCTGACATGATGCAAATGTTTCTTAGTCACAACGTGACAATAGGGCCGCATTGTTTGGGCTCGTGCTCACATGACGCGATCTAACTGCGTCTTCTCGGCGAGAAGGTGCAACTTGCGGATTCATCAGAACCAATCCGAGTGATCCACTGAGCCAATAACGGCGGCCGCGTCCTCACCATGCGGTTGAGGGACCCGATGCAGACGTAGCCCTTGGCCCCTTGCATCGAGATGGCCCACTTGCTATGGTCCTCCGTGTTGGAGAAGGCCAGGGACTGGTTGGTGCGCCCGAGCGGGAACCGGATGCCGTCCACGTTGGTCACCGTGAACGGCTTGTCGCACTCAGCCGGCAGACGACCACCGGGGCCGTTGCGCCACGTCGACGCCAGCAGACTCGTCTCCAGGCTGCTGGCAACCACGTCGGAATACACGTCTGTCGAAACGGTGAGGGTGACAGGGTGTTAGCCACGGCCACGTTTTAGGATATGCAGTAATCTCTCATTATAACTAAGTCAATAGGACGGCAAAAATATTTTATATAAGCAGTAATTCAATAAAAAAGAGAGCCGGAAAAAAGCGACGGCAGCCTTGAAAGTGGATGGGAACACTGCGAAACAATCTGACCACATATTTAATTGAACAAACCTTGGTTATGAACAACTCGCGGCAGCTTTACCAAGTAAAAAAATTAATAAGTGACGTCTGCCGAAAATTTTATCTGGGCATCAGTTCTCCTCGAACTGCTCCAAGCATCGCAAGAACACTGTCACTGCCGCTGCACTCCACTTTGTTTCGAAGCACCCATAAGATGTTTCGCATCTCCACAGTCGGCGTTTCCCAAGGTACCTATCGGACGTCGCTTCGTGTCTACCCTGGACGCACGCAAGGTTTACGATCGCAGCATCCATGGCAGGAGCAACAATGGCAACATCCGCATCGACAAGCACGATCAAATCAAAGTTATCCTCGGTGGCTTTGCCAACATGTTTTCACACACTCCTGTAGAGATCATTGCAGCTCTGGGAATCATGCGCCGGCTCGGCAAGCATGCTCGCGAGAGGCAATCCGACGTGCGCAAAGCATTCGGCATTCCTTTATCTTCGGGTCGCGGGCACGCTTTTTCTTGCTTGAGAAACTTCTCGACAGTGTTGTCGAACGGCCGACGCTAGAACGTTAAATTCTTTGACGATTTTGGACTTAGCAGGGCCACTTTTCTCAGCGTCGCAGATTTAAGCGACTTTTGGTAAACACTCACTTTCCCATACGACGCACGTGTATGCCACAAGCACGCCCGCTCGGGCGCGCGCGGCGTACACGAGCGTACAAGGCGCGCGCATCGGGGGCTCCCAAAGGGATGTTCTCCTTTGAGCTCCATCGCTTCTTTGACTCGATTCCGATAGGAGTTGGGCAGCGTCGGCTGCAGGCGTAACGAGTAGTTTCGGAACGTGGACACTGCTCCCTGGCCGCTTCGGCTTCGGAAATGGCGCTCTACACGTTCTGCCCTCCATAACAGGTTTGCTCAGTTTTCTTGTTTGCCGTTTTCCCAGTTTACCATTTGCCTCGGGAGAGAAGGGGGAGGGAACACAAGGGTCTCCATGCGCCTCCGCGTAGGCTTGCATGCTTTGGGCACCTCGGCCTTCCGTAATAAGCGTGGTTGGCCGCCGGTACACTTAGAATAATCTGGTTCAAAATGTGTGCATTTCAGTTGGGACCACGTTGAACTTCGATAAAAGTGATAATTTGAAAAAAGCAATTTCGTTATAACGAGGGATTACTGGACATAGGTGTGGACACACAGCATGGCAAACGCTGTGACACGATCGACCAGACAAAGTTATTGGCATGCCCCCAGTGGTTCATACTGATGGCATCTCTGCCGGCCAGACGGTGCAACTGAGGAGAAAAGAGATAAACAAACCCCCAAAAAGTATGTCATTGCCATGGCACCCCTGCGCAGCGTACACACCGAGCGGAAAGCGTGCGCTTTCTGCTCGGTGCGTCTGCTCCGGCCTTGACGTTGTGCCAGAAATCTCTCCACTTGAATGCGTTAATAAAACTGTTCTTGCCGCAGTTGAGGCACAAAACTAGTATGACGAATACACGTCTAAGCAACGCGCGTAGCGCAAGTGCCAAGTTTTACACAACAGAGCACATCCAAAATATGACTTCAAAAACAAGCGTGTCTCCCACAGAGAAGTGTGGGAAAGTGGGCCCGTGACAGGCCACCATTAGCCGCATATCGAGCAGCCATCTGGTGGCGCCACTTCCAACCAAAGGCGAGGGGAGGACTTTATTCCCACCCAGAGAGCTTACCTTTGTCCAGGCGCCCGTGCTTGGCGAAGCTGAGGAAGGCGTTCTTCTTGACGTCCTTGAGGGGGGCCATGAGCACCCAGGGAGGCGTCCTGATGAACTTGTTCTGCAGCAGCAGGGACAGGGCCGGGTGGCTACTCAGCATCTCCTCCGGTGCATAGCTGTCGTAGATGTTGGGGTACTGCAGCCGCAGGTGGTTGGCTGCGGGGAAGGCCACGCGGAGTCGGGGCTTGGCTCAAGTGTGGCGTCTCCTAGTCTAGTGCTAGCCAAAGACTGACAGGAGGCTTAAAAACTGGTCTTGCCTCAGTCGGTCATAGACAGTACTATGTGAAGGGGCCTTAAGGGGCCGGATTGGGGACCTGTCGCAGTCTCGAGTGCCGAAAAATAGTTAAGACAATTTAAGTGAGGAAATACTATACCAATACCCCTAAATAAGCATTTGTATACAGAAATTTAAACTAGAGCCTTATTTATTTAAACCTTATATTAACGGTAATATATGGCTAATTATGGCATTATACAAAATCATTTTAACCTAATGGGAGATCCGATGACAGTATGCAAAAAGAGTCGCGATGCATGTCACTAAGCACGCTGTACATAGGAAAATGCAAAGGAATTTTATCAAAGTAACGCAGACACGGGGCGGGGAACTACGATTAGCAATGCCGACGACGTCAATGTACAAGAAATAATGTGACCGGGGATCCCGCGTTTCTCTGCAGTTTTCTCTCAATCTTTCCAACGTCTTCGTTAGTGCCTTTGGCGTGCGTCGCGGCGCCGATCCTTTTACGCGCGCTTATTCTTGGGCTTGTATAGCGGCGCGCCGCGAGCGATGTCTGATCTGCCAGTTTCTTTTGCGTTGTAGTATGTTTTTTGTTATTGCCTTGTTTGTCACACATATGTTGTTCGTATGGTTATAGCTGCCTCTGTACAAGCGGCCGATAAGTTGAGTAGCAAATAAAAAAAGATGCTTGCCTATGGTCTCAAGCTGGCTGGTGGGGAAAGTGACGCAGAGTATGCTCTGTCCGTTCTCACGAGCGTTCTCGGGGAAAACGTACTGGCCGGAGTGCAGCTGCTCCGGGAACCTGGGCACGCTGTGGACGATCCAGACGCCCGTCTGCTCGTCAAACACGATGAGTCCTGGGGAAGAAACCGAGGGGGGGGCGACCCCGCGCGTCACGACACGTCAGCTACAGTTTTTACGTTGAGACTGCAGCCAGAGCTACAGGTGCGAGCTAGCTCACGCTCCCGGCACGGTGACGCGCACCTCTAGCGTGACCGCTCGTTCTGCGGAAGAACGCATCGAAGCAGCGAACACCGCGCTTTTGCATTATGTATGAGCGGTGTGATTGTGGCTTCAGGGGAGACACGGGTCGAAAAATGGCAATATTTTGCAAAAAATGTGATCTTGGGTTTTATGGCGTTCTATTATTTCCGAATCTTTATATTTGACGTATAAAAATAATTAGTGCAGGTTATGATCGCGACATTAGTCAAATACGCCTTTGAAGACCACCAGGCGACCCAAAATGGCATGAATTTGAGCAATTTTTCTCGGCGTGGTTCTTAAAGTTGCGACGTCGCCCGTCACCAGATTTACGTTGACAGGTAGGCCTAGCCGTCTCCTCTCCTTTGCAGTCTTCTGTGGCTTCAATTTCTCGCGGAAGTTTATTAACGAAATATTATTTTCTGCACCGCGAAAGAGCATAGCTACGCATCTATGGTAGCATTCAAACGTGTTTTTCTTTTTATGTGATTTTGCGGTATCTTCACAGTTTGTGCACAAACATTTCTGCTCTTCATACTGTCCTATCACTAACAAATTCAGCATGCATTTAGAATATGTAGAATGCAACTGTCTAGGTTTGGTTAGAATGTATATCTTTTTATATTTATGAAAACTTTAAGAAACGTTTGATAGCCCCTTGAATTGGCATTTTTGCTATTTTAAATATTTTAAAATGAAAGAAGCATTACACACATTATTTTGTTGTTTACTGCACTCAGTGGTTTAAAAGCAGTGGCAGTTTATTGAATGAAGTTTCATCGACACGTGATGTTTCATCGACAAATCGCTTCATCGACAGCTCAAATTATCTTTTTTTCTGTAATAAGCTGCATGAGACTGGCGCCGCAAAGCAGCGTGTACAGGTCGGTCAGGTGGGTTAACATTTTTGCAATAAGCTGCAGCAGACTGTTGCCGCTAAGCCACGTGAACGCAGGCGGGGTTAGGGTTAGCGCGCACCCCAGTGATACACGCGTGGCAAAACATTCCTACAGCGTGCAATTCGCATAACGAGCGTCGACGAAACGTTCGTGTCGACGAAACGTGTGTCCATGGAACGTGCGTCCATGAAAAGTTGTCCACGAAACGTAATTTACGAATCGAGTTTTGACGAAACGATAGGGACCCGTTTAAAAGGAGCGAATTAGTTTATTTTACTAGGCTTTTTTTTAAGTATGTTCCCATGCCTCACGTGTGCACAAGAGCTTGTTTTTCTTTTTTTCCGCATGTACATTGCAGAACCTAGAAAACAAGATGCATAAAATCTAACACCAGCGAGCAGACGACGCACTCTGTTGTCTGTTCGCTGCGCCTATCGGGAGATGGCGCCGCAAGTTAATAGTGTCGCTAACTCGGTCAACTGCAAACACACTCGACGTTGACTTTGGCAAGTTTGTTGCTCTCATTTTTTTACAGGTAGAGAACTGCACTTTGAAATTTCGCACAGTAAAACTCTGACTCGCTCAGCGCACATTCAGTGGAAGTTTGTGCTTTCCATGTGCAGGCACCGAATTTTCTGGGTCGTTTTACAGCATCTAATCCGCTTGTACCACTCTATTCGCCCGTGTTTGTTTGAAAACAAACTCAGTGGTGCCATCTATTAGGTAGCCCCGGCACATTTCCTCATTTTTTACTCGTCAATCTTTTATTATAAGAGTGAATTAAGTCTGGCAGTGCTATAAGTGGCTGTTTCCAGAGTATAGCGTGTATATTTGATTTCGCAAATACTGCCTAACTTGCCATCTTGTTCAGAAGTAGAAGTGGTTAGGGGCTATTTGCACACCGACACCACCACGTTTCGACTCGCGCAAGAAAGAGAAAATAATGTCAGTTCTAGTCACTGCCATTGGATGACAGTGAAGTTATCAGGGGTTTTATGAGACCGTAGCAGTCAATGGTGCAGGTGTGAAGAAACAGCTAGGTATGTTCTTCTGTCCCACAAACTAAGTCGCCCAGCAACTCGGTCGCATATCAGATTTGCCAACAAAACGCAAAGTTCAAGTTCAGTCTTGAAGCTCGATTTGTGCCGAAAGTCGACATATAGAGCAGCCCCTGGGCTTCGCACTTACAACTCTGACTGTAATCGAGCGTCGAAGATTGCTCCGTCAGTCGGCAAACAACCAGACACATCTAGGAGCCGCTTATCTCTTTCATCCGATCTGCAGATCCTCCACAACGTACCTATGCAGAGTTAACTTGCATTGATGATAAGATGAGCCATAGTCGTTTCATTGTCAAAGTTCCACACCAGCCTTTTTGATTAGGGAAAGCGAGAGCACAATTGCAACTGACACTGCAATCTCGAGTGCATTGCTGAAACCGAATCCAGCGTACGAAGCTTCCACGTGACGTTCGGCGGATAGCTGCCAAAGATTTGTGCAATGTGTAGATCGGCGACCTTATCTACAAGAACGAACTGTCCTTCCTACCAATCGAAGCTGAAACAATGCCTTACATGTCAAGTCCGCAGCTTGCTCAGAATGCTGAGTGTCTGCAGAAAACAAAGCTTGAATGTGATTACGAAAAACCTCCGAGACTACCATAGGGTAAAATTAGGGTCGAGACAAAATGCGACGCCTCAAACACGGCGGAAAATTTATTTGACGAGAAACCTCCTGCATACAGTCTGAAAACAAGAGAAAGAACACCGGTCGCAAAAACTAGACCCAACCAAAAATTATCTGTATGGTTTGGTCGAGTTGTTATGCAAAGTGGCTGGTGGAATATACCGTTTGTCTTGTGTTCTTTTTCTGTCATTTCCTGTCTTTGTGTTCAGACTGTTTCTTGTCAGATAAATTTTTGGCTGTGTTTAGACTGTGTTTGTCGTGTCCCTGGTCAAGGAGGTTTTTTGTAATTACGTTCAATTTACACCAACTTGTTTGCTAACTTAACTTTGTCTTCGTGAGTAAAGATGTACTAAGTATTAACCTCGTCACAGCAGACATTCAGTTGTAACATACCGATTTGTAAAGTTTCTGTCTATGGCATTGAGCAACGGACTGTATTAGGGAGTTTGCAAGTAGTTCACCATTCTATTATGGTGGACTCTTCGACGGGACTCATTATTTTGGACATTACGCGGTTTTGGTAGTTCGGTAGCAATGGCATCCATCTTGTAAACTGCAGTCATCACCGCTCGGTGCCTCATATGAACCAAAGAGCGTAGTGATGACGATTATCGACGTTTGCTCAATCAAAAACAACTCGCTTTCAAAGTTGACAAGTTTCAACAAACCAGTTCTTTTCTAATATCCATTCAGTATCGCTGGTTAGAACAGTCTCCGGTCGTAATCTACCTCAATGTCTGTAGCGAGTATCAGTATTTTGCATATTCCTTTTACAACAAACAAAAATCCTGATCACTCTCAAGGTCTATCATAACGAGTTTATGTTGCGTATTGCTATCATCGCAATAACGTAGGAACGATGCAATCACCTTTGGTATGGCCGTTGCTGGTCCTGTTGAGGTCCTTGGACGCTGGGACCTGGTCGTTGTAGACCGCAAACACGAGGTCCTGCAAAGGTATGGTGCAAAACCAACGATGAAGCGTCCCCACTGGACCAAAGGCACACACTTGTGACGGCAGTGTGCCTCAAAACCTCTTACGACGAGAGAAAACAATGGGGCCATCTATCAGGTAGCCGTGGAAGACTTTGGCATTTCCCTTTATTTCCTACTTTATTTTTTCTGTTTTGGTTCGAAAAACCCTCAACAATGTTATAAAATACCATTTCTCCTAGATGGAACGCACATTCGATCTCGCAAACACTGCAGGACCTTCGCTCTAGTGAAATGCGCAGTCCCAGGGTCACCTCACAGATGGTGCCAGCGCATCGTAACAGATTGCGAGAGCTCGGTTGTAAGGAAGTGCGTCTCAACGAGCTTGGGCGAGACGTAAAAGAACCCACCTTGGGCTTTGTCTTTGAGGTGAGCGGCAGTATTGTGTTGGCCAGGGGGTTGCCATCTTGGAAGATGGATTTCGGGGACAGGGTCCAGTAGGACGTGGAGGTTGGAGTGTTGGAATCGACATACACGTACTCGTCCCCCGTCGGCGTGTATTCGGACTTCTTGGACTTTGGCTTCTTGGGCAGCTTGTAGATGAAAGACCTGCAAAGCATGTTGATCTGACCTTTCTCAAAAGGCTTTTTTTTTTCCTCTCAAACCTTCGCTTCGTTTCATTTACCTGCACCGGTGCAGAAAAGTATAAGGCAACATACTTCTGGTATGTGTATTTAGGTATACGACCGGAAGTACACTGCCCTACACTTTTCTGCTACGGTAAGCTATTGTTGGCATTGCCAGTTTTCATTACTGTAACAGGCTGTTGGAACAAAACACATGCCACAGACGTTCTTCTCAGGGACGGATGCATGTGTTTCCAAAGGGGGGGGGGGGGGGGGGGGGGGGGGGTCAGCATATAAAACATTTAAAAAAACAACCCCCACCCCCCTTTCCGTAGTCCTAAAATCTTACACAAGTGGTATTCAAGAGAGGGGTCAGGACATCCGCAGCCTCCCTCTGAATTCGCCACTGGTTCTTGTACCACGTCTATCTGCTTCACCTTTAGCAGATGGAGCAGACGGTGTAGAAGCGGTCTGCCATTCTGCACTCCTATTGATCAAGGGCGAAATAGCAGAGAAACCATAGAGGTAGAAAGACGAGGAGCTAGGTGACATGCCGGCTCAATCCAGCTAAACGAGATAATCCCAAGTGGAGCCAGAAGTAGAGGTTGTCAGTGGGAACGCCCCCAAAAATGTCCTTTCTGCCCAATAGGTACTTCGGTTTTGTTTGTTTTTGGCCATTGTGGGGGCGTCTCCCTGCAAACCGGAAGCTTCCCCTGTCTTCACCTCTGGTGGCTTCATGTTGCCTCCAGAAGCTTCCTACCTCAATGAGAGAAACATAGTTATGGATTAAGTTGGCTTGGCTTGGTACTAACTCTCAAAATTATGCACCCGAGCCCTGTTGCGCAGACAATATGGAAAAACAAAGTGAGATCTTGTTAAACTGTAGCTTTCGACGGACTTGACTTACCAGTTATTCGAAAACGTTTGTTGTGTCCCTGCTATTTTGTCTCTCGAGTGCGCAGGCGCGAGAACTGCGACAACTACCAATCACGCCGCTCCGATCGCTCCGACGTCTTGCAGGGAAGCATGCTTTCCGGCTCCCACGCGCACGAATGTCCTTGCGTGCCGCATATGTCGGCCAAATTTACCTTTCTCGTGAGGAAAGCGCTCTCGCTAAGGGAAACCAGAGGGAACTGAGTTCTGTCAGGGATGCGCGGACACTGCGAGCGAACAGACGCGGAAAGCGAAGACTGCTTCGCGCAGCAAACTTACCATTCCACGTCGTTGTTCTGCTCGTCCTTGCACGATGTCGCCGCTTCCAAGTTGGGAAGCGAGTCCAGAACGAGCACTAGCGCGAGGCAGAAAGCGAGGGCCATCTTCGGAGTCATCTTTTGAAATGTTACCGAAGCGGCCGCGGCTTCAGACAGTACCTATCCCTATCTGCCGCGAACAGGGCCCCACTACGCCTTTTACGCAAGTCGGGAAGATAAATAGCTATCATTGAGGAGATATTTTAAACAGTATCATAATGATCACGGCACTACCACTCCACTGTCACACTTCGTTTGGCTACCCGCCCTCCTGGCACTACCGCACTACTTCGTAGCTTCCCATTTCCGCGAACCGATAACTTAGGCTATCGAGCCATGAACGATTGCCAAGAACAATGCTATCTGAATACTCGTGATTAAATGCTTTATTAGGACAAAAAAAATCCCATGCAGAGCGCAGAGAGTCTTTGTGACGTCATGGATATCGCTAACCAATCTGGCATAGACATCGAGCGCGCCAAATTTGAATGTCTAAATGACCGCGAAGTTTGGCGTATCGATTTTCATTTTTCTGAAACTTTTTCTGAAACTTTGTATTAAACGATACAGCGGCAGCTGTTAATGCCTCGTTTTGCCGAAATCTGGCGGCATTTGTACGCCGAAACTTACGTGATCGCGGGGCACGAGCACCAGCCCGTCGCCATCGAAGGTCGCGCTATCATCGCTCGGGTTCTGAAAGGTTTTCTGACGCGTCCATAAAAAGCAACTAAACAAAACAATGTTCTATAAGAGCATTTCAAGCAAAAGGCACACCCAGTGATCTTTTCTCACCAAAAGCACATCTTCCAACAACGCAAAAAGCTGCCGCCCTCAATCGCAACATATTTTTGCCTAGTCAAATAAAACTTTTTGTTCTTGTAAAATTTTGTGGCATATGGATTGCCCCGTACACTGACGTGCTGTAGTAAGTTTCACCACAATCTTTCTGTAAAACCAACCAAAGAATTAACCAACAGCCTAATGGAAGGAGGGGAGGGTCCCCAAGGTGGAATTTTTTTCTTGTAAAAAGAGCATATATTTGTTTTTCCTAAGGAAAAAATGCCCCATTCTTGGCGAAATGGCGGTCACCTCCGTCTGCGACATCTCGTTACAGAGCCAAACCCGACCCATAAGTTCGCACTTGACCGGATATCAAACCTATTATGGGCTGCACGTGCCCACGACGTGCTGCAACTTTGTGGCACCATGAAGCAGTCTTCGGCAATCTCCATCTCCCGAAATAAAACCCTAAACAAAAGTAAAATGTACGTTCATAAGAGCTTTCTAACATGAGACACTCCATAGTTTGTGTATGAATGGCAGGGAGGTCTTTGAGCTGTCCCACCTCTAGCGCAAGCATCCAACAACCCCAGGGAGCCTCGTGAGCTTTGAACAGGGGGCTGCGGGCACGCTCCCTGTCCAACTTGGCCGAACCAGAATTCCCTTCTCTCTCGCGCGTATTCAACTCCTGCGGGGAGCAAGGAGAGGGGGGTTTGAAGCGGAGGCGAGTCACTTTTTTGCCTCCACTGGCACGGTCGTCGGCAACTTTCGAACGGTTGGGTCGTAATGCGTCGACGCCACTGAGTGCGCTAGAGGCACCGGATCTCCCGAGACGCATCACACTCTAATGGCTGCTCTGCGAGCACTCGCTGGAATTGGCTGTTTGGAACGAATAATATAGCCATCCGTTTGACATACAAACGCAGGATTGTCATTAGCAGATATGGTTGATCGTGTTTAACTTATTTCTGAACGTGAGAAGGGGATCGGTGGTCGAGTGGGCTCGCGCACACTGGCTCGGAGCACGTCGGGCAAAAGCTCGCGCTGCAAAACCCAGAGATCCTGGGTTTGGGGGCATTTCTACACCAGGTAGTTAGTCAGCCCATTGAGGCTGGCTAACTTCCGACTGTATAAACATACACGCAACATTATTATTTATTATAATAATAATAATAATAATAATGTCTTTATTTTTTTATCACATGATGAAGGGTAGGCCAGAATGTGAGAGGTATATTTAATTCAAATTTTAGTATCCCTTTAAAGGGAAAAATACAACACAGAATGTTTTTTTACATTGCAGGTTCTACTGTAGGTTGGTACTATACCCTTTTATTTTTCTTTGCACAGCGCCTCCCATTTGTCGTGGCAAGAAGTAGGTAAGTAAGTTTATTTCCCATCAACACTGATGGCGGAGGTCGAGAAAAAAAGCTGTAAAGTACAGCTTGACCCAGTGCTTCTGAGAACAGCTGCCCTATCTCAGAAACACTACGAAAAAGCTTCCATAGTTCCCAACGCACTACTGTTTTGGAATTTTTACGCTAAAGTTCCCACAGTCTCATGCACTGCAAATTTTCTATAGAAATTCATAGAATTCTCGCTCTCCAATTCACTGCTGTTTTGGAAATTTTATGGAAAAATCCCCAAAATTTCTCATAGTCTCCCATGCACTGTAGTTTTGGAAACTTCACGGAAAAGTTGCCGTAGCCTTTGACGCACTGTCACAGTAACTGTATGAAAGGGTTCCCATGGTCTTCAACGCACTGCTGTTTCGAAAGCTGCACGGAAAAGCGTGACTTCTCCAACGTACCAGTTTCTGAAACTTTCCATGAACATTCCCGCAGATGCCGGTGCACTGCCGTCGTCGTAACTTTACGGAAGAGTACCCACAGTCTTCCGACGCCCTGCAGTTGCGGTAACATTATGGCAAAGATGTCGTAGCCTCCGACGCACCGCCGTTACAATAACTTTACAGAAAAGTTCACATAGTCTCATTTGACGCCCCGCAGTTTCAGAAACTTTCCAGGAACGTTTCCGTAACCTGTGGTAGGCTGCTGTTGCGGTAACCAGACGGAATCGTTCCCGGAGTCTCTAACGCACCGCCATTACGGTAACTGCACGGAAAAGTTTGCATAGTCTCGTTCGTTTGCTCCGCAGTTTCTGCAACGTTCCGTAGAAACTCCCACGATCTTCGTCGCGAGTTCTTCTCTTGGGCCGGCGCGGTCTCAGGTGACGCACTCCTCTGCCGCCACCAGGTAGTCGTGGTCCATGACGGTCTCCTCTTCCGGCTGCTGCGCCACCTCGACGACTCCCTGCTGCTGCGGCGCCTCGTCCAGGCAGTGCACCTCCACGTACTGCTCCTCCTCCTCGGGCCCGCAGTAGTCGTGCTCCAGGTGCACCCTCGAAGACGACGTCTCGCTCAGCACCAGCTGTGCCAGCGCCTCCCGCCCCATCACTCCTCCCTCGTCATCCTTCTCTTCGTCGCCTGGAACGCACCACGAGAAGTCTCCGGCCGGCTCAAACTCCATTCCGAAGCCGCCGTCGTCGGCGTCGTCGGCGTCGTTCCACGTGTCTCCCTCGTCCACGCAGATGTTGTGGATCATGGCGCAGATGGCCACCACCTTCGATCGAATCGAAAATCGTTTTATTCAGACAAACGTCTAGAAGCAAAAGCCAAGGTGTAACATGGAATCTTTGGAACACATCATGTGGAAAGGGCAAGGAATGAGAAAAGTAATGGCAAAACTAAGTATAATGCCGTTACTTTCGTCGTTACACCAGAAAGAGTTCTCGTTACACCAGTTCGTCGTTACACCAGAAACAGCTCTAGTACAACAATGCAGCAGCCAAAAAGAAAAAAAAATCAGGCACGACTGAGTATACATTTTTACGTATAAAATGCTGTTTAATGTTGTACCAAATTATATACAGGGTGTTTCACAAAAAATAGACAAATTCGATATTGCGAAAACTACTCGTCGCAACGAAAAAAAGGCTTCTGTTGTTTTGGTCCTAGGCCAGGGGCCTATTTAGGAAAATTATTAAAGTCTAGGATAATTAGATTGCTAATTATTTTTGTGTAATTAACTTTTTTAATATTGTATTTAAGGACATGGTTCCAATTAGAAAATTTTTCAGCATCATCAAAGAACACTAAATCAACAAATTGCAGAACTATAAAAGGCTTCTAGCTGTCAGGCAATACCTTTAAGGTATGAAAGTATTTTCTTACAATGCTGCTATAAAAATCGTTAAAAAAGAAAAGACTGTTGCATCCCCAGATATTTTTTCTATGCCTGTTTGTTTGCTCCCGTTCTATGAAAACTGCCAGTACAGCTCGTCCATGAAATATACAGTAACATCGATAATAACATACAAACTGACGCCATATTTATTAACTTTTCTAAGGCATTTGATATGGTATCCCATGCTTTACTAATGCTTAAACTAAATCAACTTCATATTCATCCATTAGTGATATCGTGGATCAGGCAATTTTTAACCAAACATACTCGGCACACTGTAGTTAACGATTCCTCGTCTTCATATTGTCCTCTATCATCCGAAGTCCCCCAGGGCAGTGTTCTTGGGCCCTTAGTGTCCCTAATATTTGTAAATGACCTCCCTGATCACATAACATCCTGTATTAGACTTTTCTCAGATGACTGCATAATTCACAGATCCGTGTCTCTCCTGGACCGATCAAAAATCTCTACAAGCTGGCCTAAACATTATTGCCGACTGGTGTAAAACGTGGAAAATGACGATCAATTTTTCTAAAATGCAACTCGTTTCCTTCACATGTGCCCATAACCCAACCACTTCTACTTATACAATCTGCAACCAGCCCATTACCAAGAGTCCGCCGTACAAATATCTCTGCGTAGACTTATCTAGCGATCTCGCGTGGAACACTCATTTAACACGCATCCTGTCTAACGCTAACCGCTTCTTGGGTTATCTTTGACGCAATTTAAAATTTAGTAAAACAACTAGCCTACACTACACTTGCGAGGTCCCAACTCGAATACACGTCATCCATTTGGCATCCTTGGCAAGATTCATTGGTAACAAACATAGAGGCAGTTCAAAATCGCGCTATCAGATTCCTATTTTCAGACTACTCACAGACACCACTATCACTTCACTAAGAATAAACTTTAACCTGAATCTTTTTTCATCCAGAAGAACATTATCACGCCTGTCCTTTTTTCACAAAATCTACTATCATAACGGTGATATGAGAACTTCATTGCTATTTCCATCCAATTGTTTCCTCGCATTGATAATGCGTGTCTTTGCCGTTAACAATAGCGAAGTGGAATAACCTGCCTAACAGTATTGGGACCCAGACAGGTCATACCATATCCTAATCGCAACTGAGTAACCATTTGCAACTGCGCTACCTAGTAGTTTTTTTTATTGTTTGTTTATTATTATGTCTGTTTGAATGCTGATTTCTGTTTTGATATGCCTTTATCTAATAAAAGCTTCAATGCCCCCCTAAACTCGTAAGGGCCCTCGAGGCATAATAAATGATACTGTATGGTGGTGTTTTAAATCTTTTTATAACATCAGGTGGGGACCCAAAGTAGTCGCACGTGCAAATAAAAGCTAAAGAGGGCAAAGTGATGAGCTTACAAGAAGAAGAAAGCACCAAGGTACCTTGCATACAAAACCTTTTGGGTTTCGCTGGGACAGTCAGCTGTTTGTTTTAGGTTGTTTTTTTTTGTTTTTGTTTTAAAATACAAAAATATTGACCCCCCCTCTCCCCGTTGGTCCTGGTCCTTTTGGGGGTGGGCTACTCGAATAAGTCTGAGACTCCTGTTCTATTGTAAGAAGAGAATATTGAATAAAGCATGGGCGAGTTAATAGTAATAACGACAATAATAAACATAATTTACCCTGTCTACAGCGTATTACTTGGTTTTAATTTTGGTATTACTTGGTCTTAATTTTGCAGTTATTACTAATGACCAGTAGTAGTGGTTTTCAATATATGTTGCGCTATATGGCCGTTGTTATAGTTTTTATTGTAGTACCATTTTTTTACGATAATTATTTTTATTAGTTTTTCAAACAACAAAATCCAATGACGAGAATAAACTATTAACGGGTTTAAAGTAAATCTGATCATAGTTTTCCTCGAAGTTTCAATGTGTCGTTGTCATTGGCTTTTGTTGCTCGGTTGTGCTAGATTACCAACACCTATTGTTTTTTTAATATACTGACTGTTTTGTTTGCAATTTCAGGAACATTTATATTATTGTGTGTCGGTTAGGGTGACCACCTTCCTGCTAGTGAAATGCGGGACACGCGGGGCAGAGGGGGTGGGGGTATTGCACCAATTAAGCTCAAATAATTTTCACTACCAGTGGTAGATTATTTTGAATGCCAAAGATGGGATTCCATGTGCCGAAGATGAAAACATTAAAATCGACTGTACCAGAACTCAGTTCATCAAATGGAAATAAGAAACAGTAAATATTTTTCTGGTTATTGTTTCCTGTCCACGCTTACTTCTACCTGCACAAAGTTTTAACATTTTGTTCTTTTTTAACCGTTGCATGTGCGGCTGCCTTCACTAAAAGGAAAAAAAAAAGAAATCCACAGCAACCCTTTTGCATTGGCATTGTGCTACACAAAGTTTTAGCATTATGTTATTTTTCGACCGTTGCATGCGTGGCTGCCTTCACTGAAAAAAAAAAAAAGAAAAAGAAATCCACAGCAAACCTTTCGCATTGGCATGGTGCTACACAAATTTTTAACATTATTTTCTTTTACGACCGCTGCATGTGTGGCTGCCTTCAATAAAAAAATAAAAAAAAATCACAGCACACCTTTTGCATTGGCACGGCAATTTGAAAATAATTACAATATTTTATATTTAAACTTTTGGCGAGAGCTTATCCGTACAATATTTTCCCACTAAAGGGGAGGCACAACGCCGCATGCGCATCGGTGCTCTTGCAAGAACGACGGTTGCTCCCCGCAATGCTTGGATAGATCATAAAACATGGCGTACCATTTCGAATCACACAATTACTAGCGACCTCCGCAATTCCGCGTGCCAAATTTTTCGGCAGCACCGTGAGTTGCGGAGTGAATTTTATGACAGTGTGAAATGCGGGACATTTTTTAGATTTAAGACTTTCTCGCGGGATGCAAGACACGAGCCCTCAATGCGGGACACGAGCCCTCAATGCGGGACAGTCCCACGAGTCGCGAGACGGGTGGTCACCCTAGTGTCGGTGCTTTGCATAATTTTGTATAAATAGCCCGGTATCGAGTGAACAGTAAGAATAAATAAACAAAGAGTGCAGAACTCTGGCATCCTGGGTTCGATTCCCACCCCTGCCCGTTTCGATCTGGACGAGGATCGCACCGGCGTGCGGTCGTGTCTCAGAACTGCGTGATGCACATTAAAAACCCTAACAGTGGCACTGCACTGATTTCCCGCTCTTTAAACCGGAGCTAATATAATAATCGAGAGGCTCCATGCATCCTGGCCACTTCAAAGCGCATAGATGCAGACATTGATGGTCCCATAACGCTGGCGACGCCTTAGTTTACACAAAGAAGCGGCAAAGCATCACTCCTAAGTTATATGTACATAGGTAGCTCTTTTCTAGCTTACTTTGCAGAAGAACAAGGGTGCAATGTACAGAAATAAATAAAGTCGACAATTGCTCGAGCAACCTTCAACTCAATGCGGCAAAACAAACACACCCGACCTGTCGTCTTGTTCCTTTCTCTGCTCACGTGTCGCTCTATTTCTCGTTCTTTCTCTCGTGATCACAGACGTCGATGCCCACGATTTGCCGCACTCTGCTCTGGTCTAAATAAACAGACAACACAAAAGTACAAAAGTATGTTGTGCTTAAAGTACTATTTCAAGGAGGTTTAGGAAACCTGTACTTTACTGGTTGAAGTACATTTTTCAAGTATGGTACTTTTTGAGGAAAGAAAAGTACAACTCCCGACATCAAAGTACATTCCGCAAATTTCATCTTGTTCATTTTGTACCACAAAATGATGCTTTGTCAACGAGCAAGTGCCTTATAAGTTAATTGCGTTAAATAGTCTGTCAGCGAGTGGGAAACAACTACTCTGTGGCCACTTCACTTTATCCAATATTCGCCGCCATTTACGAAAATAATTGACATACCCCTAATTACCCCTGGGGCAATGCATACCAGTTTAGAAAAAAAAATACTGTATAGGGGAATGAAAGATTGTGTTGGAAAGTAATTGTACTTTACTTTCAAAGTACATTATATTTATAGTCCTTTAGTTGAAGTGCATTGTGCCCAGTGTACTTTCCACTTTACTTCAAGTGCATAACCTCTCATTTACTTTGTACTTTAGTTTAAGTACTTCTTAGGCGTACTTCACCCAATAATGAAGCTATCTAACTAAGGCACAAAATGATGACGCACCGACCTTGATGGTGCGCTGGCGCAGCGCCGTGAGCCGCCGCTCGAACACCAGCTTCCAGCGGCTGGTCATCTGACCCAGCGCGTCGTGCAGCACGGTCAAGGCCCGGTTGCAGACGGCGTTGAAGCTGACTTCAGCTTCGTCTTGGAGCGGCTTGTGGAAGGGCGGCATGACGGCCACGGGCGAGGAGAGGCACGGGTAGCCCTCGCCCCCGATGAGGAAGTAGCCCGGCGGCGGGTAGTCGCCCTTCTCGAAGAGTGGACTCGCGCGGAACACCTCCGAGGGCTCCATGGACGGGGGGTACCCCACCGAGAAGTCCAGGAAGCGGCCGTGGGAGTCGCACAGCGCCTGCGGGGAGCGCTGGGCTGAAGCCGGGAGCAGAGTGCGGCAAATCAAAAGCACACACGTTGGCGGTCCCGAGATAAAGAACGAGAAAGAGACAACAGAGGACCAAAGTACAGAGGACCAAAGAAAGAAAGAAAACAGACGATAGGTTAGGCGTGTTCGTTTCACCGCGACGAGTTGAAGTTGCTCGAGTGCTCTTCGGCTTATTTTACTTTATATGACACGCGATGCCGGTGTTCTTGCGCTAGTTAAAAATAGACAAAAAGCTAGATACAGACCTTGGAAGTGATGTTTTTTTTGTTTTCTTGCGTATGTCAAAGCGTTGCCAGCAATGATATAATGAATGATATAAGAAAGGCAAAGAATAGTTTTTTCAACGACGATTTATCTAGCATACTAAAAACAAATCCAAAGAAGTTCTGGCATGTCGTAAACCCCAAAGAAAAAAATACATTTCCTTTACTTCAAGAAGGTGACGTAAAGCTTTCTGCATCCGAGTCCGCTTTTAAACTTAACAGATTTTTTGGCGAAGTGTTTACCGACGAGCTCCCTTTATCTGACCGCCATGTTACACCTACAATCGTCATTCCAGAAATGGACGATGTGCAAATCAATATTGATGGTGTTATCAGTGCCATTAACCGCTTGCCGACAAAATCCAGCCCGGGTCCTGATGGTGTATGCTCGAAGCTACTTAAACTAACAAAGGATGCATCAGGTGCCGTGCTTGCCGGCTTATTCCAGCAATCGCTTAATACTGGCCACATTCCGAACGAATGGAAATCAGCAAATGTCGTGCCGATTTATAAATCTGGTAATCGGAATTGCCCAACAAATTATAGACCAATTTCATTGACCTGTGTTCCTTGTAAACTTTTAGAACATATAATATATTCATCTGTCATGAAACACTTAGTCTCAAACAACCTGCTATTTCCCAATCAGCACGGCTTTCAACGTGGTCTTTCGTGTGAAACCCAACTGTTTGAACTGGTAACGGATTTGCACACCTGTATTCACTCATCCTCACAAATCGACGCTATTTTTATAGACTTTTCGAAGGCCTTTGATCGTGTACCACACAGTCGTCTGATAAAAAAACTACAATATCTCAAAATTAATGATAAGGTAATTACATGGATTCGTGAGTTTTTGCACGATAGAAAACAATCCGTACTTGCAAATGACATCACCTCACCACCTATACATGTCAAATCTGGTGTCCCTCAAGGATCCGTTATTGGACCACTTTTGTTTTTAATTTATATAAATGACCTCCCCAACAACATTTCTTCAAAGATTCGCCTATTAGCAGACGACTGTGTGGTATACCGTCAAATATCTAGTCAAAGCGACTGCCTGGCCCTTCAAAGTGATTTGGATATCATACTTTCATGGTGTGACACGTGGCAAATGCAGATAAATATAGATAAAACAAAAATAATGACATTTACCAATCGTCGCTCATCTTTTCAATACGACTACAAAGTTATAGATTCAAAATTGGATAAAGTATCCACATATAAATATTTAGGAGTCCACTTAACTTCCAACCTCTCCTGGAACACTCATCTAGATTATATCCTTAGGAGGGCTAACCAGTCACTTGGTTTCTTAAGAAGGCATTTATATATGGCAACAGCAGAAACGAAGCTACTTGCATACTCTACCCTCATTAGGCCAAAGTTGGAATATGCAGCTATAATTTGGAACCCGCATCAAAAATATTTGATTAATAATTTAGAATCATTACAAAACAGGGCCACCAGGTTTATACTAAAAACGTATTCACCTATAAGCGTCAGTCAACTTAAGAGTTCACTTGGTTTATTGACTCTCCACCAGCGAAGATACCTCGCAAGGTTATCCCATTTTCATAAACTCTATCATAGTTCCTCAGATTTCCGTCAAAACAACATTCTCCCACCGGCTCGCATTTCCCCTCGTCATGATCATTGTTACAAAGTTCATATTCCATTTGCAAGAACTAATCTGTTCAAATACTCCCCGTTCGTACAAGCGGCGACTGAATGGAATGAGTTGGCAAGCGAAATTGCGACGGTCACTGATCATGATACATTTATGTTGTTATTGCGTGAATCTTTAGGGTGAATGAATCATATATTGCCCTGTATGTTTGTTACTCGCTCGCTGGGTCTATTGCTTTTTTTCTAGCACGTCGACTGCCTCCAATGATGCGAGTGCGTGTGTGGCTTTTTTGTTATGTAATGTCTTCCCTTCATGGTTCTGTTTAGCGTGACACGATGTCTTCTATTTTTTCTTGTAAAATATTGTATGATTATGTAAAAGTTTATACGACACCCCCCTCTATGTAATGCTCCTTTGGAGCCTTTAGAGGTATGTAAATAAATAAATAAAATAAATAAATAAATAAATACAATGCCATCGAGAATAGCGACGTATGTGGCATGCTTCGCACGGACTAGCAGTCGCCAGTTTTTGGTCTGACAACTTTCACCATGGTTATTACGTGGTGAGAGGAACAACACCCCCAAAAATGTTGTTTTTTTTAATGTGAAAGCATTAACTGTCTCATGGAGCGAGCCGACGTCATCAGCTCTGAAACCATGCTAAACGGCTCTTAAATCCTTCTTTAAGTCAAGCCAGCTCCGATTCGCCGGTTAGCTACGACATCTTTTACATCGCTTCGATCCCATTGGCTAGTGCACGTCGACCAAGATCCCATTCGCCGAACAAGCAGTGCCACAAGGTGGCGCTGCTTGTTCGTCACAAGGTGGCGCCACAAGATGAAACTGACGCGCAGCGTCAGTTTCAACGACTGGCCACCTCATGGCACTGCGTGTCCGTCAGCGCCAGAGCCGTATACAGGGGGGCAAACGTGGGTGAGGAGGAGTGACAATCCCATGCACCGACGGGATTTGAATGCGAGCGTGCCGGTGCCGGGGCCTGTAAAATTTTTGATAGAACTCCTACGCTCCGTTCGCCCCCGAGCCGACAGTGTGGCAAAAGCTACGGTCGGCGACGGGTTAAAGGAGCTGTGCAACGATTTCAACGTTGAAAGAATTTGCATCTTCTACTTTCGACATTGTTTATCTTGTCACTAAGGACAGAAAACACATCTCCTTCCTTCGAAATGTTGCGAATCCGCCGTGTAATCGTGAGGCAAAAGTTTAAATATTTCCCGACCTGCAGCCTCAAGCGGCGGCCATGAGAACCACGCGGCATGATATCAATCGGGGACTTGTAAAAAGATAGGAAGTTGTACAACTACCTACTCGAGAAAAGGTAACTTTTCTATAAATCTTGTTGTCCCAACAAATAGAGATGCGTCAAAAACCTGGTATCACTGACAAAACTTTTATTATGTGGAGTTTTAGTGGCGCCATCTATCCGAGGTCTACAAAACCGTCAGCTCTATCTGCTACCGCGAACAGCCGCCAGAAGCTGGAGGGGGACGGGGGCAGAGCCGGACGGGGATGGCCGGACCCGGACAAGACTTTCCTCCTTTCGCCATGTTGATCGCGCTGTACAAGCACGTGGTAAGTGGTCGCGAGCGGATGAGTTCTCGCTGCTCACTGATGGCTCTAGAGAGAGAGCTTCATCGGAGCCCTGCGCGACCCCCATTCACGTCACGGCGCAAGTGACTCGGAAGATGGTGAAGGAGTTGAGGGGTGCCCAAAACCTCAATCTTTGTCAATTTTTAAAATAAAAACTAGGACATACAGACAAAAGCGGTTTTTGTTCTTTACTTCAGAAAGGTCGAGACACCAACTCCCAAATTATTTAAGCAGAGCACTGAAATTGTTGCACAGCTCCTTTAAAGGGGCCGTGCAATCATATTTAAGCGTCTACCTTTTTTGCGTTTTCCCTGTCTCTTGAAGTTCGGGCAAGCCAGCGGGCACGGAGAGAGTAACTAAATATCAGTGCGTCATATTTTAACCGGACAACGCGGAAACCTCCTCCACCGACGAGGGCGACCCGCGGTACCGAAAGCGCGCAAAATGTGACGTCTTTGGTCCTGGGCTTACTAGTGGTCAGAGCTGCTAAAAGCTTCTTTTTAGTCGAAATACAAAATATAAGTGTCGCGAACCGTTTCAATTACTTATAAAAGTAGTTTTTGTTCACTTTTTTAGATCTGAAAAGAAACAAATGCAGTTTATAAAGTACGGAAACAAGAAATGACCCGTCGACATACCCGCCACCAAGCGGTGGAAAAGGCGGCGCATACTAGAAAGAAGTAGTGGGATCAGGCGCCGACACGGAAAGGTCCCAGATGTACGCGGCAGCGCTGCGGTCGTGTGGGCAGGAGGATCCGACCGGCTCCGAGCCTTCCGAAGGCCGTCGGCGAGATGCTTTGTCTTGCGGTTTGGCCGTTTCGCGGTATGGCAACGCGAAGTGGCTCCCACTCTGAACTGATCTTTACCCCGTGTTTGCTGTCGTTTGTGGCCAATGAAGTGTCATGCCGAATTAGTGTTTAATCACGCAGCAAAGGCAATGAGAGCCCCTCTGGCTGCCCGCTGCATACAGCCTGTCCAGAACACGCTTTAGTGGCGCCCTTTCGCGCCGTCGACACGGAATGCGGCAGCTGTGAGCGCTCGCGATGAGCTCACTACCCCCCTCTAGTTCACGGCCGCTCAAGCAACCAAGGACGTCATGAGGGAGGTTATTTTTTGCTTGTTTTTGTAATTTTGATTTGCCTATAACTTTTAAAATAAAGCGAATTTCAAGAAAATAAAAGTTACACTAAGTTACTACGTTCAGTGCGCTCAGATTTGGTGCAAATTAAAAATTAGTAAAAAAGTGCTTGCAGGGCCCCTTTAAGGACACGAAAGATGCTCTGCCTCTGGCGTGCGCTTGCTACCTTCCGCCGTGCTCTGACCGAGTGTGCAAGAAAACCTCACCAAAGGCAGAAATCTAGAGCCGGAACATGTGCTAGATTCCTGAACCATCGCCGACTGTAGGCGCTTGTTGGACCTGTCGTTCGTCTATCCTTCACTGCGTGATCACGCTCTTGTCTGGAGTTATGTGCAGAGGGCAGGGGCAAATGTGAGTGCCTGGCTCTCGCCGCCCTGTCGGCTTGAGGCTGGCTCACACGCTCGCAACTGCTTACAACCGAGTGCCTTCTCTTACGACGAGAGAACACGCTGGTGTCGTCTGTTGGGTCAGAAGATTTGGCATTTCCATTCATTTATCATTGATGGTATGTGCATCTGACCTCGCAAATACCGCAAACCCCTTGCCCTAGTGAAATGCAATTCCAGGGCCACCTCGTCGTAAGAGATTGGAACCACTCGGTCAAATGGAAATGCGAGCGTGTGAGCGGACCATTAGGGATAAACGAACTATAGGACTAACCGCCAAGATAATTTCTTCCCACTTCGGCACCACTTTCGACTCATTTGTGGTACCAAACGCGCCGTTCAAAGATGCCTCCCGGGTACCGCACTTTCGGAGGCCCTTCGGAGGCTCTGCCCACCTGCATGAGGACGGGGGTGTCGCCGGACGAAGGGGTGATGCAGCAGGTGTCAATGACGCCCCCCGCCCTGGCGAAGGCCTCGCTGGAGCACAGGTCGGCGAAGCCGTCCCCGACCTCCCTGAGCTTGGCGTCGGTGCGCGGCGGGTGGATCAGCAGGGTCAGGTGATCCACCAGGTTGTTCACGTAGCGGTACACCACGTTGTGGATCGTGGACCGGGGAATCCCAAAGGTGCCTGCACCGTTACGGGATCACTTCGTGTGCGGAACTTCTCGCAGACGCAACAGAGAATTCGAAGACGCGTCCAGTGGCGCTATTGGAGCGATAACACTGTTGGCTCGATGGCACCGTTGGAGCAGGAGGCTCGTGTCGTCTGCTATATCTTCTTTATTTAATTTTTTTTATCAATACTGTCGGACTTTTTTTGAAGGGCATTACAGGAGAAGTTGATAGATACTTGTACAATTACACCAAACTAGCAACAAACAAAATAACTAGAAAAATTGCGCGCAGTTATCGCTTCTTTTTCATCCAGCTCCAAGCTGACAGGGCGGTGGGAGCCATTCGCTTGCTAGACCAGTCAACCATCTCCCTTTTGTCACCTGACCCCACTCTCTGCACGGCAGTATAGGCAGGAGCGTGATCATGTGCCAAAAGATGACGGATGATTGATCCAACAAGAACATAGCTTCCACCTCGCGTCAAGTTGGGGTCGGACGGAGTATAGCTGCGAGTTTTAGACAAAAACCAGATCACCGGTTCTGTGCTTCACAATATGCAGTGAAATGCGTAGAGATTTCTTCGCAGGTGACTCAAAGAACCTACTCTAAATGCATCACGCGAGCAGAAACATTTTTTTCACAACTTCAGCGAACGAGGATTCAGACGTGTTTTGACACCAACAACAGCATGAGAGAAATGTGTTATCAACAGAATGAGCAATTTTGTTTAAAACATATCATAATAACAGCCTTCTACATTGTGAAAATGGTTTGTCACCTGAAAGCACAAAGTGTAGCTGATGATGGTGGTATAGTCTTCTGATGCTCTGGATCTCTCGGGAGAGATCCAGAGCTTAATTAATTTAATCATGGGGGCACAACATACCAAGCAAATTGATGGATGACGAATGAATACATCCACCTTCGAATCTTCCACATCCGTTTTTTTTAACTTTCCTCATGTGGCTCGTATTTTGAAAGACAGCGCGAAAAAAATTACACACGTTTTGACGTCCGTCTAATTTTAGTTTGTTTTTTCAGATTCGAGCCTTTCTGCTGTCTAGTGGAGCTACCGGAATGGCGGCACTACAGCTCTCGGAACATAAAAGAAAAGAGTGGTGCACAGCATAGCACAAATGCCGCAGTGTAAATATAATGTAAATTGTATGATGCAGAATATACGTAAATGTAGGGTGACCAGACGTCCCGTTTTGGCCGGGACAGTCCCACTTTTAAAAGTTAGTTTCAGCCGTCCAGCACTATTTTTGGTCTAACAAAGCCTCATGTCCAGTTTTCATGGGAACATTCATGGTAGTTGTGAACTCAGTACTAAGCTAATGGAAGACAACAGAAAGAATGGTTATTTGTGTCGGACGTAATGTTATAAAAATAAACATACTATGAAACATACCGTAGTTGCATCGGCTAATACATTTTGTTCACACAAAAGTGCATCTGGGAGAGACTTCTATTTTTCTAAATTGGACACGCTTCTGTCTGCGACATATCTTCCCCATCGTTAAAAGATGGAGAACAAAAGCAGTCGCGTTGTCAACGAAGAACTCTGGAAAATGTGCATGTTTATGTTTATGCGAAGCGGAGATTTTTTTTTCCCGTCCCCGATGTCCCGTTTTTTACTCCAAGGATTATGGTCACCCTACATAAGTGGCACAACGTTATAACGCGAATCTTTGATCGTCTGCCCGGAGGGGGCCTCCTGACCGGCAATGGCCCTGTAGGACGCCCCCATGCCCAGCCAGTGGAGGAAGATGAGCAGCTCGAGCTCCCGGGTCCACCCGCTGGCACGGGGCCGGGAGAAGATGGCGCAGATGCGGCGGAAGGTGGCGCGGCCGACCCTGAAGTGGCGCTCAAAGGGCAGCCGCTCGTTGTGCAGGTAGTCCAGCAGCAGGTTGCGCACGCTCGGGCAGCAGTTCACCGGCTGACGCATAGGGGGCACCGCCTTGGCCTGCGGGGGCGTCCAGAGGTCACGTTGGGGCATGCTTGCGCGGACCAGGGTGCCCTGTACTCCGGCGTTTTTTTTAGCCACCCCAACTAACTATATCTTTGGAATCACCGGCCTTTACCCTTTCACTTATGCTATTTAGGATCGCAAAATTCAGAATAGTTATTGTGAAATCGGCAAGTAAAAATGACGGCAAAACCAACATTCAAGTATAACCACACTTTTTAGTGGCGTAACGTAAGGGGAAGGCAGCTTGCAGGTCCAACGAACGGTCTAAAAATAGACTATGCCCAGCGATTGTTTCTTTTGTGCAGCTGCGCAAGTGCTGGAGCGAGCTTCCAAAGCATTCTTTTAACACCATAAAACTGCTTGTAATCAGTTGGGAACAAAGTCTACAGTCCAGTGACCCCTGCCTTCCCCCGACGTCACTTTTTCATTGTTGCCAGGAGAGACTTTCACTTTGAGAAAGAAGGTGAGGACCAAACTTAAAAATTAAACAATTTTGAAAAAAAAAAAAAAAAAAATTTTAGCTTAATATTTTGATGATTATTTTAGCAATGTTTGTTGGTGTGTTTAGCAAATTTTGAGGCAAATCGGGGACTATAAAGAAAACGCTGAAGTACCCCTTTAAAACCACTCGGCATCTCTTACAACGAGAGGTCGCGCTGGCGCCGTCTATTGGCGAGCTGTGGAATGCTCCGCATTTCAATATGTTTCCTCATCTTTCCGCGCATCATCCTTTCTTTCTTGGCTCAAAACCCTTTTGATAATGTTATAAACGACCATTTCTTGTACATGGTACATACTCTTCATCTCGAAAATACCGCAAAACACTTTGCTCTGGCGAAATGCAGTTCCGGGACCAGCTTATAATGGCGCCACTCTCATCGCGCGAGATCGGAGGAATTTGGTCGTAAGCAAACGCAAGTGTGTGAAAGGTTCCTTAGAGATCGTAGGGACACGGAATAAGAAAGTGTGCGACAGGCCCGTTGCAAGATACGCAGTGCCCTACACGGCACCGAAGAAGATTCTGGGAACTGGCCACACAGAACCAGTTGTAGCAGACGACGAAAAAGTCGCCTCGGCCCGCGGAGGTGTGTGGCAGCTGGGTCGGGGCCGTCATCTTGAGGCCAGTTCGCACATTTGCATTGGAGAGTGCTCGCTAGCGACAGCTCACGACGAAAGAGCACACTGGCGCCATCTATCGGGTAGCCGTGGATCACACCCGACCCGCATACATCTAGAACAAAGGTTTTGCAGTATTCACGAGATCAAAGCTTATGAGAAACAGTTGCTTATAACTAGAGTTTCGTGTTTTCGGTAAATACCGATAAACCCTGTAAAATGAACCATCCAGCCGGTTTAATTGGATTCAAAGAAAACCGAAAAACCTAGAACGAGAGCTGCCCTCGAATCGAAAATACCCAGCTTCACGAGACGAAAATTTCCATCTACAGCTTTATTTTTAAGTTGAGCGCAAACACAGCCCAGAGTGAACTGCCCGCGAGGCCACTTCGTTCTAAAGAACCACAGCCCGAACCGCATATCAATCCCTCGTCGGTACCGGAGCATTTTTTAAGCATTTGTTTCCGGCGCATGCTTCCTAGAGGTGAGGGAATTCCATGCGTGTGTTCTATTTTCTTCGAGCCCCAATGAATGCCAATATTTTGTCCGAAACCGAAAATTGGCACCGAAAAACACAGAATCTGCGAGAAAAAAATAAACTAAAAAAAGAAACGCCCCCGAATTTGAAGAAAAATAAACACGGAAAACAAGGAACCCTACTTATAACGTTGTAAGAGTTATTTCGAGCCCACGATGAAAGAATGACGCATAAAAAATGAGGAAATATAGAACTGTTTCGAGGCTGCCCGACAGGTGGCGCCAGTATGCCGGCATACTCACTCGTTGCAATCGATTACGAGCGAGCACGGAACACTTGAGCGCTCAGAAGCGAACCCGTGGACCAGTCTTTGGAGACACGTATAACAGGCCCGTCGAGAAATGTGCGGCACCTTACGCGGTACTTCAAAGAACTCTGGGAACTGGCTGTATAGAACCGGCTGTAGCAGACGGCTCGGACAACCTTGGGAACCAACTGCTGTGGGCGACGAAGGCCACGTAAACAAGAGGGTGAGGGCAAGCGTGCACTGCGCTACTTTCTTTCTTTCTCACTTTCTTTAGAGTCACGTGGTAGATGCTGCGGGGGCAAGAAGGATCATACGAGACATCCCCATGATTCAATGCATGCTTCATGCGCGGCCTGTTGGGATTTTTGAAAAAGGACCATTGGATGAGCCGGCTGCGACAGACATCCGCATGCGACGGTGTGCATGAATTTGTAAAGAGAGCTGGATCCCTTGTGGTCTGACAAGATTTACCTGTCCCCTTTGAATCGCTCTATTCAGCTGCTAGAAAGATCTGCATCAGTTAGTGTCTCCTTTGACGTCATGTCATGTCATGAAAAAAAAAGAAGAAAGTTGCCCGTGTTATTGATCATCCATTCTTTTCAATTTAAAGTTGCTTTTTCATACTGCTGTACCGATGATTTTTCCAGAATTCTTTCCCAAATACCCCCGTCCATACGCTGCTGTCATTCCTCGCTTTGTCTCGTAGTTTGCTAACCAGAGTTTGCCCATTAAAGATTGTGCAGTACAGTGCACTACCTGGTAGTTTATTTGTTATCGTTTATTTAGTGGGCTACAGCTTATCTGCAACAATATGTGCATGTCCGGGAGAGGAGTAGTTGGTGTCTATCGAGGATATATAAGGAACGAGAGATAATAAATCGACTTAGCTGCGTTTGAGACGTCTTCTCCTGTGCCCTCACTGTGTCTACTAAGGTTTATTTGGTACAGATCGTCTGCTACCTTCTTGCCGCACGTCGTCTGCTACAGACAGTCTTATATCAGTGTGCTACTGCTTATTTTTCTTTGTCTGATGTATCAGAAGGTGTTGAGGCAACAGCAATACCATCTACTAGTGATTAGAGAGATTGCATTTGGGGGCAAAAGGCCGCCCCCGGCGCAAACATCCAAACGCTAGGGGCACTCGGCTTTTCAGATCGTAACAAGCTCTCACCTTCCGTCGCTGCCGGAGTGCTGCAAGCAGTTGGAGCAGCCTGCGTTGTCGCTGTGCCGTCTGGAGGAGTAGGTTAACTTTGTTCAGGTAGTCGTTCACGGCGGCTGTGAGCATCGCGACGACGGCTTTCAACTTCTTGGGCTCCATTCTCGACAGCGCGCTCGACATCACCTCCTTTTTCATTTTGTCGCAGGCAACGAAAGGCTGTCCGTGGGTGTCACCGGTCTTGAAAAGCTCGATACAGAGCTTGAGACAAGAAATTGCGAAGTAGGAGAGTTCACTTGCGCATTTTCAAACGCACAACACGACCGGCGTCCATAGTAGTTTTTAAGTGGATGGACACTCGATGCTCGATTTCCCGCGTTCCACAAGGTACAGCGGCGCCATATTACTAGAAGGCAGTTTGCGCCATCTACCGAAGTCGTATTGCCTGTGACGCTTTTTCTCTCTTTCCTGACCACGGGAAAGGTAGGAAAAATAGTAGTTTTCAAAGGATTTGTGCTCGTGCTACCGCTTTTATTTTTCGAACTAATTTGCATATGGAGGAATACACTGATCTTTATGACAATTGCTGGATCGTGTGTCCCCGTCTTCGCTGCAGCGCGAGTGCGGCCAAATAATAATTGGGGTTGTGGGGATATTTATACAGCGTGTAGTTGGTCTGCCATTAAAGTTGCGACGAGTCACACGCTGTAGATGAGCAATTTAGCCAGTGCAGTACAACCGCTAGCCTGGGGTCTTTAACGTGCACCACGCAGTAGTGATACACGACCGCACGCCGGTACGATGCTCATCCAGATCGAAACGGGCAGGGGTGGGGCTCGAACCCAGGATCCCTGGGTTCTGCAGCGCGAGCTTTCGCTCCACGCGCGTCGAGCTGGGTGTGCGCTTCAGCCCACTCGGCTACCGATCCCCCCAGTGCGGCCAAAGACGAACGGCCATCTTGCATGTAAATTTTTTTTATTTTGCTAACGTTGCAGAGAGGTTCAACTGGCGCTAGTGTCTATGCGACTTCCGTGACGCAAATTGAAGCAGACAGCAACCAGTCTTCTTTTGCGGTGCTCCTGTGCATTCCTATGGGAAAACGCGCGTGCATTTTGTCTCTTCGCCGGATAATAACACGGAACACTTTGGTTATTTGGGTCGTACCGAATAGCATGTACCTTGATTAACACTGTAAAAGTATAATTGCTTTAGTTTGCGCATTTTTCTTCATCAGTGAACGATATTTAACTTCGCTACATTTCAGTTCCAAACGTGTGTTCCGCAGCAGGTGTGTAAGAACAAGCGACGATTCAAAGCAAAATTACAATCGAAACGAATATAGAATGTGTTCAAGACTCGCCAGCATTCCGGTGACGCTTGTTTATTGATAATATGCCAGTCCTGTCACTGTATGAAAATGATCCCGTCGTGCATGAGCGGATAAAAAAACTTTAAAACGTAGTGAATAAATTCCGTGGGCTATGAAAGGTGTCTCTTCGTGTCGTTCTCTCTACCGGGCAGCTTTTATTGCGCACTTCTTCTCAATGATATCAAGGGCGCGGGTGATATTTTGAACGTAGAACAAGCAGCTTCGCTCAGGGCAGAAAAAATAAAGCGGTATTTACTTATTTAAAATCGGAATAGATTGCGTGGTCTTCAATTTATTTTGATCGTACATGCACTGCGAGTTACTGATCCAGTGTTATAGTTCTTGCCGCCGCTCTTGATTTTCCAGATGTCCTTCGTTTGTTTGGCATGTATATCCCCCATGCTGGAAATCGCTGACGCCGCGTTCGCGCTAACAGTGTCCGACGGTGCACATAAATACACGTACGAAGCCGTTTTAGCACCGTTTTTAAGGCGACGAATTCGAAATAAAAACGCCGTAACTGACCAATTATTTTGTCGGCCTGACTGAGAAATGTTCCAAGCTACCTAGTACGTACGAATTATTTGGGATATTGGCTCTTATAATCGAGCGCAGGGAGAAAATGCACTCACCTTTTCCCATAGAAATGCATTACCGGAAGTCAATTTTCGACTGGTTGCTGTCTGCTTCAATTTGCGTCAGCACACTAGCGCCACTTGAACCTCTAGCGTACATTATAATAACTCTATGCGTTGCAGAGGCCGGTGGCAGCGTACAGAGGCTGGAATGCTAAAGGCACGTTTTCTACTCGTTCGTCGTCATTCGCCAAATAATTTTTTTTAAAACCTTATGCAAGGTGTGATACTTGCCGTTGAGAACACGGAAAAATTTTACGAAAGCGCAGTGCCGCAATCCAGAGACACATACGGCTTTACGCACATTGCACTCGCAAAACACATCCACATTGCGTCGATTTTTGGTCAGTGTCCAAGCGTGCGGAGGGCCGGAGGCACAAAGACACGGCACAGGCGTGCCAAGGAAGCTTTGAACACGCCGCGGTGAAACTTGCTTTCGACGAGGTGTGCCTTTTTCCTGCGGCACTGCGCTTTCGTAAAAGAGTAAAGCTATACGCACTCCGGAGTGCGCTTCGCGCGGAAATGGCTATACGCACTCCTCCGAGAGATCATGCCGCTCGGGCCACCCTTGTCAAACGGCGCGTGAATCACTGGGGCGCTCGTTAACACAGCCCCCCGCCTGCGTTCACGCCGCTTCGCGGCGACAGTATCGGCTGCTAATTACTAAGCGTAACCAGTACACGCCGCTTCGCGGCGTCCAGCCGGCAATCCAAGCCCCGCTGTCCCCGATCGCACCTCCGGAAAGGGAGTCCGATACCATTTAGTTCTGCAAAGTTTCTCGACAACAATCGATTTTTTTTTTACTGTTCATTGCAAAAAAGGAAATGTCGTAAATATCGCCAAATGCCTCAACAAAACAAAATGTTTGAGAAAAAGAAAAAAAAAAGTAGGCCCACCGCGGATCGAACCCGCGTCCACTTGCGTATGAAGCGGGCACCCTAACCACTACGCCATGGCACCGCTTAGGAAACTCGTTGTGTCCACTATTTTTATACGAGAAAAGCGGAGTGCGTATAGCCATTTCCGTCCGAAGCGCACTCCGGAGTGCGTATAGCTTTACTCTTCGTAAAAATGTTCACGTGTTCTCAACGGCAATTATCACGCAGGGTTTTAAAAAAACTTCTTCGGCGAATGACGATGAACGAGTAGAAAGTCCGGTGGCCGCACTCGCGGAGTGGAAAATACATAGAGATTATGGAAAATATCAAGGGGAAATGAAATACCAAGAGGAGTGAAACCCGATTCCCGAGTCCGTCAACACTGAGGCAGCACCTTTAGTTTTGTTTTGTGTTATTTACTTTTTGTTATTTACGTTTTCGGCGTTACTTTCTCAGATGTGCTGTGCTTCTCGCATTGAGTAAGTCATGTGGTGGTATTGTTTACCTTTAGAGATATATGACCGATGAATCGCGATAGAGGTCTTATCAGTCTTATCTCGACTTCGCTTTATATGTTGCTCCAGACCGGAGCAATACGCGGAGCATGGGTGAGATGGAGCTATGCTAGGAACTAGTGCCATCACAAGCGTGGGCAAAAACAGGTACGTCGCTTTTATCCTATCTTTTTGTAATTTATTATCAGAATGTCAGTACAAATCACGTCTTTGAATGAAAGGTGCCTCGGTTCGATCATTATCCTTATGTTTTTGCTAGAAGTTGCTATGAATCGTTTGCCAGGACGAACATTCTGATGATAAATGTTACCGTATTAATAACACGTTCTTTATTCGCGCAAACATCACGTGTGGGGTACGCTTTCGATCTAAATCACATTTTACCGCATTTTGCGACGATAGCCGCCGAGCATTTGGTTGTTTCTGATTACCTGGTGCTGCGTTTATGAACAAGTACTACGATTTGTCAAGCGAGTTCACCAGTGCTGACCTCTAAAAGTGAAGAATAGGTGTCCAAGCATCCACTATTGGCCCTCTCTTCCCCTCCTATCTTATTCACAACGCTTACACACAAGTTGTGATGACATTTCCATCTTCACTATTTTTCTTTCAGTGGCAAGTGTTGTGGAGAGTGTGCCTAAAGTGTTGACCATGGATCGGAGGACAGCACCAAACCATGCGCAGCTCAACATTCCACTGCAGACGAGTATGTGAAGGTTATATTCCCAGCAGAAATCGTAGATCCACAAAAAATATATATATATTTTTTTTCAGAATTGTTTGTGGTAAAAAATGGTGTTTTTTTGCCGTTGAGTACTGCTTCAGAAAAAAGCTGCTCCAGCCAGAAATGCTTTTACAGTTTTTGATATGCTGAGTGAGCACGTTTAGACAGTTGCGGTTCCGTCGCCAGTTGAAATTGTACGACCCTCGGGACCACTTAGAGCATTGCTCGTAAAAGCTGAGGATTCTGCCGATCGCATGTTTATTTTGTCGCAGGCTGGACGAAGTGATGTTGCGGAGTCCTGTCACATTACGCCTCCCATGGGGTATTCACACGGGGGATGCTTTTTTTGCGAGGGATGTGCGTGACGCCGGTGATTGGCGGAACCAGCGGGATCTCGTCCTCAACTGCAGCACTATACAAGGGGTAGGGAGTTGAGAGGGATGTCCATGTTACCAGACAGATTTAGTGGTCGCATTCTCTACTACAGGGCATGGTGCGCGCCCACGAGGGTAGAAAATTAGAGGCATGCATGAAACGGCGATGCGATTATGGCTGCAATGCGGTTAGATGAAAAAGACGAAACTGCTTTCTGCTAAAAAAGGAGAAGATGCTTCTTGAATGGGTAGATACGACACAAAGAATATGGAATCCAAAACCAGTTTAGGAGGAGCGGCTCAAGGACGGCATCAACAAATACCGAAGACTCCTTGGGAGCCTGTGACGACGTGCGACGCAACAGTGCAAGCCACAATAAGTTAGGCGATCCCGATGCCACCGCTGGCTTTCCCCCGAGTAAAATCTGTAAAGTTGTCAGACACGCAAACAAAATGCCGCCAGTTGCAAAGAGATTCCACGTCAGGTACATAGCCAAGGGGGGGGGGGGGGGGAGGGGGGGTGCCCATGGGGTTTGGCCCCCTCTTGAAATCTTCCATTTTGCTGGGACCTCCTCTCCCCCCTCCCCCTCATACAGCATTTAGTCATGGGCGGGCCCCCCCCTCCTAAACAAAATCCTGGCTACGTGCCTGCTGGGAGTGTTTATGCAGTCCAAGCAAAAGTTCCCATTCCCCCGGGACGTCTGCGTCGACGCGGCTCCGCGTAAAGCCGCGTCATTGTTACCACGTGATGGACATCCCTGTGGACGAAGGGAGGGATTTCTCCCCCATGGGAATACCCCGTAGAGGCCCGTTCACTCACTTACGTTTGCTTGGCACCGAGTTCTTGTGATCTCTTACGATGA